TATTTTATTGTTATGTGGTTGTTTACGCTTCAGCACACCTGTTTATTTTATGTCTCATACATGCACGAAATTTCATACAAGACTTTCTGTATATGTTTAAGGAAGCATTTATGCTTTGGGGTCCATTGCAAGTAACTGGTATCATAAAAGAAAATTTTGATACTCTAGTAGATAGCTCGCTGCTGTTTAGAGTGTGTTTATTTATTTCAATCGTAACCCTATCTTGACGTCATTATGAGATTTACCCCTTTTCTTATGTGATAGAATTATTTAAATATCATTCTAATTCACCAAATAAATTGTTTAGATTTTTGATAAAGTTTTTCTTGTTCCTCATTCTCTCTCTTTCTATGTATCTGTTTCTTATACTTTGTGCTACTACATAATTTGTACTTTTTGCTTTTTGCTTCTATGTTTTCATAGAAATTTTTAAGGCAAAAACGAAAAGGAAAAACTTTAATTTTATGCTTTTTTAAATCTTTTTACGACGCAACACTTGTGCGACTTTTATATTGTTATTTCCAAAAGCTTTTAAAAGCAGCCAGATTTTTATATCATTTGTATAAAATTTATGTTGATGTATCGCTAGGAAAAATCGTTTTTGATGCGCGCAGCAGATGTTTAAATAATGAAACTGAATTATTAAAGATTCGTATGGCCAAAGAGAGAGAGAAAGAGAGTCTTTGTCATCTACATTGTATCTAAGTGTATATACACATTATTTGATATATGAAAATTATTCTTTTATTCTGTAAACGCGTACGTAAAATATGGTATTTTTAGCATTTACCATTATTTTAACAGGCAGCAGTCGCGAGGACATAATGTACTTTATATCATATGGCGAATTATGGCTTCTTGGAATTTATTAATGATATCATTTTGCAGATATTCTAAAATTGTCTCAAAGTAAAGTTATTAAAAAATGGTCACTTCCATGAGTTAGATTCTCACTTCCTTTTAAAATAGTGCTGAAATCCTTTCTTTAATTTTGAGCATAATTTTTTTGAAAAGTAGCCTAGCCTAACCTTAAAAGTACCAATTCTATTTTTACTTTTTTTTTAAAAAAAAGAAGCAAGTGAAAGCAGAAAGGCACGCATTTATTTTTCCTTTATAATGATAATGCGAAATATGCGACATTTGCTGAAGACCTTCATACAATGTGTATTGGAAATTTCAATGTCTTTGAAATTAGATTCGTGCTCATTAATTCACTGAAAATCATTATATTTTCATACTCAAAGAACTTTTTTTTTATGTATCAAATTTACAGACTTTGTTCAACTCTAGAGCTATAGCTATAGCTATGCAAAACACATAAAACTCAACGAGGAAAATATGGAAATTTAATACATTTCTAGGAGATTAATTTCAAGATACTTTTTTGTGATTATTACACGTGATGCATGAATATCAGTATTTATGCTTTCTTCCTAACATGACGACTTATTATTATTATTATTGTGGATGTATTGTGGAATAAAATAATAATATTATATGTACACATGTCATTTGCAATGCTTTAAATATAATTTTAATTGTATCTTATTTATGACTGTATATATACATTTCCAACCATTTACATAAATAACGTTGGCTGTGGATATACGGCATCAATGTAAAATAACTGAGATATTTCTGATTTTTGGGAATAAAACCTTCTGAAATGACGTCAACGGAATTGATTTAAATGAGAGCTACAGTTGGTTACTGATTTAATGCTATATCCAGCTTGGATGTGGTCGAGGTTCTCATAAAAGGCTGTTTCAGTAGATAAAGCAAGCTTTTAGCAACATTATGCGACTGAAAAAAGCTTTAATGCTAAATATTCCTTGAGAATTAAGCTTGCAACAGGATGTGTCAAAAATTGAAATTCTAGCCTAGGAACTTAGTCATTGTCCGAGAAGAAGCAGGTCTTCCAATCATTTGCTAATCATTTACGTCCTTACATCAATCATTGAAATGAAAGTCAAGACAAAAACATTATCAACTTATTTCATCCACAAGATACGCTATTCATCAGCAAGTACCCTTGAATAAAGCATATATCCCTGAGTTTATTACACAACTTTATCATCAAGATCTAGATCTGTTTGCATATCCAATAAGATGCATTTCCCTTGAATATTCATTTACATCATACTTCTCGACTTCCATCCGAAAGGAACTGATGTGTGGCGTACTTTTTTTATTATGTTTATATTGGCAAACAATTGCAATTATTTGTGGGATTACAATAAAGCAGATTCCCTCGTGAGCAAATGGCGCCCTTTATTGAATCTAAAAAGTTATTTTTTTTTTCAAGTTGAATCCATAAAATTTTATTGGATGAAAATTATTTTGATTGCATTAGGATTTGGTTGATTTTTCCTCATCGGTGATTTTCAATATGAGCCTGTTCCTGTGTGTATGGATATATGGTTAAAAATAACATTCACAATAATCTTCATACCTATGCAGAAGATATTTACACTTTCATGACATTAAATCATGATAAACAAAAAATATCTTTGAGGCTTTAAACATGCTTGATGGAAATGGAATAAAATTAAACTCATATGTCTAAATTTTTGATGATTTATGCTCAACATTTTGATGTACGAATTTAGCGCAGAAAAAAATGTAAATGTGAAGCACCTCAAATCAGAGTAAGAATTGAATGGCGTTTTAAGTTGCTTAAAGCTCTTATTCTGGTATTGACTTATACACCTGATTTCAGATGGAATTAGCTTACTTCCATGGCTGTGTCGAAAATGAACGTTCAACAGATCCAATGCTAGTATTCTCCCACTTTATAATGTGTCTTCCTCTGCGAATTAAAGGTTGGGAATAGAGTGAATAATGAGCTGCATAGTCGCCAACTCTGGATTTAATACTCAAATTTTTCAAATTTTGTTATTTCCAAAAAAACTTCCCATTCCTCAAAGCATGTTCTCTATCTTCAAATGCTACACTTTTTTGCGTATTCCTGAGCATGTTCAAGGATATTAGACCTTGATTTATTCATTTTAATATTCTCTTCAAACACTTTCATTCCATTTTTAGAAGCTTTCGCTTTTATGAAGAAGCAAAAAAAAGAAAGAGAACAAACAATAAAATGACATATGTATGTATACAATAAATTATACAATCAGTATAGGAGATGAAATAAATATTTTTGTTGAGGCAACAAGCTCTTGTACTCTTGTACATGAATCATAAATCAACATATATCTATTAAAGTAGCACTTAAAATATTTCAACAACTTGCTGCAGATAAATTTTTAAAATACAGAACTAAGGAAGAGTATAGCTTTTTGATATGCATGCATACATAAACCTACTTCGATCTTTACACTGAATTAAATAACGATTTATTGCAATGGAATAAATATTTGAGTATACTCAGTTATGAATATTATATCTACTAGCTTGAGAGAGCTTTTAAAGCATCAGATTGGCTTTTATGGCATCAAACCTAATTATTGGTTTGCTTGGTTTCTAAATCTATCCCAGAATATATTGGGTAGGTCTTAATATTCCTTCACTTATCAAGTATTTTATGGTAAGAGCTCCAATTGGCTGGGATAGAAATGCTTGATTAAAGGTTCACCTCCCAAAATTTACTAAATCTCATTCAAGTGTTCAGAAAAAAACATCTATTGAACCTAAAGTTCGATAAATTCAGCAGCTTATAGCTATAATTTTTACGAAAGAACCACGAAAGCCACATCCAGTTCCACACTTAAATATTTATATTCTGACTGGATAGTGAATCGAGGAGAAAAAAAAATCAAATTTCTGCCAACACCACTCGAAAGCTTAAAATACGGTGTAAGCATTCTTCACATCCAAACCTTCAATATTAAATTCATATGCGAACGACCCTTTTTAAAACATGATATAAATCATCCATAATTTATTGAAAATTGAATTTTACAAAGAAATGTACGCAATCGGCAAATGCTTGGATGAATATGCAAAGGAGGAGGAATAATAAACTTAAAGGATGTATTCAAATGTTCTATATTGCATATTTATCATTGAATATTTGCAATTGGATATCAATACAAATCAATTGCTATATACATGGAAACCAGCATAAAAAATGCTACATTAGAATGAATTCTGTAATGGTCTGGTGAACTTATTTATTGTATTGATATCCTTTATTAGAAAGTTGCTTTAAAATTTAATGGAAAAGATTTGTTCATTAAAAGTTTGAATTTTGATTTCTAGGATTGAACTTTTTGTCCTTTCTTGGAAGTTTCTCAATTTATTAAATCCGAAGGTCGATTAGGTGAATAGAGTCCAAATTAAGGACTAACATTACGAGAAGTTATCTAGCTAAACTCTTAAAAATATTTTTCCGAGAACTTCTTAAAATCAAAGCCATAATAATAAAATTGCCCTAAATTGAAGGTGATTGTCAGTGCTTGAAGAAACTCGATCAATAACTTTTATACCTATTTTCCCTTTCCAAGCATAATTTTCTCAAATTCAATCTTATTGACATAAAAATTTGAATACATGCATTTGCAATAAAGTTAAATCAAATTGAATTGGAGCGATGACATAACACATAAGTAAAGTACATGTAAGAGCTATCATGAGGGGAAGAATCCGTAAATGTGGATCACATGTTTTAAAGGAAATTTTATTGATTTATTCAATCCAATATTTAAATAAAAGATCTATAGATACATAAATGTTATATTTAACGAACAAGAGTCACAGCTGCTTTAACTGACAAATACTGGTAAAACCGCAATAGTCTCTATGGTGTCGTTATTCATACATTCGCAAACATTTTACATCCGAAATAATTTGTATTACATACCATTTATGGCAAAGCACTGATAAAGCTAATTGGAATAAAGTTACATAATTATAATTATTTTTTGGGCTTCTTATTTTATTCATTTAATGATGTCGATTGAATGGATATTTGTGCCTGAAATTTGATAAATGATAAAGTTTTGATTCAAGTTTCGAGACAAGAAATCAAGAAAAAATTAAAGTTTTAAGTGACCAAAAACTTTTAATTTATTTAAATTAAAATTTTCACGAGAATACATTTAGTCACTAGTATTGCCTGAATTGTCCTCTTCGTTGTTCTCTGCCTCGCCAGTAAAAGAATGATTCTTTAATTTCTTTATCCATGTCATCATTGGCTTCTCATTTAATTCTGTGCTAATTATTGTCGATAAAATATTTTTGTGATAAAATTCCTCAACAGCTGAATCTTCTTCCTTAAATTCTAACAACTCATGCATTCCATCATTTCCATACTTTTTATTGTAACGTTCATAATGAACTTTTTCAAGAACTAGACCTAGTCCAGGAGCCTGTGGGATATTCATCTTTTCTCTTTCCATAGCATGAGCAACAGTGAAAGGTTCAGCATATCCCTTCATTATAGCAATAACTAGACCAACCATACGACGAATTTGATGCATCATAAATGACTGTCCTTTTACTTTTATTTTAGCAAACTCAACTTCTGAGTTATGAGGAATAAAAGGCGTTGGACATTCCAATTTCATCATGTATCGACGACAAGAAGGATCATTTGGTTCCTTTCGAATTGTAAAGTTGTGGAAGTTCTTGGTTCCCTCATATAGATTTAATATTTTATTCAATTCTTCATGTCGTTCTGGTGGCATACGATAAGTATTCTCATCAAATTCTTCGTCCTGCTTTGTTAAAGCATAAGTAGGAAGTGTATATGAATAAGTTCTTGCATCGCAAGTAGATTTTGAATTGAATCCTTTAGTCACTCGCTTGACTGCAAAGATTTTGATAGCACTCGGAAGGTCCTTATTGATTTCATCAATGTCATATGTTTCAGCTATATAGAAACTGATTATTACTGCTAAGTGATATTATTGATAATATTAAGGTACTTACGCATTTTTAATGAAACCACTTGACGACATGCTGAAACTCCTTTGTCAGTACGAGCGGCTCGTTGAAACTGAAGCTGTTGAGGTGTCTGAAAGCCTAAACATGCTCAATTAATATCATTTTGATCTAAAATAAGATCACCAAGAACTTACCTAAATCATTAATCCACTTATGCTTTAACATTGCTTTTAGCAGTTCCTCTTCAATTGTTTCTATTCCGAGATTTCTTTGCATTCCACAATAATTGACACCAGAATATCCCAACAAGACAAGAGCCTTTCTACGCTTAATACGTTCACCGCCTGATTCCTCTAATCGCAGTCTTTTAGCTTCTTCTGTCTCGTCATGTTCCCATTTTCTTCTTTTTGATCTGCCATCATATTTCTCTTTTTTAGCCTGGAATCTATCCTGCTTCCTTGTCTTTAAATCACCAATTCTCTCTTCAATTGCCTGTTCCATTCTTTCAGAAAAACTTTGCTGAATTTGTTGATTTAAAACTGCTGGATATGTATGAAAGAACTTTTTAAGCACACTACCTGGAATTAGTGGAATATTATGACTTATTAGCTTGATTAATTAATGAAGAACTTACTGTTATGGACTATTCTAAATAGGGTTAATTTAAAAAGCATTTAAATGCTCAAGAAAATATTTATTTTAGTGTTTGTTGACTTTAATCGAAGGCCCATGTGAATCAGTGCTGCTCAAACTATGTGACACGGAATTAAACATTTATGAGCTGTTTTTGGCACTTGATGATACACAAGATGTAAAGATACATTAAGTTTGAACAGCCATGTGAATCTAGTCCACAGAAGTGATGAGTGAGGGTAATTTTTCATCCTTCTTCAAATTTTATTCGTCCGCTAAAGTTATCAGTCACACTTTTATTGAAGCTCTTAATTTTATTCAAAATGAATGCCTTTTTAAAGCAATTAATTATTTTAATTATCGGGAATATACTTATTTCCACTGTATATTGTGATGGTAAGTGAATTATATTATAAATATTATCAATTTCGATGATTTTCATTGAAAATTTTCAACCTTAAAAAGAAACGATGGAGTTGACATGCACTACTGATGAAGATTGCAAATCATTCGAGAACAAGTTTATATATTCTCAATGTGCTGATGATGCCTGCATTTGTCAAAATAGGAAGGATTCTACATGGGCAGATTGTTCACCGACCGTTGAAAGTGTTGAAAATGAAGATGTTAAAGCAACCAAATGTAAAGCACCAAATACTGAATTCAGAATTGGAATGTGTCGTACCAAAGTTGTTCAATTGGGAAAAGCATGTGAAGAAAATTTGCAATGTAATCGTAATGAATGGAACTCTGAATGTATTAATGAAGTCTGTGTTTGTAAGAATCATTATATGGAGGTTGAACATGCTTGTCGACCCATTATTCAATCTGATAAATGCACAAAAGACGAACAATGCCCAGAACATGCTGAATGTTTTGAAAGCAAGTGTATTTGTAATAAGGGATTCATCAACTCATTAGACCATAAAGTAAGTATATTATTTTTAAGTAAAAGCTAATCAGCATCCCTTAATTTTTTCATTTAATTACTATAGACTTGCCTTCCATTCCGCGCATACAATGAAACATGTGAAGAAACAGACCAATGCTTTATGAAGTATAGTCATGGTGCTACTTGCAAAAAAGGTATTTGTTCATGCATGAGCAATTATGCTGTAACTGAAAAAGAAGGAGCTATTTCATGCCGTAGAACTGCTTTTGTTGGAGATACATGCTTTGATCACAACGATTGCTTCAGCGATAAGATTCAATTGTATTGCAACAATTATATATGTACATGCAGCGAATCTCCTGAAAAAAATGTAGCATCATGCAAAAAGCCAGTCAACAAGGATGGACCCCATGCATCGCCATTAACATCAGGAGCTGCTTCAATTAAAGTTTTTAATACGTTATTTGTCATATTTTTTGCTATCTTAATTGTCTTGTAAATTTAATTAATTAATTCTGTAACCTAAAAGTTCAATCAAACATCCATGGAAGTAAAATAAAGCAAAATTGTCTATTGTGATCGTTAATCAAAGTGCGATATATAGTTTTATTGTGTGATTAATTTTCAGAATAATATAATTTTGAGTACAATAATGAAGCATAGGATAAGTAGTTTAGTTTAAAGCAGTTGATGTGAGAACGGCAACTCCACGTTCATAGAAGCTGTGTGGATCCTGTCCATGACAAATTGACAAGTCAACCGTGAAAAGAAGTTCTGATCTTGTAGAATTCAAGTAGACAGGCAATGTAAGTTTTCCAGAATTAACATTTTCAGACGTAATTCGAATCCATCTCAAAAGAGTCAGTGGAAGATCCATCATAATTGTAGATGTAAGCAGCAATTGATTATTTTTGCATTGAGCTCCTTGCAATTTCAATCCAACAACACCGAAACTACTATCCTTATATTGTCCACCATCCGTTTCCGTTGTAATTGTAACATCAAGCATAAGTTCTTCTAATGGCCAGCTATTTGCTTGAGCAATGCATTGACGAGTAGCTGTGATGTAAGCTTCAGGATTGAAAAGCCCACCAAGCCAAACTGGGAAACTCTGTAATTCTTTAGCGCCAGCCTGTGAAACTAAGCTTGATACTTTCTGCAATTGTTGGACACGCTGAGAAAAGTCTGTGATCCATTGAATGACTGTGCAACCTGTTGATTATTTAAGGAACAAAAAGAAATTGAATTAAACTTTAACGTCTTTTTGAAATTCAAATGTTCAAAAACCATACAAATGTTTTGATTGAATTTGTAATGTTCTCAAAATTAAAATGTCATAACATCATTTAATTACCGATTGGAACTGTATATCGTCTCCAGCTCTTGGGCAATATTCCTCGTACTAATTCGCTCAGCATTTGACGATGATAATTAGTTTGCTTCTTCTCGCCTTGACAAATAAACAAGACATCTTGCAAGTCACTGACAACAGTTTGCAATAATTTAGCACCAGAAGAAACTTCGCGTTCAAAGTAGCGATAAAGTGGATCTTTAATATTCTCAACAGTTCTTCTCAATGTATTCAAGCTCTTTGGCAATAATTCAAGCCAAGTTAAAGCACTATTATGTAGAACTTTCATCCATGATGGTCTTCCATCTTCTTGTGCCTTCAATGAACTTGCACCCGATTTATCAAGCAATTCATCTTGTTGTGTACTGTATGCCAATTCATCATCATCTTCAAGTTGTTGCATTTTTAATAATTTACTGATCAAATCAGTTCCACGAGTTGTAAGTAAAACTTTCTCAGCATTATTTGGAAGTCCGAGCCATGATGGTGTTTGACGATCAGCTAGTCCTTCAATCCATTTCAAGAAATGATCACGACGTGTTCCATCAGGCATTGTAATATGTCTTTGACCATTTGCGGCATCAACATTTGCAACTAATGCAAAATCAGCTTCAAAACTATGTGCTGTAAACAGTTTTGATAAGAATGACGATAATAAACGTTGATCAAAGTCATTATCAATTTTTCCACCATAAATTGATTGAGATAATAAAGTAACGAGTGCATCCCATGGAACTTTTTCTGGTGGCAAATTAGTTCTTCCCATAGCAGTTGAATCTATCCATGTATCTAGAGTATCACATGCAACACGCAAGTCTGACTCATTAAATTCATATTTCTTTGCCCAACCTAATGGGACATAACGCAATCTTTCTTGCACAATTGCATGGAACCAGGCTAATAAGAAATATAATCGAGCTCTTTCACTTGGTGCTTTCATCATTCGACTTGCTGGTACTGTCGAGAATGTTCTCAATAGATTCGCACGAATACCCGGAGGTGGCTCAAAAACGACTGTTTGAAATAATAATAAAGAAATTAAATTAATTGAAAATTTACAGACAAAATATTGAAAAATTAATTATGTTCACTTACAAATTCGTCCATAACGCAACAGATTGACAGGAACCTTTGGATTAATTTCCATAGTCAAGAATAAACGGAATCCAGGATGCGATTGAATCGAGTGTAATTTCTTTTCCAATTGAACAAGCCATTGTGGTGCTAAATGAACATTTTTAAGAATAACCCATTTTCCAGTCTTGCATGCCATATTAATAGCACGATCTGCTTGATTAAAGCCTTCAGCTGAGCCTATAGCTATTGAAGATATCTGCTTATTAAGCTCTGTTGCTAAATCATCAACTCTTCCGCTAGCATCAAAACCTGTTACGCTACACAAAAGTGCTGGTGTATTAGAATTAAGTTGTTGCTCAACACATCCACCAAAGTCCAATTCTTTTTCAGCGAGTTCCATAAAACTCTCACCCATTACAGCCGATACAAAAATATGTGATGCAGCAACAACGCGATCAGGTCTGAATGCTTGAATCAATAAAAGTTGATGAAGTGCAGTAGATATTGGCGATAAAGCTTTGCTTTCATCCCACAATTGAGGAACATTCAGTTCAGGAGATCCTTGTTGCAACCATGCTACTAATTCAGGCATACTGACAATCTTATCAATCAATTTTCGGAATGTTGGTAAACGAGTCGATAATCTTGTTATTGATTCCAATTGTTCATTTGTCACACCATCAATTTGTTGACTTTCTGATGTCGTTATTAATCCTTCCTTATTTCTTAAGAAGAAATTAAATTCTTGGTCCAAATTTTGTTCTGAAGTTCCTTTCAAGTGGATACGACAGAGTAAAATTGCAAATGTAAGACGATCATTATGCAGCATTCCTCTAGCAACTCTTTCGTAGACAACAGAGAATAAGTGATTTGTTATGATTGATAAACGTTCTGTAAATTCAGTTTTTCCTTCCAATCGACTATTATTGTATAAAACAGTCGAGAATATATCCAAGAACATTTTAAGTGAATATTGATAAAGGAAGTGAATTTGATTAAGAGAATCCATAGTGAAATAAATGTTACTACATGCTTGTGATAATGGCATATATTGTTGAGATACAGTCTCAATTTCAGCAATAACTTTGTCAGTTTCTTGAACTTTCTGTTCAATATCTGCAGCTTCTTTCTTGAGTGTTTCCAAAGTTGTAATGACTGAATCATCATCCAAAATCTTTCCTTTTGAATCATTCAAAGCCTGCAAAAGACTCTTTTCTAATTGTCTAAGTCTCAATCTAAATTCTCCTTGCAATTTCATCAAATCTGAACGCTTTTGATCAATATCGGGACGTTCAGCCTTTAATACTTGATTCAAACATTGCGATTGTAATGAACTTCTCGTGACTGTAAAGTTTACAAAAGTCACACGAGAGCAAATGTCTGGTGGAAATTCAACCGTTGGATCTCTTGTTGACAAGAAAATTACAAATGATGGCGATAAATCGATATCTTGATCTCCCAAAGTAATCAATACACGACCACCAGTTCTTCTCAATTCTCTGTTTAATACTGGATTTAAAATTGGATCATAATTCTCGACATCTTGAACGAGAAGTGGATTTCCAAAACGTAAAGCAGATTCCAAATTCTTACGGAATGAATCGTCCAAGAAGCTTGTCTTTGTAATCTTTCTTTCCTTAAACTCGTTCATAATAAAGTCTGTTGCTTGACCTGAAGGATCAATGATGAGTGGATATCTATTAAATCGTTTCAACATAATAGCATTTTCTGTGCAAAGCTCATCAGATGGTAATGAATTTGCTTGCCAGCGTAATCTCTCATCAGGATTCGAAAGATATTCAGTAAGAGCAATATCAGGACGATATTGTATGTTTGCAGATGTCAAATGTTGACTCCATGTTGAGAATAAGTTGCTTCTATAATGTTGATCAAAGTATCCACCATAAGCAATAAATGCAGCTGACAATAAAGTATCTCCAATAATCGTAGACATTTGTGACTTGAATGTTTCACTTGTAGCTTCCCATCTTTCTCTTTCGATGACTAAACTCTTTAATAAAGCAATTGATCTATCGACTTTAGCTTGAACGTTCTCCAAATCAGCCTTAATAGCTTGTGCTTGAGAAATGAGTTGAGCATATTCTTCCTTGTATGCCCCAATGGATTGTTCCAATTGAGAAACTAAATCCTTGACTTCCTGTCCATGCTTGATATTCAGGTCTGCTTGTCTTTCCAATGAACTCAGCTCATCACGAAGTGGCTCAACGCGCTTCAACATGTCAGCATATTCGACCTAATTGACATTTCAGAATTTTTTTGAAATAATATTATTAATTATTTTAAGTTCTAAAACTTACCTGAGCAATAGCCCATTTAACCATAGGTCCGCAAGCCATAGATGCTCTGTTGACTTTTTCAAAGTTGTAATCAGGATTGCTCAAATATCGATTCTTCATCTTTTCACGAACATCATCACTAAGATCATTTAAGGTCATCAAAGAAGAGATACATACATTAGGATAAAAATGTAAAGGAACCAAATTAAGGGGGTAGTTGAAAGCATTAACGAGGGATTAAATAATTTTTAGTATAAAACAGGAAAACATGGAAAGCAAAGTAAAACATTTAACATTCAAATTAAGTAAGTAAACATGTCTCACGATATCCGTTTTCTTTCAGTTAGATAAAGCGAGGATGGAAAATATTTATGGAAAGGTCAATAAATTCATCGTCAAGTCAAATCAAATCAAGATCAAATAATAAAGCCACACTCAAGTTTTTGTCATGCTTACGTGATATCTTCAGTGCTAAAGTTAGACACAATAGAGTTAATGAAATTTTCGCGCATAATAACAGCACGAATAGATTTCCAGTCAGAAGCATTTTCGCCCAACAGTAGACAGATTGATTCCAGTGCTAATTTTACAATCGCTGGTGGATTTGCCATCGAACGAACTTCAACAAGATGCTGTTTTTTAATGGACTTTACAGCTTTAAAAAGAAAGATTATGTTTTGTTTTTGGTTAATTAAGCATTAATTGATTAGTATGTTCAGGACATTCATTCATGATTCAAGTGTATAGAAGAAATTTTGAAACTCTGCCAGTTTTTAAAAGCCAAAAGCAACAGCCATAGACAGAACTTTTACATGTCCTTAATAATTTTGATTTATAAAAGTTTTGTCCATAGCTATTGAGGATCAGTATCTATCCACTTTTTAGGGATTGATGATAATTTTCGTAATTTACAAGAAGCATATCACATCACAAAAAATAATAATATAAGGATATTAGTAAATGTATTTTTTTTTATAAAATAATTTATGTAGATATTTATGGAAAGAAGAGATAGCGCCCAATAGTTATAAGTTATGCATATATAGAAAATCATTTGGTTCATTTACGTAATTCTTTGAGTGTCAAAGTTGACAATATTTGATATAAAAGAGTCCTTAACAAGAACGCCACGAATTTGCTTCCAATCGATAGCATTGTCTCCCAATAATAAGCATATTGATTCACAGGCTAATTTAACAACTTGTGGTGGATTCGCCATTGAGCGAACTTCAGCTAATTGCTTCTTCTTTATACCACTGACGGCTAATAATTCATATAATTTTTTTAAGGTAATAAAAAATTCAAAATTTCTTGTCCTAGATACTTAATGAAATAAAAGATTCTTTGCACATAAATTGACAACGAGAAACTTACCTTGCTGTGCATCAATAACTGCTGGTTCTACTAAAGCTAAATCAGCCATAACTGACTTTCTCTTTTCTTCAATTTTAACTGTTTGTTCAGCCAATTGTTGCTGAATTTCTTGTGATTGAACTTTCTTCTTTTCTGCTTCCTGTTGATCCTTAAACATTTGCTTCAATTTCGAGTTGGCAGCATCATTCTTCTGCTGTAATTCTTCCTTCTTAACAGCAAGTGATTTCTGCAAATCTTCAACTTGTTCGACAGTCTCAGCAATCTTGTTCAGACCGACATTAAGATGCAACTGTTGCTCCTCTAAATCACTTCTCTTTTCGCCATACAACTTGACAAAGTGATGAATAAAATCGAGGAAGTGACGTGGCGTAATTGCCATTGTTCGTGATCCTCTCTTTGTTAAACGTGAATTTGCACGATGTAGAGTTTGATGGACATAGACACACGAATTAATGACAGCATCACGATGTGATGGATTAGCTGGAACTAATGTACAAACTGATGGGAAGAAATCGGGAATCATCCAATTGTTTCTTTCAAGATCCATACGCAATGTGAATTCTTTAGCAACTTGGAATAATGCAGAATCAGACCAATCGCCAAACCAGTTAAGCACACAACGATTGAACAAAGCAGGAGATGTAGCTGCACGATCTTTAAGTCCATCCGTACTAGGATTCATTGTAAAGACAACATGAAGATTTCTCATAACTTGTTGAGTAAACCATTTATACAATTCATCAACTGAATCAAGCATTAATCCTTCACGTTGTGCACCTTCCTTACATTGTGTCATTAATGTTGTAAACTCATCTCCTTCAAACAATCCAGGAACTTCACCATTAGCAAGTAAAGTATTCATTCTTTCTAAGAATCCCGATTCAAGTACATTCGATTCATCAAGAATGAAACAAATCTTTTCATCCTTACATCCAGATCTCCTTAAAACTGTTCTTAAATCTTCATCAAAGTCATTTCCAGTGTATTTATTATGAACTTTAATTTGGAAGATACTTAATCCATTCATCCATGCCACAAACTTACTAAGAGTTGTCTTTCCAGCACCAGATACTCCAATAAGAAGTAAATGTCCTTGTGGCTGTCTAAAGATTCGATCAATTCTCAAGACGTGCTCTAATACTTCATCAAAAAGTACTAATGGAACGTCCAATTCTTCTTCATAGAAAACTTTCAATCGTGCCTTAACATAATCTCTCAATTCTTGTCGATTAACTGGAACATAATCCTTTGATAACCAATTTGAGTACAAAATTGGTCTTTCTAGTGCCTTTTCACGATCAATTGATGGGAAGTGCTTCATGCCGACTATATCAATATTCTCATTTGTCCAACGTCTTTCAGACTCTTCAACAAGACGATCTTGGAATAATCTTAATGCTTCGTGAGCCCACAATCTTACTAATCCTTCAATTGGTAAATTATCAAGTGGACGAATAGCTTCACAAATACCACGAACCCATCGAGTCATTTCACGTGGTGAATAAACATAATGTGGCTGCATATCTTGTGTAAAACGATCTTGTGATGCTAAATAGAAATCAACCATAGCATTTGTTAATGGCTCAGCATATCCTCTCAAGCTAGGCATCATTCTTAACATTGCTCTAGAGAATGTTCCATAAATTTGCTTTAATGAAGTCTCGCCTGGATAATCGACATAAATAATTGGAACATGACGTAAGAAACGATGTGATAATGGCTTACGACCTGGATCTGTTGGAGGATTACAAGCACCAACAAATTGAATTCTTTCAAGGCTAACAAAGCTTTGATCTGATGCACGATAAAATCCTTTATGTTCAACAAGTTGTCTTAAGAATGAAATTACTCTTTGAGTTCCATAAGAATCCATGTCTGGTAAATTAATTTCATCGCAGAACAAGACAAGCCATTTTCCAATCTGTACTGGAGCTAAGATAACTCCATTTGGAGTCTTTCTATATTCACAATAATGATCGAATGTCTTTAATAAAAGCTCTGGCGTTGTTGCAGACGAAAAATTAAGACCAACAACTTCCATATCAGGAAGAGCACGTAAAGCTGAGAATAATGTCATCGTTTTACCAGAACCAGGAGGTCCACAAAGAACTAATGGTTTATGTTCAGCAAGCCATGTATAAAGAAGCGATTCATGACGAACTGTATCTAAAGTAGGAACAACAACATCAGGTGCTGCAACTTTATGAGTTTCGACTTCAATAACTGGCACTTTATTAGACCAAGGTGCCCATTCTCCTTGAATCGTGACTTCATAATCAATAATTGGATATCCACTTTGGGATGGTGGTAATGGAACTGTTGTGACTGATCTAATGAAATCTCCCATATCAATTCGTGCCTTTAATTTAGCATCACCAGTTAATGACCAAAGTACTGAATAAATTAAATGTTTTGGAATATATTGTTCCAACTTTTCATATGGAAGTGGGAAATCTGGATGTTGTTGATTATAAGTCAAAATATTACGAATTCCTTGATTAAGCATCGAGAAAAGTGATCCAAGTGCACGAAGACGTGTGAAATCCATAATGTGTTCCTGTGTTAATGCATATTCTAAACAACGAACAACTAAACCATCAGCTGAGAAGAATGGATGTAAAAGTGCAGCAATTTCTCTCTGTGTCTGTAATGCTGGCGATAATTCTTCTTCTTTCTCTTGATTTCCTTTTGATGCTGGCTGAATAAAGCTATCATCTTCGCCTTCTTCTAATGGAATGCTTCTAATGCGTGCAAAATAGTTTTCAAATACCATTTCCGTACTCAATACATCCTCACTAAACCAGACCATTCCACAACGTGAAACTGTAGCTAAAGTCGCATATTTCAAGTCTTGAACTTCAAACATAACTCGAACATTTGGTGGCAATGATAAACGTTCACCATTTGGTAAAGTCAACAATTTATTGTCATCTAAGACAGAGTTCAAGTTTTCAACCCATTCTGGATCGACATCACCGTCAAAAATGATCCATTGGCGCTTATTAATTTCTCCACGAACATTGTCAATAATTTTTCTATTAATAAAATAATAGATGAAAAATAATTGAGAAATATATCAGAATTTAAAAGAATTTTTCATTTAGCAGTTTCTTGAAATTCAAATATTGTAACGGTAGAAGTTAATTTGAATTTCAGAACGCACGCTAAACAGTTTTTTTAACGACAAAAACAAGTTTAAAAATGCACTGAAAAAAATTAAGCTTACCTTAAAATGTGAGTAAAAAGACCGTCTGTCCATTCACGAGTATTTGGATCTAAAACGCCATAAAGTGTTTCTTTTGAGATGGCTTTTGGATCAATAACATGAGCTACGCCTTCGAGACCTTCATATCGTTCTAATGCTTTCAATAGAACTTTCCATGCTGTAGATTTTCCACTTCCACTAGGTCCAACCATCATTAAACCATGAGAAATGACTGATACTTGATACAATTGAAGAACCTGTTGATTAATTTTAGAATAAATTGATATTAGATACATTTTTGATAAAAAAAAGTAAGCTTCTAGCATCAAACACACTCTAAAAAAAAGCGACAGAAGTTGATCAGAACTTACTTTCGACAACCACGTGTCACCAAATCCCTTAATTATTGTTAGTTTTGATAGTTAAATTAAGAGTTTAAATGTTAATTAAAATAAAATAATGAGTTCTAAGTGAAAAGTAATAAAACTGTTACAATTCCTACCTTTTCCATCCAATGAGCTCCTTGTTCATCGCCTTCGCCTGTGACGAGATATTCTTCAGCACAAACTTTCTTAATTTCATCTTTTAATCCCTTCATTTCAGCTCTTGTATATCCAACATTCGGGAAAACATCATTAAGTAATGAGAATAGCAATGGAATATCTTCAGCGACTAATTTTGGAACCATTGTCTCACAAACTGATTGAATTAAAATCTCTTGTTCTGGAAGATTCTCAGCAATTGTTCCTTCATTGATATTTTCTTGTCCAGATTGACGCATATTTTCCTTAATCTTCATTATACGATCTCTCTTGACATTACCAGCTGATACCAAAACAGATTTTAATGCTCTCAATCCGAAATCATAATGCGATTGATTGCTCAACTGTTCGTCACAAAGTTTAAAGAATGGAACAATTTTACATGCTAATTTTTCAGCTGTTCTGAAACCTTGTGAGAACAACATAACTTCAGCAATTAATTGACGATCTGGTGTTGTCATAGCCAATGAACGGAAGAGTTTCTTCAAGTTATCTGGTAGATTTGATCGACCTGCGTATCCAGGATTCATTGTGATGAATATAGCCATGTCAGGACTTACACGAACTTGTTTTCCAACTAATTCAACGGAAATGGTTCCTTTAGTTTCAGCTTGCGACTTGAGTGCTTCCTGAATTGTTTGAATTTGTTGTGAGCAAGCAGATAACATTCTTTCCTCCAATCTGTTAAACTCATCAAAGCATCCCCAAGCACCAACTTGACACAAACCCACAAAAATTCTTCCCATAGCTTGGAAATCGAATGTCTCGTCGCAATTAAATACCAGTACAAATCTTCCAAGTTGGTTTCCGAGAGCTTTCACACTCTCAGTTTTTCCAGTTCCAGCAGGTCTGAATAATGGCAAGTAAAATAAAATTAATTAAATTTTAAATTTCAACTGTCATTATAAATTCAAATTTTAAAACTATACAAATGTTTTTGAGCTTTTCAAAACATTATAAATTCAAATTTTAAAACTATACAAATGTTTTCGAGCTTTTCAAAACAATATAAATTCAAATTTTAAAACTATACAAATGTTTTAGAGCTTTTTAAATTTTTAAAATCCCGTTTGAATTTAAAATTGAAAAAATCGTTTCAAATTTTTTTTTTTAAAAACTGTGATTTTTTTTATTTTCGACGATTCAACAGTTTCAAAAATAATTAAACGAATATCATTTGAAGAAGGCAATTAAAAACGAATTTATAAATATTCAAAGAATTGATCGCGGTAAGAATTATTTATGTAATGAATTAATTTAAGGACATACCCGAAAGGTGATCCTCCAAGACGAGCTTCCAAAGCTTGTGTCATAGTTAAATAACAGCGATCAGTAAGTGGAGTCTGAACTAAACGATCTTGAACACCCAAATACTCGAAACCATAAAAGAATCTTGCGTTTGCCATATGAATCGTTAATTGTTCAAGCACTTCCGTTTGTCTGGGATCAAAATAGAATCTCATTTCTGTCAGCCAATGGAACGATTTTGGATTATTAACTCCAGCCGTAATTAAACGTCGAGTAACAGTACGTTTATGAACAAATTCATTAATCAAATGTTCCAATTTCTTTCGTCTCAATGGAGGTTGTTCCTGTAAAACTGAATCAGCCAAGACGTTAAGTGTTGATTCTACAGATGTAAGGACACGATTTAATGGATTCTTTCCAGGTGAGTCTTGTGCTTGTTGTAATGCACTTTCTACATCTTCTGACCATAAAATTTGTGCAGCTAAGACCACAATTTGTGCATGATATTTATCGCACCATTCCATGAACTTTTGTGGATCAATTTGTCCTTCCTTAAACTGTTTTATGTCCGAAACTGCCTGTGCCAAAAAGGATGCTAAACTGAATCGCATTTCTTTTTCAACCATTGTAAGCCATTCATTAATTTTTGGATGATCGATAGTCGATACTGGTCGAATAAATTGAACTTCCTCGCCTTCACGAGAAGCAATGCCGAGAATAACAGTAGAATCTTCATTCAAAAGAATAGAAGCGATTCCAGCAAACATTTTCTTGAAATGTTTTTGGAGACGACCGACATTCTTGCTGTTTCCAATTATTTCCAATAAATCTTCGTCACCAACGAAATAAAATCTTGGGAATGATGTACGTTCTCTTTCCAAATATTCACCAAGAGCTTTCTGGATTTTTCCAAGTAAATCAGCAAGACGTTCAAGACTTCTTTGGACAGCTGGAATATTTAAGACATCCATAACTTTTGGTGATTTTGCAACTTTCTTCATTAATCCCAAAAATTCAGAACTAATACTCTGGAACCGACCAGTTTCAACTGGCAATAATGTCTTAATATCAGCAGATCCACTGAATATGCCTTCCAAATAGACCCAACGACGTTGAACATCAATCCAGACATCAAACAATGAATTAATTCTATTTAATTTCTCTTCCCATGTTATAGCTTCTTCTTCAAAGACTTTATAGTATGGTGATAATTTCATTGCCGCTACAGAATTAATATGTTCCTTGATTTTATTGAACAAATCATCCCATCCACGAATAATCCGACATTTATTCTGATAATTAATCAAATCAAGTTCATAATTTTGCCAAGATTCTCTAACTTGCTTCAAGAACTCTTCTAATGCCATTTCTCCTTGAGCTACCAAAATGATATCCTTAACAATGACTTCATTCTTTAATAAATTAACATCCCAGACTTGTCCGAGAGTCAAATCAGATAGATTCCAGCTAACACGAAGTTGCTTGGTCAATTGTTTCCAATGGCGTTCCTTCAATGCATCCGATTTAAGCTCAACAATAAGCAAATTAACTTTAATGTAACTTTGCAATAATTTCTTGACATATTCAAATGATTCGTACATTCTTAAGCGAGCTGGCAATTCCTTCAATTGATTCATCATTGCTTCTAAGCTTTGACGCAATTTTCTTGGCTGTACTGATAACCAAGGCTTTTCACGTGTCTCATCAATTTGAGCCCAAATCTTTGCCAATTCACTCCAAACTCCTCTCAAATCTTGTAGCTCTTCGAGTACAACACTCATTCTTTCAGAGCTATTATTTGGAATAGCTGATTCTTGTAATTCAAGGGCTTCTTTTGCCTTTGCGACATTATCTCGTTCTTCTTTTAAACGTGAGAATTTAGATTCAAAAATATGCAATTGTTGTAATGCATCATCTGGTCTTGTACGTCCTGCTGTTGGCTTATTCTTCTCCCAATCATTTAAGAAATCAACTGTACGCGATTCCACTGCCTTATCTTCAGCAACAATCTTAGATTGAAGACTTGCAACTTGCGTCTGAATAGCTGAATCTTTGCGTTTCATAATTTCATTAAATGCTGACCATTCGCCTTCGATATTATCAACATGAAGCCAATTGGTTGGGAATTGGAATCTTTGACGTTCTAAAATACGTTGAGCCTCACGATAAACTTCAACTTGCTTATCCCAAACAAGCATTTCCTTCTTCAAAGACTGAACGTATGTAATAAATGTAACTGCATCAGATGTGCTGGCAGCTTCAATAGATTGTTGTTCCAAATCGGTACGAGATTTTGATACTTTTGAATGGAAAGTGCCCATTTCATTGCTCAATAATGATCCAAACTTACTTAATGCTTCCTTATGCCATGAATCATATTTTAATGTAACTTTAGCTTGAACTTTTGCATAATCAATAATGATTGGTCCATAAGCACGACGAGTATCGCTTGTATCAAATGTTGTTCTTGATTTCTTAATGTCATTCAAACATTTAATCCACAAATTAATATCTTCACCCAATCGTCCATACAACATATCGCTTTGTAGATCCCACAATGATTGATAACGAAGCCATTCATCAACATAAGCACGAACTTCAGTCATTTTGCTTTCAATTGCATCATAACCTGATTCTAATGGCTCAGATCCAGCTGGTAGTTTTGTCAACAAATTTCTATAAGTCTGAGAAACTGGTTTATCAAGCCCAACTTGATAACGTGAACTCTGCAAGCGAGTTTGAGATGTAACTATTGCTTGCCATGCGAAAAGTTGCTGCATAATTTGGAAGCGAGCTTCTTCAATCGATGGAAATAGATACATTTGTTGATTCGTAATTCTGATCTCATGAATTGCATTGTGAATTTGTGGATCTCCGCCAGATTTCTGTGAATATATGCATTACAGTATTAATTGATTTTTATCAGATTATAAGGAAGCTTACGATTGTTGGCTGTGCTGGTGCATCAGTATCCATAGATAAATCTACATCCTTCTTATGTCCAGCTAAAGCATCAGTCCATGCTTGAATTCCAGCCTGCAAGCGAGCAGCTAATTTCTTCTCAACTTCTTCGTCTAAGCGTTGAACCCAAATATGCAAATTTGAGTATTGTCTCAAGCTAAGTTCATCGACAGCATGTTGGATCTTTGATAAAATGTCTGCAAATGTAGCTGCAGAATAAGGACATGTTTCCAAAGATCTAACATCGACATCCAATTGTTCCTCAACAACCAATAAATCTTCAACTTTTTCTTGGAATGTTGTAACTGCTTCAGACAATCGTTGGACATATGTATCAAGTTTATAACTTTCCCAAACCAAAGCAATTCCTTCCGAGACGAGATTTAAGACGTCTTTGCGAAGTTGAGCTACTAATGGAACAATGCTAGCACGATCTTCGATCTAAATAAGGAAATAAAATAAATCAAGTCATGGATTATTCAGTAAAATATTGGAACTGAGCCTAATTAACTCCCATAAAATCAGCGTGGAAGTTCAAAATGTTAACACAATCTACAGGAATGAATTAATTAAATTATAATAGGTCCGTTAAGTCTAAGTTAGCTAACCTGAAATACTGAATTTTGTGCATTTGTCCTATTTAGAAGCTGCATGTAAAAAGTTACGAAAATGATGTCGAAAGAAATATTTTAGTAAGATAAAAAGTTAACTACATCGAGAACTACAAAATTTACTATAATTAAGTCAGGAAATAAACTCGTGATAGGATTTAATGAATTTGTGCGGTTAGTAACTATCTACAAACTTATTATCTATCAATATTTACCTTGTCTAATGTTCTTTCGTAAGTTCGGACACTTTCAATTAGTGAAATAGCAAACGGATAGATTTGATTTGCTTGATGTGCCTTGTTGACAATAGCCAATGGAACTCTGAAACCCAAGCTCTTTAGATTTCGCACTTCCTTATACAATGTGATGATTTCCGGCAAAAAGTTTACTTTCAGCTTTAAAGTATTTCCACTTCTCATTCGTGATCTAAGCATTTTTGAATAAATAACGTATTTTTAGAATTTGAATTTTAGAACCATACAAATTATTTTCATATGTTTGAAAACCCTACAAATTCAAATGTTTGAAAACCATACAAATGCATACCTTGCAGTCTCGATGAGGAATATGCGACCAGTTATTCCATAATTTCTTTCCTGAACTTTACGAGCCCAATCATGGAATAATTCATTAGTTGACAATTTAGCACGGAAGCTATCTCCATCAGCTTTCAATTTCTGTCCTTCAATATGCGATTCCCATCCTTTTCCTAAAACATCCTCAACACGTTTCAAGTACATCGTCAATTGATTGTCTATTTGACGAGCCCATATTATAGATCCAGCAACAGGTGGTAAATCACGAACTACAGATAAATGACAGCTTTTGCTTTGAGGATATTGGACCTTGAATTTTTCATGCAATGCCTCAATATCATCCTTTACACGCTGAATCAACTGTGTTTGATATTCACGAATAGCACCACGAATGTGTGGACGAACGAAAAGAGCATTAAATCTTGAAAAGATTCTGAACATTTCGTTTGCATTCTTTGCTGTTCCTAATTGATCACGTAAGTGAGCTGTTATGCGAGTTTCGACTCGATCAATTCTATCCTCATATCCTGTAATATATTAATTTTAATTAAATAAGGAAGAGAAATAAACCATGATGAACTTACGTTTGACAGCCGCATCGTAGGCTTCAGATCCTTCTTTAGAAATGTCTAAACAGTCGACTTCTTTGACATTTTCGTAAGCTAAATTAACTTCCTCAATTGGATTAGCATCAGATGGTTCCAAAGATGCTTGTTTGCTTTCAATTGGAATTTCTGCAATAGCTTGTTGACGTGCTGGACGCAAAACTCGAACAATGACAGTTCTAAGTTGTTCATGTTGACGACGAAACTTTCTCATATGTTCCATGCGTTGTTGTAATTTCTTATGAGCTGGATTTACACGCCAAACCATTTTCAGATGTTCATCACGCTTCTTTTTAACAATGTCTCTCAAAAGTCCTTGAAGCTTCTCATATTCATCGTCCCAGCAACAGAAAATTTCAAAGCATTGATTCATAACACGTTCAAATTCATCAAATGGAATATGCATCAAACGTCTAGTTCCCAAAACTTTTAATAATTGAGTACTCAGATCTCTAGAAATTGCCTCAATCAAACGCAATGCACGTTGAATTGGATATTTCGTATTACGAATCTTGCGGAGATGTCCAAAAATTAATTGAACAGTCGAACGAATGCGATCTAATTCAGTTGCTGATAAAAGATCATTGATGGGGAAATCTTTCATAAGTGGATTATAGTCAGCAACCATAGCTAAAGCTTGTTTCAAGCCAGTGTCAGTATCGAATGAAACAGTTGCATGAAAGCGTTTGCCGTGCTTTAGAATGTCCAAAGTTAATGCAACTTCTAAGGATTCACGTTTTTCTTGAATACGATATAATGCTCTTTCTAAATTAAGCCAAAATGATATTTCCTGCAAAGCAGTTCCTGATGATGGATCACGATCTAGTTTAGTAACTTTTTGAATCTCCTTAATCCAACGATTAACACCGTTTTGAAGTTGATTTAAGAATGAAGAATCATCAACTTTATCACCAAAATCACCAACTTTTGCCTTTCGTCCTTCATCAGCACATCTCTTGATTGTAGATTGAACAACTTGATGAATTGGTAAAGTTATTTCAGGAATATCAATATTTTGTTGTAGATGTAACAATCCCATTTCCAATTCAGCCAATTTCTTCTCAACAGAAGGTGCCATTTTATCTCCATCACGATCAGCTCTTCCTGACTCCTTAACATAGCTCTTAAAGTAAGGAGAAAGTGTCTTACTGATGAATGAATGAAGTGTCTCATACGGAGATCCTTCCGAGAAATTAATCAAGCGTAATTGAGAATGAATAGACTTTTCTGCTTCAATTACTGCTGCTCTCTTGAGGCACACAAGCGACTGATATCGAGGATTAGTAAAATGGACTTCATTACTGATGTAATATTGAGAAGATTCCTTTTCTTCCTCGCCTTCTTGCGACTGATCATCCTCTGAAAAGTTATAAACAATAGATAATTAAGCACATCCTGAATGTCTAGCCAGCAATTTCTTTAAAATGTTCATAATTTATTGATTTTCTTCAACGGTATTGCAATATCCGTAAACGGTATTTGGCACATGACTTCATTATTGATTTTTTTATTCATTCCAGACATGTATGTCTGATGACTCAGCAAGTGACGTCATTTGCACCGCAAAGTGAAAATTTTAATTTTAATCAATTTACCTTTATTAGATGACTTCTGGATGTACAAAGTCTGAACTTGTGGATCAGAAAGGAACTTTTTAATGCATTCCTGATTAGCTTTATTCTCGTCTAAAGCCTCTTCCAACTTTGAAGAATTAAATTCTTCGTCATCAAAAAACAGATTTACACATTTTCGCAAATAATTCGAGAATGCTTTATAATCCACGATTGAGATGTTTTGCTGTTGATTATCTATCGATTGATCGATAGTTTCTAATGAATCGCCCATCGTAAAACTGTCTACGATAGGCTATAATTAATTTTTTAAACTTTTGTTCTTCTCACTTTTTGCACAACTCTTTTCACATATAAATTCAAAATTTTCACAACCGTTAATTTTACAGAAATGACGAGTTTAAATAAGATCTTCTGCATGCAGCACATTAAGCCGGTAAAAAGACTCAACATGCCATACATTGAGAATACTAATGCAATTAAATTAAAAAAAATTGTAACAAAAAAGAAGAGCGGGGGGGGGGGGGGGGGGGTATATGAGATTTTGTGTATCGTGGAGCATCAATATAGAATCTTTGGTTTTAAAAAAATCTTAAGAACTCTTACCTTGCCCAAAAAGAATACAGTTCTTCAAGACAATATGGATCGAATGTAAAGACTAGAAGTCTCTATGATATCTTGTTCACACGTGAATACGGTGTGAATCTAAGAAATTAATTACTTGCCTTATCAGAGATTCATCTAAAATGCACCTCGAAACAGATTCAAATTCACATGAGAATAAATTAATTTAATATCATCAAACATATTCCGAAAAGTGATTAAAGTAAACCAACAGCACTGTCGAATATTTATTTCTCTGTACCATACATGGGTAATGGTATCAAAATATGTATTTACATTTAATAAGCAAATAGAGGCTTAAATTGATTTTACAGAGGACAAAAAAAATTTAATCTGCGTTTAAAACATATGCATGGTAACGATATCGAATATGCAATAAATATCACCGCAGGTACATTACAATCTGGATGAAATAATGCACACGAGAGAGGAAAAGGAAAGCTTGTTGAAGAATAATGTGTCACACGAATGAATTTAATGCATAGTGATGCAAATGAGACTGAAAATGTTAATAATTACGACTCATTGTTCACTTTTAAGGAGCTTAAAAGCCTATGCACTCATCAAAAACAATTGATTTGCCAAGTTCGCTAGTTTCTTTGCGATAATTGGACGGAATTTTTAAATTTAAATCAAATTTTCTGATAAATTTTTCTCACATAAAAAATTGTTTCGCAAATGATGCTTTAATTAAGCAATTCATCAGCGGGAAAACAAAATCACACGAACCTAAAACATGGCAAGGACCTTTCTCAACAAGACATATTAATTAAAAAGCTCTCATCCTTTTGTTATCGCGATGATAATTTGCATCCAGTCAGACATTCAAAGTAAGCCGTTTGTTCAAAGGAAAAAAAAGAAATGCGATGAATGGATGAATGAACACTGAATGGACGATGACAATGATAAAGCAAAAAGAAATTGCTGATAAATCTAATTAACTAGAATTAATCAGGCAAGGAAGAACGGATATGTGAATGACTAGGCATATAAATCGCTTCATTTGTTATTAATGTTCACGCGTCTGATTTAATGTAAGTACAGCAAAAAAAGGATGTTTTTATATCACAGATTTAATATGGATGAAATTTTATTGTGGTGGAATACAGCATAATATGTTTTTCGTTTATATTATGAATGTATGTAGCGTGTATGGGGTGGGGGAGTGTAATGTTAGTAAAATTCCATAAATCACGTTTCAGAAATTTATGATTTTCAAAAATTTTGTATTGCATTTTTGGTTTAGATTTAGAGCTAAGGTCAATTATGTGATACCGTTCATTATATTTATAGAAATTATAACAACTGCTGCAGATTTACATGAGCCTTAGTGCTTGGCACACATTACAATAGAAAAGTCATTAAAAGCATGTGCATATTTTTCATTGAGGAGAATAAAAACTTTTTCTTTTATTAAAAAAGCGCCATTCATTTTTCACAGAATAGAAAAATATAAAAAACTTTATCCGTCTCTCTATTTCCTTTCATAATGCTCTATGTAATTTTCAAAAACACACTTTGGAGACAAAAAATTCATATTGAATAACTTGTATGAAAATTTTTATGTGCACCACCTACATTTTGTTATGGAACATCCTTTCATGTGTAATTATAGCGCATAACATGAAAGTTTAATATTATTTGACTTTTAACGGTTTTTTTTAAATTCAAAATATAACGGCTTTATTGAATTTGAATGAATTGAAATGAAATGAACTAAAGTGAATTACTGAACAAATCTTCAAAAAGAGCATGCAAGCTATAAAATGACAAAGCAGAAATCTTCGTCTATCAAATCATGCACTTTAAAATTTATGATTCTACTTTATGATTCATGTTCTATCAAAGAATATATATTTCAATGAAAAAGCTTTGTGAAAGCTTTCAAAAGCATCTTAAAAGCTATTAAAAAATTCATATTCAAAAAATTCTTTATAAGTTTTCACAAGAATGAATTTCCACTTTAATAAAATTCATTCTTGTCATTGCTTAAAAGTATTTTTCCCAAAAAATAAAATAACCCAAAAAAGGAGAAAATTAAGCAAGACCGATTCACTGACCTTTTGTTTTCGCTTTCAGCCCATTTTTTTTATCGCATAAAGCAAAAATTGTTTTGTATGCAAAATTTATGGAGTCAGCATGCTCCCTATTTCATAATTTATTTCCATTTTTTTTTTGTGGAAAGCCTCCGGTCAGGAAGTAATCCACTTGAAAAAGCTTTAAATTTAATAAAATAAAGCACAGAATATATTCAATTTTACAAGTTGAAAATATTATCGGATTTATTCATAATGCTAAATATTATGCTTATACACATCACACATCATTAATCCTTTTTATTCTTCTCGCGCTTATATGTTGGTCGATCAAATGTTTGTTTCATGCCTGCAGCTTTCGATTGTATGAAATTAATATTATTTGAGGTTTCAGCCATCCATGGACTATCGAATTTTGTCGTATCTTGATCAACCAAATGCGTATATTTTGTACGTCCACAACGACCAAAATTTTTAACTTGCATAACTTTGGGCAATAAAGTTTTATCGAAATGATCCTCAAGTGTAGGCGATGAGAAATCTTGTGTAAGGACATTTTCTTCTCTATCGAGATAGAAAGCACCTCTGTGATAATATTTCTGTAGGAACTTGTATTTTCCTTTGGATGTCTTGTTTGTAACTTCTTTTGGATTAATTTGTAGCTCCTTTCGTCTTTCCTCTTCTGTCATGTTTCTAAGTCGGTCTATTTCTTCCCGTTCCTTCTCAGTTTGCTCTCTTTCATCACGTTCACGCTTAATGCGTTTTAATTCACGCAATTTCCATGCTTCATATTCCAACTCGTCATTTTCATCATCCGTCTTAACATCGTTAATGTGCGGATCCTTTTCAGCCTTTTGACTTTCCAAATCATTTTTGATGCTCTCTTCCACCATCTTTAATGTATATCTCCGACGTTCTTTTGCCTGCCTTTTTGCTTCTTGTTCCATCTGCTTTTGCTTTATTAAATCTTTTTCCTTTTCAATTATAGTTGTACGATCAGTTTTTCGAACAAATTGGGGCTTTATTCGTGGCTCATTTTCCGCTTCACTTTCTGATCCTTCTTCGTACTCTGATGTTTCACTGCTAGATGATTCTGACTTTTGTTCGGCCTCTTTTGTTAAGACTTCTTCTTCGCGTTTTTGTTGTAATACCTTTTGTCTAAGCATTTGACGACGTCTTTCAATTTCAGCATCACTTGCATCCGAATCAGACTCACTTTCTGATTGAATTGAGAATCGTCTAGTCCTACGAACCTCATTACTTGAATCATATTGAATTTCATTTCTTTCTTGTTCCTCATCATCAGATGACGATGAGCTTGAACTGTCCACACGTTGTGGTTTATGAACAAATCGTTTATGTCTTTCTAATCTTTCGTCTGGATCATCATAACGACTAGCTGCTTGTAATCTCCTTAATCTTGGATCATCGATTTCTGCTTCTGAATCATCGTCACTTCTGTATTGGACATAATAATATATTAGTAAGGATGTTAATAATTTTAATTAAGTGATTCATTCATACTTTACATCTTCCTGATGTTGATTTCCCAATTCCTTAACTTTATTAATTACAATAGACTTTTTATTGTCAATAAAGTCTTCCTCTTCAGAACTTTCTTCACTCGATACATTTTTTGCATACTGTGGCTTCTTTCCTGATATATATCGATGGACTTTTACCTTTTGCATAGATATTTCACCTAGAAATTATTGTTTTTGTTAAACGTTTGAGGATTATTGTGATTTTTATGTTATTTATCGACTTACCCTTCTCATTTTTTACTGGAATCGCACCTGCAGTGGACTGTGTTGACAGCATGATGCTTAAAAACTGATTTAAGCTGCTCGAAATAACTATAATTAATCAAATTCTGTAATTTTTATAAGTTTTCGAATTTTTTGAGGTGTAAACAATCTGAGGGGACGAAAACTTTAATTTCCGAGATGACTAATTTGAAATTTGAAAAATAATTCACTTTGTCAGGCTGTCAAGAATGAATTTTAAAGTGCACATCGAAAAGACTTCTAGTTTGTTTTATTAGCTCGTTTCTATTCATTTAATGAACCATGTGACAGTTAAAAAGCTAGAAACAGCGTTTCAATACTATAATAAATTGATTTTTGATTTAAATTAAGTGCAATCTGTTGAACATTTCCCATTATCTCTATAATTTCAAATGTTTAAAATCACCAGTTTAAACACAAATTGCTACAAACCGTTATAATAAAAATGCACTGAAGTCACTCGACGAGCACAAGGACTTTTTTAATATTTTACGTAGAAATTCAAAATAATTTGACGGTTTATTTTTACGTAAGGATTTTACGCAAGGATGTTCCTGAGAAGACTGATTTTAGTTTTAAAAATATGATACGTTATTTTTTGACATTAATAAGAGTGTATCTTATTTTTAATTTTTGATTACTGTTTGCTTCAACTTATTAGATCTAGAATATCAATTTTTAAATTAAATGATTATTTTTGAATCAAAAAATTTCCAACCACGTGCGTAACGGTTTCTTCACAAAATATTGACGACACGTGGGTTGATACATAGTCGATAAAGCAAACTAGTCGATTAAGCAGGCTTACGAGTTAATTTGTTTTTATCACAATATCCAAGTCATGAACCATGTCGTATGATTCGTAGTCTTATAAGAAAATGATTCATTCAGTTTTTTGTTGGATAAATCCACGAAGCCTCCTCAAATCGGAACCTCTATACATTCATTTATAATTAATCAAGACAATAAGAGTGTTTGTGTATTTAGTATATATTCCGATTTCGTCCTGAAAGGTCCTGTAAAAAAATCATAATCGCGTAACAGACAGGTTGTCTAAAAATGTGAATGCTTTTTTATGTGAATTAAAGTTATAAAAGTGCATCAGAATCATAGAAAATAAAGTAAATATTTTACTATAATTTTAAATTGAGTCTAGAATGAAGTTTCATTGACTTTTTTTATAATTTATTTTGCATGAAGAAATAAAACAAAAATTAATATTACTAATGTGGGAGTGAGTTGTGACTGAGAATAATGAATAAGAAAATTGGAAGCAATTCAATTTAAATTAGATTCAAAAATAAAGCTTTAATTATGGATCTCATATCAAGTGAAAGTTCAAGAAATCAAAAATCTTTACACAGAGTTTTTAAAATATTTATATTTATAGCCCTTGTAAGCACAAACAACAAAACATGATGTGTGTCTGTAAAATAATAATGAATTGTGCAAGAACCTTGGTGATTTGCATTGTAGCATGTGTGTAAGGTTCCAAAACTAGCTAGTGATGAGTTCAAGGAGGGATTAGTGCGACTAATTTATTGTGGTAAATGTGAACAGTGTAGAATCCAATTAGTAATGACAATTTACTAATCCCGAATGCTTTCATTCATTTATCAGAACATTAAAAAAATAGTAGAAGTAAAAAAAAATGTGAAAGAAAAGAAGTTCCGTAATATATTTTTTATGTTTGTGTTTATCTTGCTTTATGCTGCTGACTGTTGCCACAACAGAACATTTATTTACTTTAATTCCACAACGTATAGTATAATTAGATTAAAGTCTTTAAATGAGGAATTTTCAGCTTTATTTTTTTTTTACGAGATGAGTAAGACAAAAAATTTCCTTTCTTTTTCTCATATTTTGGATTTTTTTTTATCATTTATGATCTTCATTCATCTGTGGTGTAGCTTTATAGCTCGCTAAATTATAGAAAGATGAAATGAAAGATAAAAGACATGCAGGCCACAATGTGTGTGAGTCATCATTTAACTTAATTGTTTTTCTTCTCTGCATTTAATATCATCATCATCATCATCCTAAGTATTCATTCCACATTTATGTACACACATATGTGTATTGTTTTTGTGCGATGAGTGGAAAAAGTGTTATTTATTATCGTTGTCGCGACATTTTGCAAAAGAAAATACGAAATATTAAACGTATTAAATAATACAAGCGAGCATTTCTTTGCCAATGTCTTTACACTGAAAATGCAAAACAGGAAGAAAAAGAAGAAGAGAAAAAGGCAAGGAGAAATGCAGTCTGTGCATGTGATTTATGTGGGCGCATTTTAATGAACGGAGTTATGCAAGCACATGTTGATTAATTTATTGATTTTTAACGGGCTTGTAAAATTTAAACTTTGTGAACTGAAATGAAATGAAGTCAAAGAATTTACTGAATAGTTTTTCAATGAAATTCTTAATATCAATATTTAATGCTTTTGGCAGCTTAACAAGAGGTTTTGTTCCTATGTCTCACTTTCAATGTTTCTATTGTCACTTCATATAATCCATAAAAGCTGATAGAAGCTGTCTTAATCAAGAAAACATGAGAATATCAAAATGCAAATTTGATGTAAACAAATCGTTCAAAAATTCAAATAATTTCCGTTAAATATTTCACATTCAATAATAGCTCGTGTCATGAACCTATTAGAAACTCTCAAAATGACTACATAAGACAATTTACATTCGTAAGAATGCGATAGAAAGAAAGAAAGATGACAAAGAAATAAAAAAGTTTCTTCCTCTTAAGCCCGAAGCAAAAATTTCGTAAGCCTACAACTGTTTAATTAAATTATTTGAGAACGAATAAAGTAAAAAACTTTTTCCTTCCAAACATAGATAAAATGTGACTGTTATGGTCGAATGGAATACGCCACAGTGAAAATTTTTCCGCTTTTCAAAACATTTCCACAGCAAGAAGATTTTTCTCTCTCTCTCCATGAATAAGTTTCTATTGAAGCGTCCACTTTTAATCATTGTGAGGAAATTCTTGAAAATTAATTGAGTGGAAATCAGATAATTCCAAGAATAGCATCAAGAAGTTCATTCTCAATGGATATGCTCAAAAGAGCGAGAGATAAATGATTTATTTCTGTGCAGTTCAAAAATTTCGCATTTATTTAAATGACTTCGTTCTTATTAAAAGAAGATCTTTGTTGTTGCCATTTCTAATGCCTCATCATCATCATCATCTTTATTGCTTTCGAATGTTATGACTATTTTTTATGCAATAGCTGTTCATTTCTTCTTTCTATCGGATTTTTTATGCTCACATCTCTATCGTAGCTCATGCATTCATTCATACTATTTATTTATATTCATTCAATCGTGTATGAATCATAACATTAATTGCTCCTCACTTCGAGGAATGTCCGAATGGAATTCTGACTAGTTCTGTTCTTCTCTTCATTGGAAACGATTCTTAAACATTTTTTCTGTCTAAATTGCTTTGTTTTCGTAACAATTACTGTATGATTTATTAATATCGCGAAAAAGAAAGAAGTTCCATGTCTTCGTCACTTTGACTCGCATTCTCACATCACTTATTAAGTAATTAAGCGAGAACCCAAATGATTCAGTCGACATAAAAATTAAGAGTAATGTTCGTCTCAAAGTCACGTCACTTTTAATTCATAAATACTCAGACCAACCGTAACACAGACCAGACCCTTCAACATCATATAGGAATAAAGCCCTTAAAAAATTGGCAAGTTTATGTGAAAAGTTTTATTTCGACGCTAACATTTTATGGTATGAGTGACTTTTCATACATGTAGCCAATTTAATTTGGTTCCCATACGCTTGTTACTCATTCATTAATGTATCATTAGCATGAAAAAAATGTGACACAAATATATTAAGAAATCAACACGAAACGACGGACCAAATTGACGCTAATACATAATGATGGAAGTGAAAGAAGATGAAGTTTTAAGCATACAAGTGTGATAATTAAAAGATTCAACTCCATGTGTACCATATGTGAATGTTTTGATAGCATTACATTTCTTCATCGTATATACGATTTATTTAATTTATGAAAAGGTCATTATAGATTTCCAACACACATAGTGTCAGTCTTATAATTTACAGCTCTCAGACTGTGTGTATCTACTGTACACTAATAAAAAGAAAAAAAAATCGTCAAAAGGTCTTTTATGTAAAAGAAATTTTTGAACGAGACGCGATTTTTTGCTGTAGGCGTTCTTCTTTGATCAAACGACATTCTTTATGTATTTATATATATATATAAATTTTTGTGTAAAATGCTTCTATGGGATTATTGTTTAGAGTTTTTAGCGCATATTAAAAAACGACAACTTCAGTTTGTCTGGATGTTTAGATGTCATCATCATAACTCTAATATTAAACAGTCTTTATTACATTTCATTCATACATTAGATTGTCTTTGTTGTCAAACTACTTTTCTCATTAAGAAGCTGATTAATTATTGTACATTTGCATTAAAACTTGTTTCACTGGATGTTCCTTGTTTGGAATGTTAAAATCATTCAAGCAAGCTGGTTGTTCCAAAATATCCAGCAGACCGTTAAGTTTTAGATCATCTGCGTTCCAGACACCAACGCACAAATACTTGTTACTATATTTTTTACACATGATCATCTGAAAAGAAGCCAAAGGAAAGAGAACGAGAAAATATTTGAATGTTACGGCTTTGCATAATTCAAATGCGAGATTTTCTTCTAATGTTTCCCTTTTATTTCACTGAGATTTAGGCTGCATCGACAATGACTTTTGAGAACAACATCCGTATAAATTGTAAATCACATATTATGCAAATCAAGTTCAAGAAAAGTTTTATAAACAACAAAATAAAAATTCCTTTGCGTTTGTCGCACTTCCAGTGTATGTGACGATGCTTGTGATTATGCAGATTTAAAATAAGAGATGAAATTTTTCATTTTCATCCCCCCTTTATGCCTTAACCCAAAAAATACATTCATTATAAAATTGAATCAACCGAGAAGAATGTTATATGTATCTTAAAAAGGAATGCTTTTGATAATGCTTGAGGGGATTTGGAGATCCATTAAATTTACTTTGATATGAAGAGTATATGAGGTTTTTTGTCTCTGAAGTAAAGTGACTAAAAAGGGAAATATTGCGAAACTTTGTGTTATTGCATTTGGGAATCAAAAATATATAAATTAAACTTATTTGCCGAGATTTATGGCATTTGATCAAAATGATTCATAATTCTTTATCAGATGACTTCGTACTTCTTGTTACTAAGATGCGGTTTAATTGCGTTATTGCGCCATCATAAATCACATTAAATTACGCATAAATTGCACGTTAGCTTCGTTCTGATACATTTGCTGTGTTTTTCTATGCAGTTTTACTTGAATAGATCCAGACTTAATACTTACAGTTAAAAACTCCTGAATTTTGCAGAACTGAATTCCATACAATGCATTTTCATTGCACAAAAGCATTCCATTTAAATTTTAAGCATCATCAGAATGAAATTCATCAAACCAATTGAGCAATATTCAAGTACAATATCACCACTATATGTAGTATCAAGTGCACTCTGATAATGCAACTCCTTCAATGAATAACTTAACACATTCTCCATATCACTATCGACAAAAAAAAAAATATCACAAATTCGAAAATGTGGCAAAATTTTCTCACGAGCAGACCGAGACAGAGAAAGATTAAGTCTAATTGATGATTCACATACAGTCATACACAATAGTGTCGTTGACTCTCCTTCCCCCAAAATAAAGTGTTTTACCACACGCAATCAAATAACAAGGTATTTCGATTTTGAACCTTACTCTTGGGGCAATTTGAATCAAACATGGAAATTTAATTTTAATATTGTCGTCAGGGGTGATAGTAATGCATAATGAATGGAACTAAAGGACATATAACGAGAGAATGAAACTAAAAATATATCTAGTGACATGATTAATGATAAAAAAATTCCTCTACAAATAACATGATAATAAATTTACTATTGTTGTAATGTGTGCTTCCACACATAGCCAGCTACTGTAGCAATTTGATAGTAAATCTTAACAGGAGAAATGCTGCTCATTGACATCAAACAGCATTTTTTGTCTCTCTCTCTTAGAATTTATATCTTTTAATTTAATTCCAAATTTTTTTATCTTTCCATCTCTCTTGCTTTTACTACTCTATGCTACATGCTTTGTACATACATATATGGTTGGATTGTAGAAGCGACTAATTGAAAACTTACTAAATGAATGGAAGATTTCTATGCTGAAATGAATTTAAATATACAAAAACAGAAGAAGAATTAATTCAAGCATCTAACAGTCTGAATGAGAATGGAATATAAATTTGTTTACGAATCGTGAGCCCACAGAGAGTTCGCTGTGTTTGATGCATACAATTAAAATTTCAATCACATACTAACCAAAATAAACAGTAGAATGATTACAAATGACAATCACAAATTAGTTGATAATCAATCAAGTTTAAATAATAATTGCACATCCAGTACTAACACAGTAGTTGCTAATTATTGTGAGAATATGAGTTTAAAAATTAGTGAATTCATTGCTTCATCCAGGCATGGTTATGTTAAAGAGCCACCTCCTGCTTCCATTACATCTGCTGCTGCTGTATTAAGCTATAGTGAAGATAGAATCAATAACAATTTTGCTGTGTCCAAAACATCACACGGTGTGGATAGTATGTCGCACAAAAATTTCACATTGTCCTTTGATCAACACCTAAATTCAAATACATCAACTGTAGCATCATCATCATCATCGACATCTCAAATGTTATTGAGCGACAGTGAGACTCTTTTGAGTCCCGCTGAAGCGCCATTTGGTAGACGCTATGCTGAAATATCACAATTTAAAAATCATCCCAATGTAGAATGGTAATTAAGCTTTATGGTTTTTTATGCTCTATTCATATTCTATTCATGCATCCACCTTTTATGCATTTTATTATATAGGAGTATGGCAATCGCGTGTGTTTACCCACAAATGTATTTTGCAATTTTTTTCATATCCATTCATCCTCTTCTTTTTGCACAAACTTTATTTCTCTTTTATTTTTATATTCACACTGTATTTTGAATAGATCTATATATGTTCATATGATTACTTTTTCCTTTTTCAAAGAATTTAAATTGCTTTTACAAAATTGGAAGCTCAATGAACGTTCAATGTGTAAATGACTCTCGAGTTACGTCTTTATTTTTACATACTGGCGCTGTTCGTTTGAATTTTGAATAATATTAATTTGGATATATTCGCTTTAAATATGCTGAATCGAGTTAAGTGGAATTTTAAGTTTTTCGTGACTTTATTTATGATTTTTTTGGGTACGATGAACCTAAGGCTGTAATACTTTTGACACTCTTTAAGATTTCTCTTAAAGATTAGGTTCTGAATTTGTTTTCAAAAATTGAAGATCGTGACCTTTCGAGGTTCATGGAAGTGGATATTTAGATGCGCTTGAGGGTATGACGGGACACTGAATCCTTATTGACTCTTGCTGACCACTGGAAGCATATAAAAGAAAACAAACAAATTGATTGAGAAAAAGTACGCGAGTTTTCTATTAAAATCTAAAAATAGACTGCACAAAGTCATATGGATATACCTACATGCAATCTATAGTTAAAATATTTTCATACTTTTGAGTGGTGTGAATATGCATGCAAATAATTTATTTTGATTATTGCGTGCTGGCTTTTGTGTATATGAAACATGAAACATGCTTTTTTACATTTCAAAACTGGAACTGTTATCTTTTCTCCGGTGCTTTTTTATACGCATAGTAAGATCAGAAGGGGATTGTAATGGAAATTGAAATTTAATGCCATTTTTTGTGATCTCTTGAACTGTCTCTTTTTTCAAACTGTACCCTATTTTCCTCTCACAAATGCGGATGAAAATCACCATCATCATCATCTCGTGTGGATTATGTTTCAAGTAGATTAATTACATAGGAAATAGATGCTATTATTCATAACAGCAACACTTAACTCGCATCATTTGCATTATAATCCCTTTTATCCCCCCCAAACAAGCAATGGACAGTATTTTTTTTTGGGATCATGGTCATTAAACGGGGATGCTGTTCGCTTTTGTTGTACAGAATCTTTTTATATGCATACCTTCTTTACATCCCCACTTGTTTTTATGATATATGTGCGTTGTTAAAAAATTTGTATACAATTTTTACGGACGACGATTCCATAACTCTTGAATATTTTGTTGTTGTTGCTGTCATGGTACACATTCCTTTATAAAGAATATAAAAAATTTATCTGCATCTTTTTACTCTTTCTCTTCGTCATTTTTCATTCATGTGTGTAGGTCGATTGAAGACAACAATAATAGCCAAGAGCCACAAGATCAACATACACCTGAAAGTTTTTATGATGAGGCTGACAACGATAACATTAAAGCAGACGAGTTAGCAATGGACATAAATAAAGAAAAATCAGATGATGAGGAACTGCTTTTATCGAAAGAATTTTTAGAATCGGCAGCAGAAGAAGAAAGCAGTTCAGATGGAGGTGTTTTAGCTGAAGGCGAAACATCTAGTAGTGAATCGGAGAGATCCAGTTCTCCAAGTCCACAATGTGATATAAGTTTAATGGAAAGATTATTACGAACTCATCCCGTTTGGTTTCTGCCTTCTTTACAACGTGGAGGAAGTGTCCATTTATTGCAAGGAAAAGAGATTGGCACGTTCATTGTACGTGGCTCAAGTCAGAAAAATACAATGGCAATATCAGTGAGATTACCAAAGGATGCTGGTCCATATATAGAACATTATCTAATTCAATCCAATAATGGTTTATTAAATCTTGAATCATCGCGTTTTAAATTTGATTCAATTCCTGCACTCGTTGCTCACTACTCGAATTGTTGTGATGAATTACCCGTACAGCTATCACTTCCGAGAGGTTTGCGTGAAGCAAAGAATCGGCAACGTCTCATGTCTTTAGCATTATTAGGACCAGAATTTTGGAGATGTCCAGTAGCATCACCCGTTCAAGAAGATGAGACTTCCTTAAATAGTCAGATTAAGTCACCGACTGATACAAGTGGCATATGTACAATGGCAGAATTCAGCTCAATGAAGCAACAAAAGAACAGTATTTTCACAAAAAATAAACTTAATTTCAAACATAACAATAACAATAATCAGCAAATGGTTGATACACCATCCGATACAGCTAGTCTCGGTAGTTTTCCAGCTAGTGGCGGTGCATCAACAATATTGAGTCCTCAATCAGCTGATAATGTCTTTATTGCAAGTCCGAGTTCAGATTTTTGCAATTTAAAAAGCAATAGCAATTCGATCAACAATCTAAACAGTCCCTCGGGCATTATTGGAAAAACGAGCACGTTTAAAGCTCAAACATTCTCAATGACTTCTTCCACTTCACAGCAACAACTGCCACAACAACAAAAGTTACTTCAAAACCGTACAGTCGATACAAATGCAGATTTTCAACACCATGTTCTACCGAATGATGCTATAAACAAAAGGGACGACAATCACATTGAAGAATTTGTTCAACGTACTCGACCCACACCTCCAAATACATTAAATTTAGCGATTGCTGGCAGGTAAATATGAGAAAAATGCAATATCAAACATTTTTTTAACAGCGACCATAACGATGAGCATGAAAATATTTGTTCAACAAATTATTAGGGGAAATGGAACCCTTTTGTCGCATTTTGTCCACATTAAAGCTGTTACAAATGCTGTTAACGGAAAGTTTTGTCTGAGTCATTATTTTCAAGGCCAATGACGACTTTTATTAAATTTAGAAGCACTTTACAGCCATAAAGTTTCATATTTTATCATCAGCAAATGCTGTCAGTACATGAAAATGCTGAAATGTCGATCTATCGGGTCTTGTTATTTCGACGAAATGCGATAAAAACATTTTATGCTGTCATTTGATCTTATCACATTTATTTCCTTCACATTTTTGCATTTTTTTATAAAATTGGATATTTACTTTTTTTGTTCATATAGAGCACCAGTACCACCAAAGAGATGGCTTAAACCATGTACTCCAACAAGTCCATTTATTGAGCAAAATACATTACAGACGAATAATAATTTTACAGTAACTACTACCTTTACGTTTAATGTAGCAAAGCAAAAAAGTCAACATAAACAGCCACAGCAACATCACACGTCTGAAATTGAAATTCCACCGCGAAATGTAAGCAATGCTTTTTTTATGAGTATACTCATTTTACATAACTATTATGTACTGTGCTGATTACATTTTAAAATAGATAATTTATCTTGATCCGAAACAGGTTCCAATTATATCAGAGCGTCTGTCACCGGAAGGTGGTGAAAGTAAGACAAACAGTGATTCAAGTTTACAAAAATGGGAAACGAATAAGTCATCATCGATAAATCCATTTAAAACCAATGAAAGTATCCGCAGTAAGAGACAAAGTAGCAGGCGGAAGGAGTCAAAACATTATCAAGAGTCAGATATTTTGGAATCGCCTTCTGTATACATGGAATATTGTCGTAGCAATTTAGGTGATAAAATTAGTGATTATGAGGATTTATGGACACAAGAGAACAATTCACGCTCGAGTCTACATATTGCAGTCGACCAAAATAACCAAAACAATATTGTCAACAATAATACATCAAAAGAATGTGAAATATCAACGCCAATGGTGATATCTCCACCCCAACAATTTACACCGACTTCATCTATAACACCAGCATTAATTGGAAGTGAAATTGCCATAACAACAAATAGCTCAACTCCACTACAGCCAAAAATCCCAACACTTTTTGATAGCAATAAAAAGAGTCCATTTTATTCAGATCCAGTTGATGCTGTGGCACCCGTATTTCCTCAAATTGTAAGACGAGAACCGAAATTAAATCCACTACCAAGTTTTCATAGATATTCGGAACCACCAAAGGGACAATTTGAAGATTTAAATTTCCATATATCATCATCCCCTATGACACATGAGAAGGGTATTCAACAACAATCGTTTATTGCCGCATCATTAGACCATTTGAAATCAATAAATAAGTCCGTAAATAATCAGAATCATCGTCATCGTTTAGAGCCAACATGGACAGTCGATAGCAGTTGGGAGTTTGTTGACAAAAATGATGAGTCATCGGAAAATGGCTCGACAAGAAATTTGAGACAAATAACGCCTCAAAATACTTTACATTATCAAAATACCAATAACAAGCATCTACAGCATCAAAAATTCAACACAATTGAACGTAATGCTCAATGTTCAATAACCGTTGATTCATACTTAATGAACAGTAAAAAATCTAATATCTATAAATTGGTTGCGAAAAAATACCCTGATATTAATCTGAAGGGTGGCATGACAACGACTCAATCAAATATTCCATCGACTTGGCAAACGTTTGAAAGCGATGGAAGCAACAAGTTTCAGAGATTATCTTCTTATGATAATGTAATCGAGCAGCAGTCAATTTATGGCGGGTCAGAAGATGGAACTTTATTCTCTGAACCATGGGACAGTTCACAATGGGATTCATTCTTTCCAACGACAGAGGGTAAGAAGAATCTTTTTTTCGTATCTTATCTTATTTGTAGCTTTATGTCTATTTCCCTCATTCGCACATAATTAGATTCAAGCACAATTCATTTGTCAAAATGTCGACCAGCAATTTCTGAGGACGAAACAATTATCGAAGATTCTAGTGCCATTTCAAAGAGCAATGCCAATACAATACAGCGAAATCCACTTCTTCAATCACAGAAAATCGCGACTGTCTTAAGACATCGAAGTGGATGCTTTAAAGACCGAGAAATTTTAAGTGAGTATTTTTTTTAACTTTATTTATAGAATTTAAATTGTATATAACCATGTGCATAAAACTCATACTCGGATGTCTGAATCAGCCTTAAGAGATTAAATGACTATAAATTCAAGTTTATTGTCTCATATAAATGCAGTTACAGGATAAATTTGAATTGAATTATTTTAATAATATCTATCTTGCTATATTCTGGCGTAATACTGGAAGCTAAGAGATACAGATTATATTGAAAAGCTTGCAATAATTTAATATTAGTGTCTGCTATGCTCAGATGCTGAATAACTTTGTTTGAGATATTGTGGTAACTTTAAAGTTTATTTAGGTAACTTTTGAAGTTTTTTAAGAGTCAATCTAGTTGAAATTGGATTTTGGATACTCTTAGTCAATTGAAAACGAATACAACTTCAAAAATTTATTGCCATTTACAAGATAAAAAGATAAAGTTAAGTTACTTCCATCGAATTCACAACAAAACATTTCCGCTTAATATCTTATCATAGCTTCAGTTCCTTTTTAAGATGTTTTTACCTTATCAATTTTTGGCCAAAGAAATTCACATTAGAACTACAAAACAAATAAAATTTATCGATATTGAAAACATAAACAACTTTGTAGATCCTTGTCTATAACTACGATAATAATTCTTCCTCATAATACCCTTAAAATTGGATATTATAATTGACTTAAGACTTGTTTTTTTTATTGTGTACCATAATTAATTTAAGCTTACGATCCGTCCCGTTCTCGAAAGTTTTAGACATAAGCAGCACAATTAGAATTTATCAGAGGGCGAAGTCGAGCTTAGTCGCTTATCGACTTAGCCGGTTTTAGTCGACTAAAGAATTAACGGTTTTTTCCTTAGTCGACTATAGTCGACTAAAACCGGCTAAAGTCGACTAAAGCCGCGACTAAGATCGACTAAAGAAGGATTTTTTGGCTTGTGAAGTATAAAAATTTCATACAAAAATTCTCTTATTTTTGTCATTCAGGTTCGAATCTCAAAATATTTTTTGACTTTTTTAAACATTCAATTCGTATTATTAAAATTGTTAAAATCAAATATTATTAAATTAAAAAGATTAAAGCTGTAAAAGTATATTTTAAGAACTCATTCAAAATATTAGTTTTATTCATTTATGGAGTATTATAAGAAAAATAAAAAATAAATGTCATAAAAAGTGTCCTACGAATGAAATAACATTCTATATTAAGGACTTAAGATCTAGCCAGGAAAACAAAAACATATTATTAAGTCATTATTAGTAGATTAATCTTATTATCTAAGTATGAATTAATCATTCTTGTTCAAGGATTCTAATAGGCACTCTATATTATCGTGCAGAAATAATATTCTATGAGCTCGTTCAGGATTTAAGGATGCTCTTTTTTGAGTCATTAATGAGTTTTATATTGAGAAATTACGTTCCGCCTGAGTACTCATAGGTTGAATAGCAAATAAAACTCTTGCTAAACGATACAGCATAGGCAAATCATCCTTGTTAAACTATGAATACGTTTTAGAACGTTTGAATGATCATAAGCCGTTAAAAATTTGATTAGATTTCTCGTAAATATTCGAAAAAAATGTTTGGTTAAATTATGATGCAATATAATGCTTTAATGTAACTTAAGTCATTTTGAATCGTCAATTGTATTTTTAAAAGCAGTTAAAACCTCTACAGTTCTGCATTAAGAGTGTTTTGGGTGTATAATGTGATGTTTTAAAATTTTGCAATTTCGATTTGTTTGCCAACGACAAAAGTTTTTGGTTAAACGCAAAAACGGTTAAACACAAAAAAAATGTTTCAATGTCATGCTTAGATAAATTTCGAAAAAATTAAGCGTCTTTAGCAGTAATTTAATTAAGATTTTTTAGGTATCTACGATGTAAAGCACAATATTTTTAACATGCTGAGAAATTTAATAATTGAATGTTTAAAAAAGTCAAAAAATATTTTGAGATTCGTACCTGAATGACAAAAATAAGAGAACTTTTGTATGAAATTTTTATACTTCACAAGCCAAAAAATCCTTCTTTAGTCGATCTTAGTCGCGGCTTTAGTCGACTTTAGCCGGTTTTAGTCGACTATAGCCGACTAAGGAAAAAACCGTTAATTCTTTAGTCGACTAAAGCCGACTAAGTTTTAGTCGGTTTTAGTCGACTATAGTCGACTAAACTTCACTCGGCTTCGCCCTCTGGAATTTATTACCTAAATTGTTGTTGTTGATGTTAGTTTAAAATTAAGGTACCAATATTATCTTTCAATATTAGGTAGCAATTACATCATCATTTTAGGCATTTAAACTAATATTTGCATGTCTGTCTCAATAGACTGTCATTGTGATTCTCAAAAGGATTTTTAAGATGCGTCATAAAATGTTTCAGGCACCTTATCATTCTCTCATTCTCTCACCAATACCGATGCATCGATAATATTATTTAGATTAAATAGACAAAAAGTTTCTTAAAGAACAATGAGATGAGAGTTTTTGGGGAGGGGATTTAGGTATGAACAATGAGATTCATGACAAAAAATTATAATGAGATACTTTAGTTCAAAAAAGAAATTCAGTATCTTTTTGGAGATTATTGAATGCAGTCTAGTGCATTTACCTCTCAAGTGAAAATATTAAGCTACGAAAGTTCAAGTTTAGATGATTGAAGATTTCATCATCTGATGTTTTATTAACTTGGAATATTTGTGTCAATGAGAAACTTTCGATTTAAAAGATTCGTAGAATCCGGTCGAAACCGTAAATCAAATTACCGAGATGTGGTTCAAAAAGTTATTACAAAGCAAAGATACCGACGAGAAGGCAAAATCAGGAAAGAAGAAACTATTCAAATGGTTTGGATCAAAAGCAACAGTTGAAGACACCGAGGATGCACAGCTGAAAAATGAAATTGATGTTGTGCCAAGAACTGAAATCACGGCATCGCGCCAAACTCTAAACAACATTACGCTTGCTTTAAACAATTCTTACGGCGAATCATCAGGAGAAAGCACTAGGAAGAGTCATGACTGTAAGGCTAACTGTGGCAATAAATTTTGCTGTGATGTTGAAAGTCATTCACACGACGATTCTGCTGATAATGCAAATGAATCAATTACTGAATCGAATATAAACAAACGAGTTCAAATTAAAGGGAATAAGCTTGAAATTCCTAGTTGGGTGTCAATAAGTGATGATACAGTAGAGATGGAACCAGTTGTTGAAGATACGAGAACTGTGGATGTAAATTTTTACTATCCTCCTTTGTTTTTTTCTCCACCTCCGATTGTTACTGACTATAAACATTCAGATCTAAATTATAAATATGTTGACCTCAAATCCAGATATTACCAAGTTCGATCAAGTGTCGAAAGCAAGTGTATCATTCCAAAAAACAGCATAGAAAATTGTATGAAAATCAACGAAGAGCTTCGCGCGAAAAAGAATAGATTCCCCGAGAGCGATGCACATTGGAAGCTACAAGACTATAATGATGACCGCAAGCATACAAAAATGTGTCAAAACACTGCAATAATAGCTGAATTCTTTAAGCTACACAATGATAGAGGTGTGCCTAATAGTGTACCTTATTTGGACATTGAAATTGATGAACCTGATGAGGATCAAACTTTTGTGTATGAAGATAAATTCATTAAACAATTGAAATGGCGCTTCCTTAAAGCAGCTGAAATAAAGGAGAAGAAAGGATTTGGATTTGAATGTACAATATTTTTAAAGGAATTGCTCAAAAAAGTTATCAGAAAGATAAGTAAGTAGAACTTCATGTTTATCTATGTCCAGAAATTTCTCTGCGGAGTTGGATTCTCTTTTTTATCTATCTACTTCTTCTTTATGATAATTGTTTCTGCTAAAAAGCATAATCTTTGAGAATTTATCCTAATTTACATAATACGCAGTCATAAAAACTAATAAGGAGATTCTCAACGATTTTTTGTGCCCTTTTCAGTAATTTTTTTGTTTAAAAAGTTTTTTTTTGTGCTTAAATATTTCTCTCTTGGGGATCAAAGCTTATTGCATCAGCAAACATAGAACAAAACAAGAAAAAGTCGTAAATGCTTCTTCAGCATTTTCTTCTCTTCTTTCCTTTTTTTTCGGTTATTAATTTGGTAAAGTGGTAAAGTGCACATGAAAAAGGAAGGACGTCTGCCATGGCCATAAATATTTCTTCTGTCTATGGCTAAATTATTGCTACCTTTTTACTTTATTTCATTAAAAAGTAAATGTTTATATGTTTGAATCTCCTACCTGCACACGTACTATGCTATAAAGCTATTACACTGTTTTCTTTCTCTTATGGGAATCTAATGAAATGTTTAGGGGGGAATGAGATGGATTTGAGTTTGGAATAAAAGGAGGGAAAATAATTGAGTCATACACCTTTGCTTATTAAATGGAAGCAATCTAAATGCCTCACTGTGGGATGTTCTGAAGGATTACATTCTTTAAAGTTCTTCTGTTTATATCCTTATTTGTACTAGAAACTAGATCCAACAAGACATTCTGAGATTTTGTAGAACTGATAAAAAAATGTCTAGTTCCTTTTTCTACGTCATAAAGACTTAATGACTCATAATCTATTCTTGTACTTTGCATCTCTAAATTACTTTGTCTACATTAAATATCGATGATAAGCATTTAAAACCAGAAAAAATCCGGATGTAACAATCACTTGTCGCCGAGACATAGATCTATTTATAGTAAAAACAATTGAGGGGTATTATAAATGACGAATATCTCTTGTTGACTTTTTTATGAGACGAAACGCAACAAGAACTTTTCCATACAATGTCAATGTTTTGCAGTTTATTCTTCATATCTCGTTCACAGTCTCCTTAAGTTTATGTTTTTCAATTGAGATGGGATCAGGAAAAAAAGGGAAACAAAAACATCAAAATCTAGAACGAGAGAATGCTTGTCGAGGAACAGAAAAAGTACTTCACCAACCAGTGTTTTTACGAGCACTTAAACTTTATGCTTTTTGCAATAAAAATATTAAAAAGCATGAAGCAGGATAGGGAGTAAATTTATGCCTCAAACATCATAAATTCAATAGCTTTTCTCAAAGGGGAAGCTAAATAAATATAAAAAAAAAAGAAGGAAGGCAGAATATCGCGAAATTTGAATTATGAGTGCAGTAAATATTTTCCATAAGACACGTACTATATGGATGTCCTATAAATTTAACAACTTATGAAGAGCTTATTCACGATAAATGTCTCTTATAACACCTTAAAATAGCAGTTGTTATCTATGCTTTTATGTGCTGTATTATTTATAGACAGCTAATAATGATAAAAATCAATTACAGAGTAATTCAAATGCAATTAACGCTACTCGAGACTGTTGTATACTTTATAATATTAAAATGCAAGGGAGATAAGGAGAAATTATTGACTTCCATGCTCGACTTTGTGTAATTATTGCCTCTCTTAATATTTAAATATTATTTATACATGCTCGGAAGGCTTGTTAATTTTTGTAACCCCTGCCTGCCTCCAGGGACTAGTTACTTGCAATTAACTACCGAGACAAACCTTTAAGGCTAGATTCTACATGCAATCAAAGGAGTAAAGTGACCAATATACCCTAGACAACCTATATTTGAGAATGCATCGCTTAACCCACTTGCAATGTAAGTCTTATACTTGTCAATACAGGAACTAAAGACATTAAAACTTACCTAATCAAACAAAAGTCATAAGTCATCACATTTTGTACAAATTTATTGAAAAAATTTTTAAAACCGAAGTCATTACTAAATTTATTGGGATCGATTTGTGGATGAGATCATAAAATTGAAGCCATAAACAAATAAACCTCACACCTTAGGACGTGGAAGTTTGTATGGAAAGTAATGAAAATTATGAGTGGTTTGCTAAAAGCTTTTATATCACCATGGAAGTGAATTTCTCTCTCCTTCTTCTACCTTTCATCATCATTCTTTAAGTTTGTGGATAAATAATAAGAGCATAAGCAATTTCCATGAAGAAAATTATTATAAAGTGTAAATCCAAATGTGATATTATAGTAATGCTGCTGCTGCCTGCAAGAAGTGGGAGTGGAAACGACATCATATAGTTACCGAAAGCGATGAGTTTGTGATGTCATAAAATTAAGAATTTTGAGCAGGTGTTTAAAGAAAACAATGTGCATAAAACACTTTTTGCATAACTGAATATTACTTACTGAACATTTGTGCTTTCACAGAGCATTATACACATTTTGAAAATGATTTATTCTCATCTCCATGTGTCTGACACTTACACGAAGTAGTAGAATGGCAATAGCAGCAGCAGTGGTTGTAGCTCTTTACCAACATGCAGATGCGATGTAACGAAAAAATAAGCAGTCGTGTTATGAATAGAAGGAAGGAAAAGGTTGAGAATTTTTTCCACATTTTTATCCCCCCTCAGCGTAAAGAGATTCACGTTTTTTTTATATTCTCCACATTATATGCCTACACAACGAAAAGCATTACTTTCAGGCAATGTCTATTGATTTAAGAGCATAGTGTGTGCTACACGGTACAATGTATTTTTAGCGGAGGGAAGGAAGATGAAAATAATATGTAATAATGGGCAATGATGAAGTCATTTGGAGTGAGTCGTTAAGGGAAAAAGAGCATTTTCAATATAAAATAATAAAAGCATGAAAGAAAACGGCACCATACATGCTTATGGAGGCACAAATAGGGATTAAATCAGAATTAAGACGACCATAATTTTATGGCACTTATATTTTCTCAATAAACAATCTCACCGCAAGATGCTGAGTTTATGTGAATAAAAACATAAAGAGTCATAGCGATGAAAACTTTTAATGTAAAATATAAATCAAACTTAATGAAAGAAGAAGGAAGGAAAATTGTTCTACTGAAAATTCTAAGGAAAAAGTTTTTATTGAAAAGATGGTCGTTAAATAACGGAAACAATTCAAATTAAAATTGTTCAGCGCTATTCAGCAAAATATTTTTTAAAATAATTTTGTAACAGAATTCTGAGAATTTCTAAGTTTTCTGAGAATGTGCTGAGAAACAGCATTCATACTTGCCCAACATTCATTAATAAGTTACAAGAAACAAAATTCAACAAAGATATAAATGTTCTTACTGAATGAGAAGACATAAAACTTTCCCATTCTTTTATCATTATTTGTAATGTTGCTTATCACAAAATTCGATTATTGTTTCACAAATTTTTCTCATCTTCAGAATTGTATATTTGTTTCCGTCCGTTCTACATCCCCCAAACTCATTTTTCTTTTCCGAGAATCATTTCTTCTTATCGAGTATCAGTGATGAAAAGGCGAAATGACTTTTTCATCCCTATAAATATTATATTTCTACGTATTAGAACTACATCGTCTATATCAATGGTCAGGAATCTAATACGAGTTGTGTCATTGATGGCAAATAAAAGTTCAAAACTTAGTATGCAGTAGGGTTATTCAAAAATGACATCAAACCAGAATTGGGTGGCAAAATTACTTTTAGATAAGATACTGAAGTGCGTCCTACTCAATGATGGACATAACTTTTGAATGCCTCTATGGATGATGAAAGGAATGTTTACTTTGTACACAGAGAAACAGAGAGAGAGAGAGTGGAAAGATTCTGATATCATGATCATAGCTTGTCTACACATATTTGTGTAAATACAACATAAATTTCTTCCGGTTGTACAAAAAGTACGGAATAGGGAATAAAATTCTACGCATAACTAAGACTTTAATTCCACTTACATACTAAGAGAAATGTTTGCATTAAGACTGAAGCAATATTTACTAAATAAACAAGTCGTAAAGGAACAAGAAATTATTTCTGTTTGAGCTTTGGCGAACATGATGATGATAGTAATTACTTTTCTGTGTCATATAGTCATATAGTCAGTCAGGTCTGAAAATTGATATTCATTGAAAAAAATTACGTCGCATTTTTCTCACATGAATAATCTTCAGGCGGGAAGCCTCGACTCTAATCTCTTATCTGAGGTCATATTTACTATTTAAGTGATTGAATTATTGATTTTTTTGCAATTGTCAACAGAATTAACGTCTACATGATTATTAATTCATCACTTTCTTATTTCATTTATAGAGCATCCAAGAAACAAAACTGAACAAAATGATCCAGCTCAAGCAATCGAAGCATATACATTGGCACTCGCACAGGATGAGACATCGATATTTGGACAAAACATTCACAACTTTATTTCATGTACACGCGAATCAAAAGAGAAAATTCCACAAAAAGTTATGCGAAATATGCGACAATTCATGAATGGAATGAAGAACTTCCTTGCTAAGCATGGTGAAAAGAGATTTGATGAAGAGGTTGATAATGCACGACTAGCATTAAATAGAGATGAGTTTTTGAATCTCGATCAGATACTGGAAGGTGTAATGCATCAGCTAGTCGTTGCACCATTACGAGATTATTTAAATGAATTATTTGTGGATTATTATGGAGCTAGTGGTGATATTCAATTGATAATCGACAATATGCTGCATGCTCAAAACAAAGATCCATTTATATTTGGCGTTAGAGTAAGTACTTTAAGCTGTTATAAAGAGATTATGTCTTTTTGTTTATGAATTTCGCATTCTAAAGATGAAAAATTATTAGTAGACGGGACGGGGTATGCGAGAAACTGATGACACAATAGACTACAAAAAATCAGCACATGCTATTGACAGCTATTACATTAATCCTCCCCATTTTTCCTTTTCCATGTTCTGACTATTGTGCGTATTTGTAAATTGAAATATAGTTGAACATGCTTACAAAATAAATCTCGGATCTACTGTCGATGCAATATTATTAAGGGTGGTAGCTATAAGTATGAGATGCATGGGGAGCTATACAATTGAAAATTAAATACATTCACAACATAGAAAGAGGGAAAGGAAGTAAAGCGACAGTAAATCATTTTTTCCCTTTGAATATTTCCATATTTTTGACTATAGCAAATTTTTTTCCACTTGATTGTCTCATAACGGTAGTAGATAAATCGAGTTTAATTTAAAACAATTCTGCATGTCTTCCTGGTAGTCATTTCTCTCACCAATCTAGAGTCATTTTGTATATCACGTTCCGGAAGCATTGGAGCTAGCTTCCTTTCGTTTCGTTTAACAAATATTATATTCTGGAACGTAGGGTGTCCAACACAAAACATCTAAACGAATAAGGAAGCAGCAAAAAAAAAGAATGATTTTCATTAAATGCTATTATGTGCTTTATGTCGACCGAACGTGTCGCACAACAAACATTTTTTTCTTCACTTTTTATGTCTCATACTGGGAACAAAAAAAAATCCTTCTTTGGTTTTCGTCGTTCTCGTCATACACGTCTATCAGTAAAATATGTGTCCTGCTTGTCATTTAGCAAATGAGTAATTATTTATAAACGTTCTTACTTCCTCAATATTTAGAAAAGCATCAAGCCTCCACCACAGCATGTAATAAATCGCATAGCAATGATGTTTGCTAAACTACACGAAGCTGAATTGCCATCTGAAAAATTGGATTTACTGCTCAACACAATTACCGTCATCCTTGAAAATACAATTGATACAGAAACTGATCTTAAGGACGGAACACATCTCCTATGTGATGATTTTTTGCCACTATTTGTCTACGTCATGTGCAAATGTGGCTTTCACTTTGCAGAAGTTGAGGCTGAATATATGTGGGGATTAATGCATCCAACACAAATGTCAGGACAGCCTGGATATTATGTGACTTCATTATGTAGTGCTGCACTCATCGTTAAAGACATGAAATCAAAGATAGATCAAGAGAATGCAGATGGTGGAGTTGTTTCTGTAAGAGAAAATGATAATAGCCTTGACTCTGGTTATCAGCTATAATACTCTTTGTTTCTATCCTTCATTCTATTCTTTTGCTTCTTATCATTATCATCATTTTTCTTTTTGTTTTGTTTTCTTGGTTATAATTTATGACTTTTATGATTTATTCCATGTTATTAAGTATGAATATTTATTTTATTACTCGGGGAGTCCTCGATTTGAATAATTTTGCTTTAATAAAGTATGCGAAGCTGATTGATCATTAATTTTTGATCAGTTCAACATCTTTGGTTTGAATTTGAATGTCAAATATTTTGACAAATTTCGTTAAAAACTAAGTTATTTAAACCGAGGACCTTCCTCATTTCTTTGCTAACAAATGAGATTAAAATTATTCTTTCTATTATTGACATCACTTTATTCTTGAATATGCTAATAAATTACCATAATTTTATATTATTTTCTTTTTTGCATGAAACTTTATGACTACTGCTTTGCTGCTATTATTATTTTCACTAACATGCTTCTTATTTCTTTACTAGCAAACTTTGTAGATATTATTTTTAATGCTACAATTCAAGTATTCTCTCAAGAAATATAATAGAGTTACCGTGAATGTAATGAAATATTCTTCTTCTTCTTTTGTTGCTCCCTCACTTCCTTTCATTTCTTTCATGAGAATATCAAATTTAAATTAAATTTTCTAAAGCTTCCGAACTTTAAGATTCAACAGAATGTCACTTAAAATGGAAGAGATGAAAATTCTCGCTGAATACCATTTATAATTTCTTTATGCTTGCTTTTTTCGAAGAAGAAAAAGATGAATAATGTTCTTTGAAAATATTCATCCTAGACTAGTTCCTACCATTTTGACTGCCAGAAGGAATTATGATTCATCTTCAGTCTGTTTCGTTCCTTGCTTGACTTTCTTTCATGCTTTGTGGTTGTGTGCTGCCTTGTAAATGAATTTAATTGGCATTTTGACAACATTCATTGTTTGCTTAATATCAAGGAAGCAGCCTCCACGTCACACTTTCGAAAAGTCATTGAAGCTTTAAAACCATGAATGTTCTGTCGATGAAGCTTTTTTTTGGCAGTGTCTTAACACCTAACGCAATTATTGTCGAATGAATGCATACTGTTGCTCATCCTATTTCCTATTCCTTACAAATTCATGCTTTTGTGGTTGACCGAAAATTGAAAATGTGATTTTTATCCAACAGTCAAATATTCCGCTTGAATGCTCAGTACTTCGAATCATTATACCGGATGAATACAATGGATCTATTCAAACGAAAACGATTCCAGTTCGTCCTCATACTACAACGAGAGATGTCTGTCGAATTATTGCACACAAGAGCCAAATAACGAATCCAATGGATTACGGCCTATTTAAGTTGATAGATGGAGAAGGTAAATATTTAATTAAGAAATTTCCTTATCTATCCACAAATCCATATGTGCCGAATGAATACCTTTCCATGAAAGCAACATTAAGATGCTCTGACGGCGTGGATTATTAATGCTTTTCTAATGATTTATTCATTTCTAATATAACCCATACAAATTTTTTTTTGTCCATTCCAATCTCATTCATTCTTTGTTCTAATCATGTTTTTCCTGCTTTTTTTATCTCTTCTCCCCTATCTTTTCTCAATTTAGAAACATTATTGATGGATAATGACTGCCCTCAAGAGATTCGATTGGCATCAGCTGGCAAACATTGCATGCTTGCTTATAAGCGTTTCGATGCTAAAATCGCGTGGCCCAGGCAGTAATTAAAAATGCATTAAAATGCCTAATCTATCTACACAATCAGGAAGAAATAGAAACTGGAATTTTTATAGCTATCAAGGATGATTTTTTGTTTTGTACATGTAATTTTTTTTTTTGTTGAGAAGGAATTTTTACCAAAAGAAAAGATGTATCCACAAAATTGCAAATTACTAAAGCTGTAAAGAACGTTTATTGTGGATTGAACAGAAAGAAAAACTTTCTAACCATCCTTATCTGATCTTCATCGTTCTCTATTTTATCTACTCGCAATTCTGTGGGATAAACATGCTTCTTAATGCTCACTTTGTCATAAATTGTTTAAAATTTAACGAATTTTTTGAATTTTGAAATAAAGTTGTTCAGTAAACTCTTGAGTTCATTTCAGTTCAGTTCAACTTTTAACATTTTAATTTTAAATAAATATAATCCGTTAACATTTTAATTATTCATTTACTGATATAAATGCGCTGTAGACAAATAATTTTTGATACTTCTGAGCACTTTTTGTTGCTTATTTACTTACGTACTCCTCTTTATTCTTGAGAAGTATCCCTTTTTTGTCGGGGAAACATTAAAAGCAACATAATTTGACCACACATTCTTGCGATGATTAGAGAACATCCACAGTAAATATTAAGGAACCTTTTTTTATTTATTTTGGATGTTTTGTCTCCTATCCCCCACACTTTATCGATTCTATTTTTTATTTATTAGATACATATAGATATAGAATAGAAGAACCCACAAGACAATGAGAATAGCGTTAAGAAACGAGAATAGAAACATAAAGAACTGCCAAATTTTAGTAAGGAGAGTATAAAAACATAAAATTTAATAGAATAAAAACAGTATTTTTTCTTCATTGTACACACACTTACGCATGGAAAATATGAGAAAGAAGAAAGGAAATTTAATAAGATGAAGAGGAAAAGAAAGAAAAAAATTGTATTTTGTAGCGCAACTTTTTATGGAACCAAAAAAGAAAAAGAAAAAAAATGAGAAAGAAAAGCATTTAAAGTGAATAAGGATGGAAAATCCCCAGGATTTTTTTATTACGGTATATTATTAAATATTTATATAAATTATACGAAAAAAAAGATATACATCTCCTCAAATATACACAAGCAAATAGAAATAGATAGATTTTCTAACTCCAACTACCCATCATTCACATATTATTATTAAATAAACAAGAGGAAGAAAATCAAGACATCAAATAGACATGCAATCATTTAAGAACGTATATTAACATATATTATACATTTATTACATTATATTTAGACTTATAGTAAAACTTTTGGTACTATTTTTGCGATTGATACATAATAAGCCACAATTGTACCATGGCTAATCAATTAATTTCAATTTTCAAAAAATAAAAATCAATTTGTTTTAATTCATTCATTAAACATTTTCACACTTAAGACATTGAATTTAAATGAGTGCCGTGTCCAAAGCTAGTTCCCAAGGGGTATCAACTTTTAAACTAAGGGTATTGATGAAGAAATCTAAAAAAAATTTGATTTGAATAATTGGAAGATCTTTGGAACTTTTTGACACGGAAAAAGAGTTTTATGAATGAATTAACCGACTACAATTTTTTAATTGTTTAGAATATGCTGTGATTAACAATTTTATTTTTTATCTGTTCGATTTTAGTCCATGTTTTTATTTTTATTTTATTTTATGTTTGGGAACATTTTGTTTTATTTTTAACACCATAAGTATATATGTAGATTTATGAACTTACTATGAATTTATAGAGTTTAAAAACTAATTTACTTAAATTTAATGGGCAAGGTTTTGGTATTCTGATGAATTTGACTTAAATTCAATTATTGTCAGTCAATTTTGGATTCTTGAAGATGAAATGATGAGTTTTGTTCTGTTTTTTTAAGTTTTAAAGATCAGGATCTCTCAATTAAAAAAATTCAGCTCATATTTCATTGAGTGATCGATATCTTGACGACTATAGTGCTAGTTTAAATTCAAAATATCTCATACTTATTGTTGTAAATAAAGTCAATATCAGATGTTCACCTTTTTGACATTTGAGACTAGAAAAAGCATGATATAGACTTTCTTTACCAAAATTAGCCAAAGCATATTACTGCTGTGGTTCCCAACAATTCATCTCCTCAAAGTTTCAAATTACACTCAATTAATCACATTTGGTAGTGTGAAAAATTGGATTTAATTAAAATTAATCATGGAATACCAAAAGCCTTGCTGTTTGACAAGAGAAAACTGAGAATTAAACCATTAAAGTGTGAAGCCTATGAATAAATTAGAAATGAAATATGAAAAATATTGCCAGACATTAACATTAATGATGATGATAATAATGATGATTGTGAATGAAAAAAGGCCAATTAAAATTTTCTTTGGATTACTTACCATTCATAATGGAACGAATGAATCATTTTTATCATTAAAATCAAGCCGTACTGTATGTATATTTATTAAATTCTAGAGTTTAAATTGAATGATGTCTCTCTCTTATTTCTACTTCTATTTTGAACTTAATAATGATTTTCTATCTAAATTTGCCCTTTCTAGAGCACATTCAATAAGAATAGAGTACATAGCTCTATGTGAATAATTGACCATAAAAATTTAAATTATTAAACCATTGAACGGTAATTGAATTCTTTTAAATTAATTGATATTATTGTTGTGAGTGAATTAAATGGCAATGAAATGAAAATTTATATATTTGAGGGGTACAGGCCACGCGCATGAATCCCCCCAACATATATTCATGCTCAATAAAAAATGAATTTAATTAAATCTATATTCATGCGACACATCTATATAGGGCTTCTTAAAATTATCTTCTTTCTCTCTCCCTCTTTATCGTCTCTCGTTTCGATCAATTTAATATTTATGTACTTTAGGGAATGAATTTTTAATCTTCCCTAACAAACGAATAAAAATTACAGAAAAATTAAATTAAAATTTTATAAATTCAAAGAACGGCAAATAATCCTTCCTTTTCCCATCGACTATTTTCGCACCATAAACATTTATTTCCACCCAAAAGGCACGAATTTATATTATTTTAATACATTATGAAAACAAGTTTTGAATTTTAAAACGATTTCATTTTAAAGCATGAACTAGCATTGTTTAATCGTCGTCTACTGAAAAATCATTTAGAATTTCCTCATCAGAATGACGGTAGAATATAAAAAGTTACATTTTCTACAAGCTCATGAACTGACTGAATAATTTTCATGCAATCAAAAGTTTCTTTGTAGTTTTGGAACTGACGAGAATGAAGAAATTAAGTTGATTCTAATAGATGATGACTTTAGTGAGACAGGATTGATTGTGGTTGAAAAATTAAATTGAATTGTGCTGAATTCAGCTGAATAAGCTGCTGAGAAAACAAGTTTCAAGAATATAATTGTAAATTGTTGCTGAATTCATTAAGATAGAGATGAATTCAAGACTTTTTTTGCTGAATTCAGCAAATTAGATCAAAAATCTTTTGTTCTTTACAATTTCAATAAAAAGAGCTAATTTCCATACAATTTTCAGCCTCAAGAAACTTCAAAATTCATCGAACAAAGAAAATTTCCACTTGACAACACTGAATCAATCCCCAAACTTTTTCAAAATGACTGAAAAACTCATGACAAAATAATTTTCAAAAGAATTGCTTTTAAATATCAATTAACAATAAAGGCAGGCAGGATGTTACGAAATCACAACCTCGAATCAATATTTTTGAAAATTAATTTGTTTCTCTCTACCTCCTTCATGTGAAATAAATCAAATTAAAACTACAGCGGGTATATACTCTTTTGTTCGGATTCACCCCAAAAAATTAGCATCCATCCAACAATGAATTTTCGAAATAAAAAGTCTAGCAAATATTAACAAAGTCAAACACAATCTCGTCAACCCTATGAGTTTAACTTAATTTCCAATAATTTGATGGTATTTTAAAAATGAAGTCAAATTTGTTTTTTTGGACGGAAAAATAATGATATGAAAAAATTAAATTTTAGAGATTTTTTTCTTGCCATTCATGCTTTTGTTGGAAACAAAAATCTTTTCAACAATGCGCTCTCGTATTTCATTCTTGTGTTGTTGCAAAGAAAAAGAAGGGAAAATTCTCATTCAATGTTTCATCCATTCAAGCAATGAACAACGCTTTTTGCTTCCTTTTAAATTATATTTTACGACGATGTTATTTAGAAGTTCAAGGAGAGAAAAAAAGAAAAAGGACGAGGAATAAAAGTTTCATAAAAATTCTTTCATAAGATCTTGATGGTAATAGAGGTTGGTTCCGGAAAAAGAATCTAAAAAATTCAGTTTATAAAACTGCTTTAAAACTTCCATAAAACTTTCATCTTAGAACGTGAACCTGCAATTGATATCATCTCTAAATTGCAATGTTCTTTCTTTTTTCTGCTCTTTTGGAGCACATTTGATGAAGGAAGTGACACTCACTTTGATTTTTCTATAAGAACTAAGATTATTGAAAGTTTTTCGAACTTTCAAAGGTTTTTTTTATTTGATTCATCAATTCTCGCGGTTTTGGGATTTTAATAAGCATGACATGATCTGATCTAGTTTGTAGCATGTGATAACCGTTAGAATTAAAATTTTAAACTTCGGAAATCCGTTACATTCTAAGTTCAAAATGTCTGATTCAATTTTCACGAGAAAAAACGTTCGGATCCTGTATAGAAGTTAAGTCTTTAAGCAATCTCTTTCCTGATTCTCGTTTGCTGTATTTACAAGAAGAATGAGAATGAAAAAATATGGATAGAAAATTGTTTAGTACTTTGTCATTGTGTAACATGGAATGTGAAGAACTTTTTTGATACAATATAATGCTTTAATATTAGTACATGTGTACGAAAGCAATTGTGAGAAAAGCTAATTTTTCAAATGCATTATTACATTTATAACAATTTTTCGCAATTCTTTTTCTCATCCCGCTGTATCCTCTACTTTCCTTTATTAAATTTGCTCACATTTTGTATCCTGTATATAATCTCATAACGTCATACATTAAATTTGCTGACAACAATAAAGAAGGCAAGAAGAATATGTTTCATACATACATAAAGAAAGAAAGGAAGAATGAAAATGTGCGACATAAAGTCGCAGTGTGTAAGCATAACAAATTGAAATCTATTTGCTCATTAATCTGAATTAATCAACAAACACCTCCTTTTATATAATCAATCAACATTTTTTCATATATACAAAAAGTTTTTTCATCTTAATGTTCATCGTATGTTTGATACACATAAGTACACATTGTATTAATTAATTTATTTGTGGTCCTTTAAGAACTTTAAATTTGTATTTTTAAAAAAAATGGAAAAAAAAAGAATAAAATTCTTTTCATTATTACTTAAATCCTGTTGTTTTAATCTATTTTGACATCAAATGTGGACATCAAGCTCGGTTTATTGCAACCTCAAAAATCTGAATCTGACAATTTGGTTTGTTGATGTACTTTTTACTGTGCACTTTTATGTTTTATTCAGTTTTATTGCAGTTTTTATTATTGTGAATTTTTCAGCAAGTACATTTAAGTGTCTAGCTATCATAAATTGAATAGCATGGAAGTAATTTTTTAGCTACTGTGGCGTCTTCTGATTACTTTTCTGTCTTATTGACTACGAAGGTTAAGATTAGGTTTTTAAGGAAGTTAAAAATTGATTTATTTTGACAACTCTTTGTATGTTTTCCGATTGTGAACTAAACTCGAATAACATGAGCTCCAAATACACTAAAGCTGGATAAAGTCGACTCAACATCATACAAGATCTTAGACGGATACGTCCTCTGGTCCCAAACTTAGGGGCTGTTCACTTATTACGTAACGCGAAAAAATGACTTCTTAGACCCCCCCCCCCCTCGTAACAAAATTTGTATGAAAAAAAAATTTCCTTGTTTGAACCGTAACAAAATCTTAGACCCCCCCCCTCCCCCTAAAAGCGTTACGTAATAAGTGAATGACCCCTTAACTTGCAAACCCGAACCTTCATTTAATAGTTTCATTCGAAACAATCCTTTGATGGTATTACTGTTTGCAGTCTATAAAGGAAGCATATAACCAGAAAATTCATGAAAAACACTCAAAATCCTCAAACTCGATTCTGTAAGGGGTCGTTCACTTATGACGTCCCAAATTAACGGTCATTTTTCAAAAAAGAACAATGGATTTCCTGGAATTTCTATTGTTCTTTTCTTGCTGACCCCCCCCCCCCCCCCTGGACGTCATAGTGAACGACCCCTAATCGATTCCCGTTTATTTTTGTACTTCCGATTACATTTTTATCGTTTTATAAGATCATATTTTGAGTCGGTTGATTGATTAATTTTCCAGCTCATTTCTTATTTAATAAGGCATGAAAGGAAATCTTACCCTAGAATATTATACAGGATAAGATTTCCTTTTCCTTTTTATTACGGATACAATTTTCAGGTTAATGTGTATTATGTTACTATAAACATCATCATGATTACTGCATGGATGGAGTGAAATCATAATATGGAGCATAGCCATTACAAATATTACATTAAACTATAAATGTTTATTACCATAAACCACAAACAAAAAATATTTTATTGCCCGGGAATGTGGAGAGGAATTGTTTCGTTATAGCACAAAAGGCACTTGACAGTTAACAAGTGTAATTAATATTATGTATAATACGAAGCAATACGCGATAAATTATAAATGAATGTGGAAAGAAATACACATATAGAAGATAAACATAACAACGATTAAATGAGGGTTCTTTGGGTTCCAGAACATTTTATAGGGATGAACTTTTTATAGGTCGACCTATTAACGCAATTCTGACCATTTATCGTGGTTGGTAAGGCATTTTATCTTTCTCAAAATGAAATGTTTTTGCCAAAATTATTTTTGGGATCGTTTAAAGTTTTCACTTTGTGTCTCTATCCTTCGGTTTATAAATTGCGTACCGCAAATAATCATATACGGCACCCTATAAATTATATACATCATACAGCTTTTCATTTGAGTAAAAAAAAGAAGTGTAATAATAATTTAAATTATCATCGCTATTATTTCGTCTATAAATCATATCGTGAGCATAAAAAAAATGGTAAAGAGGAACCGACAGAGATAGATAGACATAAAATAAATGAAAGTGTTTCGACATCAACAAAAGAAACATAAAAAAATATATCCATGAATAAAAGTTAAGGATGGAAATTTGTGGAAAACTATAAGACAATAAAAGATGAAGAAAATCATGATCATCAAATTCATTTATGTATTCTGTCATTTCAACACTTGCTCTTTTCATGCAATACATTGGAATTTATCACATTTATGATTCATAAAATAGTTTTTCACACAAAAGAATGGAAATCTTGAGCATACAAAAGCTGAAAATATTCAAAATGAGACAATCAGATATTTGTTTCCTTGTCTTCTACTTGATGCTTTAATATTTGAAAGAAATAGCTTTCACATTCTGAGGTTTGAATTTATTTATTTTTGGGTATATTCGCTTAAAGCCAAGGCTCATCCACTTGATTTTTTGATAAGAAATTGCAAAATTTTCAAGAAATTGTAAAGTTTTGAAACATTTGAAGACAAAGGAAGCAATGTTGTAATTAAAGTAGAAGTAATTTAAATAGCAATTAAATTAGGGGTCGTTCACTTATGACGTCCATCAAAAAACCTGATTTTTAGACCCCCCTCCCCCCCTCTGTCACAAAAATTCTATAGAAAAAAATTTCCATTGTTTGAACTGTCACAAAATCACAGACCCAATCCCCCCCCCTAAATGTCGGACGTCATAAGTGAACGGCCCCTTAGAACATTTTCTATTTTCTCAATTGCTTCTTAACAGCATTAAAATTACTTTTATATCCATAAATTAATGCAAATTGTTTTAATCATAAAAATGAGAAGAAATTCATTAAAGAACAAAGAAACAAGTCATTTTCATTGCATTTATAAAGACAAAATTATCTCATCAGTAATTAAAGGGAATCGTAAGCGTCGATGCTTAGGAAGTAATTAAGAAATTTTCAAGTAATTAAACGAGATTATCTGTAATGTGGTATTTAAAGTCTCCTTAAAATAAAATTTTAAGCATTGCATGTCACGTAACAAGTGTAAACGCCTAGTCAGCAACACGAAGAAAGAAAGAATCCTTGCGAAACAATATTAGCTTTTAGCTTAAGCAAACAAAGGATGAAGAAGCATCATCATCATCATAATATACAATGCGAATAAAATAAATGTGTAGTATGAACAACCACATGATTGTCACACAAACCCTCATTCTTTCAGAAATAATCATAATCATAATAAATATGAATGGAAAAAGGCACCAAACAATTGAGCGCCCTGAAGAAAAAGAATTGTGAATCACAACAACGATGCGATGGAGACAGAAAGATTTGATGAAGTCAGAATTATTGGATGGATGAAAACATGAAAAAGGGAATATATATATCTAGGCACATTGCATGATATTAAAGTAAGGCGATATAAATAAATGTAAATAGTATTTCTCTCTCTTCCCACCATTAATAGCTGGAATGAAAATTTATACAAATGCTTTCCATATTTTTCTTTTCCTTTTTCACAACAGCATTTTCATTTACTATTCTATGGCACAATATCTATAATAATACCATATAGAATGTCATGTCAGACGAAAGCACACCAGAATTTACTAGAGTATATATGCACAGAGGTTGTAAGTCGGTGGCAAGGAAGGCAAAATATTATTTTCGTACCGTGAAATTATCAACACACAAAAGCAGTAGTTGTTGAAACTTGAAGCGCAGCGGTTAACTTGAAAACTTTTGCTACCGATTTTTTTTTATTCCTTATATTATTTTTGAGTTGCATTTATGCTGTTTAGTGCTCTATCCAATTAAGCTAATATTAAACTTTTTATTCAGACCACACAAGTGTACTTGATAGAATTAATTTAAAGGAACATCACCATATAAGCGGGATATGAGTGGAGATAACTTGTTCTATGTATCGCGGGCGAATATCTTCTCCATATATCCAAATATATTAAAGAAGATCGTTGGAGTAGATGATGAAAATTATAGTCCAGAGAAAAGTATTGCAATACTTCCAAGTGATTTCGAGTGGCAACTAAAATGCTACTTTCGTCTCCTAGAGCAACAGAAGAAGCTTAATACACTCGATAAGAAATCGTAAATACTTGATAAATTTTTCATATCCATCAGAATTGTTTAATATTAGTTTGTGCTAATTGTCTGTGACAGGGTTCTTGAATTATCACAAATTGAACGTTCTGCATCCTTACAAAGACAACAAAATACACAAGATGAAGAGTTTCGGGATCGTGATGGAATCGTATATACTCCAATATACTCACCCATATCCCCAAATGCAGATAGAAGTTTGATTAAGCCATTAGGATATTGTGAACAAGAATTTCGACTAAGTGTCTCCCATGAGACTAATAATGTGATTTGGGATTTAAGTGAATTTGCCAAAGCCGGAAAACTTCTCAAAACACCACCGATGGATGTCGAATTTTATGACGAATATGAAATGAGAAAAGTTTATTCACTCATCTACGATGTTTTCCGATGTAAGTACTTACTAATCTTTGTCATCTTGAGATGCTTTTAAGTTAATTGATTTGACAACACAGCAGTTTTTCATTCTCGTCTGTCAGATCTAAAATTCTTTAGAATCATTTTTTATTGAAAAACTTTAAGAAAAATTCCTTCCGCTTCCCACAAAACATCTTATCTTGTTATTCCATTTCTATTTTGGAGCAAGCTTATAAAATATTGATTGAATTTAAGAATAGAGAAGAACAACAAGCTTGATTTGGCCATGAGCACATTGCATTCCAAACATGTGTGTGTGTGGTATGAAAATACCTTCATGTCTAGTCAGCCTTAACATACATAAAATGCCATTCCTGTTTTAGATTCTTTTTGTGAACGTCTTGTTCCTTTTTAAACAACAAAAACAGACGTTGATTTAAAAATAGAAAGGAAATTTTCAGCTTTAATGCGACAACAATCGATAAACGATTTATTTTACATGAATCGGAATCGACGATAGAATAACATTACAATCTGCACAACGTCATGAATCAGAAGACAGTCTATAATATTTTTGTGCCACATTGTAAGAATATAAAAATACGAAAAAAACAATATCAATCAATAGAAAGGCAATAAAAATTTGATTTTGGCTGCATGAAATCAACAAAGAAAGAAGTGACACAAAAAGGGCAACAACAAGTTAGAATCGATGCGTCTTGGGTTTCATTACATCACGTGCGCTTATGATAATAAACTTTTAATATTATGAGCTATGCTTTGTCCCAATTCCTTCAATCAATATTGTATGTATGGAACGCAACAAACGGTTGATTGTGATGTACGTGGATTGTCGATTACAGTTTTGATGACATAAACAAAATATTAAAGGGAATCGGAAATGTTGATAATTGGATAAAGTTTACAAGACTCTTGGGAATGAGCGAAGTGTGGCTTATTGCGGGGGATTTTGGTGGGAATTCGCAGCAGTTGTGAGGATTTTTAATGCTTTTGCTCACTTTTTGGTATGGATCAGTAAATAATATTGACTGGAAGTAAATTAAGTTGTTGATGTTGTTTTTCAGTCATTCACATAAGCAATGATTCAATGAACAGTACTAATGCTATAACAACAGTCAATTACGTGATCCTGTACCTTCAGTTTGCATCTCGTAGATATTTTTTGATACTAAATACTTTTGACGACTTTATGACTACCTTAAAACTTATTCAATTTCAATTTTTCTTATCATCACGGACGAGCAAAAATGAATGATTTTTTATGCTGGACAGGCATAAAATGAACAACATCAAAATTAATTAAAATTTCCTCAAGAATCCCATCCTGGAATCGACATCAAAATTTACATAAAACCACCATCAATGGAATTAGAAATAAAATCCATCATAAACTTTGTCATTCCCTCTCCTCTATTTCCTGTGATAAAATGATAATTCCTTTATTTATTTTTTTGATGAGACAAGATGAAGTTTTATGCTAATTCAGGGAAATTTCTCGCTCATCGGAGGGGTGAAGTTTGAAGTTTGAAGAGTTTTACATTACCTGAAGATATATTTTCCTTTGCCTGCCTCACTTGTCATTCCTTGTTTTCATCAAATGCAATAAAAAAAGCACTTTATCATTATCATATCACCCCAAGTCATATCCAGTGATATTTATTTTCAATGAAATTGTGACTTCAATCTCTCAAAAGTTAATGGCTAATTTATTATTTTTTCAATAATAATAAGCCGCAATATCCTTCAGACATAACCTTATATGCCATTTTATTTGAATGACACAGTTTTCCTTTTTCCATCCTTACTTCCTTCCCTCAATTCCTGTAAAAAAATTATAATATTCAGTAATGTGCATGCATAGGAAATTTTACAATGTAAAGGTGAACACGAAAAATAATGCTAACAAGGAAAAAGTTTGTGAGTTTATGGCAAAGTAATAGCTGAAATCGATGGATCAAATTAATTTGTAATTTTACTTGTAAAAAGGATTTCAGTTGCTGGAAGAGGATTTTATGAGGGAATTTGAAATTAATGAGGCAAAATTACAGACAGGATAGCTCTACGTGAGCTAATTTTGTAAATAAGCAGCTTCCTGTAAATGACATAATTGCATCCAATCTTCAAAGCAATTGCTATACGTGAACCCAAAATAATGAAGACATGTTTGTAAATGTTTTCCCAATAAAATCCATTGCAAGCACCGTACCGTACGTTTTCATCCTTCGAGTACAGAACAGTTGTAAACAAATTTACGTGCTTCATATCAATTTCATTCATAAAGTGCTTTTCCCTCAATTTGCATACATAAATGATTTCCCCTTCCATTCATGCTTGCCTTCCTTCATTTCGGCTTAAGAGTTCTAAATTTAAATATTCAACATGAAGCATAATTGAGAACATAATCCCGGTAAATATCTAATTAAGAGACTTCATGTCATGTTTGTCTGATAATCTTTAATATTTTCATGCTTAAGTGTTTTAGAGCGTCGAGTGAAATTATTAAGGAACAAAAAAAGTTTTCATGTCTTTTTTACCTCCATCCAAAATGTACTTCTTCATTTGTTTCCATCCTTGTTCGTGTTTCACGACGTAAAAAAGTTTTCCTCATTTCCTTAAGTATCGTCGACTTTTTTCTATCAAGTTAACCTTTTCGTAGGAAACTACTGAGCTGTCTTGATCTGTCTGGGATGAATGTATGGACTGCTTGGGCATAACTTTCTGTTCATTTCTTAGTTCTTCTCATGATAAATTTCATTTAAAGTCTTTTCTTAAAAATATTGAATCAAGGATGCGCTTCTGATCCTTCAACCTAGACTCTACTCAAACTCTATATATCTTAACTGCTTGTTGGAACGAAAGATTCTTTTTAAAATCATCACTTATCATGCTCATGCAAAATTATTGAGTTAAAAGCAAAATGCTGCTTTAAATTCAATTGTGTATGTCAAGTAGTTGCACAATGAAGCGACAACTTTTAGTATGGCATCATGTAATAATTTGGAATGACTCCTATAATTTTTGAAGATAATCATGAAAACAAACAATTTCAGTTTGTACAGTAATTTGTCAAGTTTTTAGTGTAATGGGGTGTCAAAAGTAGAAGGATGATGAGACTTAGTATAAAGGATGTAGATGTAAAAGAGGAAGAATTAGAATGATATAGAGAAAGTATTTGGAAGTAGGAGATTTTGAGTGACTGACGTTGTAATTTGTGATTTTGTCACAGGATTAACACATGAACTATGAAGACATAACCTCACTTTCACTCTGAGTTTATCAAAATGCAGCACTGAAATATAATTTGTAATTAGGAATAGGATCTTAACTACATTTTTGATGACATTTAAGATTGTAAACTACATTGAGTACGGTTGTATTTCAAATGATCCGAAAAGAGACTAGTCTCTTAAATATTCATACGACAGAAAAAGAACAGAATAATCGTTACATGGAAGTGATACACAGCATCAGATCCCCTTCTCTTCCAAAACTTGGACATCATTTGCGAACGACCCTCCTGATAAAGACGAAAGATTTAAGGAAACTATCCTTATCTTAATTCATCGACAACAACTTGTAATGAAAACATTTATCCTAGAATATTAAATTCTACTGTTGCGTGTTTAAGGACTATTCCTTATTATAAAACATAATGTGAGCTTTTATAAGCACATTTCATTTAAAAAGCTAACACTTTATATTCCCCCTCCATGCAATCTCCCTTTTAACTTTCTTTTCATTATTGTTGTTTCTTTTTTCACACAACATACAACAAATAAAGTAATATGGATATGCCTACATATGTAGATAGAGAACGCGTGGAATGGAAAGAAAAGTTTTTGTGGAAACAACCCTTTTATCGCACTTTTTTAAGAGTGACACGAGTGTTGGGGAAGTGTAGGAATAACAATTTAAGCTTTTCATGCTAATTTTTAATATGCAAATTAATTAATTCAATATCCATCGCACCCTTGATATACAACCGCATTTACATCTACTTCTATTTACTTTTTATTCCTTCTTCTTTTTCAGTTAAATTAGTGTTAAATAAAACACTTGAGTCGATTGAATTTTTTAACATATTTCCCGAGGTAATTTTTTGTGTGAGACTTGTAAGCAGAGGCGTAGCTACTCTTTGCTCTAGATGGGGTATTTTTAATCAATTAATATTTTTAATTTTTGGACTTTCTATATAAAAATTTAAGCAAATTCAGAACAGGTTTGACCCCAAAAGCCTCCTAGCTACGCTCCTGCCTACAAGATTATTTATGGCGTGTAATGTGAGGATTTATTTGATTTTCTATCTATCCATTACTGAGTTATAAAATATGTGTACATAGAAGCATCTATAGCTGTAAATGGTAAACATAAAAAAAGGGGTTGAATATGTTAATTAAGATCACTTTCAATTTCATTTTCATGCACACCCCCTCTGAACGCCACGCATTACGTGATTTTTGTACAAATAAAACAGTTAAAGGAGGATTTACCCAGAGTATGGTTGCTCCTTTATGACTTATATTTGCGAACATTTTCTAAGCGTAAACCGGAATTGTTGGCGTTGAAAGACAAGCTATTCAAGGAATCGGAAATGTTATGTAAGTTTCTCACAGCGAAGAGGAAGGATGAATATTTTCATCAAGGGAAATTAAGAATGGAACATGAAAAATTTAAATAATTTTATTAGCAATATTTTGGATGTTCAAAGAGTTGGAAAAGTCATTTTGGATCAGATGCTGGATATTTTTTTGGAGAAACTTAAAATTAATTTTTAATTGACCTTTCTTTACCTGATATTTATCTTGTTTCATTCGACATCCTGTTGATTTTTGACCTCTCTGTCGATGATACCTGCCAATTAGGAACCTACTTAACTTATTGCTTTCTTCAGTACACATTTAATCAGTTACCAGTCTACACATATGATCATGATATGAGTTTATTCATGCCCCACGTGTTTGATCTTCCAGTTCCCTCTTGACAGTACTTTGCATCCATTAATGACTTTTTTACTTTACTCCTTTACATCATTTCTTCAATATTGAGTAATATCCACTTTTTTCCTCTTTCATTTCTTCTTCAACTTCCATTTCTTTCGCTATACAACTCTCCTATCATTTCATAATGCTGATGATGATGTTGTTGGAACTGAAACGAGGAATGAAATTTCCCTTCATATTTAAAAAGATATTGAGACGTGCTTAGACAAAATGAAAACTAAATTGGCAGCATCCATTACTAAAATTAGAATTGAGAAGCAAGCTTTAAATTTACAATATTTACTTCCATCGCATTTAAGAGACGAGAAAGTTGCAAGAGCGGTTACGAATCCAATCATCACGGGATGGTTTAATAAATTTAAGAAGAGTCTGTAAGTGCCTACGTTGTAGTCATATTAAATGTCTTAATTAAGTCATAACATTTTCTCCTTTTTGTACATCTTTCTTTTATATCAATGTCCAAATTGAATTATAAGCAGAACGAAAAGAGATATTACAAAAAAGTTGGAAGGAATGGGTTTCAAAGAGCTAGATGGATGCGATACAAAGTCATTTCCCAAATCATTTCGATATGATAAAGTTTGTCCAAACTTTTTCTTCCTTTGGTTTCCAAGAGATAAAAGTGAATTCCTTCAAGATGCAATGATAAGAGAGAATGATGTTATACTTCAAAATAAAGCCTTCACTGTTGGACCAGCAATATTTGCAAAGCTTGTAAATTATTTCGAGATTGCTGGTGACATATTGCAAACTCATATTTTATCACCACGTAGTACTGCCTATCTAGCAACATTACTGCTTAGAAATCGATTTGTTGGAAAATTACGAGTTTTTGGTGCTGGAAGGAACTATAAAGAATATAAAGCATATTTTGATAAGATTGGTGCAACAAACATTCAGCTATATGAGGAAAGTTTTTTAGGAATTTCACGTCACATTTTAGAAAAGACAGTTGCAATTTATTGTACTCCACCGTCCTCATTCAGCAGCATTCTCGATCCAATCGAATTAATATGTTCTAGGGGTGGGGACTTGAAAATGCTACAATTTTTGAGCGAGTCAGAAATGACAGACGATGGACAAACGCGAGCGACAAAAATTCTACGAGAACAAAGAGAAACATTGAAAAGCTCAATGTCTAAGCCACAAATTCAATTTATTTTATACGAGACACATTCAATTGTTGAAGCTGAAAACGAGGATATGGTACAACATGCAATGGAATATGTTAATAGGAAAGCATATGATAAACATTTGATTAAAGCACAAAAGGAACGGGAAAGACTTGAGCAGCTGGAGAGAGAAAAAGAAAATATGCCTGGAATTCCGACAGCACATCGTGAACGTGAGCCAAAAAAAGATGCAAAAGGAAAGAAGACAAAGGGAAATGAGCAGTCAGCATCTGTGAAAATAAATACAAATAAGACTGGGATGAAGCAAAGCGACAGTTTAGAAAGTATTGATGCCATTGATCCCGTTGCCGAAGAAGCAAAGAAAGACGAGCCATTAGTAGTCAATGTGCCACTCACGGATCTCTTTGAGGTTCAAAAATTACCCGACTTTTGTATCAATCGAGATAATTGTGTGCTGCGACGATCTGAAGGATGCTTCTTGTCTCTCCTCAAGCGTAAAGAGATTATCCGAATGGATTCCAAGTATCTTATTCAGATTGCAGAGCTTCGAGGTATATTTGGTGATAAGGATCGACCTAAGAAAACAAAAAGTAAGGCACAAATGAGAGCGGAAAAGAAGCAAGAAGCAGCAATGAAAGCAGCACGTGAGGCTTTAGAAAGGCAGAAAATTGAAAAGACTAATCCAAGTAATGTTGATAAAGTAGTTGAACGCTTACTGAAGCCAACACAAGCAACGATAATCAGAATAACTCGTGATGAGATTTGGCGACGAAAGTATCACGTAATGACTCTACGTTATAGCCAATTATTTCCTCCAAGATGTGCCCGATGTGATTATTACTCTCAAAATTACTACTTCTTATCTGATAAGTTTGTTGCCGTTAAACAGTTTGATGACACAATATCATTAAGGTTCGAGGAACAATCGACATTCCAAGAGGCAATAACAAAGCGTAGAGCTGAAAAGTGGTGGGATGATTTATTAAAGCACATTAAGCAGATAAAGATCTTGTCTGAAGTAAGTGGCGTAGAAATTAACTTTGATTCACTAGATAAGAGCCTCGTTCCACCGCTCAAATTGACACGATTCCCTCAAGGATATATAGCACCGCCGCCAAAAAAGAAAGTTTCCAAAGAAATTCGACAGCAATATTCGTTATCCATTACTATTTTGGATATTGATCAGCCAAAGACTCAGAAGTTGTAAGTAAACTTTTTATTGATGCTTCTTATCTTGAGGGAGGCTAGGGGGATGGGTAGGAGTTACATTTCAAGGGGAAAACAGCATAATATGAAAAGTTTTAAAAAATTAAGTAGGAAATTTTTTTTCATGTCAAACACCCCCCCCCCCCCCCCCCCTTCACGTTAAAATTCATCTGAAACATAAGTTTTAATCATTTAAAATTCAGTGCTTACTGTTTTTGGATAATTAAAAAAAATAAATCTAAGATGAGTTTATGAGTTGAATTTTCAAGCTGTTACCCCCTTAAAATATATCATAGACCAAAAAATCATTTTACTATCAAAATTTTACAGAATTAATCTTCGTCATCGATCTATCACGCCTCGAGTAGCAACATTAAGAACCTACAATAAATGCCTGATGTGTCTTCACGAGTATTTGAGAATCACTAGTGGATATGACCAAAAATACATGAGATAAAAGACAAAGTTTTTTTTATTGGAATGAATATTTTTTATTTGTTAAATTTTTCATCATTTTTTAACACATATATAATAAAAATTATATTTATAATAATCGGGGTAAATTTACATATACGTTTCAACAAAATAAAAAATATCAAAAATTTAATTATGTCTTGTTTTTTTCATAAATTTACTATAATATTAAATTTCCTTCATATCTTTAGCAAAAAACCCAAGGAAAATATTGGATTTAAATTTTATTTACTTATATCTTCCCTTATTTTTCCAACTTAAGGTATTTTTTAAATCAGTTTTTTTTTCTATTCAACACGTTTTGCCTTTTTATTAAATTTTAGATTTTTCAAGGAGTCGTTCACAAATGATGTCTAGGAATTTATGGATTCCAAGTGTTTTTTCGCCGATCAGTAGTTGATAGACATCATTTATGAACAACACCTTGTAAGGTTATCAAATTTTTTTGATCAATAATCAAGGAAGTTGCTATACCTTGTTTTTAAATAGTTAACATCATCGTAATATTCTTAAAAGAAAATTGCACGTAGCTATATCTCTTCTCACCAACATCATTTCATCTAAAGTTTCATTCTTTTCATAGAGTATTCGTAAACGGCTGTCTTTTTTAAGTTTGTTATTGCATTCATCTCTATTGAACTAAATACTGCTTTAAACCACTTGATTTTAATATTTTTTTTTGTAATTTTTTATGGTTTTTGTTCTATGATCGCTAAACTACACTCATAGAAAAAAAGTAACCATAATATTTGTTATATGTTTGTTAAACTAGTTTAACAAATTATTGGTTAAGTTTACATGGGTAAAAAAAATTTCAACCAAACTATTTGTTAAAAATTTTACAATTGAGTTTGTTAAATCAACAAATTTATTTGTTAATAATTGATTTAATTAAATTTTAATTTTTGTATTCAAAACTCTTGTTTGATTAATTTCAAACGATTCCCATTAATTTATTGCGTTATTTTTAATGAGAAAACTGCTTTAAATTGAATTTTGTTTATTTTGTTTAACAAATTAATTTGTTAATTTTAACAAAACATTTGTTACAATGTTTTTATTTGTAATTTGTTTTGGAAAATAATGATTTACAAACCAAATCGTAATTTAAAAATTAAATTTGTTCATTTTTTTAAGTCCTACATTTCTATTTTATTATTCATAAATTAATTTTAAAATTTGGATATATTTTTTAAAGAATTATTTATATTGGTTCTGAATCAAATTTTATAAGTAAAAGTTTACAAGCAGCGGACTAGCGGATCATCAACAGGAATTCAGAAGTTAAGCAACCACGGAAACATTTTAAAATAAGATGGGTGACCAAATTAACAATTTTCTGGTTAATATTAACCGAAAATTTGTTATTTTTTTCTGTAAAAAAAAATTTTAACAAAAAGTTTGTTAAATTAACAATTTTTATAGTTAACAATTCAACCTTACAAATAATTTGGTTAAATTTAACAAATAAGTTCGTAAACACTATTTTAACGAATTGTTTGTTAACATTTTCCATACAAGTTACAAACATTTTGTTACTTTTTTTCTATGAGTGTAATAATAATGAGTGAAGTATAGCTGTATTTTATTAATATTTTTATGTATCTTAATTTCTTCATCCTTTTTTTTTTTGTAATACGTTTTGATGCAGAATTGTGTATATATGTTGTTAAGAGCAAAGTTGTTTTGGGGTTTTAGCTGAATCTAGATAATCTCTATCTGAGCGTTGATAACAATGACTCAGCGAAATTTTCCATACCTAAATTGCTTTGGAATTATGCGAAAATTTATTTTTTGGAACGAGTCCAAAATATGAAAGTTTGTTTTGATTTCTTTAAGGATTATTGGATATACCAACTCTTACTGAGATTGAGGATTATATCTTGCATAAATCAAACAAATTATAGACAGTGGAAAATTTGACTGAATCAACATTCTTAGTGATCAAATGATGATACTTTAGCTAAACAGCAATGACAAAAGTCAATTGGTCTGTTGATTGTTTGAATTCTCATCAATTGGACTTAAAAAATGACAAGGGGTGTTCAACTACGAAGAGTTGTCAAAATTCAAACTTAATTTAACTGTAAAATATTCTCAATAATTTTTGTTATATCCACAAATCAACATTTGATCACAAAAGAATACGAATTATGTAGCAACTTTTGAAATAATTTAAAAGGAAAATATACTGACGGTAACAATCATGGAAGGAATAAAATTGCAACGAAATAGAACGTAAAAGCTATTCATTTTTCGTTATATCCAAAAACGTTTATAAATTTTTTAAACGTAATTTTATAAATTTTAATTTACATTTTTTTATATCTGTTGGGGTTTTTAAATGAATGGCACTCAAAATTTATGAACAAAATTTTCTTTATTTTAAGCAACGTGAATTTTTTTTAAAAAAATCCTAAAAAATGCAATTTTGCATTTATCAAAAATAAATTTTTCATCCACGATTGGATCTCCGAAAAATATTCTCGTATGAACTGCAATAATCGATTTATTGCAGCATATAAAAAAACAGAATGGAATTGAAAGAAATGAATCACGTGCGAAAGAATTATTGTTTTGTGGAAAACACTTGTCTTAGTAAGATAATAATCATAACATTGAATCAAAACGATAAATCAGAAATTAATGTATTTTTTATTTAGGTATCCCGCTCATTTTCGCTCATCTTTCTCTATAGTCTTATCTTTATTATTAAATAATTAGAACATGTTCAGTTCAATTATACATGTGTAAATGGTCGATATAGAAGAGACTTGATAAACAAGAAGAAAAAATGAGTTTCTGTGTAAAAATTAGAGAACTATCTTTTTTTTCTTGCCTTTTGTTTTTATGAATTATGCTATGTATTATTATGTTGTGTTATGTATAACATTATTTTATGGTCTAATACTCAGTCCCGGAAATGTAAATTGTATTCTTCTTTTTATCTATATACCATCAAGAATCGGAAGTTAACTTTTTTTTTGAACCATACAAAAAGTATTATAAGTGACGTGATACATAAACGACTCTCAAAAAATACTGTTGCATTATAATTTTTTATGATTAACTCTTTTCATCAATAATATCAAAGTGTTTTCTCTCAAATTTTTTCGATGGAGCTGCTGACAAGATTCTATTTTTCTGAAAATTTAGCTTAGGGATCGTTAACTTATGACGTCCGAAATTAATGGTCGTTTTTTAAAAAAGAACAATGGATTTCCAAAAATTTCTATTACTCTTTTCTTGCTGACCCTCCACCTTGGATGTCATAAGTGAACGGCCCCTTTCATTGATTAGAACTTACAGAACCTAGACACTGAACAATTCAAATCAAAGGAAGCTAAATCCACAAATATTTTAACCTTGTTTGCCCGCCCTCGAATTCTTCATAAAACTGCAGAACGCGAATTCTTATAAATTAATGTAGATAAACCTCATATTTCCGGTCTATATAAGTGAATTACTTCGGAATGCACTCAATCATTTCTCTTTTTTTGATTATTGCTAAATGCCATTTAACCGGTTTCGAATAATAATTTTTTTTATGTAATTTACCATGAAAATAATAATTTTTTACTATAGCTGATTTCGTTTATCAAAATTAATTAATCAATAAAAAAAATTGTGTCGAAAAAATCAAGTCGATAAATTATTGAAATTTTTTACCGGTTAATTAGTGAATTATTTCGTGTCTCTTTCCGCATATACATACTCATATACTTAACTTTTATTGTTCAACTTTTCTACCCACTGTGGTTCTCGTTCAAGTGAGTTTATTTCGGCCAATAACTGATGATACGCTCGCTCTGTATCATTATTAATAATTATCATATCAAATAAATGTCCCCATCGTGCCTCCATATCTCGAGCTGTTGCAATTATTTCTTTCAGTTCTTCTTCCTGTTATCATTCGTTCGTTGTTTACAAGTGCGTGAGTAAAAAGTAAATTTTGTTTGAATAATGAGGAAATAAATTGTAGTAAAAATATATGAAGTATGTACCTTATAAGGTTCACCAGCTCTAATTTTCTTTTGACGTAATTTTTCTAAACTTGGAGGCGCAACTAAAACTGTATATGGCTTCAAGTCGGATTGCCTTAAAATTTTTAAACTTTGAGGATGTAAATTAAGTACACAAATCTTTCCGCTCTCTACTACAGCTCGTATTGCTTCCAATGATGTACCTGTTTGGAGTATAAAGTGTGTTAACAACTATTCAAGTATCTCTCTTGTTTTGCCTCTTACCATAATATGCTTTCTCATATTCACCATGCTCCACAAATTTACGAGCTAAAATGTCAGCTTCGAATTGCTGACGAGAAATGAAATGATAATCCACGCCAGGTACTTCACCCTCTCTACGCGGCCTTGATGTATCTAATAATTTTTTTTTTAAATTAATATATGGATGTCAAATAAGCATATAAGTAGCCTTACGTGGAACAGCAGCAGCAAAACGATCAGAATCTCCCATTAATCTTTGCCTCAGCTCGTGTCTTCCAATATTCGGTGGACCGATTAAAACAATAGGTCGTTTATGTGATGCACGTGGATAATATAATGTCACTTCCTCATATGTCAGAATTTCTGGCTCAGGTTCTTCATGTGTAGTCGTAGCATAAAGCGGATAACCATGCTCATTATTAGCCTTCTTCCTTTTCCTCCTTCCTTTACGAGCACATAATAATGTGGACGTGGCACTTTTAGTCTCACGATTTTTCACTCGATTGCCAAGTTCACCAGCTATCGCTAATTTCATTGATTCTCGTTGATGTTGGAACGATTGACTTGGAATCAAACCAGCGAGCGTTTGATCTTCTTCACCTTCACGATAGGCTTGCCACCAGTTTGGATCCTCACGAGAAATAACATGAAGTACATCGCCTTTTTGGAAACTAAGTCCGAGTTCACGACAAGGAATGTACAAATCATCCTCTGGATCATAGTCGAAATGAGCTCGAACATGAAGTACCGGTGGATCTCTTCCACCACCAATTGCTGGTATTCTATTTGCAGGAACGACCAAAAATGTCAATGTCCCCGACATTCCACTTAGTATTGAACAAACATCGTTGACTGACTTTCCACGCATTTCTATTCCATTTACTTCTAAAATTTCATCGCCCTCATGCAATAATCCAGACTTATCAGCAGCTCCACCTCTAACTACACGGCCTATCACCACTGCTTCGCCCTCATTACGAATCGTTGCACCTAAAGGTTCTGAAGACTTTTCGATTTGAATTATTCTAATATGATCCTGACTGCCATCACGTAAAACACCGAAAGGAATAGGTTCTGGCTGCTTAAAAAAGAGATATTATTAGTCCATTATAAACTTGTAGCTTATCTATTACTTACCTTCTTAATGTCCTCATTAGAACTACTATATCCCTTATTCTCAGGTTGTTTAAGACTCGAAGTAGAATTCGTGTGATGTACAGGAATTTTTGGTGGCACTGTATTAATAATATTAATGTTAGTCGACGGTGGACAATAAGCACGATCCGTCAAGGAAGCAATACTGTCATGAGCCTGTAGTAATCCTTCCATTTCATAAGATGTTAATAGGTCACATAATTCATTAGCTAAATGTGAATTTGATTCCGATAATGCTTCAACGCACTAAAATGAAAAAAGAAAGTGGATGTGTTAATTGAATTTCGAGAGACTTATTGTGCATGAAGTTATTTAATTTACATCTTTTGTTAATTTCTGCGCATTATAGGAAATTGGATTTTGAACTCGAGGAAAACGTCTTTGAAGAAGTTGGATTCGTGTGTCTAATGCCTTTGCAACTACGGATTTAAGTAATAAATTTTGAGCAATATTTAAACGACTGGCCAGAGCATGCATTCCATGCTTCTTAAAATTTGCTTGAAGTCTTTGCATTGTTGCTACCATATCATCATAATCTAAAATAAATTTAAAAACATTAAAGGAGCTCATTAGCATGATGGATGAATGGATGTGGGCAATTAGCAGTACATACCAATTAAATTCATTTTGTTAACATCGTCATCATCATCAACAATATAAGCTTCATTGTCGAATGAAGGTGGTGGAGGAATGTGATCAGCCTTCAATGCATTTAGCTTTGCAGAACCTCGCACGCTATTTCGCAGAAATTCATTTGTAGCTGCAATTCTCTCCTCTTTTTCGCGTCTTTGTCGCAATTGATCTTGATACTTTTTGATACTATCCATTTGATCGGAAGTTGGCTCCAAAATTTGTCCAATTTTACCCGCTTGCTTATTAGAAAAGGATGGCTGTTGTTGAATCACATCACTACGAATATGATCTCTAGGCGGGGGAACAGGCCGAACATCGTTTAGTGGCTTTGATGATGGCACCGATGGTAATATTTGATTATTTAAATTTCTTGGTGGTGGATATCTAGGTTGGGTCTTATTCTGAGCAATAAATGATTCTGGTACATCAACAGCCATCTCACGATGTTGTCCATTCTCAATCGAATGCATTTCAGCTGGATTATGGCTTAAAAAGTTTCCACTCGATACTTGTTTCAATGAATCATCGCCCAGCACTAAAATGCTTGAACGTGATGGTCTGCGCGTTCTGAAATAATGCACAATTGCGACTATTAGCTATTTTACTGACATTCAAAAAAAAAAAATAGCAATAAAAAATTATGCAAGCATACCTATTTTCGCCTTTCAAAAGCGGGTCACCAAGAAGTACTTCAGTTCCGCCTATTGATATGCTATTGCCTTCGAAATTATCTTCTTGAGCTATATCAGATTCTAAATACTGTTGAGAGATAAAATGATATATTGTTAGAAACGTGTATCTTGTAACTGTTGATGAATTTATTATGCAAAACTATAATTTTTATACTATAATGCCTCCATTCAATGCAAAAAAGAAGAAATTCTCACATAAATATTTTAAATCAACTCGACAGACTGCTTCAATATACACATCTATCATCACTCCTTTATCATTTAAATGGAAATATTTGCTCTAAACTTTTCTTTGTAAATGCATGGAGCTGATTTTGAATCACATTGACTGACAGTTGAAATTATTTTTGAATCTAAATCTGTTCAGTAAACCAGAGTTTTATATCATTCAGTTCACTTTTTTGATAAATTTCAATTTTTTGAAAACCGTTAACAATTTAACACATCTGACACAAAGTGAGAATCTCTTCTACTGCTCATACTTTTAATATTCAATTCGCTCAAAAGTGGGCGTAAAAATGAGATGAACAGAATAAAAATTAGAGTTCATAATTAACGAAAATGAAAACAAAAAAATGTGAAAGAGTTGGAACTAATGAGATCTTAGTGAGTACCTCAGTGCGATTATTTGAATAATAACTAGTGCAACTCTCGTTTGGATCAAAGTCTAAATTATTTGGCAACAGACTACTGGCATTGTTGAGCACATTAATGTTATTGTTTATATTAGCACTATGTTTGATTAGTTCACTACTAGGATCGTTTAATATTGGTATTGCTGTTAATGTTCCGTGGGCTGACGATGTCGATATGCCCGCCTGTTTGATTTGTTGTGCCGTTAAAGAATTGAGAGTAGGGTTAGATGCAGAAGCAATATAATTAATATTATTCTGATTCGTCTTATTAATATTGTCAAAAGTAGAGGAGGTGATTGGTTTTCGAATTATCGAAGTGGTTAGTAATTGATTGCTCGTGCTATTAGTCTGATGTAATTCAGGATGATGTATATTACCGACTGTGTCACTAAGTGGATTACTGATACTTTTCACAGTTGGGCTCTTCACTGACGGCTGAATTGTTGATATTTTCGCTGTCGATACTGCTGCACTTGTTACTGTGCTACTGTTATTTGACAATGATGTCACGTAAATCGGTGATGAATCTTTGAGAAAACTATAATCTTGTGTCGTTGTTGCTCCTTTCGGATTTTGCTGATTTAACTGAAATTAACAAGAATAATTTAAGTTGATTAGGTGTGGATCATCATGCAAATAATTCACAGTCACATTGAAAACAAAACAAGCCATCAAGATTTTTTTTCCTTAACTCATTAACATAAAAATCTAGGTGTGTCGTCCGTCGATTGTCGTCTCACTCCGTCACATACGGGTTATTTTTTTTAAAAAAAATACTTCGATAAGCATAAGCACATACCTTTATTGATAGCTGACTTATATCAACTGGTGTGATTCTCTTGAGAGCAGACAATCGTTGTAAACGTTCTCGAGCTTGCTGTTCGACAGCAATAAGAAATGCATCCTGTACAGTATTACACAATTCACTAGCTATAATTAGAAATGGAACTCATAAATTATTACAATTTTTTTATGATTGAATAGACATAAAATAAAATATTTGAGGCAAGTGGAATGTGTGTGCTGCAGCGCATTTCTTTACTACTAATTTTATGTCATGGGGATTTCTGTGAATAACTTTAAAATATTTATTTTATTTTATCTGTCAGCATGTGAGTGTATGCGGCAGCACTAAGTGTTTTGTTTACTTTTGTTTTTGTCAACTAGTGTCACGACAATTATTTAATAAATTATTTATGAACTGAAAATCGATGGATTTTCTTTTTTATCATGGGAACTGAAGCATTAATTGAATTTAATGTCGGGTCTGGTCGAGAAATTATTTGACAGCAGCAATGGATTGTAAAATATTTTATTATTAAAGCTCTAGAGCTTGTTTTTCTTAATTAGTAATAAATCACCAACGGCCTTCAAAAACTTGAATTTTGTAAAATTGAAATTTTTTTGTTTGTAAACAGAATGAAATTAAAATTCTTCAAAAATCAGCAAAAACCCACTTTTATCTCTTGAATTTGTGAATTTAATGATGATTTATAAGTTATAAATGTCCCATTTTTAATGATGAATGTCATAAAATTAAGATTTCTTATCTAATTAAGGCAATTTTCAAGGAATCAAAAGTTCACAAATTTCCAGAGTGTGTTCAGAAAAAATAACATTTTTCAAATTTAAAAAGATCGTTGCAAAAATTTTGATTGGACAAAGATCTAGAAATAAAGATACACAGCTCATAGCTAAGAAACAATTCAATGCCAAAACTACACGAGCAGATGCTGCTTATTTCCCATCTAATTAAGATTAAAAGGCACAACAACCATAAAATTTCTCACAGAATTTTTAATCAGAGATTGATAATCATTTAATTGAAGTCTGTACGTCACATGTACACGAGATTCAATTTGATGGAAATGATTTAACACAAAAAAATGGGTATAATTGTTCTCAAAACGAAACTGGCAATCGAGTGGAACTGAAAGTAGAAATATTTTCACCAACATGATTTTTTTCTAATCCCAACTTCATGCACTTCTTATATACTATGACTTGGATACATGTAAGTTTCCGAATGAGCACAACAACTAAGTAAGTAGTAACAAAGTTATAAAGTAAGCACAAAATCAATGGACAATTCACAGTTAAATAATAAGCAACGAGATATTTAATATCATTATTTTCTACTCTCCGTACCAACGTTATGTCTTCTTCTTCCTTATTGTTTAGCGAAATATAATCTTTATGAAAATATATGAGTATGTTGAAGAGAAATGAAGATGAAGACTCACAAAGCCCTGAACTCTTCGAATTGGAATTTTTTTTTTGTACATACGACGACGATGACTGGCTTAAGTCTCTCAAAAAACTATATTCTAACTTGATTCCGCATCGCGATATGTCCGAAACTCAAATAAATTTTCGGTTTATTTATTTTATTTTGTTAATGCTTTTGTGAATATGTGCGACACTAATGAATGGAAATGATTTTCAGAATGGTATGTGAAACGGTTCGTAAGTCGTCGAGAATACACCAAATTTTTTGTTAATGTTCTATGAGCCATCAAAAATATTTTTTTTTTTTTGGTAATACACAAAAAGGCCTTTTGTACAACACTTTTGGATGTATATACACATCCGATATGCAGTAAATCACAATTATATTAATGGTACCGTCGGATACTCTATGAAAGTAATAATTAAAAAAATGGAATTTCAACACTTAGTGATTGCGATTTTTTTTTTTCAGCCAAGGGAGCACAAATATCTCGTTTTTATGGAATGAGTCACTACACCAAGTTAGTTTTGCTTTCTCGTAGCTTAATAAAAAAAAACTTACTTTCTGCTGTATTTGAGTAACTTTTACGATAAATTTTTAATATCTTCCGATACTTTATTGACTACTGGAAGTTTTTGAGTACTTTTTTGTGACTTTACTATAATTTTACTACAAAAATTTCACCGAAATCTTGGCACGAAAACACCTTTCCATCTATTCGCTTAATTAAATTTACTTCAAAATACTAACACGATGACAATATCAAGTGAACAGTGGTAATGTAAGGTGAAAAAAAGAGAGAATACTGTGGAAACGATGACGAAAACAATACCTTAATATTTGTGTTGTACGCTGCATGCAATACTAAAATAATTTTTAAGCTAGCTAATACATACATGTAGCAATGTTGTGAAGAATACATAAGTAAAGAAGGTATGAAGTATAAAGAGATAAAGAATACATTCTTAAGCATTCTTTTAAAATAAATGAAAAAAGGATCAGGTAGATATACAAGTGGATGACAAAAGGACTTTACGAGAATGTTTTAAAAATCATCTAGTAATTAACAATGTGTTTGAACGCATTTTCAACCGGTGATGGATATTTTTTAAATTTTAACGGTTTATTAAAATTCAAATGAATTGAAATGAGTTGAAATTGTGGATTTCTGAACGATTATTTTGTTTACAATTCGAAATGTTTTAAACTTTCCCAATTTCCACTCTAATTAAGGCACATGAGAAAAATTAAGATAAACCATCACAATCTATCACTCAAACTGTCCATTACAAAGTCATTCATTCATGAAAATAATGTTTAAAATAGGGGAAATTTTTAAAAATAAATCACTTTGAAATTTGAAATCTTCCGGATGAATTACTACGGTAAAAAACTACAGAACAATTAATTAACCATAATGCATACTCATGTACCATAGAACCCACATATTATCTTAATGTCAGTTCCATCAAAGATAAAAAAAAATGTTTCAAAAGAAAATATTTTAATAATTTTTTTTGCATATCAAAAAGAGAGAATTTTGTCTTTGCGGCAAGCATATGAATGTATATTTATGTATGTTTTTGTTCACTAAGTTAACAGCACCTGAGTAAACACGAAAAAATCGCATTCATTCTTTTTCAGGTGTATACAGCAGGTATTTTAAATTTTTTGAGCCGTTATGACTTTAACTACTCACCAAGTCTTGAATCACTTCTCCTTTTCACCCTCAATTTAATCATACATGATTGTATGCACTAAAATATAAACAGATTTATGAGTAGATGTACATACAACAAACAAGAAAGTCCTCATTACCTCATGAATGTGCTTAATTACTAGTGCTCGCGGAACATCGTCAAGCTTCCGTTCATTGACATCAAGTATCTCATCAGCAACTTCTAAGCCATCACGATCAGCCGGACTTCCATATAATTTTATTTTACCATCTCGTCCCTCCACAAGAATAATGACATAGCCCTCCAACTCAACCACTTGCTGTAAATGTTTTTGTAATGAGATGAATAACAAAAAAAGGTATATCCACATACATTTGTGAATATGTATAAAAATGGAATGAGACAGACAAACAGAATGAAGAGAAGTAGTAAGTATCTTTTTAAATTATTAATTTTGTCATTTCTTAGTGCAGATAAGGATGATGATGACTGTTTACTAATTCATAAATAATTATATACACAATGCTCTCTTTCTGTATGCTCTCGCGTAGGACGAGATGAGGAGGTAATGATGAAAAAAAAAAAATCTCATATGTTGAAAAGAATTTTTATGTCCTACATTACACACACTTTTGAGGGGTCGCACGCTTGTGATGTGATTTTAATCTTATTTAAGGATAAGTGTAGTTGACTATAGGTATTCTTATGAATAAGTTCAGTCAATTTATTATCCGTTAAAATTTAAATTTCAAGAATCCGTAAAATTTGAATTTCAAAAATCCGGTTATCACAAACTTTTCAAGCACTAAGTTATTGGATATCATTTGAGTACACCTCCTTATATCTCGTTTTCTCATTTCGTTGATGAATTTTTGTGTCTTATTTCACATATAAATGGAATGCCTTTCTAATTAAAGTCAGTTCTGAGCATTAATTGGAACACATAACATTTTCATCCTTATCTGCTACACATTATCAATGACATTTAAGGATGGATCGCATTACCTTTGACGAGTTCTGAGGTGTTAATGCAGGTTTACTATTCATGATTTATGCGTTAATGTAGAGTTGTTGCTTATGAATTAATCCCCTTAATTCTTGGAAGATTTTTTTTGTGCAATTTTTTTCTCTCTCTCTTCGTATCACCAATCCCTAAACGTATCCATTATTCTACATATTTTATGTTTGGCATGTAAGTTTGCATTGCATTGAATTATTTTTTGACACTTGGTTTCATAACTTCAACTTTGAAGTAATTTTAGACTTAGTAATTCCATTTTTTAATAAAAAAATTTTCTTATCGAAGTTTTTTCTCTCTCTTTTTTTCTTGCTAAATTGAAGTTTTCTTTTAAAAAAGAGGAAAAGAAAATCTTGAGCTGAGAATTATCGTAAAAAAAGGCTTTATTCTTTGTGCACTATTTAATGTTTGAAACGCTAACACTTAGATGTATACTTTTAAATTGATTCTATATATATTTTTTACACTGAAAATTATGCTTTTTATTTTATGAATGAAGAGGATCCTTTGGTTAGAAAAAGGATTTTGCATCAATTAACTGCGCATAATCAGAAAAGATTCATTGGATTACATTTAAAACTTTATAACTGACTCTTTTTATTTGAATTCATTGTAAATTGTTCAACGATGAAAAATATTTTGAATTTTTGAACTGAAATCAAATGAACTCTCGGATTACTGAATAGTTTAAAATTTTCAAAACAAAAATATCCAAATTAATTTAATTTCACAATTTCTCCATTATTCCTTAGCATATAGATCAGCAAATAAGAGATAATGATGAATCTCAAGCCACTGATCAGCTGTAAGTATATCATAACATCTTATAATAATGATATCTGACATATTTTCATCAAAATACATTAGATTCTGGCGATAATATTCTATTCAAGTCAATCCAGACGAGAATTGAACAAGCACTTCCAACTGATAAGATTGAATGGAAGCGATCGTATGGACGAGGCACAGCTAAAAACATCAAATTAGAGGCTAATTTCAAGACATTTGAAAGCTGTAAGGCACAAATAGAAAGTTATAATTCACAAAATTTTGACATACTTAAAGATCCAAGCCTGCATATTTACATCTCTGAATGCAATGTGAGAGGCATAGTTCTATTCTAATATTATTCTTTACTAATCAAATTGTTTCAATATATAACCATATAGGATGTTGAGACATATAAAGGAACGTTAAAAGAGGAACTTGATTCGTGGCTAAAAAATCTTGCAACTTACGGAATTTCTGATTGGATGATTCTTATTGTAGAGACTATTGATATGAAAAAGACTAAGAACATTCTTCCCAGACAAAGCGTCCTCGACAAGATTCGTCTGGATTTTGGTGCTAAGAATGCCGATAGATGTGTTTCGATATTAAATCCATTAAAATTCGAGAATAAGGCAACAGAGTCATTCCGATCAATGATCCAACGAATAAGACATTTAATCCTATCAGCATACAATAAGAATATTATTAAATTTGAGGAGATAATAAGAGCAAGAAGAGAAGAGAGAAATAATGAAGATTGGAATTTTATTACGTACTTTTTACTGCAAGAGAAACTTGCGTTCGTACTAGAAATGCTTACACTTTATTCAGACGCTCTTGTTCAATATGATGAACTTGATGCTATGCTTAATCTCTTTATCATGAACACAATGTATGGAGAAAAACCGAAATGGATGAGTACATTTGAGAAGCCTTTAAATAATCTTCGAGGAATTACAATGTGTCAGAAGGATATAAAAGAAACTAGAGAAAAAATCGTCGATAATTCCATCACAATAATTGAATTAAGAAATTACATCTTTCAAAGACAATGTACGTTATTGAACTCGATGGAGCATCAATGGGAAATTGCACAACGTCTATTTCCATTCCTTTTCTCAACTTTAAGGGAGATCGTTGAAGCACTAAGATTAGAAACTTTCATGGGTACATTGTCATGCTGGCAATTTATAAATTGTCTAGAAGTTCTTAATATGTGTGATTGTGTTGTTGGCACAGAAAATATAATTAAATGTTCACAGCATACAGCATCAATATGGAATTTGGCAAAAGATAAGTTATATGAATTAGGAAAGCTTTGTGGATTATTGCCAGGCTCTGACTCTACGTCTGAGCAGCTACATATTGTTGTTCAGTTATCGTCATCAATTGGAGAGAGTCCTGAAAGAGATGAGCTAGAGAAAAAAGAACTGGAAATAAGAAGATCGCATTCGCCAAGCAGAAAAGTCCAAAAACCAGGTTGTGAAAGATTAAGGGAAGCTCTGCAGTCTAATGAATTATTCCAAAAGTTGTACTTAGAGCTGTGTGAATTAGCAATAAGCACTTATAAGCATGTATCAAGACTAAGATCAGCTAGATATGTTGGAAGAGACTTAGGCAACTTTTATTGCTCACTCAATGAGCCTCATAAAGCTATTGTCTTCTTTACTGACCTTCTACGTGAATTAAAATCTGAAAAATGGAACGCATTGGCATCACAGACATTACTAGAACTAGCAAATTGCTATAAGAAGCTTGATGATTCATTGAGTTATACAAAAGTTTGTGCTGCTATATCATGCTGTGTTGATTTAGAAATTCTCGTCCGTACTTTTTATTTTGATGACTTCCTCAAGTCACTCAAATCAATTCAACCAATTTTGACACAGTCTGATAAAGAATCTAATAATTTCATTCAGCTTGAGGACAATTTTAAGCTCATTGATGTGCATTTGGTCAACAGCAGCCCGATCATTCAAGACAGCTTACTTTCATTGGAACTAAGAATTGATTCGAATTTTCCAAGAGAAGTTTTGTGTGAAAAAGTCGCAATAAGTTTTGAACTCTTTGGCAAAGGTACAGAAGCAGTTATACCGCCAAATGAATTTGACATCCTTCCGTTCTCAATTGAGACAGATTTAAAACAAGATAATACAATCAATATGGTATCTGTAATCTGTGAGAGTAAGGGAAAGGTACGAAGAACTAGCAGCGGAAAGAATGACAACTTGCCAGTCACTGAATCTAATTTCAAGCATTCTGCATCAGCTAAAAATATCCTCATTCATCCAGGAATTAATGTGATTGTGCTTGAAACAAAGGCACTAGAAGTTGGTACGTGGATAATGAAGCAAATAGCCATACATTTTCAAAAACTAAAATTCTTATCCAAGTCAATCAATGTCAGAAACAAGCCATTTGAAATCAGCACAAAATCGAGTTCTGCATCATTACACTTTTCTGATTTAGTAGCTGGATTGGATCAGAGCATGAAGCTATTCATTTCTGGTGGATCTTATCATTTTCCAAAGGAATCATCCATACAATTAAAATGCTCGAAAGGCTTAAAACTGAAGAAGAATGATGAAAATGATTATCAAAAGACATTAAATATAAAATTAACAGACTTTAAATTATTCGAGGAACGAACAGTTGAACTAAGTGCTCTCTGTGAACTGCCATGTCGTCGTGACGAGACATTAATTGATCAAAAAGTTTTACTTCACTGTCCATGGAGTGAATGTGAGATTCAAATTCCTTTAAAATTCTTACCCATCTTGACTGCTTCGTGTCGTTTACATTCGTCTGGATCTAAAAAGTTCCTTCAAGTTATTGTTAAAAGTTTGTATGAAAAGAACTTGATTTTAACTGATGCTGTAATGAAATGCTTAGTTAACAATGTAATAATTACGGATTTGAATCCAAAATCACAGAATCGAGTGACAATTATGAAGAATATATCCATCAGCTACTTATATGAGATTGAAGCTGAGCCATTACAGACAATAAATGAACTGCCAGTGATTAGTATTGAGTTTAACGTGATGTATGCTGATGTTAATCATTCAGAAGTCATTCGACGATACATTTGTCCATTTGATGTCACTGACTATAATACATTGTTCCATTTGACAGTCAAAATTGCAACTGAGCCTCAAGAAATTTGTCGTGTTGGAACTGTCTGTCATCTCAATTTGACAATCAAGAAATTGACAGAACAAAAGCAGTTTAATGATTTGATGTATGAAGTTCTTTTTGATCAGAATATGTGGGCACTTTATGGACGTTCAGCAGGCGTTGTATCAATGACTGATGACATGATGGAAACGACAATTACCCTTGATATTTTTCCACTCATTCCTGGATTCCTGCCACTACCAAACATACGATTAAGCAAGTATATGGCAAATAAAACTAATAAAACTGACAATCCCAAATTAGTTCCATTTGCACCAACACAAGTGTACAATTCAACAAAAAGTTTGCAAATTCACGTGTTAAATAATGTGGAACAGCAATGAAACGTACTGAGTAAAGTGCAAAAGGCACAAATTTAGTAAAGCTTATAAGTTATCAATCTCATTTATTTCTGGGTTTTGTTTTTCTTCATCTTGTATTGTTATCGTCTCATAAAATATCAATTTCTATTTATTCCAATTGTTATTATGACTTAATGCTTAGAAATAAATGTAAAGTTCTTGTTAATTAAGTTAAAGGAATGATAAATAATTTACTCAGAAAAAAATCGTGTCAACACAAAAGAAAAAAAAACCTTAATCTTAGAAGATTAATCAAATTAAAAATATATATATCAATAAAAATATTATATGTTTATCGACTAGAAATTGAAAGAAACATGTCTTTTTACTTTCTTCCTTAAATTATTTAAATAGTCTATCATGCCTTGCACGAAAGTTCCTTTGCATGCACATCTCTCATTTTGTTTTAGGAAAATTAAAATCATTCATTTTGAGCAATTTTCAGTAATAGAAGAGAGATAGAGAAATTCAGTGAGGATATAGACATAGGTATATAAATTGCACAGTTTAATTAATGCATTGTATCGTGAACTGTTCTTTTTTTTACAAAATTGGTTTAATTTTTTAATGTGCGAATAAGTAGAAATTGAGTTGATGTCTGGAGAAAGTGATCTGTTCTTTAATTTTAATATCTTTTCTCTGTTAAGTTTAGATTATTTGATAGATTTAAAATAAATTCATCGGATTAAATTGAGTAATTCAGTAATCCAACACTTCATTTCAGCTCAGTTCATTCGATTTTTTAAAAGAAAACGGTAATTTTTGAATTTTAGAAAACCGTTAAAATTTTAAACGTATTCGAAAGAAGAACATAGCTTTTTCCAGACAGCAGCTCAAAATTGAAACATTACTTTTATAAACATGCTTTTTTGAACTCCTTTATAAGTATAATATCATTCAATTATGAAATTATTAGGATTTTAAATAGTTGCATTTAAATATTTCAAAAGTTTAGTAAATATCTTCGAATTGAAAAGGATTATAAGCTTAAATCTACATGTGTACATGTTAATTTTATTCATTTCGCGTCACACAATAGAAAAAATGAATTAAGATAAGCAGCGTCAAAGCACAAAAGCACGTTAGGTGTAAAAAAATTAGAAAGAAGCTCGAAAATCGAGTATTATTAATTTTTCATCAATGCTAAAATATATAGGCAATGTTTCTCATATCATATATAATCAAATATCAATTTTTTTTGTCTTGAAGCATGTCTCTTTTCGTCTTTTAATTGCTTACATTGAAACGCAGGTACATTAATGTCCAAAAGTAAAAGAATCTCTCGTTTTGCTTAATTTTGACAGCAAAATAAATTAAGTCATAAATATTGCAAATTACGAACGCATTTGGTTAATATCGATTAATGGTATCATCTTTTAGTAATTTAGTAATTCTTGCATTCCTGTTTAAAAAATGAAAGTTAAACGGTTTTCTTAAATTTGAATTTTATGCAAAAAATTATTTTAAAACTTTGAAAATCCGTTAATATTTAAAAATAAAAAAAACCGTTAAAAATCATTTTGCATGCTTGGAAGCTTCATGAAACGTGTCGCAAAAAACATCACATTATCATAAAATATCCAATTCAATCCTTTGTAACCCTATCAAATATCAACGTTATTGAATATAAAATGACTTTTTTTGGCTAATGGTTAGTGTGCATTAAAAAATGAATGTAGCACCGAAATCAATTTCATTTTATACATACTGTTATTGTTATGATCATTAAATAGTTAAGAGAGAAAGGTTTCTTTTATTTCTCATTATCATCGACTTCAATTGCTCTTCTAACTGTTGATCGCTGGATGTTTGTGGCATTTATACGACCACCTGTCGACCCATTGAAGTTATTTGTATTTTCATTAAGAAAATTGTCGGGACTGAATCGTGCTAAAGCACTTAAATATGAACTATCATCACTAAAGCTATCTTGCGGAGTGGAATGAGTAGGAGTAACTCCTGTACTGTTAATTTTTGTCGAATTTATAATATTATTAATATTTGCTTCACTGACAATAATTTGATCACAGTTTGACATTTGGGACTTTGAGACTTCAACATTGTCCACAGCAAAGAACATTTTCCTTTTTTCAGCATTCGACATCGAAATGGGCGATTTATATTGTTCTGGCTGTACATTTCCATCATTTCGTATTGATTTGATTGGCGTTTGACAATGGGATGCAGGTAGTGATGATGATGCTTGAAAATTATGTTGGAAATGACTAATGTTCTCGTACAATCGCATTCGATTTGGTATTTCATTAGGAACTACTGTATCGGCATAATTACATGTATATGGCACTGAATGAAATTGTAATGGCTCACGACTAATGGCACCGCCAGCAATATTAAAGTTTTGAAAACGATAATCCAAATCTAAGCGCGGATCCATTGGATCAATTTGAAAATTACGATTATTTAAATTATTCGACGACGTATTTGAAAGTGTTCGACGATGTATTGTTTTAGTTCCCATCACTGGCGTACGAATTGGTGTTTTTGGAGGAAGTTGAGGTGGAATTTGTGGATCTACATAATTCACTTGTCTATAATTATCACTGTCGTATTGATTACTTATTTCGATAAAGCTTGTCGGACCAGAATTTATGTACATTGTTGGATTCTTTTGAAATGGATTCATGTTGGAATGTTGATGCTGGTAATAATCTATTCAAGGCAAAACCGGAAAAAAGTTTTAGATTATTTTTAAAAGTATGCAACATTTCTACTCACCAGATTCTAGACTAGACATCATTGGAGGGGATATAAATCTAGGATTTTCGCCTTCAGGAATAAACAAATATTCGTCAGCTATGAGATCACTTTCTATGAAAGAAGAGGACGTTCCAACATTTGGGTGCATTTTCGAATTAGCTAAACTACTCATCGAGGACGAATCTATTGGATCTGTTGTGTACGATGTAAAATTTGACCCTAAACCACTGGTTGTTGTTAACGTTGTTGACTGCATGTAATTATTAGGAATTCGACTATTTTGAAATCCCGCAAGCTGATTTAGCGATACTCTGTAAATGATATGAAACCAAAAAGATTAATGTTTTTAATCCGACGATTAAAAAAACTAGATCATACCTCATTTTCTGTTTCGTCGGTCCATGATACGTATCAAGTCCATATAATTTATTTAAATGCGGGTTTCCTACATTCAGTATATCTTTCTCGTGTGGATAAATGCCTTTATATAACGGACTATGATGCATATCAAATTCACTTGTCGGAATCTGTTGTGTACTTTGAAGTCGTGGATGATTAACTGGTTGAGGTTGAAGGTTTGAGATCCTTATGTCGAATCCAGTGGCAAAACTAGCCAAAAATGAAGCCATATTATACATTACACTATCTACAATTCCCAACTTCTTTTTATCGCGCTCAACTAACGGCTGAAAACACAACGGCAAGCTTGAAATCCCGAAATCTTCGTGCGTCCATTCTTCAGAATTGCTATCGTCTAAAGGATTTGGTATGAAGTTCAATTTAATCATTCATGAAAATATTCTTTAACTTATTTTTTATTTGTATTTTTATGTTTCGTCGTTGCCATTATTAAACAATAAGAAGGAAATTAAAACATAAAGAACCACAACCATTTTTTTTTTTGGCAAAGAATAAAGAAACAAAAATTAAATTGCTCGTTTTAATCTGAAACTCCTTATTTATTAATTTAAAATGATAATTTCAAATAACTTAATGAAATTAAAATAATCTAAAACAAAAATTTTCTTTTTCGTACAAAAAAAAATTACAATTCTAAACTAAATAAACAAAGAGGCAAACTTAATCAAAGACCAAATAAAGCGATTACTTTACAATTCCTAAATTTTTCACACATAGACCTTTTTTACTTCCACCAGAATTTTCTCGGTTTTTTTGTTTGTTTTAATTTTAAAAATACAGATTTTTTTGGGGAATTTTAATCACATTGTAAGGTCATATCAGCATATGAGCATGTAGAAAATTTTGTGTATTGTTATTAAACTTTGCTTGTCAACATTTTGTTAATAAAGAGTTTGAAAATAGTTGATTGTGACTAGATCCGTTACAAAAATATTTGAATTTTTGAGTGCGTTTAGCAAAACTTCATTTCAGTTCGGTTCATTTGATTTTTTTAAAAACCGTTAATATTTGAATTTTTGAAAACCGTTAAAATTACTATTGTTGGCAGAGATTTAAGCATCATTTCCTCCAATTATGATGCTGCAAATAGAGGAACTTGGTAATCACAGTCAGCTTAATTCCAAACTCTGATAATTTTTTCATTCAACACGGAATTTTATATGAGCTCATATGCGTATACTGCTTTTTAAGGGTTCATACTACAGTTTTTATTGCCTTGTGTATTCATTTTTTCTGCTTTATAAAACAATAAACTAGAAATAAAATACGATAATGCCAATAATTCTTTACATCTATTACATTAAATGTAGCAATAAACATAAAACTTTACATAAATCAAATCATTTGTATTCGTAATAAATCTAACATAAAAATGGAAGAACGATATAGTCATCAAATGATAAAAGAAAGGAAAACTTGTGGCAGCATACATCATATAAAATTCAAGGTTGTTTCATCAAAAGACTATTCTTTTAAGTTGATCTTTTTTAAGAACTTAGGAGTAATAAAACTTAACTACAATTCATGTGCGTCATGCAATAAAATATCAAAAGTGTGTGAACATAATACGAGATACAAATTTTAAGGACTTTGCAGCATAAATAACGGCTTATTCATTTTCAAAAAAAAATCGTTAATTATGCTGCAAAAAGAAAGGAATTACATGTTATGTGAGAAAGACTGGTTTTTACAATAATTTTTTTGTATATAATGTCTTGCCTTTTAAAGGGTAAATGCACAAGAAAATTAATTAATTAATTAATTACGACAGAAAGGTTGTTTTTTGTTTAACTGAACAAGCATCAAAAATTATGCAAAAATAATTAAAGTATCCTCTCGAACCCCCAATAGCAACATAAATAATAATAAAGTTATCAGGATCTCACTGAACTTGTTAAACGACAATGAAAGAGAAAATTTTAATACTGAGTATGTGGCCAAGAGCTTTTACGTACGGTGGATGATTCTTCAGAAGATTCGCTGTCTCGATTACCATTTCCATTTCTAGCCGAGCCATTCTTGAAGAAACATTGTCTAGTAAATTGAGAACCACCTCGATACCATTGATAATCACTGCCAGTTGACAGATCATCAATGGATTTCGAGTAAACTTTCTCGTCTCTATCGTCATCAACGTCAAATGAATCGATTGCATCGAGACTCTTTTGTAGCCTCATAGCTAGTTTATTTTTATTTGGTTTAGTTCGCATATAAAGAATATCCTCTTCACTCATGTCATGAGAACTACCAACAGCATCTAAACTTTGTTCAAATCTTTTATAAAACATTAAATCAACATTAAATTGAGCTTTTGGCGTCGTAAATTCCTCAAATTGAATTTTTTTCTTTGGATCAGTACTATTTTTTCGTGAATTTGAGCCTTTAGTCTTTCTCTCAACTGTCGTTGTGGTCGATGATGACGATAGTAATTGACGATTGTCTAAATCTGGTGTCGTATGAGACTTTCCAAACATCCTATACCGACTCTTTGACTTCTTAGCATCACTCGACGAAGAATTATTTCCAACAAATGAGAAACATCCTATCGAGACATTTTGCGAGACAGAATCATCACTATCATACTCAAAACTTTCATTCGAATGATTATGTGAACTAACTGATGTCATGCTTGTCTGCTTCTTTTCATCATCGTTATTATTATCATTAAATTTCGTGAGATCCCGTTCATAAAAGATTGAATGATAATTTGTGTTAGTGTAATTATGGCTATTATTCACAGACGTTGTACTTTTAACAACAGTCATTCTGTCAGATAAATTGTCAGCTCTGTTACCTAAAAGAATATTATCGGTCGATGATGATGAGCGCGACTTATTATCAAGATTTGGTGCCGATTTAACTAAATTTTGTGAGCGCTCTTGAGGAAAGGCTGGCAAAAATCCACGCTCTCTTTGATGTGACATTGATGATGGTCCCCATGTTTTTCCTTTTGTTGTTGTTGATGACGGCGTATCATCATCATCATCATCATCATCGGATCGAACTTTAGGAAATAATTTATTGTTTATTATAATACAAAAATTGATTGATTTAAATTAATGATAATTTTCATTTTTTTTATTACTATTGCTTAGTCACTTCTCATGATCATATATGCTTATTTTTTAAAAGCTTAAATTAAGGATAGAGCAGTTAGAGAACTAAGAATTTCTGTCAGAGATACCGCGTAATTCACATAAATGGACAATATCAAAGGATGATTTTTTTTTTCTCATAAATAATTTAAGATGTTCAATAAAACACATGCAAATGACATAAAAGGTCAAAAAAACATTATTGCAAGCTATACTCAAACTTGTGTCAAAAAAAAAAATATTTGCAGGAAAAAACTGTTCAACAAAATCAATGATGAGAACTAGAAAAATGGAAATGTTCATGGTAAAAAAAAAAAACTAAAAACGATGGATAAAGTCTACCGAAGAACGAAAAACGGATCTACTTGAATATTCTATGGCTCTAAAAAGAGTGGGTTTTGAAAAGTGGCTTAATACTCACGAGCAATTGCTCTTAATCTTGTGGGTGCTGGTGAATTGGGAGGAGGAGTTTCTGCTTGCTGTGAATTCGATTCGTCCGCAGAACCTGTATGCATTACAGTTATTTTATGTTTAAAATCTAATGGAAAGGATATTTGAAATGGAGTTTTCTTCAGTAGCTGTAAAGAGAAATGTTAAAGTCCTCGATTAGTAAAATTTATGAGCAAGTCAGTCAAGACAACAGCTCACCTTTAGTTTGGAAGTCCCTATTTTGTTTTTTCTCTTCAACGGCGTCGGTGCATTGTTCATGATTATTTTCAACTCTCGTCCTAGCAGATCCAACTCGCGATTCTTTAACTCCTGGGCTAATTTCATTAAATTTTCTTGCTCCTTTTTCTGTTGTTGCTGAACTCGCGTAAGTTCTTCTTCCTTGCAACGTAATTCCTATAAAAAATAATAAAAAGCAAAACAATGTAAAAATAAATAAGTAAGCCATAAAGAGAGCTTTAGTGTCATTATCATAGGAATAAAATTAAGAATAAAAAAGGAAATAGCAACTTAATTAAAAGAAAATCAAACATAACGCGAAATCAAAAGCTAAAGGGAACATAAAAAGGTCGGAACTCAAAAGATATCGTCACACGCAAACCATGTAAGGAAATGAATTGATTCCAAGCGATTTCTTACCTCTTCGAAATTTTTAAATGCCTTTTTGTACATAAAGGAAAAGTTACACAATAATGAAAAAAGACAATTGAAATAAAATAAAAAAAATATTGATACATGTTTAGCTTAGAATTGGGATTATCTTTAGCGTCTATTATGTTTTATGTACTTAAAAAGTATTATTAAATTAGCTTCGAAGCTTCATTGTTACTTACTTTTTCCTTTAAACGTAACTCGTGAAGAACTTCAGCAATTTCCTTTTTCCAGCAGTCTTGCATGTTGTGAAATGACTCGTGTGGAGTCTGTTTAAATCCTGACTCAGCGATGATTTCAAGATCCCTTAATATTGCTTTAAATTGAGGCCTTTTGTGCGAATCAATGTCCCAACATCCTGTAATCATCATATTGTCATTAATTTATCTTATTTTTGTGACTCAATAGTCTTAATCATTTACCTTTCATTAAATTTCCCCAAGCTTCAGGACATGTTTTAGGAATTGGAAGTGTAAGCGTGTTGATGGCTACTCCGTAAGCCACAGATAGTGAATCAAATCCTTTATATGGAATTTCTCCAGTTAAAAGTTCCCATAAAAGAACACCATAAGACCAAACATCGGATGCTCTATAAAAAGTTGGATGATATGTCATAAAAATTTCTTTGTTATCAGCGAGTATATATACTTACTTTGAATAGGTTCCAGCCTTTATAACTTCTGGTGGCATCCATGCGTAAGTGCCTGTAAAAAAAAATCAAATACAATGAATTCTGTCATAAAAGTTGATTGTAATAAAATATATTTACCTGCTGCAGACATTCGTGTTGTATTGTAAGCTTCTCTAGCCAATCCAAAATCTGTAATTTTTAAGGTTCTACCTCTTAAATCACTGTCGTCAATTGGCTCACTTATAAGAACATTTGAACTTTTTAAATCACGATGAATGACCGATATCGGTGCACCATTATGTAAATAACTCATTCCTCTTGCAATTTGTATTGCCCAATCGATGAGAACATCGGGAGGAATTCTCCGACTACTTGATAAAATTCTATTGAGTGAACCTCCTTTAGCATATTCCATAACTAAGCAGAATTTTGGTGGTAGAAGGCAAACACCACGAAGAGAAACAATATTTGGATGTTTGAGTGACCAAAAAAGCTTGGCTTCTTGCAATACATTTTTCTTAGTCACATTATAGTCAAGTTCTGGATTGTGGCGAGCCTCTTTTACAGCAACGACATCATTTCCTAAAAATGCTCTCTTCACTTCCCCAAATCCACCTATAAATGAGATTTTTAAGCTTATCACTGATTGCACAATAAGCTGGTGAGCTTTGACTTACCAGCACCAATTACTTCTTTGACATCTAAATCATCGTACTTGATTTCATGAGGATGAGCATCTTTAAGCATCGTATCGTCACTTGTGACATAGTTTGCAGGAAAAATTCCTACTTTATCTCCAATCTTGCCAGTCCACCATCCATAATCACCAGAAATTGACTCATCTTTTGATAAAACCCAAACAATTTGTCTGAGAATGCGTAAGAAAAATAGATTCAAGTATTATACATCAATTATTTTTTGCATGTTCTTACCCAACTCGCAAATCCAGTTCATCTTCACCTACAATATAAAATTATACGCAAACAAATAAAGTACAGTAAAGAGAATTAGTTTTTCTTGGGCTTATATCTAGTTATAATAATTAAGAGGAACTCACCTAAAGCTGAGTAGTCATATTTAGCTGTATAAAGAGGTGATTCTTGCTGATTGTCAAGGAGTGAATAATTTCCGTAAGCTAGTTCAGACATTTTGCAATTCTAAACAAATCATTGATAAACTCTATGCTTCTCTGTCTACTGTTTTAGGCACTCTTTTTTGCAACTTTCATTTGGAATATTGTATGAATTATAGAAAGATTCAGTATGGATGAATTGAAGTGATTGTTATGAGGTTTTACAGATTTTTTAATTTTTTCTTCTACCAACTTATGTTTTTATCTTTGATATTAGAGTAAACCAAAGTATAACTAAAGTTTCGAGTAATATTGAGTTTAATAGTTGTCCTTAACTACGATTTATTTACATTATACGTCGTTTATGCTCTCCTAACTAGTTAAAATAATTATTTGTATCAATACAATTTTTCAGATTCACGACTAAAATAATATAATAAGGCTGACTAGACTTGATCTTTCCACAACACTTTTCTCATCACTTTTATGACTTTACATCATTTCTTTCACTTGCTTACATCCAGTTATGTCTACTAAACATGTTTGTAGCTTGTTATTTACAGACTTTAGTGTCACTTTTATCAACATTTAAAAAATTGTCCTTAAAATATGAAGCATATAGCCAGCCGTTGCTTACTTTTGAGCAACAAACTATTATTAAAATCCTATCTTTCCATTGTACACATTTTTAAGCACCAGCTACACTTATAAACCACTTAATTTAATTAAATATGCGAGAGTTGAATTTTTGAAATAAATGTAAACAAGGGCACATCCAAGAAGGCAGTTTTTCTCAAAAATCTACTCAAATCAACCGTCATTTAATATTTGAATTTCAGTCACAATTGTGGTCAAATCCACATATAAATTGATTTGGGTTCTGAAGTATTTTAAGGATTTGTGCTTAACGGAAAAAAAATTGAATTTTTCACTAACACTATCTTACAAAACATTAAGAATTAAATTCTCAAAATTCTTGACTATTCAATCATTATTCCCAAACTTTATGATTTAAATACGAAAAGTAGATGATACAGTTGCTGTTGTGACTATGTTAAGAGCTTTTACATCATTATTGAGTGATATTTTCGTGACTTTTTAAATTTCATTTCCAGTTTTGTTTGTAAACAAACAAATTACAACCGAAAACATTCAAAAAAGGTAAAACCGTTAAAAAAATTTTAACTTAATTTTGTCCATTTAGGCATGTTAATGCAGCAATTTTAAATTTGTTATAATATCAAAAACAAGAGAATAAAATTTCACACAAGATAAAATAACTTTGAAATTTGTCACTGTTGAGGTTTCGGAGATATTTAAGAATCCACAGAATCACTTACGAATAATTCGAATTCGAACGAAATTCAAATTTTTTTCGGAACTCAAATCAATTTATACATGGATTTGACCACAAATGTGACAGAAATTCAAATATTAAATAACGGTTGATGAGAAAATTTCATTTTCCCGCGTAAATATCAAGAGCAACATTTCGACAACACTTATTTAATCGTTTTTAAGAAAAGTTATACATCTATTTAAGTTAATTATTTCGTCAACACATAGTTAAACATGTCGGAACCAAGTGCTACTCCAAGACGTGATGAAAATGGTAAGTTAAGTTAATTAATTTTGATGATAAAGAAATATGACACAAAGATCCATGTATAGATACTCAACAAAGTTCTGTGGATACGCCAATGAGAAATCCACCATCAGTTTCTTCAGCTAGAACGCCGTTAAATGAAGGATCAGCTACTCCACATCATATGAATGCCTCTGAATTCGATCTAAACTCACCACTTAATTATGGAACCCCTAGTTCCATAGGATCAATCAGAACACCTCATTCAGGCATCCAGAATACTCCATTAAAGGTACGACCTGATATTCGGATTGATAAGCGAATTCGAACCGTTAATGTTGGTGGATTGGATACAATATCGGAAGTAGATTCTCAATCTGAAAGTGGAGCAACGAATACACAATCAGCACAGCTGCTTGTGTGGGGAACGAATGTCGTCATTAGTGAATGCAAGCTAAAGTTTAAGAATTTCTTAATGCGGTACATTGATCCAGAAATTGAGCAGGATGAAGTTGAGGAAGGAATGAATTTGAATGAGCCACTATATTTGCAGAAATTGGATGAAGTAAACTCTCTTGAAGAACCCTTTTTAAATGTCAATTCTGCTCATTTGAAAATGTTTGATGAACAGCTTTACAATCAACTTATTTGCTATCCTCAAGAAGTCATTCCAGCATTTGATATGGCTACGAATGAAATCTTCTTTGAGAAATATCCTGCAGCTGTTTTAGAGCATCAAATTCAAGTACGTCCATTTAATGCTGAAAAGACACGCAACATGAGAGCATTAAATCCTGAAGATATTGATCAATTGATTTCTATAAGTGGAATGGTTATTCGTTGCTCCAATATAATTCCTGAAATGCGTGAAGCATTCTTTAAGTGTATTGTCTGTTCATTTACAACATCTGTAGAGATTGATCGAGGCCGCATTCAGGAGCCAAGTTTATGTACGCATTGTAATACAAATCATTGTTTCCAATTGATTCATAATCGGTCACATTTTACTGATAAACAACTTATAAAACTTCAAGAATCTCAAGAAGACATGGCAGCTGGTCAAACACCACACAATATCCTTTTGTTTGCATACAACGATTTAGTTGATAAAGTACAGCCTGGTGACCGAATTACAATCACTGGAATTTATAGAGCAATTCCAATTCAAGAAAATCCACGCCAAAGAACAGTATCATCGGTTTATAAGACACACATTGACGTTGTACATTTTCGCAAATTGGATAAGAAACGCTTGTACGAGTCGGAAGATGGTAAAGAACATTTATTTTCGCCGGAAAGAATTGAGCTTATGCACACATTATCACAAAAGCCGGATGTTTATGAGAGATTAGCTCGCACCATTGCTCCCTCGATTTATGAGAATATTGATATTAAAAAGGGTATTCTATTGCAACTTTTTGGTGGAACTAAGAAGAAGCATTCGGTTGGTGGACGACAAAGCTTCCGTTCCGAAATTCATATTCTTTTATGCGGAGATCCTGGCACATCTAAAAGTCAACTGCTTCAATATGTATTCAATTTAATTCCTCGCTCTCAATATACTTCCGGAAAGGGATCATCTGCGGTCGGTTTAACTGCTTACGTTACACGCGATCCTGACACTCGTCAATTAACTCTTCAAACTGGTTCTCTTGTTTTGGCTGACAATGGTATTTGTTGTATTGATGAGTTTGATAAAATGAGTGATTCAACGAGAAGTGTATTGCATGAAGTCATGGAACAATCAACTCTTAGTATTGCAAAAGCTGGTATTATTTGCCAGTTGAATGCACGAACATCAATTTTAGCATCATGTAATCCCTCTGAATCGCAATGGAATAAGAATAAAACAATCATTGAAAATGTCAACTTGCCTCATACGCTGATGAGTCGTTTTGACTTGATATTTTTAATTTTGGATCCACAAGATGAACTTTTCGATAAACGTCTCGCCACGCATTTGGTTTCTTTATATTATGCAGGCAACAAGGAAGATGAAGACACATTATTCGTGAGTTTCTTTATTTCATTTATAGAATCTTCTTTTTAAATTTTAAATAAGAGTTTTTGAGAGACGAGAAAAAAAAATTTGTTAAATGAAAAAAATCGATAATTCACAGGATATGGGAGTATTAAGAGATTATATTGCGTATGCACGTGAGCACGTTCATCCAAAATTGACAGATGAAGCACAACAAAAATTGATTCAATGCTATGTGGATATGCGTAAAATTGGCTCAGGACGAGGACAAATTTCAGCCTATCCTCGTAAGTATTCTCAATCATTCTCATACACTATTTTGTGGGAAGAAGCTCTTTATTCAAACCGTATGGTCTATATTTAACATTAATCATTTCTATTATACTGCAACGGCAGGCAGTTGGTTTTTAAATCTAGCAATAACATTCTTATTCTTCAGGATAAAGTTAATACAAGAGATATAAAAATGTTAACACGTAAACATTAGAATTTGACTAAACTAACATTGAATGGTCACTTATTCAAGAAACTATTAATAATAAAGATCAAACATCTCTCTAGGTCAACTTGAAAGCTTGATTCGTTTGGCAGAATCTCATGCGAAAGTTCGATTGAGTCAAAAAGTTGAACTTGTTGATGTTGATGAATCGTGGAGATTGTATCGAGAAGCTTTGAAGCAGTCAGCAACTGATCCTCATTCAGGTAAAATTGATGTTGGTATTTTGACCACTGGCTTGTCAGCTACAGCCCGAAAGAAGAGAGCAGACTTAATTGCATTTATCAAGGATATGTTGAAGAAAAAGAACAAGACTAAAACCATTCCATATCAAAAGTTCCTTTCAGATGTTAAGGAATCGTCTCCAGTAGTAAGTTGAATCTATTTGACTATCTATAGAATGAATTTTATATTTATATTATTTTTATCCACAGTTGATCACGCGCGAACAGTTCGAAGATGCTCTTAAAGAATTGCAAGACGACGGTGTTGTAACTGTCATGGGAAATACAATTCGTGTTTGTTAAGGTTCAAATTAAATATTAAGTTTATTCTCTAATATTCATTGTTAAGTTAATATTGTTTTCTTTTACATCATTCTCAACCATAAAATTCAATAAATCAGGCACACATTTCATGCTTTCTCATTATCAATTATACATTAAACCAGTGTAATAAAGAAGATTGTTCAAGATTCTTAAATCAAATGATTTATCGTAAATTTAGCATGTAGAACGAGTGAATGGAATTAGGAATGTAACAAACTGGAACAAGAATGTCGAGTGTAAGTATTTCGTATGATTTTCAAACAAGGATAGCATACTTGTTGCATATCCTCTCATGAAAAAGCTCTTCTCTGAGAGAAAAGAATAAGATTCTCTGTGAGCATAATTTAATGTACATCTTCAGTATTTGTTGCCATAATACATAATTTCGTTCATCTTTCTTCTTCGTCCTTGGCAACATCCTTTATTTTCCACTTTTTTTTTCATTCATCGATGAAGGACATATTGAAAAAATAAATTAATAAACACGTAAAAAATACATGCTGAAGATTATGAGAGTGCAATTTGAATTGTTTAATGTTCGTGACAAACAAGAAGCAGATTTTTGATTATCCAATAGATAACAAACGGAGCTGTTTGCCTAAAGCTATATTGACCTTTTAATTATCCTCACCATTCGTTTGTTTTTATAGTCTCATTTGCTATACATGACCCTTATTCCTTCCTTCAACACGTAATTCGTTTAGGGATCGTTCATTAATGACGTCCATTAATGGATGAGATTTTTAAGACTTCCTTTGTCACAGAGTTTTCATACCAGAATTCAACTTGAGCCTCCAAAAGTTGAACATCATTAACAAACAACCTCTCAAAGATAAAAAGAAATACTGAAGTGGATTACTGGAGCTTAAGTGATAATGGTGATTGATGGATTCACTATTTTTATTGTGCTAAAATGCGACAATGAGGCTCTTTTTATGCGTTTTAGGAAGTTAATAAGGGAGCTATAGCTTCATATAATTAGCACATAAATATTGCTACAAAGTTTGAAAATCTAATAAAACTTACGACTTGCCACACTTTGCAACATTCAAATTCAAATTGAAATAATACTAATTTATGGCTGGAACACATTAGATTCAGATCTTGACGTGCTAAACGAGAAAGTTGCAGTTTATGTTACATTCTATTATTCGCATGTAGCATGTTGAATGAAATCATACATATTTAATGCAAAATAGCACACAAATTTGTGTTCATCTAATACTAGGGTCGTTTTATTAATGGCATTAATGTTTATTCGCATGCAATTCTAGCATTTTTAAATGCTCAAAAGAACACAAATTAACTCCTGTGGAGGCAATAACATAATATGATAATCGAAATGTTAATGGATATTTAATGGGAAGAAATGAGGCAATAAATCTGTTGTGCAACTTTTTTTTCTGTTTTGTATGCATTGACGAATGAAAAGCAATTCATTCAACAATACAATAATTGTATCCATGAATTGGAATTATTTTAACCAAAAAGCAAAAACTTTATGCTCAACATTTCTCTCTCACGGTTTTTTTTTCCGCTAGCGAGAGCTTTTCTCTCATCATTTTCCACATCAACATTTTCTATCAGGTTTTAGTATTTCTCGGGTTTTCATTATAAACGGTAGCAAAAAAAGCATAAAGCGGAGAAACGGTTCATAAATCATTTCAGCACAGAAATTGGAGAGAAAAAAGTTATCTAACAAAAGCATCAAATATTTAAAAGTTTATAAGGAATATAAAAAAATTAAGGCTGATGAAAAGTTAATTATAGTTTAAATCCCGCAAAAAGAAGAATTGAGTGAAGTGAAATAAAAATAAAAAAATTATCAATCAAAAAGTTTCCTCAAAGTATGTTCCCAGAGTGAATCTTGGCAAAAGCTGCTATTTTTATGCTTCTCTGTGTACAAATTTTTCTCTTGAATTTAATTTTTCATATTTTAAAATATTTATATTTGGATTTATCGCAAAATAATACTTGACAACCTTAAGACTCGCAAGTCTCTTGACTGGAAAATCATTTTTCATTTCTTATTCGCTATGTTTATGATTGAATAGGCTAGAAAATGATACATCAAAATTTATCACGGATGATAGATTCTTTTGACTCCTAATTGAAATTAATTAAATCTTAATTTAATTAATGTCAACTTTTCACAATCTTAGTCTCGGTCGTAAAGTTTTCTCGAGGAACATTAACTTTAAGTGTTGTGTGAATATCTTTAACATAGATATTACGAAAATTGTGTGTGATAAGACTAGATTGAGAGTAATTAAATTTCTGCCATTCTTATATTTAACGTTTCCAATACGTATCCATAAAGAATTAGTGGGATTGAAAATCATAATGAAAATTTATTCATTTGTTGATGTAACGTAAAATAAAGGAGGATGTTGTATTTAATGGAGCATTGAGTGTATAATAGCAAATTTCACTTGTTGCTTCGAGACATTCTTTAAAACACCCAAAAATAAAAGTGAAAAAAAAGGAGAAATTGAATCCAATTTTGTACGTAAAGTTAGGGATGTTGCTATTTATTTTATGTTATCGACTGTAAACCATACCGAAAAAATTTTGAACCTTAAAATAAATATAATAAAAATAAAAATCTTTTTTTTTGTGTTTTTCATCTGCACAATTACACCTTCAATAGAGCACTTTACAATTCTAAAGCAGACTAATATTCTATTTTCCTTATTTTTCATAAAACTTTACGCCTGTTGAGGATATATAAAAATATTTATTCCCAAGTTGCTCGCATTTTTATGTTGAAGATATTTTATTCATACTTAATATCAAGTATTTGAACAATTTGCGGTCGGGGATCTTCATTTTTTCATATGGAATATTCAAGTGAATTTTTTTTTATTTAACTTCTTCAATTTTGTCAAAGTTTGGCTGCAAAATATTTCAAATTCTCATTTAAAAAGTTTTCTGTAAGTCAATCTAAAGCTTATAAGCATTTCAAACAAGATCTGTACAGACATTGGCACAATTCTTTAAAAAACAAATCGCATTTTTTCATACTTAAAGTCGTTTAACTACATTTTAAGGATTGCTTTTACCACAAACTTGTTGACAAACAAAGATGCTTGAAGTTTAAGTAGATTTTTCTTACCTGAGACATGAGATAAACCTTTAAACTAGATGTCGTTAAGGGACAAGTAATATCTGTAGGTTAGTCCAGTTTTAGAAAACATGAATTTGAACCTTAAAAGTGTGTTGATTCTTAGAATTAATTGAGGAAGTTTTCTACTATAAGAATTTTGAGCTTGATCAAACCAGATCAAACCAATTAACCTTGAAAATCTTAGAACTATCCTTGAGTGAAATTCTACAGATAGAAAATTAAGTTTTTGTTCTTTAGAATTTGCTTCGTCAGATCTTTTTTATTTACTTCATTTCATTTAAATTTTCTTCAGAAGCACACATTTATATTTAAAATACGAAAAGTTTTCCTTTCGCAACAAATTGTCATGAATCATCTCTGATGATAAATTCTTAAATTGTAATGTTGAGGGAAAGTTGTCAGTATACAAATTAAAACTTTATGTAATGCAATCTAAAATCAATGAAAAATTATGATGTAATTGAGTTATTGTTGATAAACTTTATCATAGCTGTGGTAAAAATAATGAGAATGACAGAAATAGGTATGAAGCTGCACGATGAATGTCAATAAACAAAACGCTGCATTAATTATTTGAAGCAAGACATGGAATTGATAGCGAGAAGAAACATAAAAATGTAATTTGAGATTAATGCTGTAAAAGTATGGGCGGAAATGGAAGAAGAAGAAAAGTCGGGAAAATGTTAACCTTTTTTAATAATTAAACTCATTTCTTTTTTCATTTGGTCGGATAGATTTATAGAGACATAAAGTGACTAATTTATAGGACAATAAGACTCTGATAAAGCTTTCCAGAAATGAGCATAAATTTGTGAATTTGAATGAACAACCATTAGCTAATTAATTCCGTTTAAATAAAATGTAATCAACACTCAAAAATATCGATTTATAATCAGTTCATGTGGAGCTTTTGCTGATGTAACTCATGTTGCATTTATTTCATCAAATATTCATTATATTATTACATGTTCCGCAGAATTTCATGTATGAGTAGAACGCAATCTACAATGTGGAATGCTCGTAAATTAAGCGTATTTGTTATCTATCCTATTTAACTTTTTTTTCCTTTTCACGAAATACAAACATGAACTTTTTTCAAAAAAGAAGAAATAAAAATCGGAATAAAAGCAAATAAAGTGATGAAAGAACATGGCAAAAACTCAAAAGATGTAAATACTTGAAAGTTTAATTGAATAAGTAGAATGTAACGAAGAACTGTTGATGAAGCGTTTCAAACAAGACTTTAGACTTTAGACTCTTACAAAGCTAATATGGAGAAAGAATGAAAAAAGTCTATTATTATGCTGAAAGTAAATAATGAGGAGTGAAAATAATTCTCAAGTTATGAATATGAAAATTAAATAAAAGCTTACAATTAACCGTTTAGCACGAAAGTTTTTCTTTATCCTACAAAAGCTCTTGAGAGTCTCTTAAGTATTCAAGAAACCCTTCTCATAAACATAGGAATACATATTAAGGATGATATATAGCAAACAAAATGACAAAAACTTTTCCAACAATTAACAATTTTGTGTGTGTCTCTCGAGTACTGAATGAATTTTCCAGAAGAGACCCAAATTGTGAAATAATAAGCCGCATATAGTTGTGAAATATCAATGATTATTAATTAGCATTATTAGTTTCCCTGTAAATTAGAATTAATTTTTATAAAATTTTGCTGGGTAAATTACAAATTATTTCAGCATGTATTGAATGTGCTTCAAACAAAACTCGAAAGCTTTTTAGTGGTTTTTGAAGCATATATCCTTGAAAAAGGGTGTTCAATTGCAAAAATTCTAATCTCCTTAAATTTCAATGAGCTCTTCCTTTGATTTGATTTTATAAGCAGTAAGAGCTTACTATTTGCCATTTAAAATTGTGAAAAGCGTTCAATACAAATTAAATAAACCTCTCTAAACATTCTATTGAACTTTCAATTAGTATCAAATAATAATCAGTTGAGCATCAAAACATCAATAGTATTAAAATGTAGGTTAATCTTTGGACAAGAATACATGAATATTTAAATAGGTTTTATAGAAGCAACGAAATATTTTCTAAATTTTTCAAAAATTTCTACAATCAAAGCTCCTAAAATATTGTATGTCTCAATATAAACACGTCGTATAGAAAACCCGTAAAAATAATCGAACTTGTAAAAGCAATATGTGTGCGACAGAAAAAAAATTTGCAAAAGTTTTCATTTCCAAGGCCACACACAATACTTTCTAGATAAAATTCTCTCTCGGGATGGCGTTATAAAACTGTGATGGTAATACGCTATGCTGTCATAAAAAGCTTGATTTTTCTATATATTCATCCTCATGCAATAAAAATATAGCTCTACAGATTGCTCGTACCAGGTTTTTATAATTCAAGGGAAATGTATCACTGATATAGAAAAAAATGATGCGATGTAACAGGTTTCTTATTGAAGTTAATATATTTCAATTACTATTCGTTGGAGGAAATTTAAATAAAACTTATTCATAGTTAAAGAACGTATTCATCTTATGAAAAGTTTTACTTTTCAGAACTTTTAGTTTTTAAAGTTATTCATGGCAGCAAAAATTCCATTCAGATCTTTTAAATGGAAAGTTTAGCTAGATATTGTTTAGATTTAAAAGCTTGACTAAGAAGCTAGTCGAAAATTTACCAATTCTCATCTCATATTTCATTCATAAGCTAAAAGTAATTTTTAACTTTTCTTCTGCTCAAGAGATCAATTAATAATCGTGCCTTAAGGGACAAAAAGGCTTCCACAAATTTGTTTCATAAAAAATCAACTTAAGATTCTTATCGTTCATGCTAGAATTCATTTTATGCATTGTTAGCTGGAGCTTGTGCATTAACCTTAATCGAGAAAGGTCATTTAATAAAGTTGGTAGCTCAAATGTTTTTTATAAATTGAAATATCTCGTGAATGAATTTTTCATTAAATATGATTTGTGAGGAAAGTAAAACTCTTAAGTGAAGTATGAATAAAAGGATTTGTGACATTAACTTAGCCTCTGCTATGAACTAAAGGAAGTTTCATACTTTATTAATATAAAAGTGCTTTATAAGCTTGAAGAATACAATGTTTATGATCATATCAAATGTATATAAAGGATAGAAAAGTGAAACACTAATCTGTCGTTTAATATATTAAGATTGACGCTATATAAAATGACATTCAGTGCTAAAATATATTCAGTTCTTCTGCTCACCCAATCATCAGAAAATCGTTTATTTATTCTCCCACTTGTATACCTTTTTGTGTACCATTAAGTTTTATTTTCTTTCTACCTAAAACAGTTGTCAAAAATGTCTTGGTCCACGCCACCTTCAATAGCTTCTAGAAAGCCAAAAGTACAGCAATCATCGTGGGAAGGAACGCCGACGATCAATTTATATGAACCGAATCGAGAAATGTCTGACGAGACAAATAGTAATGGAGCAAGTTTTGTGAATAAGAATGTTAGTAATATAAATAGAAAAGCAAAACATAATCAATATTCGTTGCCAACAACAATGCATCAAATGTCTGATCCTGGACTTTATTATATGGCTGTATCATCAAGATCTCCAAAATCTCCCAAATCACCAAACTCACAAAAATTTGAATTTGAATTATCAACAACACCACAGTATTCAAGATCTCCATTAAAGTCTGTTGCCAGCAACTGTCATAATTATCAAGATACATCAACCTCTGACTCAGCACCTTCAATACTTACTTCACCCATGAAAAAATTTGAATATAGTGCGGTTAGTCCTAAATTTGAAGGCTCAGGTTAGCTATTTGTTTGAAACTTTCTTTGTTCTATTTTTTTTCTTTCAAAGTTTTTCCTTATTTTTATGTCTTTCGCAAAATCCAACATAATCCTATCATTGTCTTTCAAATAACCATTTTCATATTTTTTTGTTCTTGTCAACAATTCATTCTTTTTAATGTTGTTGCCATTATTATAATTCCATTCTCTCGTTTAGGTATTAAAAAATTTGAATATTGTTTACCGCTTAAAACATTAGAAAAGGAAGACCCAAAAATAATAAATAAAGATGTAACATCGGATGGAAGTGAAGTTTATGGTGTCAGTAAAAATGATGACAATGATAAGCCATTAATGTCACCGTTTGCAGATAATAAAGTCTTTTTTGCAACATGCAGTCCTAGAAAAAATAAAATAATGAAGAAACGACATTATAATGTATCGCCCGATGGAGTGTCATCTTTAGATGAATATACGAACAGTACAACTATATTGTATGAGACAAATACCCCAGGACGAAGAATGTCAATCACCATATCAGATGGTAATAGTAGTAAGATGAGAACTGAACCCATTATAATTACAAAATCTTTAGAAACATCAAGCTTAATAACACAATCAACTAATTGCTCACGAACTACTACTGAATCACCACTGCCATCTCCTTCATCATCTGGTCTATCTATGGCCACAACTGCTTCATGTAATTTCAAAAAATTCATATTTTTTTGTTTTGACCATTTTTATTGAAATTTTAATTCTCTTAAGGTACAACAATGGAATCTAAACATTCACAAGCCAACAACCGCCAAAAGTCGATGTGTCAGAAAATTGGTGAGGAAGATGACGAAGTTATAACATCGCAAGAAAATCTCTCAATAGATTTACATCGTCGGCGACATGCTATAAATATCACAAATAATCCTGGCTATAGGGTAGGTGTAATCTCTCAATTCCTGTTATAAAAATTTGTTTATCAAAATTTTTTTCCTTTAATTCAACCACATTGATGAGATTTTAGGATTAAAGTGGGTTAATTTTTCAATTCTCAACCGAGACGAGAGTTTAATGGAATCAGATAATTTAATCTAAAAATAATTTCATGTTTACTCATCAAATATTTATTCAAAATGATTTTTCGCGTGCTAGACAAAGTTGAATACTCTTAAATATATTTTCGTTCTGGGATTTTCAATTTTTGCATATAGTCGACTGTTTCCGTATTTAGATTGTTGCAGAAAAAATAATTATGCTTTATTTGCTTTATAAGCATGAATATAATTAAGAGCAATTTAATTAGCTAATAATTCTTACAATATAGGCTTTGCATAATAGCCATTCAACATTATCAGACAAGAAAAGTGTAGACAGAACGTGCAGTGATAGTGCAACGCAATTGTTAAGGCATAGAAAATCAACAAGTGATTTAACAAATAACAGTGATGACAATGAGAATGTTATGTTATCAGGAGCATCACATGGTCACAATTATAAGCATCGAAGACGAGGTAGTTCAAAAGGTGGACTAGCTTATTTAATGGAGAAAAGAGATTCACGTAGAGGCTCAAGAGAAAGTGTTTTATCACAGCATACAAATTGTTCTAATGAAGACATTGGACCACTTGCAAATTTCCAACAAACACAACGTGGTCGTCAGAGAAGAACGTCAAATTTCTTGGAATTGCCGGGTATGTTTAAAAAAAATGATTTAAATATGATTCAATTACTATTTATAATTTCTTCAGTACCAGATCACATTAGACCACGTGTTTGTTCTTTACCTGACCGACCTTATACACCTTACAACCCTCGAGTTAGCGAAGACTTGTATCGTCTCCGAACATTTTCAATCAGTAAAGGAACAGTAGTCAACTGTGGAGATTCTATCATATCACGTCGTTCTAGAAGTAACACATCTGTCAATTCAACAACTAGCAAGTAAGTAAAATCAATAAAAAAGTAAAACATATGGTTTTGTATAGCAATTTGTAAGCAATTAGATTTGTCCAACAAAAATGAATTTATATTGCATGTATGTATACAAAAGCGGCAGCATTGATTCACGTGTAACTAAACTATGAATATGAATTCTAGGAAGAAAAAACAAGTTAAAGATAACAGTTCAAAGATAAAGTCCTAATTACTTCAATTGAAATTATTTACGAATACATTATTAGACTGAATCAATTAATTATGAAAACAGAAGCACTTCATCAGTAATTAGCACGTTCTAGAAATGTCTTTATTAAATTGTGGAAGTGGCGAAAACTTCTGTTTCCTTTACAAAACTGATGGTGGGAAAGAAACACTTGTGTTTGCAAATATTGTTGACAAATATTTTTATCGATTACTTACCAAAAATAATATCTAAGTTTGTTATGGTGAGGATGGGTAGATAAAAGTGCTGTCAAAGCTATAAATAAATAAAAATTATAATAACACTAAAATCACCCCCGCAGTTATTTTCTTGCTAAATATTTAATTTATTACTTTTGGATCTTCAATGAAGATTATATCTAAGCATAAGTTGTTCTTCTTTTTAGATTCATTATAATTATTTTCGCACCATCATCGCTATTTCCTTAATGAATTTGCGAATGAAAGTTTATTTCACTTGTTTTTTTAACGGACATGATGAGAAAAGTCTCTGATTTTTGTATGTATAAAATGTTTGCTAAATCATTACTTTCATTTCATACATTTACATTTCAACTTTTTTTTTATCGTATGATCCAAAATGATTAATTACATATCAGTTGTGAAATATAATCACGATAAAAAAAATTCAACAGTGTATACATAAAAAATATATTTTGAGGGTGTCAAAACCGTAGTAACAAATTAATACAACCGAGCAGCATATTTGCATTCACGTTGCCAGTGATTTATGTAGCAAACAAATTAACAAAATGTTCATTTTAGAATGAAAACCTGTTAATGATTAAGAATTGATTGTCTCGGTCGGGTTCTAAAACTAGCTCAATTACATTCGCACCATGAATGAAAATACGGCCTAAACGTGATGTTTGAAATACTATGGACTGAAATGGGTTAATGGAAATTTATGATTTCTTCCGGAAATTTTAACGCTGCTATCAGCCAAGAAATAATAAGAATAAGCGAGGAGAATTGTTCCTAATGCTTATGAAATATCACATCTGTCAAAATCTTCATTTTCACTTGTAAATCAAAAAGCTCAAAGTTCAAGTTATGATATGCGTGCGCAACAGTGTTTGGGAAAATGAAAAAAAAAAGTCTTAAGGAAATAAAGAAAAAAGATGAGAGAAAAATTTGTAAGAAACATTTAAGGGGATAAAGTTACAAGAAAATGCCGTTGAAAATAATATTTTTAAAAGGTTGAAAAACACAAAAAAAAGTATGAAGCCTCTTCTTCCATTTACAATTATGTCAGCACATAATTTTTACATCATTTCTGTGTTTAACAAAGCAATAAAAGTCTATAACAGTAAATGAAATTTGTTTTCGTTGTTGTAAAGACTTTTAACCTTTAAAGTTTGTCTATCACATCTTTCCATAGCAAAATTTTTATATCCTTTTTTTCCTTCACATGTATTTGTCTCTATTTTGCTACAAATATTTTATTATAACACAAAATATGTCACTTTATATCATCATATAAGACTGAACATACGTAAAAATGTAAACTCGGTTTTTGTTTTTTTAAATAAAATTTTCGATTGATGTTCTGAAGATTCTTCATTCGGTGTCATCTCCGTTTTGTAATTTATATCATTTTGATGAAAGAACCGAATGATTTTATAAATTGGATGAGAAAAGGGATTTATATCCTTACATTTCCCTCTTTTTCCATCCATAAATCATATTTTCATGCCATATTAATATGGTGACAGTTTCTTTTTTTGCAAAAGTGTAAATGTGTCGTACCTTCATGTTTTTCTAAGTGAAAAAACTCTATATTTTTTCATTTTCAAACATTTAAACAGATGTGACAGATATCTGAGATTTAACGAGTCGTATGCATCTCATATCGTCAGGACTGCTAAGTGTAATAACCTGATTTGCATGGCTGCTAATATTTTAATAGAGAGATTCCTTAATCGTGACTTTAGCTATCAAATTATTAAGGCAAAAAATGACTTAAATCAAAATTCCTTAAATGTAAATCAAATAGTCCACAAAAATAAGTTAGAAGACGTTTGCTTCAGTGCTATGATTTTGCAGTAATATTTACTCTATGATTTGCTGTCCTTTTTATATTCTTAACAATAGAATTTAAATATCAAGTAAATTTATTTTTCGATATAAGAGTAATTTTCTTTAAATTCTTGTTTTTTTTATGTTAGACTTAGTTTCCTTTATGGATGTTTCTTTTGTACGGAATCAATACCTTTCTATGCTTTCATAGAATACACGCTGTTTACAAAGAAAAGCTTTGAAAAAACCACAAGATACAATAACTTTAAAATTGTTTCTTTTTTTTCGAAAATTTGAAAGGTGATGCCTATAAGGTTCATGCCAATGACACAAATTTATCTCGATCAAAATTTTAATGAGAAAATTTTCTGATCCTTTTAGAAACTTGGGTCATATCATGCTGTTCATATAATAAAGTTTTGCATTAGAAATTAAAGTTTTCGCTTTAAATTACATAGTAGCAATTAGGATAATTACAACCGCAAACAAGCTATAATCGACTATGAATTTGTGATGATTTCGAAATGAGAGAGAGATTTTCAGTCTTTTGTACTTTTGTATTTATTTCATTCCCTTTTCATTTTCGCATTTCAGGTTAATCTGCTTTTTTTAAACTACAATGATATCAATCTTGTTTATGCTTTCGTTACGGTATCAAGTGAGCAAGAAGAGAAAACAGAAAGATTCTTTATCTTTTTCATTGTAAGCGCATTTGGCAAAAGAAATGAAAATCTTTCGAGTTTTCTTGGAAGTAATTAATTAGAAAAGTTGAAAGCTCTTCAGATTTTTTTTTTGTTTTTGGGAAAGAAAAATTCATTAAATTAAACGAGCCATCATAAGTCTCAAAATAATAAAAACAATGTTCTCGGGAAGAAAAAACAAAGCTTTAATAATTTATGAGTTAAATTAATCATATCTAAAATTAAATCATCAAAATGTTTGTTGAGAAAGTTCAATTTACATAAAATTAATCATCCACCTTGTAGCAATTGCCTCAAAAATACACAGGCAAGCTAATCATTATGTTTTTGTTGCTTTTCACCATCCTGTAATCGAATTTACACCTTGTGTCTCGTAAAGCTAGTCATAGCGGTAAAATTTATGAAGGAATTTTTAAGAACTTTAAACATTAAATTTATTTTGGATTTTATGCTAGCAACAAAAATGTAATTTTTGCAGTAATAGCATTATCCTTAACATAATCATAATTTGTTGTCACTTTTTCGCGAGGGTAACAAAATAAAGAGGGACGAAAAGTTTCTTTGGGTAGAAAGCCTTAAATTTGTAATGTGATCTAGAAAAGATTTTAATATAATTTTATGACTCAGATGTGGCTATAAAGTCGCGCATGAAATTTCCTTTTTTAATGGAATGTTTCTATTAAATCTTGTATCTAATTTCGGACATGTCAATTATGTTAAAATAAATGAATTAAATGAGGCTCCCTCATCTGACATTTTTTTCAATCTGCTAATGCGTGTCAAAAATATGTGCCAGTAATGTTTTATGCTGCTTTATATTTATGAATTTTTCTAAGAGATGGACTTTTTTTTTGATAAAAATAATGTTTAAATTCAAATCTGTGACTTTGTTCTGAATCAAAATCAAATATCATTTTACATGCTGCCAATCATACTGAACTTTTTTGTGTTTCTATTTTTAAATAATATCAAATTCAAGTGATATCAAGTTGATAAAGCAATATTTCATGGGAAAATTTTACTGATCTCCATAAGCCCATCATCTTTACCATAAGCCTTGAAAAAGTAAGATAATTTTCGACATTTATATAGCCTTTATCTCCGGAATGTTTTTTATGCGAACTCATCATAAATAATTGTCAGGCGTAACACACAATAAAAAGTGTATATTACGATTAGAATGACTTGATTCTTTTTCATTTTTATAATAAAGGGAATTACAAAAGGTTTTACCCACATAAAGACTCAAAGTGATAGTAATTTTACCTTTACTGAGTGCTGAATTGGATTTATTGAACTCATTTTGACTGATTACTTTGCAGATTAAAATATGAACGTGCTTTTCATAAAGTTTAACACAAAACTCAATTTTAAATTAAACTTTTCATTTTAATAAAATATGCCAAGCTGTTTTATCTGCATTATTTTAAGCGAAATATAAAAAGTCCTGCGGGGAGGATAAATATTAAGGGACAATTTTGCTGGTGTGCTGAATAATTGATTAAATTTTCCACTTCTTTTATTAAAAATAATTAAATCACATTAAAGATTCAAGGAAATTATAATCGTAGATTATTCAAGCTCATTCATTTCCAAAACTTAATTACTTTGTTCAGACATGACCATAATGGCCACATAATTTGCATTTTATGTGTTTTATTATCTACCCATCTCATCTCTCTTTCATGTGTTCTCAAAGTCTACACATTTATGATAGAAAATCTTCAAAAGATTTATTCGAACAATGGCAAAAAGTTGTACAGAAACAAAACTTTGAACCATCCTTATTTTTTAAAACAATACGTAATTTCCGAATGAGCCCATAACCAATTTATCATTTTTTCCCTTTTACAATATCTTTCCTAAATCATATTTTAATCGACCCATGAAGATATGAAGATGCTGAAGTGAAGATGGATTCTTTTTTGTTGTTTTTTCAATGATATTACATATTCCTTTTTTTCCCCGAAGGACAATTCAAATTGCAAGACCTTTTAGTGCTCAAAAAACTTTGTCTCCTTTTCGTGATCAATTGCTGATGATGATGAGCCTAATATTAGATAACATACAGTTTAAATAGTCAGTAAGTTTTTCTTTTTGAATTCCTTTTGGCGATGACTCCTTTTGTATATTAAATATCTAATCTTTTCTTCCATTGAATGTCATTCTATTCCAAAACATTATATCGAAGATTTCATGCGAGTAAAATTTCTTTCTTGATATTTTCGGTTAAATTGTTTCTAACATAATGCATGAAAATTGACAGGAAAAATTTTACGATACCGAAAATGGATTTTAAGCAGAATTGAAAGGAAGAAAATTGGTTTTTTCCTTTCTCACATTTGCTTTATTGAAATACGTTTTCATCAATATGAATTCCATACAGGGTTGAAATTCATTTGATAACAATTGGAAATTATTTTTAAAGAATGTTTAAAGGTTATTCTTAAGAATTATCCTTGGATCCCCTTTCTATAATATACTTTCCATCTATATGTATCAACTCTGTAATAAAAATAAGCTTCGATTGACTGTTCGAAGATTATAAGCTATTGAATATGCCATCATATTTGCTTTTATGCTCACATAAATGTATGAAAGGAATTGAATTTTCAAATATAATGTCAATGAACAAGATCTTTATATTAATAGATTAGATATGTCATAGAATTAGCATGTAAAAAATGTAACAAGCTTTCAATTATAAAAAGAAAAGTGCAGCAATGAATTTATAATTTCATTACCAAAGAATTTAACCTTTAATCCAACTGAGAAGAAGTTGAAGATTTTCTTTTTCACTTTTTCTATTATTGTACGAATTGTTTATCTTGTGTAGCTCATAAACAACTATGTTTATGCTTTCCAATAAAGCTTCATACATTACAAGCAAACGATGGGTTTATGTATATGAAGACAAATATGTTGATGAAGAACGAATAAAATAAAAGATAATTTAGTGGTGTGAATTTCCCCTAAGGATAAAAATGTATTGAACTTGAGATATGCTGAAGATAACGACGAAGCAAAACAAAATCGTGTCTATACCAATCAATCATAGAATGCGAAAAGGCTTCTCTTTGCAGCTTATCATATTTTTTTCTGTAATAATATGATTAAATTCTGATTTGATATAATTATGATATGATAATCTAGTTTGGAAGCCTAGGAGATATCAACAGATATTAACTCTTGCATAATTTATTCGTCAGATTGAATATTTCGTCATTCTTTACGCTTTATCTTTTTGTTTATGTTAAGACAGCAAAATAATATCATCATTTGTGCCCATCTGACAATAGCTTCATGCCATAATGAAGAAATACTAATAAAAAGAAGAAGAAAAATTGAGCAAGGTAGTTTGACTAAAAATAAATCTTTACGATAAACAAAGAAAGACGCATTTTCGGAAGTGAAAAGCAATCTGTTGTTTGCTTTGGGTTCATTATTTAAATTTCCAGTCGCATGGGGATTTTCACAGTATGATTTGCTTTTCTCTCTTCTCTCCCTTCTTATCGATATTCCGAGCTTTTTATGTTTGATTTGAATGTTGATTATTATGTGGGTTTTATTATTATATCATCAAGTTGGTGATCCACAAAACATGATGCTCCAATTAAGCAGATTTTACCTTATTATCGATTTGTTTTTTCGTTTGCTTTATGGATATCAAAAACGTGCGTAGAAATATTCAAAATTTCAATTCTTCGTAATCTGTTTTCGTCTCCATTTACCCCCCCCCTTCGCAAAAAAAATACGAAAAAAAATGTTAAACAGAATTAATTTTATGCGATTCATACAGCTAATACTTTTATTTAAAAGCTTTAGCAGTATATCCCTTGTTAGTCAAATTTGTCACAAACAACACAAAATAGCATCAACACTTACTATATGCTAAAACAACGAAGAGTTATTTCATCACGTTCGACATGTTTACATGGTTCCGTTAACACCATTTTGTTGCTACAATTTGTACATGACCGCTTTGTAGCCATAGAACACTTGTACTTAGATATGTACAAGATGAGAGCTTAAAGAACGTGAACGAGTTAAATGAAGTCCACAAAACTAGTACTTTTCATTGCCATTAATTATTAATGTGAATGGGTTGCTATTTTTAATTTGATGAAGGACTATAAAAGCCATTTTCGTATCTACAAATTAATACTTGTGCTGAGTTAAATGCTGCTTCTGCCATAATTAATTTGCATCAATTAACTTTTAACGAATTTGTTCTGTGAAAGTGTTTTGGTATAAAAGCTTTTAAGAGATTTATGAGCTTAAAAGATACTTGAATTTAGATCACATATGACGCATTTAGTATGAAATATTTAAAATGAACAGCAGTGCATTGCCCAAACTTTCAATTATTAGAAGAATAAATCATATCAAACTCGCCTCAAACCTAAATTTTGATAAACAGCTCACAAAGAAAGATATAGGAAATTGTGAAAATCTTGCATAATTTATATCCCCGCCACAAAAGTATAAATAAGAGAAATGTTAATTAGAAAGAAACATCATCAAGAGAGTTAATTACTAAAGTGGTAATTACATTATTTTTTTTCCATTTCCACCTCGCTATATCCGAGAATTTAATGTCAATTTTATATTCTTTCAATATTTTATCTCATTTCAATTCCTCGAGTTTCCTATATTTGTAAATATAGTGGATGGAAGAGAAAGTGAGATTGATGAGCACAAGAGGGAGAAGAGTAAACAGAATAAAATCTCCTTCACATTTCACATTTTTTTTCTTCACCAACTCGTGCTCTTTATGTAAATTTCATTTCTGATAAACTCTTTTATTATATGTACATAAAATACACAGTAAGGATGTTTACCCTACAATTTTTTCGGTTTCTGACATCGCGAATGTTAAGCAAATATAAATCAAAGTATTCTTTAAAGTATGTATTATTTGTTTCTTTATCTTTTATTTATGTTTACCAATAATATTGGGGTAGGTTAATATTCGAGAAAACTTCAACATATCATAGAACTTATAGCAAACCTACATTAGAAATCTATAATGATTAGCTACAAATCTGTTATTGTATAAATCAATATAATTATCGGAATATAATACATTGAGTCATTTGGAAGTTAATGGATGTCTGAAATAATTATGATAATATTCTGTAATCACTGCCTTATTCCAAAGTGCTTAATTATGACACAAGAATCAATTTGTCTCATTAATTATGGAACTTTATGATCAATAAGTAAAATGTCATGCTTAAGTCGTTAGCTCCAAGGCATTTGATTTACTATGAAAAATGGATGCATGCATAACAATATCATATTGTGTATTAGTTGTCTAAAAGTAGATATATTGAATAACATAGTAATACTTTTCTAGAGTACAACAATAGAAACTGTAACTTTAGAACATTGACTTGCTTGCGGGTTCCTTAACATTAAAGTTTTCTTAAAGTTATAAAAAAATCTAGATAATTCAACTTCTCTGAATATAATGTAGGGGTAAATTGATGTAAAATTCACTTTGAAATGGAAGCTCTGCAAATTCAATTTTCTTGATAATTAACAAGAAGTTCCACAAAAATTTATCAGATAAAAAATCACTAAACAATTTATCAAGTGGAAAATGAGAAAAATTAAATTATATAAAGCAGTAATTGATATACAAAATGAAATATAATACAATTAAAAGTATTGCGCATTCAAATTTCCACTTCCTCATTTATTGATTTCCTTAAATGTCCAAAAATGAGATGGAGAGTTTAAATATACTAGAAGTCAGAAAAATGTTCAATGTAACTTATCATTGCATTGTATAGGTTTTGTGATAACATCATTAATCATCTCTATGCTGTCCCTTTTACAACATCATACATATCTATCCAATTTTCATGTTTCTACATATCCCTCATTCTTATTTTATGCAGATTAAGTGAACGTTCACCTTTTGATGGTTCTTGTTGTGGTGGATATACTGGAGGCGATGAATCAAATAGCAGTGATTCCGAACCAACACCGCCAACAAGATATCGAGTTGTGATGTTAGGTGATTCGGGGACGGGAAAAACTGGTAAGTGATGCATAAAATTCAAAAGGAAAAAAACAAACTTTTTTATTCATTTTACATCCGATTAAACTTTCAAATTTAACTTTTAATTCAATTCTTGCCTTAGCGCTGGTAAATCAGGTGTGTAGATGACTTCAAAGTTTTTGACAAAAAAGTTCCATTTTACATTCTTCTTGTTTTCTTTTGACAGTTTATGACTTCGGAATATATGCATACATACGACGCATCCCTTGATGATGAATTCGGTGAGAAGACCGTCAGTATTCTACTCGATGATGAGGAATCAGAGCTAATTTTCATTGACCATCCTGCAATCGAAATGAGCGTATGTAGATTATCATAATATATCAAAGTAACTTGATGCCATAAAATATAAATTATAATATCCAACAGGTTGAAAATTCTCTCTCAACATACGAGCCACATGCATGCGTCATAGTTTACTCAATTGTACAGAAAAGCTCGTTTAGAGTTGCTGAGGAAATCCTCAATTATTTATGGAGGGAAAATATTACGAAAGATAAAGCGGTTATTCTTGCAGGAAATAAAGCTGATTTAGCACGCTCGAGGGCTATTACAGTACAAGGTAATAATTTCATTCTCGGTCAATAAGACACTACAACATAAAAACTATTAACTGTATTAATTGCTGAAGTGTAATGAATTATTATCATGTGTATTCTATAGAGGGCAAGCAATTAGCAGCAAGTAGAGAAGTTAAGTTTATTGAAACATCAAGCGGTATCCAGCATAATGTTGATGAACTTTTAGTTGGAATTCTGAAGCAGGTAACATACAAAGCTCCTTACACTTCTTGACAATATAATCATTAATTTTATCTTCATGAATTTTTTTTTCTTTTGAAAAAGATTCGTCTGAAAGAAACGAGAGAAAAGAAGCAATCAGCATCAAAGTTAAAAAATTCTCGAACGCATTCTTCTTTGCATATTGCGAAGGAAATTCTACAAAAAATCTGCTTCAATCAACTTGATATTACAAAATCAAAGAGTTGTGAAAATCTTCATGTCCTGTAAGTCTCGTCTTTATTATTGTTGCTTCAATTGATTATCTTCGAGCAGTATGAATGTCAATTAGAAATGTAAAAAAATAACTTCTTGGAAATAATAATCGTCGTATTCGAGGTGCGAGTGAAAATTAAAAAATCGATATTCGACAATAAAATGAAGAATCAATATTTATTCTACATATGGAAATGATACTGTAAGGAACTTTTTGTTCTTTGCTACCGAATGCATATCTATGTAGATGAATTATACATTTTATATTCTTAGCAAATCTAATTATACTGAAACAGATAATATTTTATTTTAAAGCTACTTAAATTTTTATGATTTACTTTATTAAAGCCAGGTTTAATTTATTACTTAATAAGGAAGAGATATATAAATATATAATAAATGTTTTAAACAAATGAAAAAGTAGACAAACGGCCTAAAGACAATTTACACATAAATGATCAACTACGTTAAATAACAAAGAGAAGCAACTTATTGAGTTTGATTTATTCTTCTTCAAAATTTGAAGCTTTAAATTTTCTGATATTAAATTCATGAGGTTGCTTGTGACATCCAACCAGTTAAAGGTACAAATACTATGATTATTCATTGTTGTAGATGTGACAAGATTAAGATCTATTCTATCACTAAAGGCAAAATGTATATTATTTAGCTACAATTTTAAAGAAGTATCAAAACAAACTATATAAAGTGATGGATATAAAATTTTCTGAACAAAGAATTATTCCGACCAATTTCAATAAACGTCTGCCTAAGGAACAACTTAGCATTTATAAAGAAATTAACTCACTGGAAATTAAACTTCTTTTCCTGGTTTCTATTAAGAAACTTTTATCACAAAAGGATGAAAAAGAAACTTTTACTTAAAATAGGAAATAGTAAAATGTAAAGAATATTATTGAGCCATTTTATGTATGTATACGTAGGAGGAACATACAGTATGTATTAGATATAATAGTTTCTAACTCAGCAACTTCTCAGAATATCTAATTTAATAAAGGTAGAAAAGAAATAAATAAATTATTTTTGAATACAGAAAATACCAACAGAGTAAGTTTTAGGACCTTTCATAACTTTATTGTGATTTCAATGAATATCAAATTATTTTGTTTTGCATCCGGATATATCAAATCATTTGAAATAAATTCTTAACACTTTCATGAATATCAAAAGTTAATTTTATTAATGTATGGACTCAACCCACTCTTTCTTAAACAATGTCAGTTTTCATTTTATTTACTTTCATCTTCCTGATCCCGATAAGATTTTATTTGAAAGAACACGCCTATAGAAACAAATGATAGTCCATGATAAAGTAATTTTTAATGGGATTTTAAGATGATTGCTTTTATGCTTCAAGTAAAATATAAAGAGAATGACACGAGATTTTTCAAAACATATATAAAGAAAGTAAAAGTTCACCTTCCTTCTTTTTTAATCTTGTGTATGTTACCAAAAAAGAAATTTGTACTCAAAAAGATCGAAACAGAGTTGATTTCAAATTTATTAAATTTTAAGTCTGCTTAAAGTTATTTTTAGGTTTTGGAGGAACCAATTAAAAATGATTAAAAGAAGGTCAATTAAATTTAATGCTTAAAAAGCACAGAATTGCCAGTTCTTAGTTAACAGCTCTGGAATGAAAAATGATGAGAAAATTTTTTAAAAGAAAATATTTTCTTAATAATGTAAAGAAAAACAGAATATTTTTAATGTAAGTATGAGTGTGTGCTTTTTTACATGGATTCACGCACCTTTATGTTATCATTTTGACATAGTATAAACCATATATAGCATTCAATTTTAGAAAAAAAGATGTGATATATGCTCAAAAGATTTTTTAATATGAGAATTTCCTCTTCGTATGATGCATGTGAGCTTCCCATATGTTGAAATACTGTAACAGATGCCACCTCATCTCTGTAAATTTCATGTTTCTTTAAGCTTTTTTAATGGAAAGATCTTTTACAAGATTAGAATGTGATTCTTCTCTTTTACATTTTTCACGTATCATTATTGCTGCTGTATTTTATTTGTGATTTATAATATTAACTAGCATCAATTTTGTTGATGCCATAAAAAAAACATTTGAGTCCAATTTTAATTAAATTTTAAATCAAAAATTTTGTCACGTAGTCGCAAAAAAATATTTATTGAGTAAACACTTTTCTCGTGAAGTTTCTACAAAGGCATCATCAAAGTTCAAAAAAAAATTAAAAATGATGAAATCACGTCTACTTTATCAGCACTTCCTACAAATAGCTTTTTAAAAAGAATTCCTTTAAAAAAAATATTTATAGCCATTTTGAAGATCATGATTTATATTTTTCAAGAACTTTTCAAATTTGTAAATTTTAATTTTGCTTTAATTAAATTTTAAAAATGATTTCAAGGTGCAACTGAGTGATAATGAAAAGCGAAAAAATGATGAACAGCATGACATGCCAAATATAATTAGCATACATGTTAAATTCATATCCGATAAATGCTCTGATAGTTATGTCAAGACAATGATTTATAAAGCTATAACAACATAATTTTTTCGTGTGATTATTTTTTAATTAGATGACAAAATATGTACATTAATGTAACATATATATGCAATATAGCGATTGTTAAATGGCTAAATACATATCCAATGAATGAAAAAATCTATTTTTAAAAATAAATAAAATATATATATTTATGAAATTACTACATGTTATTGAATTTGACAATCAATATCATAGTGAAATAATGAGTAAGTTTTTGAATGGAAATTTTATTATAGAAAAAGTAAATATAAGTTTTATTATAATTTTGGTGTATGTCGAATGTTTTGAAGAAATTTAATTTAACAATGATTAAATATATGAATTGCACATAGGTAAATAAAAATGTTATCGAATTCACTTTTAAGCAGACGATGAAATTTTTTTATTTATTTTTTTTTGTCGAGCTTAAAAACTGAATGGAATTATCATATTGGCATTTTTAATTTAAGAGAAATCGCCTCGGTCAAAATTCGCACATTTAAATAAAATAAAAAAGTATTCGGATTGTGAATAAATTTAAAAAAAAAATTGAAATCTCATTTTCTTATAAACGATCCTCTTTAATCTCCTTTGAGCTTTGTATTTCCTAGAAAATTTGAATGATATAAGAGTCTAACAGAGGGTTTTATTTTATCAGTAGATTATCTTCGTCTCGAATTTATTGAGAGGGATCCCAAAGGATGCGAGACAAATCACTTATTTAGGCAAACCCTTGAGACATTTTTAAATTCTAATATGATTTTCTTAAATTTGTTTACTGGTTTGTTTCATGTTACTCTTAATAGAGGCGTATCCTAGGGGTATTAAAATATAATTTGCTCATTTTTTTTTCAAAATCTAGATACGACTCTAACTCAAAAAAAAAACATTGTTCAGCTCAATTTGTTTATCATGGATTGTTTTCATATTTTTATCTCATGAAATAGAGAAACTGAACAGATGTCTGATCTCATGAAAATAATTTGATGTTAAAAACAGTATAAATCAATTACTTCCGAAGTTGTAATACTTGTAATTTGAAATCATATCATAACGAATGATACGGGTTACCCATGGAGATTTAAAAAAAAATTTACATTCTGTACTTCACATAAGAGAATCCAAAATTTAAGTACAAACAACAATGTACTTAAACGCAAGAAATGGGAATAATAAGAGATAAGATAAATATTTTCTTTCCTTTCTTAAGGCAGCTTACACGTTCTTGAATCATTTCTTCCTTTAACATTTCATCCAAACTCATTCTATTGTTCCTCGGTACACACAATACAAATCTTATTTAACCTTAGTAAATCATAATCATAAATGAGCTTTTTCATTCAATGAAGAAAGCTTTTTACTAGAAAATCATCCAGAATGTTGGTTTTAATATAATGTACATATTTACATTATTAATGAATATACCATTTTACTTTTTAATTGAATTTAGTAGTTAAATATGCGGTGTGTTATGCTTCCGACTGATTTAACTAATTGTTTACTTTATATTTTTGAAATTACATTTTAAAGTGACTAAAAAGTTATAGAGACGCCTCTGGAGTGAATTGTTGCAAAGTTTTTCAGAAATCTTATTTTTTTTGATGGTTTACTTGAATTCTTTTAAAACTCAATTGAAGATTTAGATTCGAAGAAGTTTGTTTACTAATATTTTGATGCAGATCCTAGAAAGGTCCTCCTATCATTGAGGGAGACATCATTTACTGAGGATTTGTTAAGATAAATTAAGATCTCAAGATTCTTACTTATGAATAAATTTAAACCTTTTTACTCAATTTGTCGAGACACGTTCGATTTCTCGGAAGTATCATTATTCAAACGAAATGAAGACAAAAAATTGATTTAAAAAATTATAAGTCTATGAAAAAGAAAATTATAATTTAAAAAATCTACTCAATTGATTTTTTCTAATAAATTTTTCAAAAATTCCATTCATTGAGTATGACACGCACATACTTAATTAGAATATATTTATAAACTATGTTACAATCATAAATCATAAAGAATAATGGAGAATGATATTTTTAAGTTTCGACAAGATTTATTAGACTTAAAGCTGTTGAGAGAATCTCAATGCTTGAGTGAAACGTCAATAGAAAAGATGTTACTTAAATTATGCTGCTTATTTAATTTTAAAATAAGGAATATGTTCCAAAAGTCTGAAAAAAATAAATGACATATATTTTAGCTCAAAAAAAGAATTTTTCTTTTGTTTCAATAACCTTACTGTTTGTTGATATCTTGACAGGAAATATAATGACGTAGTATGTGTGACGTAATCAGTATGATAAGGTAATATACGACAAGTCCAATTTAAAAGTTATGAAACAAAAAATTTCGTCGGTTTAAATTAAGTTTTATTTCTCGAACATTTTACAATTTTAAGCCTGGTTTTCAATTTGTTTGTATGGTGTTGGGGCATCAGCAATGCAAAGGAAGGAATCACCAGGAACACAAGCTCTGTAGTAACTATCGTAAATTTCACCTGGTCCACATGTGAAGTTGATTCTTTCGCCTAACATGCACATGAAGAATGCAGTGCAGGTATCATATTGGTAGTGAATCGAGAACAAGACATCTTCGCATGATGGTTCTGCTCCAAAACGGAATTGGCATGTGTCGTGACTTCCAAGACGACATCTACGTTGTCTTTGATCCCAAATGAAGTTTGGATCGCAAGTCATAGTAACTGGACGTTCCAACATGCACATGACAAAAGATTCGCATCTATCAGGATGTGGCAAGAACAACATTAATTCTCCTTCACAAACACTGTCTGGAACTTGAGCATATACCATGCCAAAGAGGGCTACAATTGCCAAAACTTTTACAAAAAATGATAAGAAAAATTTAATTGATTACATCCTTCACTAATGATTTAATAAAATTCATTATCTTACAGATCTTCATCATGAACTTCCTTATTTTTGTCTACACCTTCACAAATTCAACAAATAAACTGAAGGAATTACTAATTAATTTTGACTTAAATATATTTCAAGTAATCTAATCACTAAAATTGGATATGGCGTATCAAATGATAGCGCACTTACTTCTATCTACACAAGTACATAAATTTTAAATTCTGATTTCCTTCAATTTTATTGAACAGAATCCAATCAAACAGGAAACTTAAAACTCAACGATCCGATGATTAAAAATTCTGAAACATTAAACATCAATTAGAGCTTGACATATCCCTTTCATTTTATTAATTATTATTTTTTTCGGGTTATCGAGCAGAATAATGTAATCAGCAACGATCGTATTACTCAATTTTAGATAACAGATAAACTTTTATATTAAAATGGTATAAATTTTTATTGTTTCTTTATCAGAACCTGTTAATGCCTTATGATTAGATTAAATTTTTATTGTTTAGTTCCTTTAGGTTATCTTCATTTTTATTTGGTTTCTTGGTTCGTCAAGATACAATTAAGTGCAATTTTCTGAATCGCCTTCTATACATGAAAGAGTCTCAAGATCAAAAATAGAACCCGGATCACAACGGAATTCAATCATATTATAGTTCATGCAAACGTAAAAGTTTTTGCATGCACGTCTGTCTGGATGTGGATGAATACCGAAAAATTCATAGATGCATACATCATCAGGAATCGGTAATAGTCTTGATTCACAAAGATCATTTTCTCCAGGTTGACAGAGTTCTGATGCAAGAACTGATGTGATTGAAAGAATTAATAAAAAATCTGAAACAATTAGAATAATTATTTTCATTAGGATTTATGCTGCAAATCAACATTGATACTCTTTATTTGTCTTTTTTGGCAACTTACAGAGCTTCATCTTGTTTTTCTCCCCTAAGCTTATTTGTGTCCAAAAGCCAAACTTCGACTCATTGAGTGTCACAGTAAATTGAAAATGAAATCTTTAAAGGGAATATTAAACTAATCTAATCAAGGCAGGGAAAATAAAAACTTGAGATAGTTCTTTATCAATCAGTTTAATGTTTTTGACAATACTTGGTTTTTGGTTTTAAACATCCAAACTTTTAACTTTTGTGTCAAATTTAGTTTTATTCATCCTTTTTGCATTGTCAAGATGAATTAACTTTAATGCAAATTCAATTGCAATTAATCAAACTACCAGGCACACAGGAGAGACTTTCTAGTCCAAAAACAAAGCCGGGGTCGCATCTGAATTCAACTGTATTATAATTCATACAGACAAAGAATCGTTCACATTCAAATCTATCAGGATGTGGTCTAATAGCGAAAAAGTCATAAATACATGCATCATCAGGAACAGGAGTTATTATATATTCACATGAAGTATCATTTCCAGGACGACATGCTCTTCGATCAGGATCGAAAATTTCTCCATTTAAACACCAAAAATCTACTCTTCTTCCAAGCATGCATATGAAATGATTTCGGCAATTGTCTGGATTTCGTCCCATTAAGAAAAATTCATCTTCACATATTTCTGATGAAAGGGCTCCAGTAATTGATAGAATTAATAAAAGATCTAAAAAGTATGTAAATTTATTAACTTTAATATTTATTTTCAACCAGTTTATTTAAAGTTTCTAGATTGTCATTCGAAACAACTTACAAAGCTTCATATTTCTTCGAATGATGAACAATTTGTGTCTAAAAGACAGTGTCTTACAGGACATAAATTAGTAAACTTTAATGTTAATCTAATCTAGTTGCAAGCTTCAACTTATCTTTTAATTCCTTTAATCAAAGTCTGATATCATTGTCAAGAATTCACTAATAAGATTTGTGCATTTGTTTGTACACGTTTGAAAAACAAAAACTCTCGTGCAAAAAATATTTCGATCGACTTTTTTATCAGACGACGCATTTAGGGTGTAATGTTGACGTATTTATTAAATAATTTTTGTCTATCTTATCAAGCACAAAAAAATCGTATCTCAATCATAAACAAAAATGCTCCCTACGTTGACATAAAAAGAAGTTAAATCAGTTTAAGTTTAATCATAAGCAAGTAAAGACACGCGTAGATATTTAATCAACACAGAATGGGAGCGGTATGCTGTAAATCATGTCAAAATTATAACAGCAATAAAGGATTTAACGTTAACAATGAGCTAAGACAAAGTCAGAGAAATAACCTATCGCCGCATCGCTCATCATTAATTACATCATCGAATTCTCAAATTTCAACGATTCAAAGTGCTGTGGAAATGAGTAAATATTATATAACAAATTTAATTTATGGATGTTCTTTCATTAAACAATACCCTTTGACATATGATACCAGCATTAATGATTTGCTATCTCTAATTATTAGTAATTCGGAATATATGTATAGTAATTTCCAAAAAAAAGGCTGATTAAACTAGTCTAGCGTAAAGTCAGCATGACGTAAAAAAAAGTCGTATCGGGTCCTATCATTACATTGTTAGGGTTTTTAAATCATTTAATCCTGACACTTTAGATATTTTTATATAAAAGAAAAACTTTTGTTCTACACAATCTAAAGTTAATTAAATGTATTTTTATTGAGCAATAATGTTGACATTTTAAAAGCAAAATGGATATAGACTTACTTTGTGACATGAGTCTTAAGACTACACTGGATAATGTTTAATGTTTGGTTAATATTTTAATCTCACAGAATTTAATATTAGCCCCAAAATGTCATACACTGTAGAGTATACACTAAGAATGCAGCAATTCGTCACTAACTTCAAAGAAATCTTCATCATCTAATTTTATTGAAACTCATATAATGCTTAAGTGTCTAAGAAATTAGCCATAAATATATCTTTTTTATCTTTAAGGTAGCCAAACGTTAAATATCAAGGACGAGACCGAATCAAATGAAAATAGAGAAGTGGCGATTTCAAAGGAACAAGAGGAAAGGGCGTACGAAGAAAAAGATAAAGAAGAAATATTAGAGAAAATCGTTTGTAATGAATCCGACCTTGATGATAACGAAATGAACGAAATAGACTTTGGTAATGATTGGAAAATTTTGTTAATTAAACAAAATGGAAGATTTTATGCTACTGTTGCAAAGTGTGGTCATTATCACCATGCAACGCATCTTATTTATGGAACACTCGGAATTAAGAGGATCCGATGTCCATATCATGGAGAATGTTTTAATATTGAGACGGGTGAAGTTGAAAACTTCCCTGGACTTGATGCAGTTCCAATATATAAAGTTAAAGTAGAAAATGGAAAGGTCAAAATTTCTGCAGAAAAATCTTTGTTTGAGAAACAAAAAATTGTAGTGCCAATGGTTAAATATAACCCAACAAATACTCAGACATTTGTAATAGTCGGAGGCGGAACGAGTGGACAAATATGTGCTGAAACATTAAGACAAAATGGTTTTACAGGAAGAATAATAATGATCTGTAAAGAAGCATGTTTACCTTACGATAGATCAAGACTAAGTAAATATATGAACAACCAAACGGAAGACATTCAATTACGTCCAAAAAGTTTTTATGATGAGAATTCAATAGATGTAATGTTGAATGCTCAAGTCGTTGAAGTGCTTCCAGAAAATAAGAAATTAAAGCTTTCAAGTGGAATTGATGTTGAGTATGATAAGGTTTACATTGCAACAGGCTCTCGACCTCGAAAACCAAAAATTCCAGGAATTAATCTTAAGAGTATTTACACATTAAAGACATTCGATGATGCCATGAATATAAATGCAAAATTAAAGCCAACTAGTCATGTTGTTATTTATGGTGCTGGATTTATTGGAATGGAAGTCGCAGCTTATTGTATTGATAAAGTTGCAAAAGTAACAATTATTGATAAGAATTCCGGTCCACTGGTTGAAACATTCGGAAAATCAATTAGTCAAAAAATCATGGAACTGTTCAAGTCCAAAAATATTCATTTAATAATGGAATGTGAAATAAGAAGCTTTGTCGGTATAAATCAAGAGGAATACTTAAGTGCTATTAAGTTATCGAATGGAGATTTTCTGAAGGCTGATATTTGCATTTTAGGACTAGGTACAAAATTGAACACAAACTTTCTTCGAAACAGCGGAATATTATTAAATTCTAACGGTTCAATAGATGCAAACTTTCATCTAGAAACAAACATGCCCAGCATCTATGTAGGTGGTGATATTGCAAATGTTCCTTCGTACTTAAATAATTTGCATCGTGAAAATGTACAAAATTATGGTGTGGCACAGTATCATGGGAAAATTGCGGCATTGAATATGATTGGGAAGGCTAATAAGGCATTAACAATACCCTTCATTCATACTTCATTCTTCGGTCATCATCTTACTTACGTTGGATATAAAAAGGCTTCAAAGATTTGCATTGACGGTGCGGTTGAAGAACTGAAATTTTCAGCTTTCTTTTTCGATAATGACGATAATGTTGTTGGAGTCTGTGCGACACAGCCAAACAAAATAACCTCAGATTATGTTGAGAAAATTACACAGGGTCATAAAATTGTCAAAAAGGATCTGTATCAACATTTTGGTAAGTTAATACTCCACAAAAAAAATGTCGACTCATACTTTTAAAATTGATTCAGTGCTTTGTCTGTTTTGTCTGTCTGATTCAGTGGGTCTTAATGCTTAAAATTTTTTTCAGGTTCCTTCAACAAGACGTTAGCAATTCAAGTCCTACCGTCCATGGCATTTAATTCAAGCGACTCTTTCCCAATTTCGCACTACTTTTCTAGTGCTTGGACATACTTTTTCATAGCTATGAGTCTGAAATTGATGATAGGAGCTATTAATGATGTAAAATCCTATTTTTAATGCAATCGGATGTTTTATGATGATTTAGAAAATTTTATATAAAAAATTTCGATACAATTTAAACTTCTTTAAATTCTTAAATGGGAATAAGGGATTTTACGCTCTAGATGAGCATTGCACATGTGTCTCTGTCCACTGATTCCGTTTTTGTATTTATATCAAACAAATAAAAAGATTTGCATCTTTTTTAGGTATTAACATTGAATCAACAGAACCTTTCATAAAGGAAGACGAAACATTAGGTGAAGATTATATTGAAGAGAATGTCTGCGATATAAATGACTTGGCCGAAAATGAAATGAAGGAATTTGTCATTGATAAAGATAAGACAATTTTATTAATAAAACAGAATGGAAAGTTTTATGCAACTGGAAATAAATGTGGACATTATGGAGCGCCATTAGTCATGGGATCATTGGGACATCAGAGAATACGATGCCCATGGCACGGTGCATGTTTTAATCTTAAGACTGGTGACATTGAAGATTTTCCTGGTCTTGATGCTATTCCATGCTATAAAGTTAAAATTGAGGATAGACAAGTGAAAGTACGAGCTAAAAAGGCAGTTTTAGATAAAGAGAAAGTCACAATGCCAATGGCAAGATTTGACCCGAAAAATGCACAGATATTCATCATAATCGGTGGTGGTCCAAGTAGTCAAACATGTGCTGAAGCCTTAAGACAGAATGGCTTTAAAGGACGAATTATCATGATATGTAAAGAGAATTATTTGCCTTACGATCGAATTAAAATCAGTAAATTTTTGGATACCAAAATAGAAGATGTTCAGTTACGTCCGCGAAGTTTTTATGATGACAATAACATTGAGTTAATGATAAATGTCGAATCGACGGGTGTTGATGGAAAATTAAAGGAAATTTCATTAAGTTGTGGCAATAAGCTTAAATACGACAAACTTTATATTGCCACTGGTGCTCGATCTCGAACAGTCGACATTCCTGGAATTAATTTAAAAAATATCTTTACTCTGAGGACATTCGATGATGCTGCAAACATTAATTCGAGTTTAAAATCGACAAGCAACTTAGTAATTTATGGATCGAGCTTTATTGCATTAGAAATTGCGGCTTATTGTGTAGATAAAGTTGCGAAAGTGACAATCGTTAGCAGAAGTGAGGTTCCATTAATGCAATCATTCGGAGAAGCTATAGGCACTAGAATTATGAAATTATTTGAATCAAAGAACGTGGACTTTATAATGGAAACAAAAATTGAAAAATTCTTAAGTAACTTTGACGAAATAGAAAGCATCGAGCTGTCAGATGGAAAAAGAATTTGGGCAGATATTTGTGTAATAGCAATTGGTTCAGAATATAATACAGAGTTTCTACGTAACAGTGGGATCATTTTAAACGAAAATGGTTCCATTACTACAAATTCGTATCTTGAGACAAACATTTCTGATATTTATGTAGGTGGAGATATTGCCTGTAGCCCTGTTTTTATGTACAATGATAAATGTGCAACAGTGGAACATTACGCAGTGGCGCAATATCATGGAAAAATAGCAGCTCTTAACATGTTAGGCATAAAAAGTGAATTAAGAACTGTTCCATACTTTTTCACATTACTTTTTGGCTATTGCATAACTTACACTGGTTTTGGCAAAGGTACATCCGAGATATTTATCGATGGTGACTTGGAAGAATTTAAGTTTGCGGCATTTTATTTTGATGAGGAACAAATTGTCCTTGGAATGTCATCATGTCAACCTGACAAAGGTATTTCGGATTTTGCTGAAAAATTAGCTGAAGGATATCGTTATCATCGTGATGATATTGAGTGGGCGATTGAGTTGGAGGAAGAGGAAGACGAATTCGAGGAAAATGAGGAAGTAAAAATATGAGATAATTCCAACAGCAATAATTAACAAATAAAAGATTGATTCATGCGGAAGTCTATTTTTTTTGTTTCTTCGATCGATATCAAAAATGCTTAGTTTGTAATTGTTATTGTTATTTGTTACTATATTATATAAGTCTTATTTTTATTCAACATTCTTTTTTCACATTTTATGTACTGCCTTAATTCACTAAAAACATTAACTCTGTCGAATAAATCAAATTGAAAATTATTCATGTTGAAATGTGATTCTTTAATTTTCTTTATAGAAATAGATAAGCATGCAAATAATCATTACAAAAACTAATTGATAGTCAATCGTGAGATTTCAAATCAATAACGAAGTCAAAAAAATTAATTTCGTTGATTAGATTTTAAGGCTTAAATTTTGAAAGTTTTAGGATGAAAAATTGTCGCAGTTTTTAATAATTTGCAGTATGACAAAAATTGAATACATTTAACCTACCTTTAAACAGCTAGTTATTTTGTAAAAAGATCTTTCTTGAGCCGCTTTAGTCTTACCTTCTGTTTTCCAATTTAAAACATTACCCTGATTTTTCGTTATAAGCTACTACTCGTTACTAAGCTACTAGCTTAGTAAAGTTTTTTTGAACTTGAAATTTTTTTGTATTCTTTACTAAGCTACTACCAAAAATAAAGTATAATTAATCTTTTTCAACTTTCTAAGTATCAGTTTCAATGCCTTATGACATTGTCAATGAAATAAAATCGAGAAGATAGCAAAATTTCTTTAATTAAGTTAAAAAATTCAAAATTTTCATTGAAGTTCAATTTCTTTACTAAGCTACTAATCGTTAATAAGCTACTAGTGAGCCAAAAAAATCACTTTTTTATTCTTCTAAGCTACTAGCTTATAACGAAAAAACAGGGTAATTGTAAAAATAAAATCAATTTCGTTAATCACGGGATCATTCACTGATGTCGTCCAATAGAAGTAAGAGAAGTGTTAATAACAATTAAGCTAGTTTCTAGAGGTATTCAGAGTACCTTCCCCTAATCATAGTCAAACTTTACTTACACCCCAGAATGAATTCGTCCTTGACAGGTTGTTCACAGACGACTTGTCTTGGAACTCTGATTTTTGATTTTGTGGAAGTTCCCGCAAAGGAAGCCTCAGAAACCGATTAAGGTTAGGGATATATTCCAGACATAATACATGCGCTAGTAAAATAAAATAAAATAAGATTGAAATAATAAATTTAAATTCTTTTTTTTTATTAAAAAATATGTCGTATATAAAAGCACGAGTATTGATTTATTTTTTAAAAAAATAATGATTTGCTAAAATATTCATAAGATACAGAAATTCAGCTCTTCCTTCTTCTACTAATTGAGATCATCTCAAAAAACCGAAAAAAAAATAAAAATAAATAAATATGAAGGAGAAAATATTTTCTGGTAATTAATTGAGATAATACGGAAAACCTGCCGTAAAATCACTCTAAATTGTATACAAAAACTTAATTTTATACTCAAGCTGTAATATCAATTATTTATTACTCATCATTCCATCCCAATTTTTTTTTTAAAAAAAATAGAACTAAAGCGTTTATAATAATAATAATATTCACAATGTTTATGGCTCAATTTAACAATTCTAATCTGTAATTACCTTCCTCATTCATTTCTTATTATAACTACCTTACGGTAACATACTTAATTTTTTAAGAGCTTATCTCGTTTAACATTTTTATTCTCACAACTTTATTAAAGAAAAAAAGCTCTTGAACAATTTTGTTTTTGCTATTAAAATTGAAGCATTTTCAAAAAGGACTCTTAACATGCGTACATACATGAATGTGATGATTTTAAAACTATTTTACAATTTTATGAAATAGAATTATCCCCGTTTCACGGACATCAGGCCACGCTCTTACAATAAAGATTATAAATAAGATGAATATAACTGTTGTAAGCACTCGAACCCTGAAAATAAGGATATATAGATGTGTACATATCAAATATTAAGCTTGATTACCTTGTTTTGAGAAACGGCATTAAGATTCCAGCTGCCGTTGCCGTTAACAGTAAAATAACTTGGAGAACTGTTAGAACTACATTAATTAATTTTACAACTAATGCTCTTGCATTTGAATTGTCAATTCCTTCGACTGTCACATATTGTTGTTGAGATAAATGCTCCATTTTTTGTATCTATGGTGAAAAAGAAGATTAGACAGAGGAAATGAGTGACATGATAAATGATACACTTACTCTTGTTTGGCAATTTTCGAGGACTTCATTAACGTCTCTAAGTCGTTCATCACTTTGATACTGAACTTTCTCCTCCATATCAGCCATCGCTTGTTTCAAATTTTCAATTTCAGTCTAAATGTCCGTATAAAGGTTAATTGATTAGTTCTCTTATCCATCATGATAAGGCTAAGGCTGTATAATTAATTTTTCATACCTGATGGAGCTCAGTGAGATCATTAATTTGACTTTCAAGTCTCTCTGCTCGATATCTTTCACTGTCGAGAGTTACCGAGAGATCTGCTAATTCTTTTTGTGTTGCCTGTGGTGATGACATATATGCTTGATAATTTTCATATCCAAATATTTTTCATGTACAATAATACCCACCTCTAATCTTTCGACCTTTTGCTTCAGCTTCTCAAAGTCTTCTTTTCTCTCCTTCAATTCATCGAGGATGTGTTTTATAGTCACAGCAATTTGTTGTGACTGGTTTAAATCTTTCTTATTACTATCCCCTGCTCCCCCGCTTCCACTTCCAGTTGTGTGTTTACATTTTAAAAATAATCTAAAAATGATTTATTCGTGTCTACATGCTAGCAAGTTTATTGAAAAAAATTAAAGTTACCCCTGTGCTGAGTCACTTGTTACACTGCTACACTCGCTATCGTGCTCACCACTAAACTTTCCGCTACTATTACCACCTATTAAATTATTGGAACTTGGTAGTCCTTGTTGTTGATTATTTTCAATAATTGCTGATGCATCTGCCTCATGATTGTGTTCACGAACTTCTTGATCTGTATACCAGGAAGCTTAAAATTAAATTTCAGGTCATTTAGTCAACTCTTGTTAGTAGTTCAAAGAGAGAAAAGTTGTGTTAATGGTATTAAAAAAAATAAAAGCTGTTCATCATGTTGATACATGGACGAGATGATAGCAAGAAGGTCACAAATCGAAAAACTTTACTTATTATATTCTCCTTTGAGCTATTCCGTCTACGTATGCTACAGCAAAAAAAATGCAGTCTCATAACGATCCAAAATATGAAAAAGATATTATGGTCCCGAGACTAATAAGAAGAACAAATTGTTGTCCGAATAACAAAACAAAAAATTGCAAATTGAAAGCAAACGCAACATGAAAAAAAAAAATCGACCAACCGATTTCACAAATCAAAATTAACTGAAGCACCTTAAACAAACATAGGCACACACAACAACATATACAGTAACAATTACAATAGACCGCGTAATTCTTTAAATGATAATTAATACTTTTATCGCTTCGACTTTATCGTTTATCGTTTACAGGTTAAAGAAGAGCTCATGATTCAGCACAGAAAAATTACAGGTGTGTGATTAAAAGTGAGACTGATTTCATGATGTCTCACAACAATTAAAATCTCTGATGAGATTACAAAGCTTAAAACCTTATACTTATGGTTCGCGGATTTCTAAGGGATTAATCATAAATGACGGGTAATTTTGGATACAATATTGGTTTTTAAGATTTGACAAAGGTTTGCCAAAAAATGATCACAAAAAATTGGGCCCACAGCTTTTTAAGGAATGATTCGTCAGCTCAGCCTCAACCTTCTTAAAGTTGAACATCATTTATGAAACAAACGTTATTAAAAGTTCGAAAACGTGACTTGTTGCATTTTTAAAAACTTGCAATTTAAGACTGTACCCATATGCATATTAAATTATTAAAAGCGTGTGCATTAAGGATACCAAACTACTTGCTATACAATCTCAATAAATCATTTAAATTCACTTCACTCGAACTATTTTTTCAACTTCAAAAACAATGATGAATGAAATTGCTTTTAAAAATAATACTCACTTGATGACATTTGATTGATATTGTCGGCGCTTCCAAATTTATTTTTGATTAGATGTGCAAACTCTCTCGGTTTCGACATAACTGTTGACACTCCATCACGAATATTTCCGCCAACATTTTTGAGACCTTGACTCACATCTCTCAGCACTTCGCGGGGTTGCTTATAATCCTTTATCTGTTGCTGTGCTTTCATAAATTGTTGTTGCTCTAAATCCTTATATCTTTTACTATATGACTCTAATTTCTTTTGTAATTGCGATATAATGTGTGCACTTTTCTGGTTCTTCTTTTCAAATACCGCCTTAATTCGCTGTAATTGAGTTTTATCTGCACTTGCTGCGAGCTTCAGGTACTCATTTACATTTTCTTAAATCACAAGATGAATAGAGAATAAGGTAATGAGTTGAACAATGCACTTTATAATTAACTTACCATCTCTAGCTGTTTGTTCTTTCCTTATACTTTCTTTAGTGCATGCAATTTTAGTTGAAAGACGATCGATTGCCTGTAAGCTATTTGTACGGTTGTGACGGTTCATCGGTGTTGAATGTTTATTATGATCATTAATTTGATCTGGATATTCAAGATCCAAATCAAGCGATGGATATCCTAGCTCTTCAGTTATTCTTGAATCATCATCAATGTCTGTGATGTCTGTACTCTGATTCATCGAATGATTCATTTCCTTCATATTATCACGATCTGTTCTTTCACGCTCTCGACTACGCCGTTGAGTTGTGGACGGACTTTGATTACGAAAACGTATATTGGAAGATGATGATACCGTCATGACACCAGCGGAAGTTGATTCTGTTTCGCGATCACGTGACACTGATAAAAATGCAAACAATCATTAAAATTTTATTCTGATGTGAAATTGTTAATAATTAAAAATAATCTATATCCTCAGTTTGTTTCGATCAGCACGTATAACTAGCAAATTCATATGGACATAAAAGCACATACATTTGATGGTATGGAATCTTGTTCTAAGTTTTATTATTTTACTATCTTTTAAAGCTTGATAAAAACTTGATGTCATAATCCATAACTTCATACTAATAAGGAATGATTAAAATTTAAGATTAGATTATAAACTTTATAATTCACAACATTCATCAAAAACTGGAAATGTCAGAATAACATTAGATGATAATCCTAGAATGAAGCTTAGAATCTATCTTCACGTCACAGTAAAGGAACAATTCTGAATTTAAAAATGTTTATCTTCATTACACACATGATGAATGATGTTCTGACTTAATATTTCTCTTTAAAGTATTACACCAGAAAATTGAAAATTTCATGATCCGTAAATAATTTTCATTGGCCCTCAAAATTTGAGTAATAATAAATTTCCTTAGAATTTTGTCACTGATATATGTCATGAATAATTCATAGTCATATAATGACTTAATTTCCGTGAAAATTTCACTTGAAGGCATAAAAATAAACTTGCTGTCGAAACAAATGAGGTTTTACACAAAAAAAAATTATTACGATAAATAATTCAGGTCAAAATACTAAAGTTTGCGATGTAAGGTAAGTAAGAAAGCTTTCCATACATTTAGATATAAAATTTTCAATTGGGAAATGTTTTAAAAATAGTCAAAACTAGGCAATACAGTGTGTGCATATGTATGACTAACCTTCACATAACTAATAGTAAAATATCAATGTAAATATTGGACCTATACTATGTATGTTTTGCTAATCTATTATTACAAAAAAGCTTGCATGCAAGAACTTTAATAAAATCGTGTTCAGACTGTTTGACTTTCTAAAAGTAAGCTACGGGAAGTTTTTTTGAATATACCGCAAACGAAAAATTGTGTGGTCAAAGAAGCAAACTTTTTAATCTATTTCGTTTGATGCTGTTTGATGATGGTATGGCGTATGAAAGTTGTTTTATGGATTGAAAAGAAATTTTTGTTTTAAGAGTTTGTAAGCATAGTGTATGTAAGATAGATAGAGTGTTCTAGGATGTGCCAACTGTCATGATTTTTCGAAAAAAGTGCTGCTATCCTGGATGTCTATGCATAGAATATGCCAACACTGATATAATAACCGAAGATAACATCCAGACATTAATATCTTGCGAATTATAATTTTTTGTAAATTTAGGTCTATTGGCGCACCCTAGAAGAAATTATTAGAAGGAAAAAAAAAAGTCCACAAAGAAAGAAAAGTATAAAAGTACAATCTCACTTTTGTTTTATTTCCTTCAATTAAGTGGGCGAAGCTTCTTTAATTTTATTTCAATGAATTGCCTACAAGTAGCGCTCTATAGTAGGACGTTGACTATCGACAAAATTGTAGGCTTTATCTAAATAGCATTTTTCTTTTATTTCCAAGTCATTTAACTTGACAAAAAAAAAAGGCATTTGACAAATATCTGTTGTGTGATGCTTGCTTTATGTCAAAGCAAAATGTATATTTATTATTGTGATATGAAAATTTAATGAAAAATAGAAATTAAGTCAGCTGATGAGTGTTTATTATGTGAGTAACTTTGAGGACTTTTAAGTCTTAATATATTTTTTTAAATAGAAAAATCTGCAAAGATCAAAAAATTAGAAACGAGAGTTACAAATAGTGTGATGATGAGGAACAAAAAGACGTGATAAATAAAAAGAAAATGAAAGCACGAGGCATAAAAATGTTACGATACAAATAAAGCGTAAAGAACACTTAAAAGGAAAATCACGGAAAATAATAGAGCTTATGGTATGAGACATAATACTGTCTATAATTCTGATCTATATATAGACACTGTATTATGCTGATTTTCAATGTCATTTTCAAGATGAGATTTTTCCTTCGATTGAGGAACATAAATTTCGAACATATGGCTTTTATGTGGATATAAACGATAATTTAATCGAAAAATTTGATGGACAGCAAATAAAGTTACACAAGCGGCTCAAGTGTTCAACATCAAATAGTATTTGAAGTTTACTGTTTACTATACGACATGATTTAACTTCCTAAATAAAAATATGAAAACTTAAGTCTGGAGTCGTTCACAAATGACGTCAAAATTTATTGGGGGGGGGGGGGGGGGGGTGGGTCTTAGCCAATCCTTGCTTTGGCTAAAAGAAGAAGAAAACCCATTTTCAGATCTACGTAATTTATGAACAACCCTATGAGAAAAACTTGTGATTGAATTTTCTAATAAAAAAATATGAAACGATTAAAATTGAATAATTTCCGTAACGTAACAAAAAACTCGCAATTAACAAAGTGGAACTGATTGAATTTGAACTTAGAAGCATCAAGCCAATTATGAACATTAAAATAAAGTTTTACTTATTTAATTAGAATAAGGAACTCAATGTGACATAAAATGCAATAACAACTAAATTTGAACTAAATGATTTAGACTGAACGCAACGACATAGCTCATTCTCCATGAATCATTTCATTGGAATGCTGACAATTTTTGAGATTTGTGAATGAACGTCAACAAGTAATGAGTATGGGGGGTAATTTGCATCCCATAAGTCAATATTTTTATGAATAGATTGTTAATTGATTGAATTACAATATGCTCATTTACTTGTACTTGCTTACTTGAATAACTGGTATTTTAAAAGCTGTTTTGAGAACTTTATGAATATCGAGGTATGAGAGAGTTTCATAGAGTTTTAAAGTTTTAACGAAAAAATAAAATCCAAAGAACTTGAATTCAGAAATCGTTGACTTAAAAAATGCATTGCTCAACATTTTAAAATCAATAAGCATCATGATGTCACAATAAAGAATTCAAGGTCTATTTTACAGTAAAAAAAGCTATTGTCGTAAATAAAGAACTCTTTAACAATTATTAAAGCAGCATATACAGATCGCAATAAATCCACAAATTAATGAAATCTTAATTAAGTTAAATATTTGATGAAAGAAAAATGCTTGAAATGATTCATATAAAGCTTAGAGTGCATATATGAGCTATAACTATTGCGCTCAGTCCTAGTATTTATAAATACGATAATTGTCTTTCAACGATCATTTACATTGTTGTTGATCCATCACATAGCGAGAAGGTGAAGGTGTGCGTGATGAATGTTTACTGCCACCTGATTGGGACGCTTGAAATACTTGAAGTGTATCCATTTATTCTCAACTTGTTGATCGATGTCAATAATAATAAGAATTTTTCATGTAATTTAATTTTCTACGTGTTCAACTCCTCTAAAATCACTAAATGTAAATTCTCTGTATATTAATTTAACTATGACACATACTGATAGAAAAATGTATTATAGGTCAATTAAATTGGAACCTGAAAGAAAAGATAGTAAAGAAAAAGAGTAGACATGAGAAGTATGAATGGAATGTAGAATTAATTGAATGGTCATGACATGACATTCTCAATTATTTATGACGATAAACATTATTACTATACGGGTTTGTTGCCCTCCTGACTGCGCAATTATCCACACTGAGATTTATTTATTGAATCTAATTTTCAATAGATTTATTTTTTGGAATGCTCAATCGAAGTGTAATAATAGTAAATTCTTTCAATACCTCGGCTACAATTCTGTTTTGAGCGTGTACGATGGGACATGAGTAATGCCATAATTTAAAGCTCGCTAAGCATCGTGCGGAAATAACACGTGTTGAAGTGAGATTTTTTCATTTTATTTTATTTTATTTTTAACCGCATCTCTTTCAAGTTTGTGCAATGACTAATGCTTATAATCTTCGATTCGAGCTGGCCTAACCTTGAAAAATTCTTTTAATGGCAATAAAAAAGTTCAAAGAACTCCATCGAGCTACAATCATCCCTCTTATCAGTTTGAATGACACAGCGTTACTTCTTTTGCGCTATATAAATAATATTTGATGTAGCATAAAGAGTAATGATGAATAAACCAAAAAATTAAAATTTGATAACATACAATGACATCAATACACTATGGGCCAGAAATCGAAAACTTTTCCGAAAATTATTTTTTTGGTCTAAATGATAGCTCTTTCATTCCCATTTATGAAAATACTTACAAAAGTGGCCAATTCAGCCTAAGTTCCGAGTTATGGCTTTTCAAATTTTTGATTAAGAGCATTTTCTCACCCCACAAAAATTGTCACTACTTTTCATTAGATTCATGAAACTCTTTCAAATTTTTTTTATTTGGTAGCTTAAAATAAGAGCTTCATTTTAAAACAGTAAACATTTAAGTATGCATCTTTTAACTTTATGAATTTTAAGGTTTTTTCAAAAAATCACGTGTTCAGTATGACTACGTTCGTATAGGACTTCACTTTTAAAATAAATGATGCTGAATCTTTTTTTATATTGTAGATATAAACAAGATATACAACTTTTATTAAGATACTATAAAGTTTTAGTAGAGTTTTGCTGATGAAATTAAGTCTTTTCTTCAAAAAAACTGGAATTTTTTGACATAAATTGCCCAAAGGAGTGGAATTTTTTTACATGTTTTGAAAGCTCTTTGGATATACTATCAGAATATACAATCAGCTTAAATTCGGTTACTGAGACAATCTCGAGCAATTTGACTTTGAAGTGTGACCAGAAATACATTTCAAAACAAAAAAATTGAAAATAAATTTTGTACGTTTTTCAAAATTTTAGTTTTTTGTTTTAGATCAATAGATCTCATCAAGGCGCATATTTTGAGTATAAATATGTCATAGTTTGAACAATTTTTATACTCAAATTTCAACAAAATCATTTTTATATATTTTTCAACAAATTTTACTTATTTTTCAATTATTTTAAATCAAAACTTATTTCAAATCTTCTGATTTTGATATTTTTTGAAATTTCTATGTTTTTATGTTAAAATGTCACTCCTAGAGCAACAATTCATAAAATTTTATTTACTTTAAGGTAAATTTTTTATAATTTTTTGCAAATTACACTCATTTTTCTTATATTTTTTATCAAATTTTATTTTATAATAATTCTAAATATTGAAATTTAATGTAATATGCATAAAAATACTCTTAAATATTTAAAGATCATATTTTATCCAATTAACGTAGGAATAAAGCTGGAATGAGCAAAGCTTTGATATGTTCCTTTAATCTGAAGGTAATTCTTCTTTCGATTCAGAACATATAAGCATCCAATCAACTATTTTTAATAAATTTCGGTATACAAACTTATTTCCATGCAATTGTAAAGCATAAACTATCACCACGAATTATTAAAATTAAGGACCTATAATGAAAATAGTTTTTAAAAAGGAAAACGCTATCAACCATTTTCCAATCTATCAAATTTATTGTGACAATTTTTATCCAATGTTGAATGGTTCCTTTTAGTTTTTTTACCATATTTCATTGTTTTTCCAATTTTCGTCTTTGCATATACTTTTTTTACTGATCTGTGGGCGCAACGTGATACATTTCAGATCCGTTCTGACAATTTATCATTATAAGGTAATCTTGTAGCTCTCGTTCCTATTTCTCCCGCTACAATTCAAGTTCCTCATCCGTTCCTTAATCCAACGTTGCCAAATATCTCATGGCTTGATCTCGTACATTAAGCAGTCGAAGTATCTAAACTTCTGAAAAAGAACAAATTTGGAAATAGCTGGATTGGAACCGACGACCTTCGAGTTACCATACCAAATTTGAGCCAATCGCCTTACTTATTTGACCAGCGAGGCACTTAAATCCTTAAACATAGACAAAAATAGATTCAAGAACCATCATTTAGTTATGTTAAATTTCAAAGCGATGCAAATTTTTCAAACTTTTGTATATATACTTTATATATTTCATACTGGTAAATTCCAGTCACCATTAGTGAGTCCAGTCAGATTATAAATATTGAGCTTTCAACTTCCTGACCTGGAAGGCAATAAAATAAGACATCTTTGAAATAGTGACATTGGTCGGCAAAAACGAGTTTCAGGTTGTAAAATAATGATCTCAGTAATCCGAGAAAAACAATAAATCAGTTGAATATCTCGAACAAAAACATAAAGACGTGTTTCATTGAAAAATCAAAAATAAAACACAGGTGATAGTTTATGCTTTACAATTGCATGGAAATAAGTTTGTATACCGAAATTTATTAAAAATAGTTGATTGGATGCTTATATGTTCTGAATCGAAAGAAGAATTACCTTCAGATTAAAGGAACATATCAAAGCTTTGCTCATTCCAGCTTTATTCCTACGTTAATTGGATAAAATATGATCTTTAAATATTTAAGATTATTTTTATGCATATTACATTAAATTTCAATATTTAGAATTATTATAAAATAAAATTTGATAAAAAAAGATAAGAAAAATGAGTGTAATTTGCAAAAAATTATAAAAAATTTACCTTAAAGTAAATAAAATTTTATGAATTGTTGCTCTAGGAGTGACAATTTAACATAAAAACATAGAAATTTCAAAAAATATCAAAATCAGAAGATTTGAAATAAGTTTTGATTTAAAATAATTGAAAAATAAGTAAAATTTGTTGAAAAATATATAAAAATGATTTTGTTGAAATTTGAGTATAAAAATTGTTCAAACTATGACATATTTATACTCAAAATATGCGCCTTGATGAGATCTATTGATCTGAAACAAAAAACTAAAATTTTGAAAAACGTACAAAATTTATTTTCAATTTTTTTGTTTTGAAATGTATTTCTGGTCACACTTCAAAGTCAAATTGCTCGAGATTGTCTCAGTAACCGAATTTAAGCTGATTGTATATTCTGATAGTATATCCAAAGAGCTTTCAAAACATGTAAAAAAATTCCACTCCTTTGGGCAATTTATGTCAAAAAATTCCAGTTTTTTTGAAGAAAAGACTTAATTTCATCAGCAAAACTCTACTAAAACTTTATAGTATCTTAATAAAAGTTGTATATCTTGTTTATATCTACAATATAAAAAAAGATTCAGCATCATTTATTTTAAAAGTGAAGTCCTATACGAACGTAGTCATACTGAACACGTGATTTTTTGAAAAAACCTTAAAATTCATAAAGTTAAAAGATGCATACTTAAATGTTTACTGTTTTAAAATGAAGCTCTTATTTTAAGCTACCAAATAAAAAAAATTTGAAAGAGTTTCATGAATCTAATGAAAAGTAGTGACAATTTTTGTGGGGTGAGAAAATGCTCTTAATCAAAAATTTGAAAAGCCATAACTCGGAACTTAGGCTGAATTGGCCACTTTTGTAAGTATTTTCATAAATGGGAATGAAAGAGCTATCATTTAGACGAAAAAAATAATTTTCGGAAAAGTTTTCGATTTCTGGCCCATAGTGCAATATAAGTACACTGATTGATGATGACCTAATCTATATAAAGTTTATGTGTCACTACAACACATAAAACATTTTTTTTTAATTTGATTAGAAACACCAAACATAAATTGGCATTGCGTTGCTAAGTACACATTTAATTTAAAAATTCAGCTTGAAACAAAGTTTAAAATTTAACGGATTGATTAATTTTGAATTTAATGATTCTCTCGTCGTTTCACTGAACGCACGCATCGAATTTCAAAAAACAATCGTTACAAAATTGTCAAGAAGCCAAGAAGTTAATTAAAAATGAATATTAAGGAGAGTTATGAATGTTATTAAGGCGATTTATTTTAGCAATAGAATTCCCCATCTAGTCATAAAAAAGGTCGAATGAATATTTCATATTCTAGCCGGTATTTGAATCTATCCAAAAAATTAAATAAAAATTCCTTATGCTGAACTTTTAGGTATATACGGACGACCTTCAAGGATATTTATACTCTCTCATAATGAAGACACAAATAAGCGTTGCACGAGTTCTATTTACTTGAGACTTCTTTATTTCTCCGCTTTTAATATTAACTTAACATTATTAACACTCCTTTTTAAGTGTTGCTAATTCTTATTAAGGTAGGTTGGGCTATGATTTTATTCACGCAAATATTTTTTAGGTCTGAAGCACACCTTTTTCATTAAATGATACATTTTTTCATAACTGACTGAATAATACTTGAATAGTAATTAACCATATGCATGCAAAATTCTTTCTAGTGATTAACAAACTTGCCACATTATGATTGACAATAATAATAATAATAATATAATTTATTACCAGAGGTATTTTAAAAATGACCTGACAAGAGTTACATTGAATTTATATAAAAGCATGATACACCGTCTTCCAAGATTCCTAAATTTCCTAAACGGTAGCTGTATTGGGCACTTTAGTATCAACGCCGTATCAGACAAAAGCACCCTCGAGAAGGTGAAACTTATGTACTGAGTACCTGCGCATACAAGTGGTTCCGTTTGGACACAAATTCCACAACACAGTTGCAGATTGACTTGCTAAATGTTGGTTGAAAGCATGCATTTGTTTCGTAATAGATAACAGATTGGAATTTTTCAGTTGTATACTTCAGCATATTATCATAGACGTAACTGTATTTAAGTACTTTTTACTAGTAATCTAAAGATTTAAAGATAAGGAAATGCCATTGAATTCACAATTTTTTCTATAGAAATATTTGAACAATTTTATGGTTATTGTGTGCAAAGGATGTTGTTATTGAGAAATCATTCGACAGACATTACATTCAATATGAGTCATGCCATCTACAAATAAATTGTCAATTTAAGACATTTCGTAGAAAAAGTCAGTCGACTTTTTAAAATTAATTATGCATCATTCAATGGCTACAACCGTATCAGAAAAATTAGACTGAATTAATCATCATATATTATCCAAGAACCTCTTCTTGTAAGTTTAAGATGAAAAAATAACCAGAATCATTCGTGTGAATAAAAATCTTCGTGATTTGAAAGGAATTTGCACTTCGAGTGGACTTTGAAACTCGTTTTTCCTTTCATTCGCATATTAATAAGATTAATGAGTTGATCCATACATTTTGGGCATGTGGCTTATTCGTCTTTTATTCATTATCAAAGTTCGCTGGATCTTTTTTTAATTAGGCTTTTAGGGATTAAGTCTCAAGTTATTCAATCGATAACTTAGTTTTAATCAAGAAATAATATTACTAACCGCACCGGCAAAAAAACTCCAAAAAAATCCACGTATAAAAACTTTTAAACATTTTCTTTAATACCTGTTAATAACTTTAATAGCTTCACAACTGACCTTTTGACTTTTCCGAAATAAAGAGAATCATTTATTGTTGGTAGGTAGCAACAGTACATACTTATGTGAAATTATTCTAATAGTAATTTATATAAGCATCAAAATAATTAGCAAGTAATGACTTTAAAACTATAAATATATATATAGAGCTTCGGAAGGTAATGTTTGTGCATGTACTTAAAACCCGACACATATTAAATCAGTAATTATTATCGACTTCTTTTCCGTAATGACGTAAAGTTAGAGTTTCAAGCAAGTCAGATTTTTATACTTTATAGTTCTTGGTGAAATTGTTATCGCTTCCGTATCAAGTAAGTAAGTCTGACACACATGTAATAAAATAATATTCGTCATGAAACGGCCAACATTTAATGTGTTTTACATCCATCCAGCAATTAATAAACAAGAAGGAGACAATACAAAAAAAAGGTTTAAAAGTCCTCACAAGTATGTTAACAGACATGACGATGGAGGTAGTAAATGTGTGTTGTAGACTAATTTAAAATTGACGATAAATGCTAGTTATGAATATTTGAATGATAAAGTTTCCGCAAACTGTGACATGCGTTTCATTGCCTTACTACTAAATGATTCAATTTTAAGAATCATCTGTTGTGCCTGCCTGTGTCATTTGAATGTATGTAAATTATTTAATTTTTTTATATGAGTCTCCCTCTCAGCATTATTTTTGAATTGTGATTTAGATAAGAGAGAGATTTGTGAATAACTCGTTTGATCCACTAAACGACGTCAAGAACATAATAAAATATTATAGATTATCACACGATTCTTATATCTACTATCTACACATTGATGTGATTTTTATATTTTCGGTCATATCAGACATATCGATCTATCTATAGGGAGCTACATATTTTGCAAAGTTTAAAGTGCACGCAAGCCGCTTTCGGCTTTATTTTTGCTCGGCTAATAAGTTTGGTTCCATAAAATCTCCACATTTACGGGCGACCTCAAAACTTTTCAGTTATATGAGCAATTGCAGAAAAGAAGAAGGAAATAACAAATGCACATAGGCACTATACACTCACTTTTCTCTGTATTCTATTTATAGATGTACTATTTATTTTGTAGTAATTTCTTTTCAGCAACAAATCTTTCTCACTTTTTCAAGTTCATTGCAGGATAGATGAATAAATTTTTTTAGGGCGATCAAAAAAATCATTTGATTTTCACTTTTGAGATTGATTTTTTTCACTATTCACGATATTCACTTAAAATTTCTCTCTATGATCTTTGGTATTAAACTAATTATTATTTAATCACATTTATTGGACATACTTTACTCGTTTTGAATGTCTTTTAGCATTAATGACTTTAATCCTCATACATTAATCCTTTATTTATTAATATCTTCCGATCCTACTTAAAAAAAGTTTGAATTTTTTTCTGGAACATCACAATCACTTTACATCCGAGCTTAACAAATAAACCGATTGAGCAATACAATAGAGACACATGATATGACTTGTCCAATGGCTAATTTAGAATAAAGTAACTTAATATAATTTGCTCGAACGAAAATCAAACCTTTACAGAAATTCAGAGGTGACTGATGTTAATGCCCTGATGCCAACATTACCCACTTTTTATAAATAAAATCATCGTTATGTTTAGTTCCATTTCTGAGAATCTCCACACATACACATACGGTTAACTTTATTGCCAATAAAAATTAATTTGCAATCATCTGGATTTATTATTGTGATTGTAAATATAGTAAGGATACATGGAAAAAGCGGAATAAATTCACATTAGATGTTTAAATCTTATTGAATGCAGCAATATCAACGGATTGAACAAAGTCTTCAAACTCCTGAATCTTTTCTTGAAGCTCATCGACTGAAACCTTATCGTCTTCAATGACACACATAATTTGCAATTTCTTAATTCCGTAAGCTAATGGAATCAATTTGCTGGCTCCCCAAAGAAGGCCATCCATTACAACAGTACGGACTTGCTTTTCCATTTCTTTCATGTCTGTTTCATCATCCCATGGCTTAACATCCAATAAGATTGAGGATTTGGCAATGAGTACGGGTTTCTTGGATTTCTTTTCAGCGTATGCCTTTACTCTTTCTTCCTTTAATTTTTCAGCCTCTTCATCTACTTCCTCGTCTGAACCGAATAAGTCGACATCATCATCATCATCATCATTTGCGGCTGCAACTGCAATTTAAGCTTTTAATAACTGACAATGTCTATAGAATATGTTTTTTTAAATTACCTGGAACTGGAGCTGGGGCAGATGTCTGTTGTGGGGAGCCTTCTAACTTATTTAAGCGAGTTTCTAATGATATGACTAACTTCTGCATGCCATCAACAAGTCCTCTGAGTGAAGCATTGTCTTTTTCCAAAACTGAAATTCGTTCCAACAGTTCAGATCCGGGAATATTGAAATTGGATACACCATCGACACGTTCTAAGGATGACTTGATGTGTTGTCTGGCCTTTGCGATTTCAGTGGCTAATGTCGAGGTTGCTGTAGATGTGCATGAAATGCCATTCTAAAGATGAAAATGAAAAAGAGTAAAATATAGCGATAACATAAAACAGAAGTGATTATTCCAGAAGGAAATAATGAATGGGGAAAATAATAAGTACAAGCGATAAGGAGGAACAACCTAAGCAAACTTATAAGTGATGGAGAAAATCAACTCAAAAACAATCTAAATATCCTTTCAAAAACCTTTGATTCGTCTTTGACTGGTTTCTGTTCCGTCGGTGGATTCTTGTTGCTGTTCTTTTTCTTCTTATTAGCTGTTGTTTCTTTAGGTTTTAAAGATTCTTGGACAGTTTTGGGTATGACTGGATCAGTTTTTGGAACATTCTCAACTTTAGGCTGAACTTGAACTTCAGTTTGTTGAGATGATACAACTGCTGCTGCTTTTTCAGCTGCCTTCTTTTCTCGTTGACGTTTGGATCGAGACTTTTTCTTCGTGGCAGTTGCTGCCGTAGATTCAGTTGGACTTTCAGCTATTCCAGAATCTTCTTTTAATGACTCATCGTCCTTAAAACTGTCTTTAACAACAATTTTCTTTATTTTTTCTGGTTGTTGTTGCTGTTGCTGCTTAACTGGATCCTCAGATTTCTGGACATTCTCGGAACTTTCCTTCTTTTTATTCTTTTTTGCTTTCTTAGGCTTAATATCCTGATTGCTTTCTTTTGGACACACTTTTTCTTCAACCTTTTCCACTTTTACATCCTGAACTTCAGGATTAAGCAGCTTGCATTAAAAAAGTTCAACGTCATAGCTCGAAAAACTGTTTTTCAAGTCATTTAATTAATTATATTTACCTGATAGAACTTTGCCTCTGCATCGGAATATTGATAGTAATTTTGGACACGATCAACGGCGATTGACATGATGAATGTTGCTGGATATACTTAATTCTGTTAAATAAAATATTATTCAATTTGATTAGAGGTTACATTAATACATCATCTTGATTTTTCATCGATTCTTTTAATCTCTGAATGAAACTCGATGTGATTTGATGATTACCATGTTCCTTAATGGATATTCTGTATAAATAATTAATTAAACTTACCTTAAAACCGATGTAAACCAATTTTTCAAAATGATCAAAAAGTGATGAAAATCGACACTTTTTCGGATAAAGGTTCTTCACGAATGATGTCTAGCCTTTATACATCATTTTGTTATTTTTTGGAACTGCCCATTTATACGATTTCAAGCTCTAGATATCGACAGTCGACTGAATAAAAACCACATCAACTATATAAGTTTTCCAGAACATTAAAATCATTATTAAGCGAATATTCAATGAAAACAGTAGGTAGACAGTGAATTAAGGAAATAAAAGAGCAGTATAAAGCATCAGATATCTCAAGTTAATTAAATTAATAGTAGAATAATCATGAATTCATCTCGTAAAATCATTTTGGGGACATTTCTATGTACATTATTCTTCACATTAGCTAGTTCCTTAAAAGAAGGAGACTGTGAAGTTTGTATAGCTACACTCAATAAATTTGTTGATACATTAGATGAGGATGTGAAGAAGGCACCTAAAAAGATTGAGGATGCGTTCAGGAAGTACTGTAAAGGTTCTAAAAATAAGGAAAACCGATTTGTAAGTATTACAGTAACTTTTTCACATATAGAAAGCTACAATAAATGACGTGTCTCTTTAGTGCTATTATCTGGGCGGTCTTGAGGAGTCTGCTACTGGAAGCTTAGGAGAAATAAGTAAGCCAATTAGCTATCACATGCCTGCTGACAAGATCTGTGAGAAACTCAAGAAAAAGGATGCTCAAATCTGTGAACTTAAATTCGGTAAGTGCCGTCTCTAATACTTATTGGCTGTTCTTCTTAATACTTTATTCTTTTTTATAGATAAACAAATTGACTTGAATACTGTAGACCTCAAAAAGCTCAAAGTGAAGGATCTCAAAAAAATCTTATCTGATTGGGACGAGTCATGCGATGGATGCTTAGAGAAGCCAGATTTTATTAAGAGAATTGAGGAATTAAAGCCTAAATATCAAGGAGCTGCTCCAAAGAAAGAACTTTGAAAAAACTAATTTAGCTTCGTTTGTTAATGATGATGTTTTTAAGACTACATGTTTAAGCACAATCCCTTCAAACTCTCCCAAAAATCGTTTTATGATTTTTTCTTAATTATAGTCCAATAATTTATTTCCTCGATTTTTGTTCAAACTTAGTTGTATGTAAAATTTCCCAATGAAATTATTGTATCAATTATCTGTGCATTGAATCCTTCAAACAAATCATGTGTATAATAAAAAATCATAGAATTTTTTTAATTGAATTAACAAGAAACAACCCATTTGTTGCTTTATCTTTACAGTAAAATGAAAACCTTTTATTACAAATTTGCTATCTTACATGTTAATTGTTCTACATACTTTATGCTTTTTAAATATCCTATTAGATTAGAGTTAGACGCAAGGATAGAAGAAAGATTAAACTGATCCAGAAGTGCGCCAGACATATTTACTTTACTTAATTATGATACTCGTCAGATTAATCCTAGGATTTATTTAATCCAAGTGAAATGTTTTTAGACGAGATTTAATTTCACTAGATTATGACAATAATTTTATTTATCGGACACGAGCAAAAAATGATTTCTTTGGCATAACTTCTATTGAATATCAATATTGATCGTTAGTCATGGACAATGTGCATGAGAAAAGGACAGTAAATAATAAATGGAGGCTTCCAAATAATAATAAAACAATGTATTTTATTTAGCACAAATTTACTATCTATTTCAAATGCTCAGGTATATAGATTTTTATCATATAAAACATTGCATTATGAATACATATATATATGCCTGAGCCACGCTTAAATAAATAATTGTAGTCTACAAAACGGTTTCATCAATTTGGGATAGGTGATCGCAACACACAATAATTTATATTAAATATTCTTTTTTCTTTACCGATTACAGGTAAAACCATAAAATTATAATAGATTCCGGATCATTCTCAGGTTGAAAATGAAAGTTTTGTTGTCTTTTTCATCGCAGATTAATTAACTATTTCTTAATTCTCCTTTGCTATTTTGCGCTGTTGCTTTTTGCTCGACTTTTTGTGTATCCTTTTATGCCAACTCTGGGCTAAGGAATTAATGATCGACAGAATGAAGTAAAGGACCATGCCTACCACAAAAACTTCAAAGACTTTCTGTAATAGATTGCCTTTTGGAGGATTTGCGGTCTTACCGCGATGCAATTTCTCTTTTTGGTTTTGTAAAAATGATTTGAATGGTTCTTGAAACTTTTTTCCAATAACTGGAATGAATTCTAATAAATCTACGGCTTTCTCAATCAAAACCTCGTTGAATGCCACAATAACAACTATTTTCTGCAGATGCATTTTAATCACAGCCTTTCCGATAAGGGTTGCGCCGAAAAATGTCCAGAATGGAACCAGGAAATGCCCGCAAGTTATTCCAGCCAAGTCAAACAACGGATTTGGAACCTAAAAGAATTTATTTTTTCAGTCAATGACATATATCAATTTATTAATAGAGTTTATGACTTACACTTGCACATGCCAAAATTCCCAAGAATCCAACACGTTCAACAATTCTTTCCATTCCCAATTTAAGGTTCTCAAAAGTGCTTAATTTCTCTCCATGTTCCTTCTTCTTTTGCAATTCTTCGAATTCCTGAAAATCTTCATCATCATCAGGATCATATCCAGAAAGACGAGCTGCTTTCGCCATAAAGTATGGTGGTAGTTCACCAAGAGCTGTTCCAGCTCCCCAAAGGAATGATTCAAGACGAACTTTACTCATGATGCTCCACAAAGAAGGAACAAATCCAGGCGTCGGATTATCGGGACAGATGATGCTACAAAAAATAAAAGGCAAGCAATCAATAAACAATCAGAGAAGACATAAAAATTTTTTTTTTATCTTACTCGTCTGGATAGGGTGGGGATGGAAAGTCGAGTGATCCGCACTCGTAAGCCGCTAGAGTTACGCTAGCTATATGAGGACCCAAGTAAAGAATAAACGTATGCAAGCCAGTTCCAAGTCCAATGCTTGATATTACACCAAGTCCGACCCAATACATTACAAAGAAAGCATTTTTCCTTATCAGTTCAACATAGACTTGATGGTTTCCAGGAATATACCATAATGTAAAAAATCCTGTAAGCAGCACTAATAGAAAGCTTATAGTCTTCTTATGATTTAATAAACTGCGTTTATAAATTTGAAAAAGCGTCGACATTTCCAGAAAACTATATTTGAGCGTCAATATTGGATGCGTCCATAACTTGAGACTTTCACGTTCCTTTTTCAAACGCTGTCGTTCAGTGGCTTTTCCAAAATTCGCCAATGAACCGTTTGGAGATGACGATGACATCTTCATTTTTTGACTAGATGATTGACGAACATTGTTTAAAGAGCTCGAATGTCTTAATGACATTTTATAGCCCAATCGTTGTAACTGAAAATAAATTCAGAAAGAGAAATAGATTAATTTAAATGTATTTTTGTGGCTACAATTCAAATCAACTCAATATCTAAAACGTAATAATAAGTAAAATAAATCAAAAAAATATTATGTCCTCTAAAAATAACAACATAAATTAACAAAAGTATCCAACATAAAAGGAATAGAATTCAAATAAAAAGTGTCTCACTGAAGTGTAAGTAGCTAAGCATAGCCGATTCGTAAATTAAAAATAATAGAAGCAAGAAAAAAAGTCTCATAATTTGTGCTTCATTGAATGAAATGATTCTCAAATTAACACACAAATCTCATCTCGTTCCTTTAAAACACTAGCGCTAGCAACAAGTAAGCTACTAAGAAGAAACATTGTCGCTCATAGATATTTTGTGTAATTTATAAATAGGTTGTCTCTTTTTCTTTTGCAAAAATGTCTAGTTAACAAATAACAATGATTAAGTGACTGCCCAGTGATCTGGTGCGCATTCCAAGCTAAACTTAATCTAAAGACTATGAGTCAACTTAGTTCGAAATCTTATACTCCAGCATTCAACCAGACACCGAATGTGATCACAAAGACGTACGAAGTTTTGCAAAAATTAATACTGGGTATGCATATGCGTCATTAGGTATTGTAATAGCCTCGACATTTTACTGAATTTGTCAAAAAAAAAAGATGTTTCACATTTTATATATTTGTCCTGATTTTGAAGTCGTTATCAAAGTCTTCAGACGTACATATAAATTAGTAAGAAAACAGCTGTTTCAACGAGGTGATTCAACTCTCTGATTAAAACATTGATCTGTTAGAATTCACTCAATATTCTCTTTTGTGCTTATTAAAACTATTAAATGCTTCATAAATTAACAACTAACGCTAAGAATTGAATCATTACAGTGATGAATCTATTTCCTAGATTAATTCACTAAGAAAAAAATTAATAAATGAACTTTGAATCAAACTCAATGAAAGGCAATTTAAAATGGATATGTTAAGGAACCAAAGCAACAGCAAGAAACGCAATAAAAATCATAATTTAGTAAGTCAAAGAAAGCAGAACTGATAAAACAGCAAAAGAAATAATAAGAACAAATAAAGGTATACAACGATGTTTTATCGGTAATGATGATAATACCAATTCGGATTTAGTTCCCAAAGTTTTTTGTCCACGTCTCTTCGCCTCAATTTTCAACTGCTCTTTGGTCAACGATTCTAAATACTCGTTTCGTTGCAATTGTTGTTTTTGTTTTGTCGTTAGTACAAAAGTATCCTCTTCATCATCGTAGCTTAACGTATGATGTGTCTTTTGCTCATTCGCTTCCATCAACGTGTTGTTTATAGCATTCCTGCCAAACTTATTGATCTTATTAATCAACTTTGCTGTTGCAGAACTTGATCCAGACTGCGTACTTCTTTTTCGTGTCATACTACTTCAATCGGCTCTAGAAACTTTACAATGATTCGATTCGTTGTGACTGTTCTTTATTTCTGACTTTTCTTTGTTAATTTATTTAAGCGAGTGTGTAATCTCTGTTGTGGGAAAATTTTAATTGAGAAAAAGTGACAAGATTTACGTTATCAACAAATTTTGAACATGAAGCATGTTACATGATATATAAACCAAGATTTATTTAAATAAGTTTGTATGAAAAAAGATAAAGGAACACATAAATATACGATAGTTTTTGAAATAATGAAGGTCTTTAGTCGTAATTCCTAACGTAACTGATTGCAAAACTGTAAAATTTATGAGTTTTCAAGCGATAAAGGAAAGTTTCATGCTTTTAACAAATAATATAGCACTGGATCTATATGATAACGATTAAAAACTGTATGTAGGAGCAAATTTTTAATGAATATTTGAGCAAATAAGGAAGTAGTCACCTGATAATAATTTTATTGTTACGCGAATTTCTTTATAATTGCACATTTGGCAAAAAAAATAATCATAATCACTATTAAAATAAAGCAATTTGCTCCAATTGACGTACTAACCTGATTAATTCACTTAAATACACTATTTTTTATTCACTTCTCTTTATTGAAAAATCGATCTTTTCTTTCTATCCCAATTTTCTTGATTTAACAAGCTAATATCAATTCTTCAGGCTCTATCCTGATCTCCCTACTGACTATTCAATATAAACTAGTATAAATACGTTAATTACCACACGAGAACCTTGCTCTTTTAATATAATTTAACTAATGTTGTTTGAAATCACTGAATCGAATTTTGACAATGAGTGCGTTCAGTATTTATAGCTCATTTTTCAGCTCGAATGTTTACTGTTTTTTTAAAACTCTGTCTGATCTACGATTTGCTTGAAAAAAGGATTTGTCACTTCCTTTCCGAGTTTTTTTCTTGGAAGTAACTGCTGTTTTAAATTTATTCGATCTGGTTTTTTACTTGTCTTGAGTGTGTTCAGAAAATATTTAACTGAACTCGTTCTTTTCCTTTTTAAATTCTACTAAAAGGTACGTACTTTTCTCAAAAATTAAATTAATTTTGTTAAATCGGCAATAATAAGGTTTAAACAGGTTTAATATCAATTATAACTATCTTGTGCATCATTCTAATATCAAGAATGCTGAATTATATTGATATATTTGATGATTTTAAGTAATGTTCATTTTGTGCAACATTGTTCGTGAAATTTCCTTGATTATCAAATGATATCCTTAAGATCAGCAAATAGTTTTAATTGATACTTCCTCATGTCTTTAAATTCCATTAAACCTGCTTGAAAATACTCGAAATTGAGCATAGATTTAACATGATTTTTATGTTGCAATAATTTTAGGTTATTGATGATCCATGAAATGTTGAATTAGTGGCGTAACTATGCTTTGTATTGATTTCAATGCAATTAAACATGCATAGGGGCCCGAGACAAAGTGCAAAATGATATAAAAGTTTGCGACAAATGTGCTTGGGTTCCTGAGAATGCAGAAATCATGAAAAGTATAGTTGCTAAGCTGATTCTCAAGTTTAACACTTGACATGATTACTAACGGATGTATATTTGTGTCTATTTATAGAATCGAAAGATGGTTGCAACAACCAAGAAAATCGACCCAGCTTCAGCCAAGTCAAAGACGACTAAAGATGCAAAGAAACCAGTTCAAAAGAAACAGGTCTTACGAGGCAAAGGCTTGAAGAAAAAGAAGGAACATCTCAGATATGGTGTTGATTGTACAAACATTGCTGAAGACAACATCTTGGATGTTGCTGATTTCGAAAAGTTCTTAAAGGAACGCTTCAAGGTTGCAGGAAAGACTGGCAACTTGGGAAACAATGTCAACATGGAAAGACAAAAGTTCAAAATCTACGTCAATTCAGACGTTCATTTCTCAAAGCGTTATTTGAAGTACTTGACAAAGAAGTATTTGAAGAAACACAGTCTTCGTGATTGGATCCGTGTTGTCTCAAACGATAAGGACCTCTATGAATTGCGTTACTTCAGAATCAGTTCGAACGATGACGATGAAGAAGAAAACGAATAAACCAAATTCAATCCTAAGCAATGTGTGTTGTCATTCTAACATCCTTAAGATTCCTATGAAATAAAAGCATTAATCTACAACACAAATTAAATTCACAATATTTTATTTCAAGTTATTTTCAGTTTACATCAAGTTTTATGAGATAATATATGCTTAATTATTTTATTGTTCATTAACCAATTTGGGTTGATTACGATGGATACAGAAGAACTTTTGGTGATTCTCGAGAAATTTGATGTTTTGGAATTTTAATGGACATCTTTCACAGCTAAAATTAGAAGTTACTTCTACATCCATATCTTCCTCATCGTCGTCATCAATAATTTTATTATGTGCAGTTTTTATATGATTATCTAGCTCCTCTTGCTTTGTAAAAGCATCTCTGCAATGCTCGCAACGTAGGAATTTTATTGTTGGAACTATTTCATTGCTTTTCTTATGTTTCTGATCACTCATTGTTAATTCTTTAAATGGATTACTATCTGAATGCCATGTCGAGTTGTGCTTATTTAACATTATTGTCAGCTTGAATGAGACATTACAAACTTTACACTTTATTTCCGGTGGATTTTTCTTCATTTCCTGGAACTTTGGATGCTCTTCTTCGATCACAGCTTCTTTTGACTCAATAACTTTACTATTTCCTGCTAGTTTGTTATTTTTAGATTCATTGTTGCCATTCATTGCTATGATACTTCCATTTTCATGTAGTTCCACGTGCTTATCAAACTTTGTTTTAAATACAAAACGTTCAGGACATTTATCGCAATCATAAGTAGGCACTTCCTTATGCTGCTTTAAGTGATGTAGCATGTATTTTCGAAGATTTTTTACCTTTCCACATATACCACATTTATAGTGACCAGATTCTGTGGTCTGTAAATACTTTAAGTACTCTAGCTTATCATTTTCAGTAATCGATTCATCTGTTGCCAATTTTATACGTTTTGCTTTCGGTTCCTCGTTATCATTTTGTGTCAATTTCTTATCATCATTTTGGTCGGAAAGATTTTCCAAGACAGTTCTCTCACATGGCTCATCTTTGACACGTTTGCTGGTACTTGAGAATGTGCCATTAAAGAAGTTTATCAAATTTTTGTGTGTATAAGTTTCTAAGTGAGTTGTTAGATGTGATTGAGCACGGAAATTCATCGTACAAAGTTTACATAAATGACTTCTTTGTGGTGGATTTTCTCCATGATATAATCTCTTATGTTTTTGCAGATTATCTTCAAATTTAAAATAGCTGTCGCAGTCTGAGCATTTGAAGAGTTTAGACAAGTCTGGTTTAGTGAAATGATTTGTTTCCATGTGATAAGCATAATAGTTGAAACTGCTCAAAGCGCGTTTACAATGTTCGCATTTAAATTCTCCTCTATGCTTTTGCTTCATATGATGCTCAAGATAATCTCTTCTGTAGGATGTAAACTCGCAAATTTCACAAATAATTTCCATTTTTTGACTCGGTGCGGTTTGCTTATCCTTAAAAACTCCATGTTTGAATTTCTTGTGAGCATTTCTGGCTAAAATACTCGACAGTTGCTTATCACACAAGTCACAAGGGTACATTTGTTCAGGAACAACTGGCTTTTCTACTTTATTTTCAATCTTAATTTCATCTTTTTGAATTGTGGAATCAACTCCACCACCATGTTCTCTCATGTGCTGTCGATAACTTCTTGACGAGTCACAATCAATTTTACAGACATCGCAATGGAGAGTTTCAATTAGATTAAATGAAGAATTGTCAGATTCATCCAGACTATTATTGGATGTAACATTCGCCAGACTTGTTTTCGTTCTATCTACTTTTTCATAGTAAAGCATATCATCTCCATTTATATCTACATCAATATTAGAATTAACTTTAATAGTTATTACATGTTCATCCTGCATATGACTCGCATAAATTTCCGATTTTTCAAACTGCTTGTTACAAATTTGGCATTTAAAATCGTTTGGATGATGGAATTCCATATGTTTGATTCGCTTAAAATTCGATAAGAATCTTGAGTCACAAAGTTCACATCCAAAAGGTCGTAATTTCGCATGATGTTGCAATAAATGGAATCGTTTCTGTTTAGATGCGAAAGGTTTATTGCATGCAGAACATTGCATGTGTAATTCACCGTCAATATGGAATCTACTTAAATATTTACTTGTAAAATCATCTCTCGACATTCCTCCATCGGATGACTTGTTGATGTTACTTCCAGTGCCCTGTTATTAAATGACAATTGAAACATATAATCTTGGAGAATGTGAAAAGTCAGTTTTACTTACGTTTTGATCGTTATTACTGTTGTTAATGTTAGGCTTAAAACGCAATTTATCGAATGGGATGTCTACTTCATATTCTGACTTGTTGGATGCAATGTTCAGAGTCATACTGTGTTCATTTAACATGTGATCAATATATCTTGTGGACAAATAAAATTGAACATCACAAATGAGACATTTGAATGAATCCGGATGTTGTTTTTTCATGTGACTAAGTCGATCATCAATTCTCAAAAATCCTTCATCACAAAGTTGGCAGTTAAAAGGTTTTCTAGTACAATGTTCGCGTTTGGCATGTTTTTTGATTGACAATTTAGAGAAAATTTTGCCACAAGCTGTACATTTTGACACTTCACCTCTGGGCTCAATGAATTTATTGTAAAATTCTTTATAAGTATATCCATCCTCAGCGTTTCCTTTACTTGTTGTCGGTACTTCAATGCAAAGCGAGTTTCTTCTTCGAGCACCACCTTTTTTATTGCCCGATTCATCTTGATGAAGCTATTAATGAAATTTGATTAAAATCTATTCTAAAACAAAATAATATTTGACTTACTCGAAGCTCTTCTGGAACGTATGGGGCAAATTTCATATTCTCAAGAGGAACGTCTATGTCGTCCTTATGCTTCAAAATTGGAACATCAATTTTAATTTTATGTGTGCTCCATAAATGTTCTTTATACATTGCTGAATAATATAATTGGAGATTGCACTCTGAACACTTATAACTTTCTGGATGTGCAAAACCCATATGACGGGTTCGATAATCACTTCTGCGAAAACCAATTGGACATAATTCACAGTTATATAACATTGCTGTTGCATGCCATAATCGCATATGAGCACAAACTGATGTTTTTAAAATTATACGATTACAAGCTTCACATTTTGCAGAAGCGCCATCAATATTTTTAAGATATTTTGCCTTAAAATCTGAATATGGTAATTCATCGTCTAATGCTGGTGCTGAAACATTAGTTGGTGCTGGAATTTCTACTAATTGATCATCTTCGACATATGAAATTGTGGGATTTTCATCGTGATCAGTTTTTAAATTCATATGTGTAGTGTTTGTATTATTAGATTCATCTTGATGTTCATTAGAAAATGCAGTGGAATTAGCATATGAGCTTTCATCGTCTTGCCACAGTCCTTCCTCCATCGATTTTTGAGCTACATATTTTAAATCCAATGATGACAGATCTCTAACTTCTAAAGGACTCTTTGTTGTAGTCACGATAATGTTATGTTCATGTGACATATGCTCACTATACTTTATATGCTTAGGAAATTGTAGACCACATTCATTGCATTTATAATCATCAGGATGGAAAATTTGGAGATGTCTTGATCGTTGTACAGTTCTTTCAAAGCGAACATCACAGAATGGACACTTAAATGGCAAAACTGTTGAATGTAAATGAATAAGATGATGATATATTGATGAGTGATAAAACATTTGATCACACGCTAAGCAGTGTCTTTCTTTTCCCATCACTTTAATATATCTGCTCATAAATTCGTTTCGAGTCATTTCTTCTGATGTAGACAATAATTGCATCATTCCTTCCATTGGATCTGGTTCATTTACTGTAGATGATGTGATTGACAGTTGATCATCTTCTGAAATTCTCTGAACAAATGGCACAAATTTTAATTCTTCTAGACCTAAATCCACTTCATAACTGTCATAATTATCGATTTCAATTCCATGAAGATCATTCATGTGCTTAGCATAACGAGAATTTCTATAAAATTGGATATTGCATGAAGTACAATAGAAAATGCCACGGTGATTTTGACTCATGTGTTGAATTCTTTGTTCTGGTCTATAAAAACTTTCTGGACATAATGCACACAAATATGCACCGCTGACACAATGCTTAGACTTGACATGAGTCGAGAAGTTCTTTCTTCTCATAACTTGCTCACAAACTAGACATTTCAAATCATTTTCATTGAGAAACTCGACCCAGTTTTGTTTAAACTCATCAAATGATATAGGCTCCATTGGATCTGTCAGAGTGTCTTGTACAGGATACACTTCTGCATATTCACTTCTATGCTTATGGCTCTTGTGAATCTGTAAGTTCTTGGTTGATGTGAATTTTTTTGGACAGAATTGACAGTTTATTGTTTTTTCAGGAACACTTGGAATTATACTCGTTTCAATATTTAAATTGTCTGATTCTTCAATAACTTCGTCGTCATTTTTGTTACTAACAAATCGCATGTCATTGATATGAAGATCGTCTTCTTCGCCTGTTGATTTACCTGTTAAAGGTCTATTTTGATGAAATTCTGTTAAATGATCAGCATACAAATAATGTTTTGCAAATTGCAGATTGCATTCAAAACATTTGTACTCATTTGGATGACAACGTGCCATGTGAGCTAATCGAGCATTATTTTTAACAACTCGATCATTGCAGAATGAACACTTTAGTGGCTTAATTAATGCATGCTTCCATAGGAGATGAGAAACAACGCTATTTTTAAGCATTTCTACATTGCAAATGTTACACTTGACATTTTTATCAGATACTGTAACCGTGTATTTCTCACAAAAATCATCTTTGGACAGTGGAACTACCTCATCATTAGATTCAATTGGTTTTGAATTGCTTGCATTAATCAATAAATCGTCGTTACTGTAGTCATAAGTAGATGAATCTTCAATATAGAGAATATTATGTGGAGATAAATCAAAACGATCGCTTCCTTCTTCTGGTTTTAAAATGTTTTGTATTGTTCCGTGTTGTGTCATATGTGCTTCATATTTATATGCTCGATCAAACTGTGTATCACACTCAACACATTTATAATCATTTGGATGGGCCATTGAGAAATGTCTTAAACGATAATCAGTTCTAAAGAATGCTTCGCTACATAATTCACATCGATGACATCTAATGGCAGCATGTTTACTCTTAGCATGGAGCATAATTGATCGTTTATAAATATCCTTTCGACACGGAATACAGCGATAAAAATCATTTGATTTCTTGACAATAAATTTTTCGAAAAATTCATCTTTTGTATATCTGCGGACATTGCTGCTCAATTTCATATCAATGCCCAAATTTACGCTGGCATCACGCGACAAATCTTTATGCTTAATTGTTGTATGTTGCTTTAAACTTCTTGATGACTGGAAACTTTGAGAGCAGATTGTACATTGATGTAAAGTAATTCCATCTGTGCTAGTGCTCTCTCCAGCTTCACTGACTGTATCAACATTTGATTGATTTTCGTCTGGATGTAAGCGTTGGATATGTTCTTGTAATACTTTTTCGGTACGGAATAAATTCATGCAGAAAGGACATTCATATCCTGCTAAGTCAATACATGGATAGTTATGAACAATTTCTAAATGCTTGAAATAGAAATCTTTTCGTGGAATTTTCAAGCCACAGTCAATGCACTTACTATCGCATTCAGCATGATGCTTAACAAGGGCAAGTTTATTTGTAAATTTAAGATCGCATGTTGAGCATTCATTGAATTTCTCAAGTCTTTCGACTAGAACTATAGGACCTGTGTGACTTTCATTTTCAGCTTTGTCATTCTCAGCCACATATTCGCTGTATCTGTCTCGATGCTTGAATCTTATGTGCAGTTTCATTTGTTGTTTGTTTCCAAACTTTTTCTGACAATATACGCAACTATTTGATGAATGAACTGTCCGCTTATGACATTGCATGGCCTTATTGCTAGTGAAATGCTTTTGGCAATCTGGACAATCAAAATTACCATTTTCTGATCCTTCAACGCTAATATTAAGTTTGTCAGTGCTTCTTACAGACTCATTATGAATGTCTGAACTTTTTGATGGACTGCCTTGTTCACTAAAATCCATTGCAGAATCAAGATCTGGCTCATAATCAATTATTTCATCATCAGTGTCCCTAAAATCAGATTAAATTCTATTAATATCATGGAATATCATAAACAATTAGGCACAACTAACATTAAGACCTCGTCCATAATAGTTGAAGTCTGAAATGCATCCTTTTCTACATGTCTTGGACGCATAATAACTGGAAAATTGTTGACTCCAGGAATTTCTTCTTTGATGGTGACTCGAACATTTGATGATATGAGCTTTTTTGAAAGCGTTTCTTGTGATTTTTCAACCTCAAGACGAAAGTAGTATGAAATTCGCAACGACGAAAGACACATTATGCAGATTTTTGATGGAAGCATATCACTTTCCGGCAGCTAAATAGTATCATACCATTTAATATATGCTTTTAAACTTGAATAATCAGTTAACTTACAGTTTGCTGCATGATATTCGAGAGCATATCATGAAATCTGATGTTTGCCGAAGATGGAGAATTTTGATCAAAAGATTGTAAAGAAATCAAGTCTTTTCTGGACTCATATTGCCTTAAACAGGCTCTACACTGCTTGCGATTGGAAGATTGAACACTCGTATCCATTTTAATTTGCTTTTCACTATTAAAAACTTGGCAATCACTGAGAAATCATGTTTTTAACAAACTTTTAAAAAAATTATTTACATCCAATCGAGTTTGCAAGGCATAGAAACTTAATAAAGCACTAAACTGTTACAGGTAATTAATTTAAATTGAGATTCTGATTTTTAAAGGCTTTGTTTTGATCTCTGTTATTTTATTTGTCGACTAGTATGTGAATACTTAGATTAATAAGTGAAAACAGTTGGAAAAGGTAAGAATTGTGGTTCAAAAATAATTATCATCCCTTTCATCCTGTAATTTTCACACGGAATACAATTTATGCTGTCATTGACGTCAAATTAATTTTCAATAAGCTTTAAAATCGCAATTTTTGCAAAAACTAAAGCATAATTCAATAACTAGTTTGCATAACAGCAATATTCATGACTTGACAAAGCTCCAGTCAGATTCAGTACCAGCTCGAACAACACAACAAAAGCATATACAATTCAAACTGTCGATAAAAATTTGAAATCAGAAAATCGCAGGGGAAAACAACCATTATAAAGCCAATTCTTACAAAAAAAAGTGTAAGTGTTAAAAGCTCGATAAAAAATTAATTAAAAATCGTGTAAAACGCAAGTTTTAATGCCAGGAAACATAAGGAAAACGTCAATAAAGATTTTCCGAGCACAAGTTGATGTTTAAGCTAAAGAAAATGTGAGTTTTTCCAAGTGAAATTTGAATAATATAATTTTTGGGGAAAATTTAAAAATGAGAGTCTTAATTAATTTTTCAAAGACCGATTTTTATTTATTTCCATTAATTGTGTGATGTGTTAATGCTGGATAATTGTGAAATGTGTTAACTGTTGATTAATGAGATCCCTTATCGAATTTTATAGATTTTATTGTTGGCGTGCTTAGCATTATACATTGAAAAAAACGCTGATGATAGCATCTGATTTTTTTTTTACTTTAGTTCCACCTGATTCAAAAATTGTTGTTTCCAAACATTCAAAACATAAACAAACGAAATAGGATATCAAAAGTATCAGAAATTAGCAATAAAGAGAGTTTAAAAGATGACGGGAAGAGGCAAGCGACGAGGAAGACCACCAAAAACGCCAGCTCCGAATGAGAAAAAATATCATTTATTAAAAAAGCCAAAATATTTACAAGATTCACGACTTAGTACACCGAGTGCATCAAGAGCCTCTACTCCACAAGATAGTGAGGAAAGTTCCAGAAAGAGCTTCTCAAGAGACAATACAGCTAAAAAGCGCGGACGTCCACCACTAAAAAATAAAAGAGGTGCAGGAGCAAGTTCCTCATATGCTAGCAGGAGAAGTGAGTATTAAAATTATACTAACACAGACATGTATAAAATGTAATTAAATCTTTCTTATTTTTACTAGGTTATAATTCTCCAACATATAACAAAACAGACTATCATTATGGCTCAGATTTTGGGGATTCAACTACTGATAAGAGTGACGATGAAATTGCAATGTCACAAAGTGAATCGCAGGAGAGCTTCAACAACGATTCAGACAGTGACTTCTCATTAAGTAGTTATAGTAATGTTGGACCATCTCAAACGAGATCTGTAACGCCTGAGCCAGTTTGGCTAAAAGACGATATTGAAATACCACCGTTGGAACTGCCAAAAAGCTCTGATGATCTTTTAGTACCGAAAAAATATCTTCTAAGATCTCTAGGAATTTATGAAGTGCTCAGACGATATAGAAATCTTGTAAGACTATCTCCATTTCGTGCTGAAGACTTTTGTGCAGCATTAATTAGTGAAGAGCAAAGTGCTCTGCTCACAGAAATTCATATTGCTTTAATTAAGGCCATTTTACGTGAAGAAGATTCACAACAGACACATTTTGGACCGTTAGATCAGAAAGACAGCATAAACATCTCATTGTATTTACTAGACACCGTAACATGGCCAGAAGTATTAAGAATTTATGTGGAGAGTGATTCTTCATTTAGTCGAGAAGTTCTCGATATATTGTCAACAAAGGAATATCCGTATACACCGATTGATGACAGATTAACAGTTTTGCAATTTTTAGCCGATCAATTTTTAACGACAACCTTCGTTCGTGACGATATGATTCAAGAAGGTCCCATTCATTATGACGATCATTGTCGAGTTTGTCATAGACTTGGAAATTTATTATGTTGTGAGACATGTCCAGCAGTATATCATCTCGAATGTGTTGATCCGCCTTTAGAAGATGTCCCAACTGAAGATTGGCAATGTAATATATGTAAATCTCATTGTGTGTCTGGCGTTAATGACTGCATATCGACAAAAGAAAAGCAAGGCTCATTATGTCGTCACGAGCACTTTGGCTTTGATCGACATGCACGAAAATATTGGTTCGTATGTAGGAGATTATTTGTTGAAACGGAAGATGGTAGTGAAACGTGGTATTACACGACTGAGGCTCAATTCGAAAATCTTTTTAACAAGCTCGATCCAAATGAATTAGAAAAGCAATTATGTAAGGAAATTCAAGAGTACAAAGATGAAATTGTTAAACAAATGCAATTAACAGAATCACTAACGAATGAGAATAAGGGCAGTAAAAAGTCATATTTAGAAATTGAGAATGAGAGAATTAGTAAAGAAAGTAACAAGACAGACTTGGAAAACGGAACTGCGGATGGTGCAGTAGAGATTAATGAGCAGGCTGTAGACATTGAGCAGAATTTAGAAGCAACTGAAATCGACAAGAATGATCAAACACATTTAACACGATCCAGGACAAATCAAATATCGAATGGAACATTTTATTTCAAGCTTGGAATGGAAAATTCTCATAAAGAATACACAAATCAATACACAATAAATCCGTTAGCTTTGAATAAGCCACAGAAAAATGAGGAACGAGACAAAAAGAGACATCTATCACATAAATTCTCACTTACTGATGCATCAAATTTCAAATGGAATGGTCTTTTGAATGGAACTGAACACAGCTTACTGACTGTTTTTAAGCAAACATTACTATCATTTGAATCATCAATTTGTGCTTCATTTATGCATTGCAATTGGCCAAAACTAAGAAAATTATGGTTAAATGCAATCGGTTCAGCAACAACGGCACAAGATTTCCAAAAGATTTTGATTGTCTTACAAACAAGCTTCAAGAATGTTATCTACGCAAATGTGTGGCACGAACAATTAGGTCATATACATTTGTATCGCATAACATCAACCGAAAGGGAAGAGCGAAAGAAAATTGAAAAGCGAGAAAAACGTGAGGAAAGTGAAGAAGAGAGAAATCGTTTGGCATATAATTATGTAAAATATTCGCTCGGACTTCGTCATCAAGTCTGGAAACAAAAAGGTGAAGAGTATCGTATTCACGGACAATATGGGTGGCTTTGGTCATCGAGAAGTCGAAGACGTCAATATTGGAATGAAATGCAAACCAATCGAATTCATAGCGTTAATGTGCTTATTAAACAAGATGAGAAACAGAAAATTATGACACTTAAAAGACAAGCATTTGATCATTTAAATTTTGCACTAGATTATGCATCCAATAAGAATTTAGATTCTGAGAATAATGAGGAAGAAACTGAGAATGATCCATTAAAGATTAAGAAAGAGAATTTTGAAGCAATTAAATCAATAGTCTTAGATAACGTTACAGATAAGTCGTCGTACGAGCAGATTGATGTATCGGAAGCACTAAAGACAAAGACTAGAATAGTTTATCCAAAAATTGGTAAAAAGTCAACTTTAGATGATCTTCTTGAGAGACGAGAGAAATTACGTGATATGGAATTAAAGATAAAAGATTCAAGTGAAAATAATTCAGATAATATTCCAGAAAACATCATCCCAGTTCCAGATAACATTGCAAGAAAAAAATCATCAGGAAATACCATCTGCATCCTTAAAATGATTCAAGATATCACAGATAACAAGACACGACTTAATCAGCGATCGAAGAATATCGATATTATTGAAAAATGTATGAAGATTCATGCACTCCAAACAGAGTTGAAAAAAATTCAAGGCATGCAGAAAATTCACAGATGTTTCTCAGAGCAATGTCGAAACTCTAAGGATATATCGATTGTTTTAAAGTTGCCTGGATCATCAACAAAATGCTTTTCATCTCTATGCTTAAAAGAGTCTCTTTTGAAAGACGAAATTTCATCATTAATTCAACAATTAAAAGATAAATTCTTAGGAGTTGGAAAGAAGGGTATTTTGCATCAAAAATTAGCAGAAGCAAAGAATAATGACTTACTCGACATCCTTAATAAATATCATCTTGGTGATTTCATGACTGACGAATACTTTCAATATGATATCAAGAAATGTTTGGATGATATTGCCACATCGTTTCACGAATGCATTGATTATGATCCAAACTTAATGCTATCATACTGCACAAAATCTGAGGTAAAAATGGAGAATGACGAATCGCCTGAGCCACAAATAATTAAAGACGAAAATAATGTTGAAATGAAGCCTCCAAAAGTCGAGCCGAATGAACATGTTAAACAACCAAATCGTAGATTCTTGGCACTTCCAAAAGTAAGGAAAGAGGTTGAGATTCCAAAGGAACTTGATGCTGATGGCAAGGAAAGAATCTTTTCTGCAAGCTCAACTGCTGGTAAGATATATCTTAAAAAAGCAGAGAAAATACCAGCAACTCCGACTCTAGTAAATAATACAGAAATTGGTGGTGTCATTTCCAAATATCCAGCGATTTCCACATTTACGACAGTTAAGAATTCAAAGAATATTTTAATTCTACCAAGATATGAGCTAATTAAAGTAGCACGTCGTGCTGGAAAATACTATTCCAATATTTTGAATCATCAAGCTAAAAATAACAATAGTGTATGGCCTTATCCTTGCTCACGACCTTTCTTCAGAACTTGCTGGATATATAGGACATTTTGTGTTAATTCATTTTCTGCTCTTGGCTTACAATTGCGTATTTTGTGGACTTGTTTGAGATGGGATGATATGCAAACTAAGCCTTTAACTATGGATGGCAAGAATCAAGTCACATCAGAGACAGAAATTGTCACGACAGAACTATTGAAGCATCGGAATATTGGACTTTTTATGGAAATCACACAATACTTTAGACGGAGAGTTGTAATACCATTGGAACTACCAAAGACTATAAGGGAAGTGACATCAATTCGATCTGGTTTAAGGAAAAGGAAGCGTGCTGAATCGCCTCAACAAACAGATCCACAAGTCAATGAGGAATGGATAGACGAGGATAAATTAGAATTATGGGAAATTAAGCAGTATGGCGAAAGGTAAATTATTCATATTATGAAGGAATGAATGTAGACTTGATAATTTAAATGCTTTATAAATTTTTAGACAAGAACGTATTAATATCATACCAACGACTAGAACAACAACAGGAAAATTGCCACTACCAAGACAATTAGATTTGCCAGATTCGACAAGTCCGCGTCCAAATCGAGCCTCATCTACTGAGATTAAAGAGAAAATGGAGCAACAGTTGAAACAGCAACGTGAAGCTCATAATAAGAAGCGTGCTGAAGAACAGAAATGTAAGAAATTTATAACTATTCAGTTTTATGTGCACATTTAAAATTAATAACTTTACTCTTTAGCTCAACCACAATACAAGACATTTATTAGGAAGATTCTTGTGAGAAATGCCGATGGCACTACCAAAATAATCAGCGAAACTGTGACACAGCCAATTAATCAGCCAGCACCGACTGTAACGCCTCAAGTTAATACACCTTCCAAGCCTGATCAGCCACAAAAGATTCAAGTGATGAGAACTGCCGATGGAAAGATGAGTGTAAGAGGCTTGCAACCAAATCAAAAGCTTGTTCAAACATCCGATGGAAAATACCTGATTCTTCCTTCAAATTCAAATGGTGAGAAAAATCTTAATTGTCTTTATTTCATTATTAATCATTTAATTGTGCATTTATTTAGTCGTTGGTGGAAAGGTTACTCAGACTATTCAGGCAAGACCCATTGCAACGAGTACGCCGACATCAAGTCCAGTTCAACAGCCTCCTCAGAAAGTATTGATTCGTTCCGTGCCGTCAAAAACGATCATTTCCTCTAATAATGTTGTGAAAATTGCTCCTGAAACAAAAGTAAGCGTATAATTTTAATCAGCATGAATCTGTGCCAATCTAATTCTTTCATTTAATTATTTTACATAGGAAATTGTTTCAACGACTCCGACAATTTCAACTTCTACGGCGACTATAACTCAACAAAGTCCATCAGTACAGAAAATAATCACAAGCACTGGACAAATTATCACACAACAAGTACAAGGAAATGTAATAAGTTCAGCTAATCTTCAACAGTTATTACAGCAAAGGCCAGGACAAAAGATTCTGATACAGCAGACTCCAACTGGCGTACAAAAATTATTGGTAGCTTCACCTTCTCAAACTCAAATGCAATCGACTGGAGAGAAAAGGATAATTATTCAAAATGCAGCCGGTCAGCAGCAGCAAATAATTTTGCAACCAAATCAAAACAGTGTTCCTCAACAGCAGCAATTAGTCACAATTGGTGGACAAAAGTTAATTTTACAATCATCTGCACAACCCTCACAAGTTCAACAAATAAAAACTATCACAAGTCCTGTTCAACAAAATATCCAGTTCCAAATTCAAGATAATAGTTCTCAGCAGCAACAAGGACAACAACAAATTGTTACTGTACAGACTAATGGAAATAATATTGCTCAGCAGCTCGTTCAAGGAAAGATTCAAGTGATGAATTTGAATGGACAGCAAGTTCTAGTTAAGAATGTAGGTTCGAATCAAGTGGTTGTAGGCCAAGTTAAAACATCTACAAGTCAGGCACAATTGACGCCTGTCAAACAAACAATTGTGGCAGCTTCTCCAAATCAGCAAGTCGTTAAAACTGTTCAAATGCAATCAATTGTCAATACAAATGAAGCTACATCGTCTACAGCAGTAACATCGTCGACATCAAATGAACATGCTGCTTTGCTAGCTAATCATCCTCCGGGAACGATCATTAAATGTGTGACTGCTTCGGTAATGCAAACTCCAAATGGTCCTCGAATTGTCTTGCAAGGTCTTCAAGGGACAGAATTTAGCCAACAACAATCTCTTATTGTCCAGCAACAAGTCAAACAGCAGTTAATGAAAGGTAACTAGTCCTAATGCTTAATAAAATGACAATTGACTAATAATTATTTTTATTGTGTAGCGCAAGAAAGCAGTGGAAAGTCGGGAGCATCAATTGGACCAACAAAAATCTATTTAGCAATAACCCCGCAAGCAACATCATCTCAACCGCCTCCACTTACACCAGTGCAGAATGTAAGTCGCTAAAATATTTATTACTAAGAATATCATTAAGTTTTCCTCATCTTACGGATTTTGTTATTTTTCGTGTCAATTGGATCTTTTACAAGAGCATTTTGAATGTAAAAACTCATGATAATTGTTCATTTTACATTCCATAAGTCGACCAAAAAACAGTTTTTGACAGAAAAGTCTCCTCCCTTTTTAATAACTTTTGTGTTATCATGTGTAATTAATTCAATTCATGCCCCCTTGTTACTTACTTGCTTACTTTATTGTTGAAGATTTAAGAAGATTAAGAGTATTTTAGTCATTGACGAGATGAAAAGAAGCCTAAAAGTTGATTTTGAAAATCTAATAAATAATACAGCACAGATTAAAATTCAATTATTTAATAATTCTCCCTCTGTCACATGTCGTACATCCAAAATTTATTTTGCCATTCCAAAACTGCACGACATGAGCTGTTGTGTATCAATAAAATAAAAAGAATTAGTTTCTCTTGCCACATAAAGTCCCAATTTCAATTGACATGACTTCTTCCTCTCCTCAATTTGTGAGCATTGTAGGAATCGAACCTATGTTGCTTAACCATTCATGCTTGATTCCACTTTGCTCCGACATAGAACACGATATAAAGAAAGTTGTTAATGATAAGAATCTATAAGACGAATTTTATTAAGGAATAGTGTCACCTCTCTATTATTAAACTTTTTAGTTTTGATGAAACTTAATTTTATTAATTTATTGTTCTTTAATTAATAAACGTATAACAAAAATCACACACACACAGAATAAACAGAAATGCGCTGAATCATAGACTTTTCTCACAGTAATTTGATAATGATAATGATAATGATTCTCTCTTGTGGGATAGCTTACAAAACATTTCTAAGGAAGGGACTGAACCTTTAAACTTATATGACTGAACTGGTTAATCAAATAAGGTATAGGAAATTAAATATGAGATTTAATAGTAATATAAAGGCCACAGAACGATTGATGATCGAAGCGCATTTTCGATACAAAAAATTAATAAGTAGAAAGTTAATTAAGCTATATCTAACGAATTTTTGAAATTCAAACTGTTGAACGCACTCATTTTCTGAAGAAAAAAAACAAACTCAATTTGAAAATCGAAAAACCGTTAAAATTTTAAAAATATTTTGATCGTTGCACAAATTACCTCTTTGCTTGGATTATTCACATTAATCCTCATCACAGATAAAACCAGTATTTATTTTGCTCTAAATTAGAACTCCCCCCCCCTATTTAATGAAATAAAGAGAAACACAAAAAAAATTATTTCCAAAGAACATCTCGACTTTAATAAATTGAGAGATGTGTCTTTTACCGATAATTCCATTGAACAAAGTTCTAGTCTTAAGATCTATCTTCATAGTTTTTGGTTACTTCTTTTAGCATTTAGCATTTAGTTTATGATTTCTTTATTATGCTTAAACTCTAATAACTTTGAAGGATATGCGTTCATTTTAAAATAAAATAAAGTAGACAGCAACACACACACAAACTCTCAATGATTTATAGAGTAATACCAACCTTAATGATAATGTAAATTGAAATTTATTGTATTGACAGGAATAATGTAAAAAAAATGATTAGAATGCATAACATTTTAATAATAAAAAATGACGAAAATTGAAAAACAAACGATTTTTTTCATTTCATCTTAAAAACTATCTATCTATTGTGTTTTTTGCAACATTCTGGATTGTATATTATGATTGTATATATTGCATTGCTGTAAAAATGTATGAAAGATAAAATCAGATTTGCTTCAGACTCCTTATTTTAGTAACAAACAGTGAGGTGACACTATCGGTTATTTTGTTTTATTGAATGTTATTCATTTTAATTGTTTACGTGCCTAATAATACTAGGAACAAGACATTACTTATTATGTTATAGTTCATATCTTTGAATATTTCTTTACTTTCTGAACCAAATAAGCAAACAAGCCAAAAACAAAAAAAATAAAAAGCTTTAAAAAATTGTTTTCCGTAATTTCACTTCAGCAAAATAATGACGAAAGTGTCGCCGCTAATGAAACTGTTGGGGCAGATGCAGAAAAGGGTGATGCGGACGAGAAGTCAGATCAGTTCATTGTAACGCAGGAATATATTCAAGATAGTACGTGTATCCTAATTTAATTGGAGTCTGAATAGCAATTTTAACTGATTTTTCTTTCTTTTCTTCTTTCTCCCCCTCTCTCGCACTCTCTCTATCTTGTCTTCTGTCTCTTATGTCCACAAAAAAAAACACTCGCACTCTTACAGCAATAAAAAATGCACTTCGTCAAGGAAATTTGAATCCTGAGATAGAAGAAAAGTTGTTAACATTACAGCGTTACCAGGAAAAGCAGGCAAAAGGAGAGCCATTTGATCCAACATCATTTACAACAACATATCCGACGAGAGGAACTGGTCGAGTTAAAACTAATGTAGCATATGACAGTCCACAAGATTCTGATGATTCTGAGAGTTTTAGTGACAATTCAGAATCTCCAAAAGGATCAGCTCGTCGAAGAGGTGGCAATCTAGAAGACGATGATGATGAGTGGGTGTTGGATGCGCCGCGCAAATACATTAAAAAAGCTGATCGTGAAAGATTAGAACGAAGCATTAAAAAGGAACCGGTTGATGTTAATAAAAAAATAGTACAAGAAAAGGAGACAAAGATTATTGTCAAGACGTCAGATTCTGGACAAATTCGCAAGAACATCATCTTTTGTAATCGAATGGACAGTGATAATGTCCAAAATAATTTCTCATTATCAAGTGGCAATGACGGAAGTGAAACGGAAAAGAGTCCTGAAAAGGCTCTAATTGCCAGTAAACTTAAAATGAAGGCAGCATCTCAAAAGGTTGGCGTTACAGATGACCAATTTAGGCATCATAAATTACAAGTAATTCATATTGGATGTTAATGCATGATTTTCTAATCAATTTTATTCTTTGTACAGGCACAATTAGTGAAACACAAAGAGAATCTTAAGAAAATAATTCTTAAGAAGCGTGACAATTTAGAGAAGGAACTTCAAACTGAGATACAAAAAGAATTATCCACCGAAATGGCAACACATATTAAGAATATTTGTGCCAAACAAGAAAATATCACGGAATCGAAGAAGGAACCTTCCAAATATATGAAGAAAAAGTAAGTTACTCTTATTTATGACAAGTCTAATAGCCCATGATGACAATTATTATTTTTAGAATGGAAAGATTAGCTCAGGAAGCTCAACAACAGAAGAGTTTGAGTGAATCGATGGAGTCGTCAGCAGAAACGGAAAAAACTAAACAAAATCCAAATCGTCCTAAGAAACATACAAAGAGTGCAACTACAAGTCTCAACTCAAGCACAGAACGGGATAGGAAGGATAAAAAGAAAGGACAAAAGTTGTATTGTGTGTGTAGAACGCCATATGATAAGTCAAGGTATGCTAATTATCATCATTTATTGATATCATAGTTTAACATTTTATTCATTAAGGTTTTACATTGGATGTGATTTATGCAATAACTGGTTCCACGGAGAATGTGTGGGAATCACTGAAGATCAATCCAAAAACATGACAGACTTTACGTGTCAAGAATGCGAGCGTGCAAAAGATACCCAAGAATTATTCTGCCTATGTCGTACTCCTTACGATCAATCTCAGTAAATGCTAATATTTACATTTGTTCCTCACAACAGTTTAATAATGAACTTTTAATTGTAGATTTTACATCTGTTGTGATAAATGCCAAGACTGGTTTCATGGTAAATGTGTCGGAATCCTTCCAAGTGAAGCAGATTTCATTGACGAATATGTCTGTCCAAAATGTCAGAAGAATGATTCTATAAATTTCGCTAATACAAAGTCATTAGGTGAAGGCGAATTCGAAGGATTGCGACTGTTTCTGAAAGAAATTCAAGTAAGTTTCTAGCCATCTTTTGTAGTTTAAGCCATAAATATAATTATTGTTCGTTTTTTCAGAGTCACAAGAGTGCTTGGCCATTCTTAGATCCTGTCGACGCCAGTGAGGTTCCAGATTATTATGATGTTGTAAAGGAACCGATGGGTAAGTACCAAAGCTTTGAATGAATCCCAAGATTAACTTTTAATCAAACTAGATTAACATTCTGATCCAAACTTTCTATTTCTCATGTTGTTCTTGTAGATATTAAGCAAATTGAGATGAAGATATTGCAGCGCGAATATAGATGCTTAACTGATTTCATTAAGGACATGACAAAGATTTTTGACAACTGTCGGTACTATAATCATCGGGACTCGACGTTTTGCAAGTGTGCAGAAGATCTCGAAGCATTTTTCGTTCAGAAACTGAATACGTTTCGTGAAGAATTAGGAAAATCTTAATAAGCACCCCATTTTTTTTGTGTGAATTTTTTTCATCTACTATTTTTTTTCGTTCTATTTAGTACTAGACAGCTTTATTTTTCTTACAATTTTTCATTGATGAATGATTATTTGAATTTAAAAACTGTAAAATAAAACTCTGAAATATTAATAATAATGATAAGATGAAACATGGCTTGACAAAACGAATCAGATTAGTATATCCTCTAATGTTTCTTCGAAGTATATTAGAATTTCTCATAGAATTTTATGCGAAAACTCTTTGCTTTTACGATATTTAAGAATCAACAAAAATAAAAGAATGCATAACTAATAAAACTTATCGATCCAATGACTTTCTTTATTTTAAAAATTACAGAAGTCCTCGGGTTATTGATCGTGGGACTTAAGCACATTTTTGTGTTAGCGATCAGTATTTGACAAGCATAAAATGCGAATCAATAAGCATACAGCTCTAAAATTTTGCTTTTATCAAATAAAATAAGATGTATTTCAAAGAATATTAAACATTAGTACAGCAAAAAGTTTTTTGTCCTTTACCGGTTTTTTAAAATTGAAATTTTATACCGGTTTTATACATTTGAAATTATCCCGCCATTTTAATATTAGGTATTTGAGTGAGATAATATATTTAACAATTCTTTTTTAACCAAATAAATTAATTTCCACAACAACAAAACGCTTGAATTCAACAGAATTTGTCATTTAACCATTTTCTTGAATTCGAAAGAATTTTTCATTTAACAGTTTTTTGAGATTCAACGGTAGAAATAAATTTAAATCTCTGAACATACCCTGAACAATTTTTAGAGCGGTAGAAAAAAATTCAAATTTTTAAACGTACTCATCACGTGGCATATTATAGCCAATTATAGGATAAATACACGGTTTGAATATTTGAAAAATATTTTAAATTTCTGAACGCATTCATAACGTATTTTTGAGGATGTATGGGAATTCAGGACATTTTAGAGTACTTTATTAAAAATGCGTTAGTCTGTGCAAAATCTTTTATTTAATTTAATTTATTTTCATGCACATTCATAGAAATAACAAAAATGTCAGTTTTTCCATCATAATTAACTCTCTTTTTTATAGCAAAAGAAAAGCATTTATACTAATTTTAATAAAAAAAAAGGTTTCCACTTTGTTCTCAGTGCACTTAAACGTCTTCAAGTAAGTGCTTTCGTACTGGATATTTTACGCCATCTCCTAGACTTGTAAAAATAGGCAACAGCCAATACTTTTTCTCTTGTCCAAAAACTTGCTCGAAATTTTTTCTGTAGCCAAGTGAAAATCCATTCTTGTCAGGTCCACCAATACAAAAGATTGGAGCTCTAAATGCCTCTAATGTTGTTCTGTTTTTAAGAACCAAATATAAGTGATATCCAAACAAACTAACCAAACTGAATGCGAACATGATCGCAACGACGAATAGAAACAGAAGATGAAATTTGCCTGTCGATGTGTTTTCAAGCTCGCCCTTATAATTAAATGGATTAATCTGAATAATTTGTTGTAAAATACATTGTTTATAATTCTAGAAATATTAATTACTTACCCTCCAAAACAGTATAAAGTACTTGAGCATAGTGAGACAAACATAAATGCAGTATGTTAAGCCATACCCGAGAAACAGAATAAAGTATTTGTAATTTGAAAAGTTAATACAGTTGTTTACCCATGGACTGAAAAAAGAGCATTATAGCATTAGTCAGTAGACTTAAAGGATATCCAATATAGAGTCATTACCAGTGGTGATCAAATTTTAAGTTACATGCATTACACACGCTACAGTGATGAGATCGATCAGGCTTTATGTGCTATTCAAAAACAGATCTAATAGAATCAAAAAAATATATAGCGAGCACTAAATGTCGCGTACCTGACACTTTTCACAAAATCTCACGCAATTATTTATCGTACAGTTAACTATTGGCAAATCTTTTGAAAGGGTCTTCAAAAATCTAGATTGTTCATCAGGGCTTCTCATGTTTGTCAATTGATCCATCTCAGCTCGCGATACTTTGAAGAGCGGAGGAACTAGAGCAATTTTCGTAAATATTGTTTTGTAGTACGACCATAGTAAAAAAAACAGAGAGATGTGATAAAATACAAGTAGAAAGAATGCCTCAATTGAGCTGTGCACTGCCCCGAAACATAGCTCGATGACATAAGCATACCATGACCTGCAATAAAGTTATGTTTATAGTTTTATAGTTTATTTTATCATCACAGATAAGACTTTATGACGCGACTCTCGATGTTTGTCAAGATGAGTAATTATGCGATTTGTGGAACCGATTACATGTTTCGTTACAATTAGCTTCAATTGTAAGATTTTAAAAGAAAGAGAAAGAGAAAGATTTTACAAGCTTTTATTACGCACGCATTGATTGCCAAACAATGTGACTAATCTGCAGATACTTTGTATTCAAGTCGATAATTTTGCGTTTCTTTCAGTACTAATTATGTGCTTTCAGTGGCGTAGCAAGGCTGATCATCATCTGGAGCAGTATCAATGGGATTTATGATCTTTTTAGAGACCATCCCCATCTGTGCCTTACTACGCCTCTGTTGGCTTTGTTTGCGCAAAATATATAATGCGAAAAAATAATCCATAATCCATAGGTACGTACCATGCTATAATTGATGTTATGAAGATAACAGGAATGACTGGAAATAGAATATAAACATATTTTAAGTAAATAAGCTGAACAAACTGGTAATCTGATCTTGTAAATCTAACTTTAATGGGTAAATTTAATGTAAATATTTGAGTTCTTGAATTTCACTTTCGGACTGAGTAGTAATCATTCTATTTATAGGAAATGAAATTTACTGGATAATGTTTCAGTTTTCACTTTCAAATTAGTACAAATCAATAAATCCAGTAGCTCAAGCTGCTGCTGCTTTTAATACTCACACTTGAAAATACGTATGATGACTTCACAACTCATATTTTTAATGATTTGATGCTTCAGCGTCAGTCTTTTCTCATCTAGTTATCTGATAATTCGACGATTAATTAAGAAATTATAAAAGTTGTTTCTTTTATCACGTTTAATCTTTGTTATCTTGTTTTTCCTTAATCCTTAATTATCAACCTGCATTTCTACTACTAATAAATGCTACTGTAAACTAGATAAACTATTAAATATAGCTTTTTCCTCGCAAGATTTTATTAAATTAAATTTTTTTATAAATGTAATATGTTTTTTAACTAGACCAGTTGTGCTCAAACTACGTTTTTCGGCCCATAAGGTGCGTCTCAGCTCGCAAAATTGAGTTTGCTCAAAAGTGACATATTAAAGCTTTTTAGATGCACCCCTCTTCTTGTGGCAAAATTTCCATAAAGTATTTGATTTAAGAAACATCTTAATTTAGAAGGATAGAAAGTGTTGAGCAGTACTGAGGTATAAGCTAGCTTAAAGAGGGTATTACAATTATTTCAATCAGGTTGCACGTTTTTTATGGACAAATTATAAAACGCAATTATCTCGACCTTTTGAATCTGAATTTATAATTTTAAACTAGCATTTAAAATAATTAAAGCCGTGCACCATCGACTGAATCAAGATGTGTTAAAATAATCAACTCTAAAAGGTCAAAATAAGCACATTCTGCTATAATATTAAATTTCAAAATCTTTTAACGTTTTTCAAAAATTTAAAACAAAAAATAAATTATTTTCAAAATGCTGATAAACACGCTAAATGAATTATAGAGGTATACAAATAAAAATTTAAATGGATAGCAAGGAGGAACATATTATTATTTAGAAATATTAATGATTACTGATAGAAAAATGGTGAAAAGATAGTGTAATCGTGAGTGCATAGTTCAATGTATGATAATATCATAAAATAATTTAGTTTTAATAAGAAATAAAGGCAAAAAAATAAAATATAAAATTGTCGCGATTAGGGGGAAGAGAAAAAAGTAAGAAATGAATAGAAAAACACTAAAAAGCTCTTAAAAATTAATTAAAATTATTTAATAAGTGTGCTTATCGACATAAATTGAAGCAAGTCTTCAGTTCTGACGGGCTCAGCAAATTTATTTCAATTGTATTGTATTACAAGTTGAAGTCATTTAATTTTTGAGGTCTTTGACCTTACACTATCCATACATCCAAGCGCAAACTAGAAAAAAAAAATCACCAAAAACAAGAGCATTATACAAAGCGCAGACAAACATAGGAAAAAAGAAGAAAGAGAAAAATTACAGCATTGTGTAAATAAACTTGAAAAGAGAAAAAAATGGCATTTCACAATCCGGAAATATTTAAAGATTTGAAATTACATTCACCGTCAGATGCGGAACCATTTGTTTATAAATGGCCTCTCTCGGTTGGCATTGGTCCTGATAAGCACGATAGTGGACTTGAAATTATTGAATCTGTAAAATTAGTATGTGAGGATATACCTGAAATTAAATCGGCTCTGGATGATATTCCTTTAAATGAAATAGATACAAATGATTATGATGCAATGAAAACCTTCTGTGACCGATTTAATAGAGCTATTGATAGTATTAAGTCACTTGAAAAGGGAACTTCACTGCCTGTTAAGAGATATACACTGCCATCGAGAAATATGCTTCGGCATATAGTTCAACAAGTGTACAATTATGCGGTGTCTGAGCCAGAGAAATTAAATCAATATGAGCCGTTTTCACCTGAAGTTTATGGTGAAACAAGTTTCGATTTCATTAGTCAAATGGTTGACGAGATTAATATAACGGAGGATGATGTTTTTATTGACCTTGGAAGTGGTGTTGGTCAAGTTGTTTTGCAAGTAGCAGCTTCAACGCGCGCAAAATATTGCGTTGGCATTGAAAAGGCCGATGTACCATCTAGATATGCAGAGAATATGGATTCACATTTTCGCACTTGGATGAGATGGTTTGGGAAAAAGTATGGTGAATATCAAATCCTCAAAGGAGACTTCTTGGCAGACGAACATCGTGAGAAAATCATGTCTTCATCAGTTGTGTTTGTAAATAACTTTGCATTCGGTCCAAATGTTGATCATCAACTTAAAGAGCGATTCGCTGAATTAAAGGATGGTGCTAAAATTGTTTCCTCAAAAAGTTTCTGTCCACTCAATTTTCGAATTACAGACCGAAATCTTAGTGACATCGGAACAATCATGCATGTGAAAGAAATGACACCACTGAAAGGTTCTGTGTCATGGACTGGGTATGCTAAAAACTAAATCAATTCTATCTATTGAATTATTAATTTTCCATTAATTTCTAGTAAACCTGTATCATATTATCTTCACACAATCGATCGCACAAAACTTGAGAATTACTTCCAAGGTCTTAAAACAAAAGGAAATGGAAATGGAGATGGTAAAGATTTATCTTTTTTTTAAACTGTTTATTTATTAATATTGTAAATTTATTTTAGGCAATGGCAAGACTCGCAGAAGTCGTGACTACAACAAGCAAACGAGCAATTCTACATCCGAAAGTGAAGATGAATTTATGGCTGGTGCAACAACAAGACGAACGTGGACAGATATTTGTAAAGTTGTAAGTAGCCATTCGGAGGATGAAACAAATGATAAGAAAAAGAAGTTGAATAAGGGAAAGAAAACTGTAGCAGCCAAAAAAGCTGTTGCTAAAGGACGTATTCGAAAGCCAAAATTGAAGAGACCAATAAAGATTTCTGGACTAGATTTGTTACATTCTCAGACTTTATTTAGTACCTCAGATCAAGCTATTGGTATTCGTTTGCCAGCTGCAGCTGGTTGTATAGATGAACAACTTACAAACTATGCTGGAACAATGACTCATGAAGAATTAGATGTACCTGATCCTTCAACAGAACCTCCATATGGTTTGAAAATTTTACTTGATGTATATAAAGCTCAGTTTATGAGTTTCTTAGACAATATGAGATCAGCATCGTTTAAAGAAAACCTCCATCGTCAAATTGAAAATGAACGAGAAAAGAACAAGAGACTTCTCAATAGAACAGGACAGCTAGAGAAGCAAATAAAAGTTTTGGTTGAAGATAGTGTTGTTTTACTAAAAGCTCGAATGCAGGAGCTTGGAATTAATACTAGTAGTCAAAATGATTTGCTGTGTAAGGCTAAAGAAATTGTTGGAAAACACAAAGAACTCCAAATAATGGCTAATAAAATTCAAACACAAGTGAATACACTAGAAGAAGAGCATAATAGCATATTAGCAATTCATGTCAAGAAGCTCGCTGAAAAACATTCTAAACAATCAATGGATTTTGAATTGGCATCAAAGGATTCACATGATTTGGTCTTAAAAGAAATCGAAAATACGTTCAATCAACGAAAGAATTTAAGAAATAAAATTTCCTCACTTGAAGCTGAATTGGCAATGATTGAAAAAGCAAATGAGGATCGAAAGCAATCAGCTGTAAATATTACACCAGTCGAAGCTCAGATTAAGAATAATCAAGCAAACGTTACTATTTCTGTGAATGTTCCTAAACCAAATATTGGATCAGTTCCGTCAAAAGCATCGAGAAAAAGTCGTGAACATCGTGCTAAAGCTCATGAGTGGCCCGAAATTCCAGAGATCTCAAAGATAGAAGAGAAAAATCCTGAAATACTGGCTCAAAAAATACTCGAAACAGGTCGCCAAATCGAGGCTGGAAAGTTCCTTACAACAAATGAAAAACCAAGAAAAGCTGAAAATGTACAAAATTATACCAAAAAAGGGCAACTTTCTCAGCAACAGCAGCAGCATCAACAAGCACAGCAGTTACAATCCATTTTGCCAATTAAGAACGAAATGATGCAAATTAGTAATGCTCAAAAAGGTTCTAATAAATCTGTAAATATTTCTATAGCTGGACAGCAGCAAATGCATTCACTTCCAAAAGCTGGTGGATCCTCAAAGAAAGTTGCTGAATCACATAAAGTGGTTAATTTTGAAGATCGCTTAAAAAGCATTATAACTTCTGCCTTGCAAGGCCAAGATCAAATTCAAGGTGCACAAATTCAACAGCAGCAGCAGCAGCAACAACAACCTCAGTTGCAACAAAAACCACCAATTCATCAGCATCAACAAGCTTCATCAACTAATATTAGTCCAAAGAAAATGTCACATCAATCGACACCTTATCCATATAGCGTTCATCCTCAACAACAGCAATCAAATCAGATGCTTACAATCAATACAATGAGTAATTCGGGAAATCCTTCACCACAGAATCATTTACAAGCAACTATTTCCCCAACTCATTCATCTCCAATGAAATCGCAAAGGCAAGTAGTGCCTCTTCCACAAATGGCTCCACATTTACCACAAGATCACGTTCGTGAACATGTAATGGCACAGCATCAACAAGAATCTACATACGCACAATTAAAAAGAAATGAACATATGCCAAATTTCGCAAAAGTCATGAATATTATTCATCATGACTCGCCGAAAATGTACCAACGTCATCCTCCTTCAATGCCACCAACTATGATTCAGCAGCAGCATCCACAAAACCAATTTATGCAAAGAGAACGTGAAGGCCCTATGTTATATCAACAACGACCAATGGCTGAAGACAAGAGAGAATTCAAAACACCAGACAATGTTAGAAGCCAAGAGATGGGACGAAGCTCAGTTGGATCAATCGAAAACGAATACATAAACAGTGGTAGTAATAGTAGTAGTAATAAATCGCAAACACAACGATCTAGTTCTTCTTTATCACAACCAGATTATACACAAGTATCACCAGCGAAATTGGCCCTCCGACGTCACTTATCACAAGAAAAACTTGCTCAACATCAAGGACCATCCTCAGGACAACTTACTACAAAGACTATCGGAGACTTCATAAACAGTGAAATCGAGAAAACTTTAGAAATTACACCTCAGTCAATTATCAACGCAGTTATTCATCATAACATGCCAAGTAACTCAAGAATGCATCCAGATTCAATAATGGATTGTAGCATAAATCAAGAGAGGGAAATGGAACATCATCATCCATATGCTACTCTTAAACCAACTTCAAATAAGCCGCAACAGCAGCAGCAGCAACCAGGACCGTACATGCATTATATTGATCATCATCGTCAAGCCAATGTTAAAATGTTACCGATGTCGTCAAAGTATGTTGCTTCGACGTCATCACAAAATGTTAGAAAAAGTGCAATATCCACACCTCCTTTACGAATGCATGAAGATCAAATGAATTATATGGGTGGATCAAAATCACCTGATCGACATCCGGAAAGTAGTTATAAGATTGATACAAAGATGTTTACATCAAATATCGGTATGTCAATGAGAAAGGATGAAATGAAGGAAAAAATGCCAAATGTTGAACATGAGCCACCTTTAGAAGGTTTGGCAGCGTCTTTAAGACAACATGTTATTGCTTCCATGAAAATTAAGGAAGAATCTGAAACTGAGCCAAAATTTCCGACTTATCAGATGCCTTATCCTCACATCATCAAGAAGGAATGTAAGTTGATTGATAATTCTTAATAAATAGCTTGAAATAATTTTTCTAATTGCGATTTCAGCATCTAATCGAATAAAAAGAGCATCTCCTGTAGTCCTTCAACGACAAGCAGGTCCCATGTACAATGAAATGAATGAAGAAATGATGTTCCCCGTTGGTCCTTCATCAACAGGAAGCAATGAACGAAATTTAACACCACTAAGTCGCCATCACCGAGTAGATGAAGGTAGTTAAACGCTAATTTATTTCCCTTTCAAAATAATCAGTTTCTTACTTTTAATATAAGTAGATTAATTTATTTTCTGTTGATGACTTTTTTCTCTGCTTTTTTTATACATCAAAAATATAATTCAAATTCAAAGAAAGAAGTTTTGTTGAACTATTTACGCCATTAGATTCTGTTTAATTGTTAATTGTAATACTTTATTTTATTTTTCCTAATAATACTGTTATTTTTGAAATTAAATACAAAATATTAATATAAATCTTTTAAACAAATTAGAATGGAATGATTGTTCTTTGATTATAATTAACTCTATATTTTTTCTTGCAAAAAGGAATATACGACCGACACTAAATTCGAATATATATTAATATAAATGAACGTTTTTTTTTCAAATTTTGATTGCATATCGCATGCGAAAATAAATTAACGGTAATAACTGTTTTATATTTTTATTTTTTGTTCCTTTATCTGTCTAGTTTTCATTGCTATGAAATTGGTAACTACGGGTCAATTTTTTCTTACGAAGTTCAATCTATCTTTTTGTATAAGTCGACGTTACAAAATTTTTCAATCTTTGTAATTGAGACTTATTTCATGTCATAATAGATTCCAAAATTATTATTCAAGAGTTATAAAATAGAGTTCAATGAATTTATAATGTTTGAATTGAAAAAGCTATTGATATAATTTTACAGAGAGCTTTAAGCTCTTATCAACTTTTTTCTTCTGAAATATCTTCAATGAAAATGGTCAAATTAAGTTTATTTAAGATATTTTTGTTGATAACAAATGAATCCAAAAATAAGTCTTCATCCTTGAAGAAATACTTTATAAAAAAAAACTTTACAGATAAGATGAAATTGGTCCATAATAACCCAGTAAATAAATTCTTTATCATTGTTGATTTTTTCAAATTTTTATTCTTACTGTTGTTGCTGGTTGTTTTTATTGTAGTGGAATTGGAATGTAAACTTTTTATGTGATTGTAAATTTTTCTATTTTCTTCTCTCTTCTATTCTTAAGTTTTCACTGTTGAATGACTTTCTTTCGTACGTACTTATTAAACGCCTTAGTGCGTAGTAGATGTATTAACTTTTTATTATGATTAACTGTCAAAAACATTTTTTATTTGTATTCAACTCTCGCCTAAATGTAGACAAAACCTATATTTTTATTTTATTGAGCTTAGCTTAGATAATATTTTCTTTTCTCTTCTTTTATTTATGATTATAAGCATCTAAAAATATTGACAAAAAAAGTGTGATAAAATAATAAAAACCATGCTTTTTGTAAATGAAAGTGATTGTTAAAGATAAATTCTTAATTTCATATTTTAAATCAGATGATATGGGTGACGATGATGATATTCAATGGCAAGAGGAATTTAAAGTTCGTGTATCATCAGGTTTTGATCGACTTGTTGCATTTGCTGCGACAGAATTAAATCGTCGATCGGTAGAAGAAGGCAATGTTAGTCCGAAACGCGAAATGTCCTATGTTGACTATAGATCTTCGCATATGAAGAAAGAGGACGTACGTAAAATGAAAACAGATCGTGATTATCCGGCAGATTTGAGTAATGAGCGTCGCATGCGAATGATGATTGAAGAAAATCGTAAGAGTAGTAAGCATCATTTGGATGATTAGCATAGAAGATATTTTTAAAAACTGCCATTAGAATGATTAATGAACATTTTTCATTAAATCACCACAAATTAATAATTTAGAAATCTTTAAAAAAAATCTTAAAAAGCAATTTTACCATAAAATGTAAGGAACATACACAATATTAAATTTATAGTACGAATAGTCTCGCCATAATACATAGAATATGTACTTTTATTTGGAATAATCTTTTGTTTTTAGAAAAAAAGGAATGTGAACGAATATAAATATTCGAATTGGATAGTAAAAATGTATGTCTCCAAGTATGAGAAATAACGTAATTTTTAAGAAGTTGATCATTTTCTCTCCCTACTTATCAGGATGTGGAAACTTTGAAATTTTTTGAGTTTTTGACTATATAATTTGAGGTTTGGATGTCAAAATGATTTAAATCAGAGCTATTTATTTCTTTATAAGTCTAATTGAATTTAAAATCAGATAGAATCTTTAAGAAGGTTTATAATCCATCTGATGCTGTAATGTTGGCAACAAATTATGCATTTAAGAAATGATGAGATGTAATATAAGTTCTCAGGTGTCTTCTAATCTTGACCCATGACAATTTATGGAATAAATTTATTTTAATCCTATTGAGCACCAGAAGCATTAACGTGTCATAACAAAATTGACGTCCACGAACTCGTAGGCTTTTATGAAACTTATTATTTTATGGTTGTTAAAAAAACTGCAACTGTAAAATCTTAGAAATCAATTTCCCCAACAGACATCATTCGAAATACCGCAAAAATCTTGATCATCAAGAAATAAAATCTCACCACAAATCCATCAAATTTTTCAAAGTTTACACAACCTTCACAATCTTTACCAAAAACCTGGAAAGGAAATTTTATGTAAAAAAAAAAATCATTTTCCTTTTGTGCAAAAACAATTTTTTATTTTTGAATTTGTTGTTTTCTTCTCATTAAATTCTTTATCCTCATTATTACTGTCTATGTAAAAACATGAATGACATGATATGACTAACAAGCATCTCACAATGGTAATAAAATAATTACTAACGATAATATAATATTATTAATAATAATGATAAATAAATTAAAAAGAAAAAAATGTGCAAACATAATTGAGTTCGAAAAGAATGTTTTATTCAACGTATACAAGTGGCCAGTGTTTTTAAAGCTATGAGCTGAATCTATGAGTTTATTCAGGAATTACTGGTAATCTTAGGTACAGCCTAATTAAAACTTTAACTTTTGAAACTTCATAAGGAGCTTAGGATATGACTAGAGCATTGCTTTTCAAACTCCTTTTCACGATGCATAGCCTGCATCCTAAATCATAAACAGAATAGAGTCTTTCTTGCAGAGTTCACTCAAATCTACAGTGAGAAGTTTTACAGATCTAAAATTGCTTCTGCCGGCTGTAGCTTTTGAGGATGATGTCTAGCTCTAAATTCTATCAATAATTCCTATCTTGATTATTCTAGATTAAAGTTATCTCAAAAAAAACGGACAAGATTTTAGCTCATTTGTCATAATAAGTCACCAATAATGCTCAAGCTAAGCATTTTAATTTAAAATGCCTAATTTCGGCTATTTGTATACCTTGGTTTTATAATTAATCTTCTAATTTTCTCATTTTCTTTCATTCTTCTTATTTCACCTTATACAATTTAATTAAAATTCTCTGATGAGAATGTGTACAGTCGGCGATTAGGAACCATTTTTTTGATAAATTTCTTTTCACTATCAAAGCTGTCAGTCATCCTTGTAAAAAAAATATATAATAAGAATAAGAAAAACCACTTTATTTATCTATTAATCTATATAAATAGTCCTGTCAAGTTCTCAAACATCTTGATGTCTTTTACAGACGCACAGCAACATCAAAGAACGTAAGTATGTAGGAGGATTATTGTAAGGACACTCTCAGAGTAGGATGAAATAAATTAAAGAATAGCAAAAGCTAAGAAAATTTAATTAAAATGCTCTTCATTTTATAGCACTCAATAGTGGCTGATGCTTTTCATTATTGAAATTAATTTGTTTCTTTTTTAAAAGTGATGGCTTCTTGCCATTCAGTAATGGCTGATGTGATAAATCTTTAAGACTACTATAGCTGCTGAGGTTGTTACGGAGACTAGCGTTGATTGTTACATTCTTGTTCTTTGAATTAAATGAATTTTGGGGTGTAAGGGGAGGAACTACAGCAATAGCCCTTGTATTATTTGGTTTCTCTTCAGGAACATGATTAACATCTAATAACTTTACATCCTTGTCATGATGATTGATGTGTTGAGTCGATGAATGATTACTTATGTTATTATTATTAAGATTAGTGCTATTATTATTATTATTTGTAAAATGATGATGACTTGTTTCGATTGTTGGAAGTGACATCTTAGCAAGCTCCTCTGGAGACTTTTCTCCATTAAGCCAATACGTCAGCATTTCACCCTTTCCTTTCATTGCTACATAGCCTCTTGATGTCACATCAAATGTGCCAAACTTATCCAAAATTTGCTTTGTACTATTACTAATATGTATTTTAAGTGGTTCACCATTCGATTCCATTCTACTTGCTGTATTCACTGTATCACCAAACAGACAATATCGAGGCATTTTTAATCCAACGACACCTATGAAGTCAGACAAAATTTTCCATTGAATTATTGACAGTTTTTTATATTCACACCGTTTTCACGTGTGAATCTATTGGTTTTGTTCAGATTGAAAAATCAGTTTTTCGCATTTTGTGAGAAAACAAAGCAAAATTGGTTATAAAAGGTCACAAAAGAAAAGTTTGTGCCTGAATTTTTACATCATTTTCAAAAAACAGATTTCAAATTGGTTGTGGCATTGCTTCAGAAAAAGCAAAAAACTTTCCTTTCTTACGAATTTTTCAAATTAAAAGTTCACTGTGATTTTTTTTTTTATTTTAAATAAAACTTTGGATGAAAAAAATTTTTTTGAGCAAAGAACCAAGTAGGACATACATTTTTAATTTTGGACTAGGGGCGACCCTAGTCAAAATCAATTTTGTCACTTTTTTCTTTGAGGGTTTATCCAAATGGATTGAAACTTTGCATAAATATTCTAGTGCTTAAAACAAATACAAATAAAACATCCTAAAATTTTTTTGAGCAAAGAACCAAGTAGGAAATATATTTTCAATTTTGGACTAGGGGCGACCCTAGTCAAAATCAATTTTGTCACTTTTTTCTTTGAGGGTTTATCCAAATGGATTGAAACTTTGCACAAATATTCTAGTGCTTAAAACAAATACAAATAAAACATCCAAAAATTTTTTTGAGCAAAGAACCAAGTAGGACATACATTTTTAATTTTGGACTAGGGGCGACCCTAGTCAAAATCAATTTTGTCACTTTTTTCTTCGAGGGTTTCTATCGAGGGTGGATTGAAACTTTGCAAAAATATTCTAGTGCTTAAAACAAATACAAATAAAGTATCCAAAAATTTTTTTGAGCAAAGAACCAAGTAGGAAATACATTTTTAATTTTGGACTAGGGGCGACCCTAGTCAAAATCAATTTTGTCACTTTTTTCTTTGAGGGTTTATTCAAATGGATTGAAACTTTGCATAAATATTCTAGTGCTTAAAACAAATACAAATAAAACATCCTAAAATTTTTTTGAGCAAAGAACCAAGTAGGAAATACATTTTTAATTTTGGACTAGGGGCGACCCTAGTCAAAATCAATTTTGTCACTTTTTTCTTTGAGGGTTTATCCAAATGGATTGAAACTTTGCATAAATATTCAAATGCTTAAAACAAATACAAATAAAACATCCTAAAATTTTTTTGAGCAAAGAACCAAGTAGGAAATACATTTTCAATTTTGGACTAGGGGCGACCCTTGTCAAAATCAATTTTGTCACTTTTTTCTTTGAGGGTTTATTCAAATGGATTGAAACTTTGCATAAATATTCAAATGCTTAAAACAAATACAAATAAAACATCCTAAAATTTTTTTGAGCAAAGAACCAAGTAGGAAATACATTTTTAATTTTGGACTAGGGGCGACCCTAGTCAAAATCAATTTTGTCACTTTTTTCTTCGAGGGTTTATCCAAATGGATTGAAACTTTGCAAAAATATTCTAGTGCTTAAAACAAATACAAATAAAACATCCAAAAAATTTTTTGAGCAAAGAACCAAGTAGTAAATACATTTTCAATTATGAACTTGGGACAGGTCTAGTCAAAATCTAGTTTCCTTCTTGGTTCTTTACTCAAAAAATTTTTTGGATGTTTTATTTGAATTGACACAATTCTGACATAAATCATCTGAATTTTGTTCATACTCTTCACTGTGGAAACCAAAAAAAAAATTCTTTATCTTAAAACACTTGACAAAATAGCAACATAATTCAGGATTAATTACTTTTTAATAATATTTTAACATTTACGAGAAAATGTGGTTCAAATAAGTGTGAAGTATGGCCGAGATTTGGACCAAAATTAGCTATACTGGTTCATAGTGTTCCCGAGGGTGACAAAATTCAAACTAAGTGTTTTTGTAGCTGACATAATTATGACATAAATTAGGTATAAATTTTGAACTGTGTCGATATGGGTCTCGTCCGTACTTCACGCCCACCCTTCAAACTTATGCTGAGCAAATCTTGGTCTATCCATAAGACTTTTGATGGTACGGTGTGAATATATCCGCATTGGGTTTCTACCCGATACACTAGTTTGGAAAAACTTTTAAGGAAGCTCGAGAGAATTGTAAGTACATACCTGCACAGCATGGTCCACTGTGTAGACCAATACGAAGCTTCAACTTATCATCGGGTCGATGTCGTATTATAAAATTATGTACTTTATTTAGTAAAGCTAATGCCATTCGTGCGATTTCGCGTGCATGTGAATCACCATTCCTTTGGGGAAGTCCTGACACAACCATATAAGCATCTCCAATTGTTTCGACTTTATAGACATCGAAATGTCCAAGAATTTTATCGAAACATGTATATAAGTCATTTAAGAGATCTACAACTTGCATTGGTGTTGATTCTGCTGATATTGAAGTAAATCCTGCGAATTTTGAGAGTTTTTATTTGTAAGTTTAATTAACAAAGACAGCAACTGAGCTTACCAACAATATCAGAAAAGTAAATTGTAACTTGATCGAACATTTCTGCCACAATTGGCTTTCCTTCAATCAGCTGACTAGCAATCGAAACGGGAAGCAATTGATATAAAAGCTCCTCGCATTTCCTCTTCTCATCTAAGTAGTCTCGAGTACGTTCGTCCACCAAACTCTCAAGATTCTGAGCATAATGCTCCATACGTTTAAGTAAATTATCTAAGATATTTCCAGATTCATTTTCTCTGTGAATGATTTAAGATTTATTTTTACAGCAATTCCAGCAAAAGTAGATGACCGTTCAAAACACCTAAAGTTTTTTACCTCTAAACATTTCAAATTTATAAAACCTAAATTTTCTGCATCTTTCTTTTAATCTCTTTATACATTTGTATATGCATAGGTGTTAAAAACTACACGTGTAGTTTATAACTTCTATATACATTTATATATAGAGATTATAAACTGCATGTGCAGTTTTTAATTTCTAATGAAAAAATCATTAGAAGTAAAAAACTGCACGTGCAGTTTTTAAAACCTATATACTAATGTATATAGAGATTAAAAACTCGAATTGCAGAAAATTAATCCTCGGATTTAACTTTAAGCTTTTTCCTGGATTAACCAATTTTGATTATTTAAACGGTTTTGAGTATGTTATTGACAAGACTAATAACATAAATGGACAATTCTGTCGATTGACGTTTTCAAAAAATTCGTCAATGAAACATTATTTATCTTTATTAAGCTATCTAGTCGTTCTTAGCACCAAATATACTTATGTATGACGATAATTTATATCCTTTTGTTGCAGTTGGTTCCTTCTACATGCTTTAAATTACAAAATATTTGACTTCTTGTAAGCGTTGCACTTGTACAAAGTGCAAAATTTTGAACTTTTATCAAAAGTTTTCTACTTTCTAAACGTTTAGACAACTTCAAACCAGAGGTCGAAGCGAACTTGGTTCGCCAAGTTCGCTTCGCTAAAAATTCAACTTGCCAAAGTCGAACTGTAGCGAGAAAAAATTTTTTCTATTCGCCTTAGCAAACCATAGCGAACTCAATTTTATTTTTTTCGCTATAGCGAACTATTAGCGAACTTAATTTTTCAAAGTTCGCTATAGCGAACTATTAGCGAAGCGAACTCGCTAAAAACTCGCTTCGCTATGCTCGCTTCGACCTCTGCTTCAAACTATTGATTTACAGTTTGTTACATATTTGTTGTTTTATTATTGTGCATACTTAATTTACCTTGTAAAGCACTTATTGACTACAAAAACGAAGAACTTTAATTCAATTTCTGTACAAGTGCAAAGCAAAAGCGTTTATTTTCCTAATCCGTTAAAAAATGATTTTAAAAAAATAAAATTTTACTTAAATTAACAACATATTTTTTGATTAGAATGTTGTTTATGAAAATAAACTAGTAAATGAATATGTTAGCTGGTTTTCGTAAAGCGTAAGTTCAGTGAAAATTTTATAATTTCAAGTTCGAGAAGAATTATAACTCATTTTTACCACGTTATATTTATTAACTTGCTTTCTTTTCTGTCTGTCTATATGTCGAGTTCATATCTTGCGATCGAGTTTTCGACCACTTCTACTGCTCCAATACAATATTCATATTTTAAATGAAATTAGAGCTCTCAAATATTGCGACATATTTTATGAATGCGCCCATTTTTTAAGATGTAGAACGTAGAACTATTCTATAATGAAACTTTCAAATCTGTGGTTGGCAAACGGATCTTATTTTTAGAACTAAATCCGTTATATATCCCGGGATCCCGGGTTCAAACCCGGTATTAGATTCAGTTCAGAAACTACGGTATAAAATTACGTTTGTGTTCAAAATAAGAGATTTCATTCCAATCAGGTGTATTAGTCATTAAAAATATTTTTGAATTGAAAACTAAGCCAGAAAGACAAAGTTTTTCCAAATGTATCAATATTTCCTTTTTTTGTCTTGTCTGAACTTTTTAACTTTACAATTGAAGCTTTTGTAAATTTTCATAAAGATTATCTTTTAACCTTACAAATCAAAAATGATTTAAAATTTTACGTAAAAATTTGATTATTCTTTTGGAAAATTTTTTAAAACTTTAGTTTTATGAAATATCAAGAACTTTAATTTTTATTTCAAATAATAGATTTTATCCATTTTATCGCAGTTTTATTAGAGGTGCATTTGAATGATCATAAAATCTATTTTTACCTTAAGATTAAAGCTTTTCTAATCCCGAGATTACGGTATTCCTACTCAAAACCGTTTAAATAATCAAAATTGGTTAATCCAGGAAAAAGCTTAAAGTTAAATCCGAGGATTAATTATCTGCAATTCGAGTTTTTAATCTCTATACATATACATTAGTATATACTATATAAGTTTCAAAAACTGCACGTGCAGTTTTTTAAATTTGAAATGTTTAGAGGTAAAAAACTTTAGGTGTTTTGAACGGTCGTCCAAAAGTATAGGTAGTAGACTTACTTGTTTATTTTCCTAACCATTGATTTGATTGCTGAGAAGTCAGGACGATCGATTGGATCTTCTGACCAACATTTCATCATCAAATTATTTACATCACAGCACGAATCCTTACCATTGTCGATGTTTGGTCTAAACGGTTCATTTGGATATATGGGACAACTTGATACTAGTTGAGTTATTTCTGTGGATCACAAATTAATAGAAATTATCTTAACAATCTATGAATAATTTAATTTACTTTTGTCAAATCTGTTTCAAAATTTCAAGTGAAAATTACACAAAATGGACAAAAAAGATTCACAACAACCCGGTGCTAGCGACTATAATCAGAACAAGTCAAATAGCAAACGAAAGGAACAAAAAGAAAAATCTAAAAATAAATTGGGAATATTTAAGAATCGAAAAAGTAAATTAGCACAAGATAAACGTCATTCATCAATTGATGCAACACTTTCGAGATATAGAGTACCTAATAGACCCGAAAAAACACAACAAAGTCATGCAATCAGAAAATTGGTTCCAGCACCAGAAAGTCGAGATGTAAAAACACCGCAAACTATGAAAATTGTTGTTCATCAGCCAGAGCCAAGAGTAAGTGACGCAAATGATGCAGCCGATATTTATTTACGGACTCACATTCATCAGCTTCATCGTAGAGAAAGTCTTGTTAATTTAAGAACTCATGTGAATCTTACAGACATCATGAATGTGCCAAAAAAGAGTATAGAATCGGAAAAAAGAACTAGCACTGTATCTGATCGTTGGAGGACTTGTATAGAATCTGCTTCATCATGTACATGCATTTTACATGGAAGTGCAAGGGAACCAAAATCTGATTGGGCAGTTTTAACGCAACCTTCTCGAATAATTTCAAGGACATACAAAAGTCCTCGATTTCAATGGTTTATAGATCTTGAAAAATCTACAAAAGTTGACAAGCAAAGACTATCAAGTATGAAGGATGATACCGAAAAAGATTTAATGGCTTTACCATTCATTTGGAAAAAGGATCGAACATCTATTGACTACTACCTGAAGAACTAAAGTCGTTAAGCTTACCTCTTGGGGTCTTTTCATCACATTCTCCCAAGTAGAAAACACCTTGTCTACAGCATATCTCTTGGACAATTATAGCAAAGCTGTAGATATCGCCTTTTTGTGTCCCTCGCTCTGAATAATTGTTAGCTCTCAAAAGCTCGGGTGCAGTCCACAGATATTCTAAATAAATGGCAAGAAAATTGTACATTATAAAGGGATCGTTCATAAATTACGTCTTATTAATTTTAACCCCCCCCCCCCCTTCATGGCAATTTTTTCATATAAAAGACATGTTGAACATAACCATTTATTGACCCAAAATATTTCCATAAGCATCCAAAAATGCCAATAAACTTCTTTAATGACCAAGTAGGGAAAAATGCGAGATATAAAATTTCTACAAGTAAAATATTTTTTTATTGCTTACTCTTCCAGTATTCATGACTCTCCTTATTTTCTGACTCATCAGACGGATCTCTTCGCAAATCATGAAGACCAAAATCTGTTATTTTCAACACGAATCGTGAATCAACAACGCAATTTGAAGACTTTAATTGTCCATGCGAATGAATTGGTGTTGTGTGCAGATAACTCATGCCCTTTAAATAAATAAAATAAAGTCAATTGGATTAAATGTTTTTCTCAATCATTCTCAATTGAATGCACATAAAATAATTTGTAATCATTTACAAAAATATCAATTCCTTACGCATTTCAATTTGAGTTGTTCTGTAATCGAAATGGCTTAATTTAGAATTGATATCAAAGAAAACAAAATTGTTTACAGAAATGAAAATGAAAATTTGAGATTTTCAGCAATAACATTCGGGGGCGTTTAGATGCTCCATAACATCAAGTACGTCTCATGAACCAGAGAAGCATGACGTTACGTGATATCAAGACAAGAAAACGATTAATTTGAAATGCGCCGGAACTGTCGATCTTAATATCTTACTTTAACAATATCATGCATCAGCGATAATTTAAACATCCAATCAAGATTGATTTCATGATTCTCGAGAATGTCTTGCAATGAACCTTTTGGGCAATATTCTGTTAGAATGCAAGGAACGCTGTCAATGACACATCCATAAAATCTCACAAGATGGTCGTGCTGTATATCTTTCATCGTCTTTAATTCCATCAACAATGAACGTGTCAACGTTATTGGAACTGTGATTTTCTTTATAGCCACTGTATTTCCTTTATAGCATCCAATTGGTATGAAAACTTGTCGATCGCCCATCATTTCTTCGGAATAAATTGACTGTAAATGGAAATGAATGAAGCAAGAATGAATAAATTAATGATTAGTCATTTAAATATTGATTTTCGTACCAATTGAGATCCAGTTCTCGAATGAATACTACCTCTAATTTGATTAGTAGTCGGTACTGGAATGACTTCATTCCAATTTATTTTCCACGTCATTGAACTAATTTCTGCCTCCAATCTATAGTGTCGATAACTTACAATTGACACAACACTCAATATAATCACGACGAGTCCGAGAACCATTGATAAGATTGCAAACATAGCTGATGAGTCGTCGGGTGGACACAATGAATTGTCAAAACCACATTCTGGTCTGTCTGCTGGTGCTTCAATTCGTCCTCCAGTCCAATGAATTTTCTTATTCTCAATGAACTTTAGCTTGTCATTATCATGATGATAGACAGCTACAACTTCAAAGTGACTTGTATCAGGATCCATATCCAAAAGTGAATATTCTGATAATCTATCTCCATTAGCATCTATTGATACATTTCCTGTAATACCACGAAAACTTCTCTTCCACATAAGTTGAGTTAATCGCGTTCCATTAAGAGGCTTAACTAAAGCATTCTCGCCGTAAATTTGAATGCTATCATTCAGAGCATTTGCAAAAAGTAGAACAGCATCATAGAATGCTGAAACAAATTGACTTATCTGTTCGTTCTCGTTGAATGTGTAATTGTACTTTGTCAGAGCAAGTTTCTTAACCTTTAGACGAAAGAGAAAGTTTCATCGTATCATAATCTTAGCAAGCACAAATTTTATTGAAAAGTATCATCCTGTGCTGCTCAGTTTGAATGACTATTTTTTTTTTGGATATTCCGTTTTCGACAGGTTCTTATCATATTTCACTGACTAAATGACATAAATAAATATTTAAAATTTGCACATTCCTGTCAAAAAATTAAATACTTTGTTTACGGAATTAATTCGAACCCAAGAATTTTACTACAGACTTGAAATTTAAGACGTACGACTGTGAAGTCTTTATATAAAAGGGAATTCATGTGTAAATTATTATTGTAAATATGAGGACGTTCATGAAACAATCATGTGTGCGGCTTAGCAATGTGAAATCTGGGTTGTACTTGGTATATCCTTAGGATTAAATTGAGTAGTATGGTGACTGTGAAATTGATAGTGATAGCAACCCCCCCCCCCCCCCCCCCCATCCCCCCTTATAATGAAAGTTTCATAAACGAACAAAGCCATCTCTACAGCATATCCATAAAACAAGAATATCCACAAAAAAATGCGCCCTGACTCATTTAATTCTGACATCATCAGCATCTCTTGCTAATAAAATTACCAAACACGACACGATGATAAATATCAAGGTATGCAATTTTTACCTCGTCAGAGAATTTTTGATATTCCTCATCTTCAGGCTTTCTTGTTGTTATTGTAAGCAGTGCTTGATACGCTTTCTTCGCTTTTTCATTACGGTCGTTATTATCATCTTGCTCGAACCATGGACGTGGATCTTTCTTCAAACTTCCAAAAATTTCAATATTGAAGAACACGTATTCTCCGCTATCAATCATATTGAGTTCGTCTGCCGCAATCATGATTTCACGAATTGTTTTGGGATTTGCACACATTATGATAACTGAATGAATGGATATACGAAGAGAAAGAAATAAAAGAAATAAAAAACTTTTTCATTTGAATAAAATCTCGAATAAAAGAGATTTGAAGGTGATAGATCGGGGATGAAATTAAAAAATGAGAAAATTTATGCAGGAGAGCGAACCTTAATAATTAAAAGTTATGTAAATTAATCCTCAAACGATAATTAGATTTGAAGCGTTTTCCGTTCAGGCTGTTGCACTCATAGTATGCAAATTTGTCTTGTGGGTTGGACGAAACAAGTTCTTGCTACTAATTTTATTTTTTTATTATTTATTTTCGATTCTTTGACTCATAAAATATTGAATAAAATAACGATTCTAGGCCAAAATTTGAATAATCGTCGAGCGGTCAACATAGATTTTATTTTTACAAAAATCAGCTTCCTTTAATTTTGTCATGGCACCTTTTCATTCTGGTAGACAACTTTGTTCAAAGAAAGCTTAATTTTAATAATATTTTAAACTAGCAAGTCCCTGATGAATTTTCAGGAGGGTCTTTTTATAATGAATTCTATTTTTTAAAAACTGTTAAGTTTTAGCTAATGATCCAAAACTTCGTTCAGATCGCCCACAATAAAAATAAAATGTTTTGAACTCGATTTTTATCTTGTTTAGCTCTCCCCATGTCAATTACCAGACTTGACCTTTTTTTATTCTGGATCATTTTGTCATAATTAATAAAGGATGGATGGATGAAATGGAAAGGAAAAAAGTTTCCAATCTCACTTACTTCTAGACTTTTGTTTTAGCCTAAAAAGTTTCTCCTTCAAGGCATCATAGGTAGCATTTTCAAAAGTCTCATGAACATTCGAGTTGGGCTTTGAAGCATTGCTGTGTCTATTTATAGGTGCTATAATATGATGACATGGACTATAACCTTTGGTCGCATCATCATAATTATGGAAAAAGAAGCCATAAATCTCCCACTTGAAATGTGACAAAATCTTCCTCATCGCATTTGTCATTTCACTGTAACTTAACATTCTCGTCAACGTTGGAAATTGTGGCTGTTGGCGTGGATTGTAATGAGAAGAAAAGAAAAACACAAATAAAGCAAAGCACAAAAAAAAAGTTTAATCAAAATCAATTAAAAAGCACTTTTGAATTTGAATTGGAAAGACCAGTGCTATAAAGATATTTATCAAATAATTTAGATCTGATGGACTATCAAATTAGATTTGAAAATTTTCTCGTTATTGATTCAATTGACAGTTTCGATTGAATAAATTGGAGTGGAAATTTCTTTTTTATTCTTTTCGAACCAAATTGCGCACAAAGTTTAGGGATCACATTTAATCATAGGAGTTACATGCTAAGTATCGAATGTTTTACACGACACAAGTACAACTCAAGTACATTCTTTGTTGATAGACATTTTTAAGTTTCCCAATGTTTGGTTTTGTAGACAAGGCTAGAGATTTATATCAATTCTAGGAATATACAGAACCCGATCTAAACAACTTTAAAAGTATAAGCTACCATTGGTACCAAGACGGATTTAGATATTAAAGACGATTATACAGTACGTATGATTCGTTTAGCCGCACTAAGGAAAAAAATATTTTATTTGCCCAAAAACGATAAATTAGTATTTTGTTTCGTGCCCACTCTTACGTATAAGTTCAATTAGACGATTTTGCATGGAATTGACTAAAGTTTCTAATATCTGTGTTGATAAATTATGGACTTCAACTTCAAGCTCTTGAATGGATGAAAATTTACAACCTCGACTATATACTCGACGGACAAGTATTCCCCATAGATTCTCTATTGGGTTCATGTAGGGTGATCTGCTTGGCCAGTGGAGAACAACGATATTTTTGTTACTAAACCATTCCATAGTCTTTTTACTTTTATGAATTGAAGCATTATCTTGGACAAAAATAAAGTCACCATCCATAAAATCGTCCGTAAATGGAATCAAAACATCGTCCATGAGCTGAATATAGTTGTCTGAGTTCATCCGAGTAGTAACTTTTGCAATCGGGGTCTTACCATGCATTGAGAATGCTGCCCAAACCATTAAAAAGCCACCACCAAAATTTCTAGAGTAGTTGAATTGGTTTTCGTTTCTATAATCCTGCCAGTAGTAATGAAATCCATCAGGTCAATCAAGATTAAATTTTTTCTCATCTGAAAAGACCACATTTGTCCACTCCGTAGTCCAATGAACGCATCTTTTTGCCCAATTTAATCGTTCTACAATATGCTCAGGATTCCACAAAGGTTTTTCATCTTCTTGACATATTTAAAGCGGCCAGGGTCTCGCAATAGTTTACAAACTTGAGCTTTCTTAATAGGCAGATCTAATTCACGTATGATATCATTAGAAAAGTAGTTTTCCGTAGAAGCAAGTTGATCTTCTGGATCTTCTTGCTATAATCTTTGCCTTTTGCTAAATAATTTCTTACTACTTTTCGTCTCTATTAATTCGCTTCGCAATATCCCGATTGGACTGCTCAATCGATATTAATTGATCAATTACAGCCTTTTCAGTCTCATTTAAGTATTTTCCTTTTGGCATGATTAAATTTTTGTTTTTTAATCAGTAATCTAATGAATTAATAGCGTTACTCTATAGATAAATCTATTTAATTAAAATTGCTTACAAATTATTAACTTTATTTGTTTACAATATCCACTGAAAATACTTTTTTTTCCTTAGTGTGGCTAAACGAATCATACTTTCAAAATCCAAATTTTCGTTATTTTTTCATTATTTTAAAAATATTATTTATAGCTTACTTGATTACGTAATAAATGAAGAATATTTGACAGTATAATTGAATTTTTATAAGTTGAATATTGGAAAGAAAAAAGCAAAAAACTGTGTGCGGCTAAACGAATTATACGTTATTATTCGGGTACATTGCTCCTCATATGCAGGTACCTAGCTTCAACCTTCTATTCCTTAATTCTGCTATCAAGTCTTAATTAGACAAAAAGCATGTCTGGATGTTTTATTTGGCAACTTACAAGCTTAAACCTGAATGAAATGTCCGTAAAAATACTCTAGGATTTAAAGTGGCCAAGAACTGTAAACTGAAGAATATATTCAGAAATTTTAAGGAACAAAACTTTATTTGAATCTACAAAAACGATACTCAAGGTTTTAAGGCTACTTCTCGTATTGTATTAAGCATGTCCATCAAACACTCAGACTCAAATGAAAGGATCAATAACAAATTCTAGAATATATGTAAACATTTACAATTTATATCTTTTAATCTTCAATTAAGGCAGCTCAAGCGATTGTATCAGATTTATTTTTTGTGTATAGTAAACGAAGGTCAACAAGTTCAACCTTGACCTTAAAAAAAAACAATAAATAGATAGAATATTAATGACGTCAAAGATATATGGAGCCCTTTTTTATTGAGAAATACATCATATGGAAGCGACATTTTAGGTTGAAGAACATTTTAGAATGAACAGAATTTGCCGACAGTACACTATGGAAAATAATCGTCCTTAATATCTAGAAGAAGTCGTTTTCTTCTTTTTATTCTATTGAGCTTATTTTTGTGGACTTGCTTCTTTTTCTAACCTCAAAAATTATGACTTTTCACTTCAAACTACAGGAAATTGGTAATGATTTTATTGAATGGAAGGCCATAGAAAGATTTGTCACTAAGAAGCAATTTTATGGAATGAGAAATGATAAATTGCTGAAGATCTTCTTTCAAAATCAATTTTAATGCCTGTCAAAAGTCTTATTTGAATCTATTTCCATTCACAATAGAGTATGATACATAAACAGGAAGAATGTCCTTTTTTGCAGAGTTGAATTGTCTAAATATTTAAAATCCTAGTCTTTGAAGCCTTAATAATAATAGTAATCCTTTATTTGAATGCATGAAAAATGTCGGAACAAAAATAAAGTTTTTTTGATATTAACCTCGTCGGTTTTAAATCAAATTTTATACTGAGATATGATTAGTGATATGACATGATTTAGACTTTGAAAATTTGAGTTTCGGTCAAAAAAAAATTTTTTTAAAAAAGACCAATTAAAACAAAAAAAAAAAAATAATAATAATATACATTGAAGCCTTAAAAATCGCAATTTAGTTGAAAATAAAATTATTCAGCACATAAAAAAAAGTATGAAGACGCGATAATTATTTGAAAAGCTCTTTTGGGAGACATAAAATTCACATAAATGCACGCTTTTCATGCCTAATTTTCAGTCTTAAACAGCAATTAGATTGGCATTTACTTCTCGAGGCATAAAATTGCGTCTTAAATGAAAGGAAATTTCCTTTGAGTTTGAGTAATAACATTGAAACGACTCGTACGAGACACTTGTCTATTATGCCAATATGAAAAATGAATCAGTAAATGAACCGATCCTTCACAAAAGCGGAAAATTGGAAAATAAATTTTAAATTAAATTTTAAAACACTGCATTAAAGCCAGGGTGGGGATTTAAATCATAAATCAAAATAATTTTGCAATGAATTGAAAAATGATTTTTAATTTAAATCATTTTGTATGAAAGATTTTTTTGTGATTTATGATTTAAATCATTTTGTATGAAAGATTTTTTTGTGATTTATGATTTAAATCATTTGTGATTTTTCCATTACCAGAAAGGATATTCATGATTTATGATTAATGATTTGTAATAACTATCTGAAAAATTCTTAGCAAATTTTCACCTTCAAGTGATTTAAAATCCCAAAAAAAATCCCCATACAATGTGATTTAAATCATAAATCACAAAAAAATCTTTCATACAAAATGATTTAAATCAAAATAATTTTTATGTGAGATTTAAATCAAAAATCACAATTTGATTTGGGATTTTGATTTAAATCGCAAAAAACTCCCCCACCCTGATTAAAGCCAAAAACAAATTTCCCTCATATATTTTCACCGTAAAGAAATATATTTTTTTTTCAATTATAGCAACCTCATCTTTCGTCGCGTTGTTGTTGACATTATTCCTTTATTATCATTCATTTCATCGTCAAAA